AAGGTAGCTTAAACATGTCTTCATAAATTCTTCCACTGAAATGATAGATTACATAAACCTTTTCTTCAGACTATAGTAATCTAATAAGTGCTTCTAGCGACCACTTGATTTAAGTCCTACACTGTTACATGTATATCTGAATTACTGAGGTTTCTGCTTGACCACTATTAATTTAGTAGTTTTATTATTTCTGCAAATCAGTCCCTAATGCATGTGTGAAATACTGGTAATTAAACACCTTTTCCTCTCCTGCCAGTCAAGGGGCTTCATCAAGCCTTAAATCTGTCAAGTACCAAGTGATTTAAAACACACCGTAGAGATAAAAGTCTGCTGTATGGGTGAGCTAAGGGACACATCTATTGACGTAAATACTACTACACTGTAAGGTACTGTTGAACAAAGCAAGAGGATATTAAATCTTTGCGACAACCACAAACCAAACTACAGCAACTACCTGACTACCTTTGTGCTTACACTCCGGTTGCCATTCACTCATTCACATGAATTGCAGCTAAGACGTGTTACTATAAGCTGGGCTGTGTTGGCCGGACATGCACATGTACAGAAATGATTTGAGGTGAGGAGAAGACACAAACAGAAAAGCTGATGCATAGAGGTGAATGATGAGAGACGTGAGACTTTAGGATGTGACAAATGGGCTGAAAAGAAAAAGGTTTAGTGGTGACATAAGTAAGGAAAATGTGAGTGCGTGCGTGCGAAACAAGGGGTTAACCGTGCAGAAAGCTTTTGGTTCAAACAGAGACAGGCCTGCAGAATTAAAATCAGACAGACAGAGGAAAGTAGGAGCAGAGAACAAGATGAAGAGAAGGAAAAGAAAGAGTGAGAGCGAAGGAGAGCAAAAGACAGAAAGTAATTGGTTCTATGATGGCTTCCAGCTGCATGGCACAGAGCCAAACCAACTCTTCATGACACACACACACACACACACACACACACACACACACACACACACACACACACACACACACACACACACACACACACACACAATCCCCAAGTCCACGTACACCATAAACATGAGGTCTTTTCACAGTCATTTCTGACTGTGTATGTCAATAACAGTAACATGCTCAGTTGCTTGATGTCAAAAAATTCATCTTGTGATTGAAATAATGACCCACATCTTTCAATAATGGTAACTCCCTGGAGAGTAGGAAGAAAAGTGTGACTTCAATGTAAATGTGTGCTTCTGGTCACTGACAGCTGGAATAAAGGGACACTTTTTGACTGTTGTTTTAATATACGCCTGAAGCAGGCCCTTCTCAGGTGTGATAACAACAACCACTAGGGGGCAGAAGAATGGGAACCAAACTAGTATCCTATCTACATTACCTTAAAACTCACTCTGATATAAGCAGAAATCACAGTTTAGCAAAAGCAGGAAAACAAAGCAGTGAAAAACTCTTGTGGTGACTAGAATTCAGTGAAGCGAGTGTGAACAGATGTATGTTTGTGTGTTGGAGGCATAATGCGGCATCTGTTTCTGAGAGCGACAGTAAATTAGCAAGTTCCCCTGCGAGAGAAACGACAGTGTCACTCAAAACTAACTGCTTTGACACACACACACATTTACACAGACAACGCAGCTAAACCACACAGTCATAACACAAGCTATCATAAACATTAAATAGCAACAACATGATAAATAACTTGCGAGGGGAAAAAAAGGCTGTCTAGCAAGGAAGAATGACAGATTAACACTCATGTTAACAACTTTGCAGCACAACTTTACAAACACCGTCAACAAATTAACAATCAAAATGAATCATGATAATGAGGAAATAGATAATTAGCTCTTTCTGTCAAGAAAAATAGATGTGCAAAAAAAGGTAATTATTGTGATTGACACCAGCGAAAATGTGAAACATTGGTTTTGTACAGGGATTAAAACTTGCACCACATTTATAAAGGAAATGATTGTTGAAGCAGGTATCAGTCTGGCCCATGACCCTGCACAGCATACTGTTATTCACTTTCTCTTTCCCCTTCTATCATCTTTTTGTGAATTCAGATTAGTGCATAGACCTTATATCACATAACAGGGCCTTTTTTTCTGAAAAGTTAAGTAGTAATTTTTAAATTTATGTTAAAAAGGTGATTGATCGACAGCTGAGGAGCCCTGCAGTGTTCTTGAGTGGACAAACAGAGTAGAGAAGGAAAGGCAGAGAAAACAACAATGACTCTAGAGTCCTTTAATCGCCGTGTGTGTCTGCTTCAAACCAACATAAGAATCTGTTCTGCTGTGAACAGGACTGGTTTTAGGATCTTTATCATTTTATCGGTGAGTTAGATATTCGTTTTGGTGTATATCACCAATTTTCAATGACTGTAATCTCAAGATGCTTTATAAGAACAGCTGGTCTAGACCATGCTCTTGACTCATTCTGATCCCATCTTAATCCACCATGAGTGGAACACTTTCCAGCATTTAGCAGGTTACTGTGGCAAGGGAAAAAATGGATGGACTGATGCTAGAATATGAGCTTTACAACAGTTCGGTTTGAGTGTTAAAAAATGATTTATTGTTCAAAAAAGGAAAGAAAACATGCTGATTCAGCTCCAAAACCTTTGCCTTCAAATGAAAAGGTGATATGCTGAAATTCGGTAAAAACAGGATGAGTGAAACGTTGAAAAAACAATGAAAAACGATGAAAAACAGTCAACAGAAAATTATCACAACTTGCCAAACCCATTGTCTGACTACACCAGTGAGATTTAAATAACCCGCCAAACATCCCAAAACCACACACCTCAGTGAGGATCCCTGGAAGTGACGTACCTAGTAGAAATCAAACTAGTATATTTTGGCTCTTAAAACAGTTATATAAAAAATAACCAGACTGATGCATGTAGTTGAAGCAGCTGGAAAGCAGGCAGGTCCACAGCAGCAGGACATCTGCAGCTGTGATCTAGAGGAACATACGGGATGAGGGAGCTCAAGGACTCCAAGAAAAGACTGTAGTTAGAAACTCTTAAGAGACACGATGATTCAAAGTTAATGACACACAAACATGTAAGGGACAGAGAAAAAGAGAAAAGGAACTCAGTGCGCCAGTTCCTCCAGCAACGACTCCTGACTTGAAGATTTATCGAAAGTTTTAAGCCTACTTTGAAAAGTAGAGCGGGTGTCTGTTTCCAAGAGCCCGGACATCAGTCCAGCAGCTCCACCAGCCAGGTCATGCCTTGGCTCAAATAACACAATATGTCTGCACCCACTGGAGCAGTCTTTTGGCTTAATTTCTCATAATGGGGGAAACATGGAGGTGCAGTGTCCATTTAAGACACAGTTGAAGCCATAAATTATGAATGTTTACTTAATAGAGTGGGTTCACTGTGTTCAGAAGTTCCAGTCCTTGTTGCACTGGTCGCAGGATCAATTTCACATCCTTTTTCCCTCTTTTGCCTTCAGAGCTGTCCTGACCAATTCAGGCTAAAAAAAAACCAAAATGTGTCTTTAAAAGAATAAAATCCCAAACATATGAATAAATAAACTCAAATTAAATCATAATTCCAAATAACATGGATGTGAAGAGCCCCCATCGTGCCTCACAGGGATTGAGGTTGGCGTTTACAATTAAGCCAGTAAACTAAATAAACAAACTAGAATTAAATCATGTATAACTTCAGATAACACTGGCGTGATGAGCCCCCATCATGCCTCACAGGAATTGAATTTGGCATTTATGATTTAAGGATTTTTTTTTGTCAGAGCATTTAAAAAAATGCAAATTAACAGTCACAGATGTCCCGAAATTGACTTCAAAGCTTGACAAAAAACACACCAGAGCAGAATTTATTTAAATGTGATGTTTTTACAATGTAGAGTTTGGCAGACATATTTATGAAGACAGAGACTGGGCTGAATTAGTCTGTCAGTTTAACCGCTCATTTTCAGCTGCAGGGGAATCTCTTTAATTGATATGCAGCTAATACTTTGTTTTACCACTGTTAGGTTAGTCTCGGGCTGATCAGAAATACAGTAACTCCTTAAACAAGGCTTCAGATGGCTAATCCATGTCTCGAGTCAGTAGAGCCGTCTGCTGTTTGACATTCTCACAGCTTCTTGCTCTCTCTTTCTCTAACTTGAGTTGCCTGGAGGCTTTCTCCACTAAGTCAAAACATTGGCAGTTCCAACATTTTAATTCCTTTTTGAAACTGATTTCCCCCCTTTTATGGCCCATGCTCATCTGTTTTCTATGCAGCCGTGACCAGGAGAATAATGTTATTAGAGTCCAAGTAAAGACGAGAACACAGTTTGGATCAGATGGAGCTTGATGAGGGCTGGAAAGAGCTAGTATTTCAGTGGCACGCCAGATTTCTCTTCCCTCCTCTCTCTCGCAGCGACGGACTTCCACTGCTCCACAGATGGTGGAGGCATTAGCACGAGGATCTTCAGAAACCAGAGAAGTAAAATTATTATCTCTGACATTTCAATACAGCTTTTTGGTCCGAGCCTCCACCAGGGCTTCCAAATCCATTCAAACTAATCTTTACTCCTCTTCACACAGATTATCCCGCCCAAGGCTTTTCTCTTTAAGCCTCCTTGGATCACAGCACTTCAAAATCATCTCAAACAATTTACAGTGTGTAGAGTGCAGCCACAACATAAAGACACCATCATGTAATGATATTTAAGCCTATGGATTCTTACTGGAAGTGACTTTATCCATTTCTCTCGGTGTTTGTTTCCTCAGCGGGAGGCAGGGCCAAATCCCTGGCTATGCTATGCGACGTTAAATGAGCGTAGCGTGAGTTAACTGTGTTCTTCACTTTCACAGCAATATGAGCAGTTATCACAATCACACAAGAGAGTCTTATTATGCATGCTAGCAAATGACTAATCTTTAATGAGACCCACATTTAACCTTCTAATGGCTCTTTATTAGACTAACAAGCTGTGTGTGTGCGTGTGTGTGTACGTGTGAGTGCGTGTGTGTGTGTAGACTGCATGTGAGTGCAGCAGTGAAACACTAATTAAGCTGTCGGATGGTGCAGCAGATTAGGAAGGGCCCCCCTGCAGAGTCTTCAGCCCCAGTAGGCAAACAGGCTTCATCCCCTCAGCCAGCCAACCCAAATACATCTTAGCCCAGCACTACTACCCATAATACACTGCTCTACACTCACATATCTGCAGCCCAGAGAGGCTGGATGAGATGGCCAGCCAGAGCCAACAGCCCAGACTGCTGCTGAAGTTTGGAAGGAGATTATTTGCTGTTCTCATACCAGTGTCTGCGTTATACACACAGATTTACTCGTGTGCATTCAGCACATACGCACACACCGATGCACAAACAGTGGAACATAAAAACACCACAGCGAAAGAGAAGAGGGAATTGAATGTTTTCCTGAGGTCAAAGCATTCGTTTCATGGTTTGAGAAACCACAAGATTATATAAAGTTCTTGTATGTGTGTGTTTTAAGATGGAGTTACTCTACCACAGAAGGAAGGAAACGCTAGCCTCAACTTTGCACAATAACAGTCAAAACTTTACTGTAAGAGTTATGAAGGGGGAATGTTAAAATAACAAGCCAAATAATTTCATCTTCTCACTCTGTCTTTCTAGCACAGACACACACACACACATACATACGATCCATCACCGCAGAGTGTGTACAGCAATTATTCCAATCCATCTGCTGTCACATAAATTAAAGAAGTTACTGTAGTCTCACTCAGCACGTTCTGCAAATCCTGCAGCACATCCTGACCTGAGTTTAAATAAATTAATGAAGAAGGCTGCAGCTCATTTCTCACTTTATAAATGACGCAGTGTTTTATGTGTCTCTGTTGGATTTGTGGGTTTTTCATTCTGGGTGGCCACAGATTCGGATCTGGGTTTGTGTTGTTATAAGTACAGGATCAGATTCACTGCCCTGTCCAAAGAGAGCACGGTACTGTTTCCCACTACAGTGAGTGAAATGACAAACAAACCGCAAACAAGGAAAGGATTGTTTGCGACTTTTATGTATTCACATTTTTGTCGAATCTTGACTATTTCTGCAGAGAAGGCAACGCTAGTTTGGGACTGTGTGCTTGATTATGATGTGTGTGACTTCAACCCGTCTTGGAGGATAGGAGACCCTCTCAGAGCCTCTCAAAATGGCCACCTTTGAGGCATGGAGGAGCACAGGTCGTTTTATTAACGCTACACCTTTGATTAATCTGAGCAAATCTGTTCCCTATCCAATGGCTGACAGCCCTGGGGCCGAAGCAGGGACCCCGATGCATGCACACACACACACACGCACACACACACTCTCACACACACACACCATGGTGAGTGTTGACACAGTCCAGATGTTGGCAGTTCTGTTCCAAATGAAAGCGGGGCAGCTAGCCAACAACCTGAACCTCTCTCCCCATCAAATGATATGTTTACAATAATACTGCTCTGAGACTCACACTCACACATGCACACAAAGAGACACACATTCATACGGTGCACATATGCATACATGTAACATGCGAGCACATCCTCAAAGCAGAGAGAGATGAACTAATGGAAAGGCAGCAAACCACATTGGGTGCAGAAGTGAACCAGCTTGTGGTGTAACATAGAAAAATGGAGAAAGATTACTCTGTGAGGAGACAGCAGAGACAAGGAGCGACAAAAAGACTTCAAACATAAAGAGATGTCATTATCACTGCCGTGTTTGGATCTCTATTTTCCCCACTATGTCAGTCAGAGAGAGGTTGCGGATGGAGAATAATAATGTAGTTATGTAATGTGCTGGTGAGGCGACTGAAACAGAGAAATGAGAAAAAAACAACCTACAGCTTCAACATAGAGGTACTACAGAGGTCAGACTGTACCCACTTCCTCTGCAGAACACACACACACTTTCCAGCCCAGAACACATGTATCAGGGGCGCACCATGGTGACAGACACTGAATTACTTTTGTTTGCTTCATTTTTCTCTATCTCGACTCATAAATGATGCATAGGCTGTGAAAATGCATTACTCCGCATGACACTACCCATGTATCACAAGTGGTTAAAAACATGATCATAATTTTCTATGGTGTAAGTTTTTCTCTCACAGCGTAAAACATTTGATGAACCTTTTTTTTTTACATTTACCCGCCTGGGGAGCCCCAAATTTAGCTGTCTCTCTCTCTTCTTCCTCTTCCTCTGCTGACACACCAAAGTATCCGCACAGGTGTTTTCATCTGATGGCTGCCTGGGACTATTTCTACACACAGGCATTAACAAATATTGTCAAAATGTGTCTAATGAGCAGCCACTCAGTCTCAGTCTGCTGACTCTGATCTGTTGTTTGTTCTCAGCGTGTTCGTCGTGATTGTCACACACAATGTCAAATCTGCAAGTGTACCTGACAGCTCAAAGCTTCACTCTGCTTCTTAATGTGAACACACACGTCAAACACACACAGGGATTTGTGCATGTAGGCAGTTATGTTTAGATATGAGAAAATTAGCTTGGGTGCTATCACCATCATAAACAGACATGTTGCAGTAAATAGACTTTCTGCTCATGTTTTCACTTAATAATAAAAACGGGAAGCTGAAACAAGTCTAATAAAGTTTTTTTTTACTCCAGTTTGGTGTGAAAGCAGAGATTACAAGGATGCAGGTTGATGCAGATTTGCCTTAAAAGCACTTTTATGATTATCCATCCAGTATCATGATTGGATAATTATATTGAATAACAACAAAACTGATTTTCTGGCCAAACATTTGTGACGATCTGCAGAAAAATGGCTTTAAGGCACACGCAGCAAACAATTCTATAAATATGCAAATGTAAGTAATTGAGAGTCTGAGTTTATTTACTGTTGGAGGCTTTCTCTTTCATGCTTGAAGCGGCGGGCAAACCTCTATACTGACCAAAGTGTGTGTGTACCTTGTTTGTATGTGTTCCCGAGTGAATGAGGAGACTAAGACAAAGAGAGAAGGGGGTGGGGGGTGCACAAAAAGAGTGAATAAGGGAGAGAGAATAGAAGAGATAGATCAACAGAGAAAAGAAAAAGGAGTGGTTGACAGATTAATTTTCTTATTTTGTTTTCGGCTGTTTTGGGGGTTATATTTTTGATCATCTGGGACTACTGTCCCAACTTTTATGCCAATAAAGCTTAATCAAACTGAATGTGGAAACTGGTTAAGGTCATATTTAGGGATGCACCGATACGATATTTGCTATCCGTATCAGTCCCGATACTGAAGATAATTCTAGATCGGGTATCACAACAATGGGCCTGATGCATAGCGGCCGATCTATTCAGTCTAACTCTACACTATGCGCTGTGAGTGGCATACACAAGTAAACAGCTGAGCGGATGCCCACATTGTTTTCAAAATGGAGCGAGCAAATGGGTCTGTTATCTTGAACTTTGTCAATACCGCAGCCTACAAGCTCAACGGCCACTTGAAATACCTGCACAGTAAACGTTCCGAGGGGCAGTGGTAAAACTTCAGGTCACAACAAAAGGTAATTCAGCACGGCTTTTCTGTATCAGATTGGATCGGTATTGACCGATACTAAACTGTATATATCTGTATCGGAGGTTAAAAAAGCAGATCAGTGCATCCCTGGTCATATTAAACATGCTTCATTAAAGGTGGAAACCCAAAGATGAATCTGTGCTCAAAATTCTCGCCATAAATCCACAGTATGTCATGATTGAGTACTTCACAACATTGTGGTCAGAATATCATAACATCTGACCCTCTTCTTTCTGGTCTAGTAGCTAGTTTAATGGAAATCTACTGGTCTGTCACTCCAACCACTCGAGTCTGAGATCCTTGTTTAACTAAATTACAGACATTCATGGTCCCCAGAGGATGAAGCCTCATGATTTTGGTGAGTCCCTGACTTTGATTGAGCTCCTCCATGAGGTTCACATTTGGAAACTGTTGCACTGAGTGCCATAAAACTTGGTACAGACACACATTCATGCTCTCTTTGGTGTGAATTGTGATTATTTTTTCAACACTGGGTCAAAATTTAAACTCCTACTCTGTGGTTTGTCATCAAGTCTTTGCAGAGTGTCTGGCATACGACACTGCCTCAGCTGTACTTGGTGTTAATTAACAAATAATAGTATGTTTATATGGTCGACTAAGTGAGCTGTGAGAGTCTTTTAGTTTGGAGAATCTACAGAGGAATACAGAAAAGATGTGAGTCTATAATATGACTGCACACACATAATATACTGCATATATAGATAGATATATATCTCAGTTGTTGGGTCGTACATCAAGAGGCTGTACAAAGTATTTGAGCAGTTTGGAGGAGGGCTGTTCAGCATCGAGAATGAAATGCCTGGCACCGCTGAAACATATGGGATGAATTATCCGTACAACACTGAGGAGGAGAAAAAGAGAGAGAGATAGAGACAAGAAGAATATTTCCACCAAATGTTTAACTCAATAATTGAACGTTGCCTTTTATTTTGCAGTTTTCGGCCTTTGAAGCCGCTCTGTTCCATGCCATCACCAAGCTGATGGAAGTGTAATGAAGTGTGGAGGAACAGTGCCAACTTCAGCAGGAATGCCTGTGGTTCTGCCTTCCAGCCCGGCGCTAACAACACAGCAGACAAACGGTGCAGATGAAAACCAACTGAGGAGCCGAAATCATTTTTAACACAGAGACACGCTCCCTGTGCGTCACATAATCTCCTCCACCAAGGGGTGTGTGTGTTCGCTACGGGGGTCCATTAATAAAATATGACTGTATCATATAATAGACTCGTCTGCCAAATTACAGGAGACAGAGAGACAGCTTATTAGGAGGATTGAGGGGGAGGTGTGTGTGTGTGAGAGAGAAAGAGAGAGTGTGTATGTGTGTGAAAGATGGAGCCTGAATAGAGAGATTAAGTGGCCTACTCTCATCAAAAAGGCACATTACCTAAGTGTTGGCATCATTAATGAGACTAAGGCAGAGCCAATCTGCTAACAAAGGCTCTAACTGTGACCGAGCAGACATGAGAGGGTTGGACAATTACTTTCTACTACAGCGCTCAGGAAATTTTCCCTTTCAATTTTTTTCCTTTTTTTTTTCATCCCACCAGCACACAAATATAATCCTATAATACGCTCACCTTTTTATTTATATATACAGGCAGGCACATTTCTAACATGCTCATGCACACACACACACACACACACACACACACAGACAGAATTCACACTCACACACATTAAACACAGCACAGCTCTAAATCCAAATCAAACTGCCATGAGTCACACTGTCACCGTGGCAACAGTGGCCAGCTCCATGCAGAACACATTGTGTTATATCTGTGGTGGGGATTTTTTTTTCCTATGCAGCACACAAAGACATAGACATGACCAACTTTCAGCTACAATAATTCCTGCACTGATCTTTCCAGTGAAGCTATGAATAAAGCACCGAGCTGTACAGGTTTGACTGTCTAAAAGGTCAAAGTTCACATTTTTATCATTCAATTTTCTTTTTTCTTCATCTTCAACTGGAAACCTGCATCCATGTACCTGTTAAATTTGCTACTTCTCCTGCAGTGAGTGATCATGCTCTCTGTCTTGTGGATGTGACAGCAGGAATTTTTTGTTTCTAAGAGGTTTGAGACGCACTCATACTTTTCACCACCAGATGGTGTCTACAAACACTGCCATCACTATGCAGAGGGAGAAAAATAGGAAAGGAGGAGTGAGAGGAGGGGATGTGCTTAGATGTTGCCTGCTCCATCCATCTTCATAAACACAAGCAATAGTCACCCTCTGAAAACAGCGACAAAGATGAATTGTGGGGATGCTTGGTTAGATGGCAGGCTTCCTGGTTAGTTGGCTGGACTGCAGGACTATCTGTTGTAAATTTATGGCTCTGTCTAATGTGTTTGTGGTCTGTGTGGTTGTGGACGTGCCTCAAACAGTCACTGATATTCACTGGCACACACTCGGGCATCCTGTTGCAAATTTTAATTAAGACTTGGATGAAATTGTAAATACATAGTGACAATACTGGTTTAAAATTGTAACAGGGAAAAAAAATCACTAGAGGCTATGGAGTTAATTTAATATTTTACATACTGAGAGACACTCGATTTACATTTCTATCCAAAGAAGTTGCTGGTCTTTCTCCAAATAACAATTATGGAGAACTGAACCTGCAGAGTTTGGAAGCAGGCCATGCTGTATGCTGCAGTGAAACATTAACTTATGAATACTTATAAAGTTGGTTGGTAATGGGACAAAGAATCAGTAACTCAAGACCCACTTAGTGTATTATACCCTCATTCAAAGCTCTACTTAAATACACACCAGCAACACCGGAATATTTTAGGTATGCAGCTTGCGGATTTTGGCCTGTTACTATATTGGAGTTTTACACCTTTACCTGGGCATAGTCTGTAGTGTTTCCAGGAATGCTGCCTCCTGTTGGCTGTTATGATCGACCACAAAAAAGATGGAGCCAAAAAATGATGAAGCCAAAAGATTTGGGCCTCCCCCATCTGACATGGCCATAAACTTAACACATGAAATTTATTTTGCCTATTGAGAAACATAACTTTTACATATTGCCTGCAGTGTAACATTTAAAGTTCAGGCTTGAAGGCCTGCTCAGATATTTTTTATTGAATTTTTAATGAAGTATAATAAAAAGATGAACATACAAGAATAAAATAAAATAAAATAAAGAATTGAATACAGACGGGTCTGAATAAACCAGTAAGTATGAAATGTGAGCAGATTTTCTGTTTGATGAGCTAATTTAAGAGAACTACTCACCAAGTAAAAGGTTCTCTCTCCTGCTTCTCTGCTGTCTGCATGTCAAAGCTTTGCAGGGAAAAAAAGCTGACACACAAACCAATGTTCACTGTTTGAATTCCCCAAAAGTGATCACAGGTAGCCTGAAAAAAAAAAAAAAGAGATAAACTGACTGTAAAACCTGAAATCCAGCCAACATTGAATGCTGCTCTATCTTCGGGCATCTTTACCTTGATAAGGAAATGTCTTGTGACAAGGAACTGAACCCACAACTGTTGACCAAACAAATGTTAATATAATGCTCTTTGGTCCCCTAGTTGTCATACACCACTTAAAAATGGTCGTCATTTGATGGAAAATGCTGCCCTTAAATATATGTGTGTACATATTGTCAGGTTACCTTAAACTCCACATATGGAGGAAAAGGATCCTCCTTTACTCTTGGAGCACTTTCCTTACAGGGGAAATTTTTTTTAGTTTCCAAATTGTAAACCAGCTTACCACAAATTTTATAAGCCATGTCGTCTCCCTACATGCAGGATCCTTAAACACTATATTTTCATTGTGGTCTGTATCTCCATACATCATATCGTCACAGATTCAATTCTAAATATACTCATTTTATTTATATGCAACTCTGTGTGCAGAAATTGTGTTGCCATGTATAGATGTCTTGTGACACAAGGTTAATAATACTTTGCAATAATATACGTTGCTAGACAGTTTGCACATTATTAGGACTACACTAGCAGTAACAAATGTTTACATGCAGTTTGATCACACTGCATCTTTTGTCCTGCATGGAGGCAAACGCTGTTGATCAGATGTAGAGAGCTGTACATTTACATTTATATGAAAAATGTGGCCAAGTCATTAGATGAAATGTTCAAAGTTTGTACATTTATGACAAACTTACCTGTTGATTGCTGATTCATGCTGCCATTCAGAGTAAAATAGTGATGTGTCTGCTGAACATGACCATTCTGATTATCTTTCATCCTGTCGTCTGAAAGTGTTGTGTATATCTCTTTTAAGAGCCGCTCTGGCTCACAGTACATCCTTCACGCAGGATGTGTTTTTCTGTGCTGTTTTATGGTGATCACAGCCCTGGCGATCCATCCCATCCTCTCTCTGGTGCTGAAGGTAGAGTGGGGCCATGTCGTCTCATTTACAGGCATCAGCAGAGAGTGATTTGGGTGCAGCCTTTCTGCAGCCCTGACTTCCATCAGAAGGATTTTTTTTCCAGAATAACACTGGGGATGCCAACAGTTCCATCAGCACCACTCGGTACACTGAGACACATTTGGGCAGCTCACCCTGCAACCATGGTAACAGAAGAATTTTACTAGTTGGCAGCAGCCAATAGTGGGGCACTTCCCACTCAGATCTGTCCAATGAGAGAGCAGCCTGCAGCCCAGCCCACCTTGAACTGACACTGATGGGCTAGTGCAGGCAGGATTTAGAGATGTAGGCTTGGCTAATGAACAAGTACGAGTAAGAGTGTGTAGGTATGTGTGTGTGTGTGTGTGATAGTGTGTGAGTGTGAATGAGTGAGGCTGTGGCATAATCTGATGAAAGGATTCCCTCTCTTTTGACCGCAATGAGCGAACACATAGTGGAGCAGTACTCATCCGCTGAGACCTACTGACATCCAACAGCCAACAGTGCAGCGAACCCTTCTGTAATTTAGCTCCCACACATTCATATGCAAGCTGCACATGCTTTAACACACACACACACACACAGTCAAAGCCAGCCTGAAGAATTTGAGCTTTTAAATTAGCCATGTCTGCATGTGACCAGGCTGTTTTTACACGTTTATATTGATTTTTCACACCAAGAAGAGAAAATAGATGCCACTATAAGCTGTCAATAAAGTCATTTATTATTTCACACAATGGATAACATGAACAACTTCAACTGTAGATCTTTTTAATAAGTGCTCAATGCTGCCAGCCAACAGAAGGGTAGCAAAAGAATGAGCTTTTGTCTCTGAGGAAAGAGAAATTAAAAAAACGAAACAAAACAAAAGCAAACAAAAAGAACCTACAATGATCATGAGAGATAAACATGACCAAAAGCATGCCAGGGACATGGATATACATATATATTGCATGTATATATGTGCTTAAGACATATATCTGTATGCCAGCAAATGCAAATACAAAATATATGTGTACAATTACACATACATACTGTGAAGGATATATGCATATGCATGCGCATCTAGTATTTACTTCTATATGTCAAATATTTGCAGTTTTTAATATTCATACAATGTACAAAAATGCTTCATGAATTAAAAAATTCATTACAAAAAGAAACATATCAAACAATGTACAAGTCTTGCTCCAAATTCAATTGAAATTCAACTTTTCGGCTTGTCTAAAATATTTATGCATACAATCAAGTTGAGCATGCAAATAAAGGAAACCCACTCTAGAAAAAGGTTCAAATACACTATGTATACAAACTAAAATATGCCCACACTGTTAGAAGAGCTCACTTTGTGCTCTGAAGAAGAACATTTATTGGTTTTCTCAATGCCTTATCTGCACTTTCAGCTTTGAATAACATTATAGCTTAGAACTGTAACATATGCTGTGAGGATGACAACATGTACATTAATGAGGCTCTGTCTCATGTGACCCCTCACTCCATGTGTAGCACACCCATCACAGTATGCTACAGAGGGAATGGGGGGGTGGGGGGTCAGAAATATTCTCTGTGCCGATGTATTCCGCGCTAGTTATTGTTAAATGTGGACCACAGTTAATAAACCCCAAACACTGATATCAGGTCAAACACTGCTGCGCTGCCCTTGATGCTGAGACCAAAGGCAACATAAAAGACCCAAACATCAGTGCTTGAGGCCTCCTGCTGCCACTGGTCCAGATTAGCTGCTAAACGAAGTAAACCAAGAGGAATCTTGGACCCCCATCGCAACCACATCCCCTCTGCAGCCTCTGTGTAGAGTGAAAGCTCTGGATTAGGACAATACTTGTCAGTGTTAGAAGGCACCGGAGCATTGGCTGGTAGGAGACACAGACAGGACAGACAACACCTGGGGTCTTTAACTCTTACACCAGAGACCGCTGTCTGACCACAGTATGGAGGAGTAAGCTGCCAAGCATGTAGTCTCTACACTTTAAGAACCACATGTCTAGACCTCATCTTCACCACCACAGACTGCAGACCCGATGAAAGTTATCTAGCTAAACAAGGTTAGGCACACTAACATTAGGATGAATGTATTTTTGGCTATTTCCTCTGAGAGCTTACACACAACCTTCTTGCTTACTCTTTATGCTACTGCACTGCCCCAATTGGCTGCAGGCAAAAAAAGCTGCATGTCAGTAGGGATTCCTATTTTTGGTCAGGTACACTACAGTGGGGTTTTTATCCTTCAACAACTTTTAACGGCGTGAAGGTAAATCCTTTTAGCATTTTGTGTAATTTCAGGGATGAAGCCATGATGGTCAGTGTACAGCCGAAATTTGCTAAATAAAAAAAAAAAACAATTAGTGTAAAAAAAAATCCTCAATGTTTTTGATCGTAAGCAGTCTTATTTTGGGAAGAAGGTCCACTGTGGTTTACGGAGACAGTCCCAGATAGCAGAGCCCAACTGGTATCCATGCAGGATGGACATACTAACACTATTTACAACAAACACGTCAATACTGTAGGTTTACATCTGGTTAAGGCTGTACTGCAAAGTACTGCAGTAACTATAGTTTTCATGAAATGATAGTCACTTTCTGCACAACTTATTACAAATTATTACTGGTATTATTCACAATTCGAGTTACATGAATTCATTTTCTTCAGTAAATAAGACCACTTATTTCTCTTTGTCAAAGGGTGGACCCAGAACAGAAATTCCTTTTAAGGTCATTGCCAGGCACGGCCTGATGCATAGCAAACAACAATGTACGAGAATGTGGTTTTAATGGCAACCTCCTCTGCCCCTTCTCTGAATACCAGTTGTATGTTGTAAATAACTGGTGAAGAACTGGTCGGCCATAATGATCTTCAGCTGTATCTGGGACATAGAGTACTATCAATATCTCTGGATGGAAACACATGCGATATGGTTGACCTTTCTGTCTCCAGAGCTACTGTAGGGCAGTACAGAGGCCAGCGCATGCGTGTGTTCTTTAGTTTCATCCGTTAGTATCCGTCGGTCCAGCCCTTCTAGTTGTGTTTAAGTGACATCGGCCAGAATCTTGGGACACAAGGAGACAGACGAGGTGCCAGGTGACAGAGGATGCTGACTATGGAAGCTTTGAATGGACACAGGAAAGTGTCAGGGCTCTGATGACTAAGACACATGATTCATATGCACAATCATGAATATTTGGGGTCAATTTCTGGGGCACTCTTTGCCACGCGGTATCTCTCGGGTCAAATGTAATTGGTGTGAGAAAGAAACATAAGGCACAAGTTGAACTGCTGCAACTGAGAATCCCACCCGAGCCAAAGAAGACAGTCTCCTGAAACAAAACAAAGTTGCCAAACAAACACTGATCCATTGCTTATATTCTGAATACTTATTTGAGAAACAATACCAACCACTATGCAAAGCCACATACATTGTAGAGTTTAACGAAGGCTTAACATATTGACACGAATATTCAAGATGGCTACATTCTAGAGTGCACACAGGAATGCTTACTTTAGTGCCAACATGATGGAGAGTTTGTCAAACTCTGATTTATTCTTTTAAATAATACATCCTTACATTGAATACTGAGACTTTGGTTTCTAAATCTAAATACTGGATTTAATTAAAAAGAAAAAAAAAAACTTCCAAGAATATGGATTAAAAATCATGTAAAGTAGAAAGTATGGGATTCACTTTTTAAAACACTGTTTGTGAGCCCTCTTCAACTGAACTGTCCAATCAGGATTCAGACCTGGGCTTCGGTTTGACGCTTTTGGCTGCGCAGCCTGCATATACAAATTGATTAAAATAATGCATGCTCTCTGGAATGGGTATCCACACCATCGAAGGCCAAAACATAAGGCTGGAACAAGCATGTAAGTGCTGCATTTGATTGATGCAAGTGTATGTTTTTTTTCATAGTGCATTAAACCAATTTTAAGGTTTACCAAAATCACACCTGATTTTCCTCCTGTATGCAATGCCCCCTGGTTATACACACAATAATGAGGATATGAATGATTATATGCAGTTCTTTCTGTCTGAAAACAAACTTGTCTTGAGTCGCACCCATGTCTGTTTTTGGTTATAAAACAATACACAACTTTCATTGTCTATTGTACAACATTTCTATTCGATATACTGTGTGCCAGTACATCTCTACGAGCTGGTTTCTCACTGAACAAGCAGGCAACAGTGGACTTTGTTTCTATGTACAGTCTGGGACATTTTTTATCCACCATATTGCCTTGATGTCACCACTCAGGACAGGCCTGAGCAGGGAGGGAGAATAAATGAGATGAGAGGAGGGGGCGCAGAAGCCGTGGGAGATGTAAAATATGATAAGGAGAAGACGAGAGGGGATGAAGTTGAGCGGAACACACCAAGGTTGGGATTAGTATCGAGAAGGGAGGGGATCAAGAGTGAGGAGTTTCCAGAAAATATTGGTTGCTCCTACTCCGAGAGGGAAGAGTAAAACACGAAGGTACAAATAGGGAAAGGAGTCGAGAACAGGGAGAAGTAATGGGGTAAGGTGGCTTATTTACTGCAGTTTCATCTCAAATGTCTTTGACAAGCTTCCTCAAAAAGGCAAAAATAAGAAGAGCTGCACAGTTTAATATTAACCATCCCCCCTCCCCTTGCTGGTAAATATATGGCTAAAGCCACATTCAGATACAGTTTCATAAAGTACCATACACGTCACTGTATCAGATACATAAAGAATCACATAGTATCCTAAACTATCATAAGTACCACACACTTTATAGCATCAGATTCGGTATCAAATAGTACCATATAGTGCCATTGTAAATGAAGGTCCAATGAATCCTTGAAAGGCTCATGTCTGGTTTAACAAACAGAGGGAGGACACAGGAGGTGCTCTCTCCTCCTGCTCCTTCGCTGTAATCCTCACAGATCAGAGAGCAGAAACAAGTCAAAGTGCACCGAGGAGTCCAAGATTTAAGGGGCACTGCATCTGGTAGGCTTGATACAGCGCAGACTCCATCACAGTTCTCCTTCAGCAACAGAGTCCCTCTCTCCTGCGCGCCTATAGACTGGAGGGAGCCCATAACTCGTCCCTGCTGTGGCCGCGGCCTCTGCGTTTCCCAGCTTTGGCTGGAGGAGGCACAGATCTCGCCTGATGCACCACAGTTTCAATAGTTGCTGAGATGGAGTCGTGGTTTGAGAACTCCAGAGGCGCAGGGATCAAGCTGGGCCTAAGGCTCTGCCTACCTGGCAGGTCATCACACCTCTCCAAGACCGGCATCCCCAGAGTCCTAGCATCACCTCTCCGACCAACCAACATGTCCAAACCCAGACCATCAGCCTGATTTTCCTCTCTCCTGACAGTCAGCTCTGGTTCCCCCATGGGCTGTTTCCTGGGCCGTCCGGGCCGTCTTTTGATGACGTTGTTTCCTGTTTTGGCTTGTCGCTGCAGGCGCTTGGCACGGAGGATCTTCTGCACATGCTCAAAGTTCAAAGAATGCATCCTCCTCACGTCCTTCTGGATCTGCTCCACCTCGCGTCGCTTGTACCTCCGCTTACCGGGAACACCTGGTGGAGAAGAGAGTGAGCATGAGTGAGATGAGACATCTTACGAGAGTAAAAAAGAGAAAGGGCTATTTAAAGAGCCAAGAGAGATTTCTTTCTTTCTAGTGTCAAAATGAGCAGCCTTAGAGAGGCCAGGAAAGACATCTTGCCAGTTTAGCTTATGGGGGAGAATGTCTTTTTTTGCTACAAGAGCTTCCTGCTAATTTTGACATATTCATGTAAGCCTTTGAAAGCCCAGCTGAGCCAGGAGAGCAGATCCTATCCTGTAATTGTCTACTAGAGAGCAGAGAAGAGAGAGTAGAGAGGAGGAGATCCCATTCTGCGAGCAGGAAACCCACAGAAATGTCTCCTTCAACCATTTAATATGTCGCCACACAATAACAACCCTGTGCATCTGGAGCGCAGGCTGCCAAAAAGCCAAACACACACAAATACAAACACACATATTGACACATTTACCCACATGTACACAAATACACAGACACAAATACAGAGATACAGCATGTGCAGTTCCGCACACATGCACAACATGCACAAATAATGAATCCAGCAGTTCAGAATGTCTGAGCAGAAGAAACCGGGGCCATATTGTTCCCTTCACACTGGTGAACTGGGCAGTGTGCCCTTTACATGCTATTCTATCATTCCTCTTTCCTCCTTTCTCCATCACTCTCTGTCTCTTTTCCTCTCCATTCTTCTGCAACATGCTCCTCTCTGATTTTCAATTAAACTGGTAACACAGCGCTACTTCATTTCCGTCTCCATATCAGAAACCACTTCCTGGTCTCAGTCGGTCTCTGTTATTCTTTTTGTTTCCCATCTCTGCCCCCATTTCTTACCCCTCCTCCTCTGCCTGGGCACTGTTCCCGAGGCTCAGACGGAGCCACAGCCAAAATGGAGGAAAAGCACAATCAGACACCAGTCCCCAAGCAGTGTGCGTACAACATGTTGGATTTGGTTTTCTTGAGATATTACTCCTATCACTCCATTTCCAAACCGTTTATTTCCAAACCTGCTGATACTCTGCAGCAGGTGCTTGAACAGTGGACTGCTTTTCACCAAATTGGCTCTGAATTTTACATAACAAATATGCCAGGCAGGATTGCAGATTAATTTTTAAAAGCCTGTGCACTTGCTGTGAGATTATTTTCTTTGTTTCATAAAACATTGCTGCCCTGGTTAGGATAGTTCATTTTTGTTTTAGTCAGGCTCATAAGAGATTTAACAAGGCTTGAGACAAACAGACAGTAAATATATTTGCAATTTTGTCTGTTACTCTGTTTTTTAGCTCTGAAAAAAGGAAATGTTAAACAGAAAACTCAAACTTCAGAGTGTAATGCTCAGTGGGATCGTTTTTGTTAACGTCTCGACAACAAGGAAAGGCCTTCGCACCCTTGAGTTAAATCTCAGCTGAACATCTCTATTGTTGCTCAAGTATTCTGTGCAGACAGTGAAATTAGTCTAATGCAGAAAGCACTAAGTAGCAGTAGTTTATGAGCTGCACCGAAATGTGCACACGCTCGGTTCTCATTCACTCAAACACACATACACAAACACACACACAAGCACACTACAAAGTAGCAGAAATTTATGAGCTGCATACACGGAACATAAAACCGGTGACCTTCAGCAGTGTGAGGGGCCGTATAGCACTGAGGACCTGTTTCTCTGTGGAGCAGGAAGCCACAACTACACACAGATACATGCTCTAATGTCTGCTGGTCCTGTAGTGACCAATACCAGGTTTAAGACAGGACACGGTGATCTGTGATGTACCCTGTTCTGCTTCGGTGAGGATATTCATGAGACCTAAAGACGTTTATTTTTAGTGAAAAATATTTGTGTGCTTGTCTGACCTGCAGATTGGTAAAATAATGAAGTCTGAAAACACACAAACACACAAATAATTGAAAAGTGGAAAGTCTATCAGCTCACTCTATGACAAAATTTTCTTTAGACTAACAGATAAATCCTCCATGATAAAAAGAAATTTTTCATCTGTACAACAACTGATGGAAATGTATCTACTGTGTGTGTGCGTGTGTGTGCATGTGGTTGTGCTGCATTTATGTGCATGCACATGCATCTGTGCTTTAATTGGGCTAAAGCTGTGAAGTGAGGCAGTAAGTCATGCAAAAGGAGGGGCAGAAGAAAAGAGGGATGTCAAGAGTAATAGGGGAATGAGGGGGAGGGGAAACAAGAGGGGGGAAACAGAAAGAGAAAGGGAAGTAGGAAGGAGAGACTGGGGAAGGAAGGGGGGGCAGGAAGAGGCGGAGAAACGAGGGGAAGTTGGTATGTGCATGTGGATAATGTGGGATCAAGGCAAAAAATGGAAACCAAGGGTAAGAAGTGCAGAAGCAGCAGAAAGGGGGAAAAGGTGAAGACAGGGAAGGTAGAAGAATAACAACACTGGAGGAATAACATGGATGGGGGGGTTGTGCGTAGAGTGTGGGGGAGTGTGTGTGTGTGTGTGTGTGTGTGTGTGTGTGTGTGTGGGGGGGGGGGGGGGTAGCGTGTATATGAGTCATCCGTCCTGGTTCCCCTGGGGTGGGGGTTGTATTCTAACTGAGCCCCTGGCTTCTCCTCCCTGCCACTGGACTAGGCCCCAGTCATTAAACCTCTGGCTGGCAGCCAGCTCTTTTAACACAGGCAAGGGCCTTTTACGGCGTGTCTGTAGAAAATAAATCACACTTTGTGAATAATATATCTCTGGCAAAGGCATTGGCAGGAGGGGAAGGGAGGGAGGGGAGGAAGGAGAGATTGGTGAATTATAGTTGTCTCCATCCATGCATTACGTTCTCTCTATCCCCAGCCAGATGTGCTCAAAGACAGCCGAATACAGAATGTACCAAATACACATCAGTCTGGTAGTTAGTATATGGGGCTCCACTGCTTCTTTGTCTGCTCAGAGACCTGATCATGCTGCATACAGCACATTTATAAACAGGGGCCACCTTGAGATTATGCTGCCTTGTACATTTAAAATGGTGAAATCCCTGTTAACTTTGACTAAATATGCTTTTACATTTGAAAATTTCTAGCCACACTCCAATTAGTTTCTGCTCCTGATATAACTACATTAACAGATCTGCGACCATGGTAGGTCAAGATATTACACAAACAGATTTTACCATTCTGAAACAAATGGAGTAACTTATAGTTTACTTTAAAGCGTGCACATCCAGTGTTCACTCATAGTACTGGATTTGTACATACAAGCCTTGTGGAGGCAATGTACCACGTAACCTGCAGTCAAACCGGGGAGTCAAAAGAAAGCCATACATTAAGAACACTACTTATGCTGAGGAGTTGTTTTTTATGAGTCACTTTTAGTTTTAGTTTTGTTTCTCGATCACACTGTTGTTTTTCAGTTCCTCAAAGAGTTAGTTTGCCTCGATTGTACGATCGGATCACCTTGCAATCGGAGTAGTAGTTAATTTCAGTGCTGAAATTGAATGTTTGAATGTTTTGTTAGGTAAAGGTAAGTAAGCACCAGGTGGTTACTGCAGTTTAGGCCAACCTTAAAAAAACACCACAAAAGTCAAGGAAAGAAATGATCTGAATAGAAACATTCTGCTGTGCTGGGTTCTGACATTACAGGGACAGTGATATAAATTATTTTCACAAAAAGGAACATGTCATTCTGACACTTGTGATTCTTACCCGTGAGGGAGGGACTGGAGCACTTGTCAATTTGTCCTGGCTTCTGCCGAGCAGTTTGGAATGCCAGTAGGCCCTGATCGCCAAACACAGTGAGCCTCGTCTTCCTGCTTCTCCCACTGCAATTGTCCTCGTGTGACCCTGTAATGAGGTCAGATGCAGACTCTGATCGCTGCAATTGGCTGTTGAAGCTGCTCGTGAAGCTGTTAATTGGCTGTCGAGTCTGACGGGAATGGAACTGGCTATCAGCAAGAGAGTGAGTGGACAGCTGGTCTGATTCAAACATCCCCAAGCTGGATCCCAGGCCTGAGGCTCTCCCGCTGCTCCTCTGCTTCTCCAGATTCTTTGAGGAGCTCTGATTGGTCAGGTCTCTCCTGTCACTCAGCATGCTGAGGCGTGCATTTGTCTTGGCTCCGCTGAAGAGCCCGCCCAACTCCTGGCGATCTCGCAGTGAAAGAAGGGGTTCATCCTTGTGCTTGTGTTTGTGCTTGTGCTTCCTTTTGTGGAGGCGAACCCCTGCAAGACTTCCTGCGTTGCCACTTCCCAGGGAGCCGAGGCCCTCTCTTACTGAGGGCCCCTGGAGGGGGGCACTGGTGCTGCGCAGCTTGGCGCCCGGCTGGAGCTTTGGGTGTCCGCTTGAGTGGAAAGCCTTGGGTGGGGGGACTGCTGGCCTCATGAAGGGAGATGGAGGTGCAGGGCCCAGTGAGTGATGGGGCAGGTAAAACGGAGGAGGAGGGGGGAAGTAGCCCAGACTCAGATGAGGTGCGTAAGGCATCGCATACGGTGCTGCATAGTAATTTCCCCCGGCCAGCGGATAACCGTATCCTTGAACGAAAGGCAGCTTGGACGTGATTGGCTCGCTGGCTTTGGCCGGGCGGCCACGTCTCCTCTTCGCCTTCAGATCAGCACTTCTGCGGAGATACGAGCTGGATTCACAGGAGTACGAGTCGTAGGTAACAGGGTAGTAATGATGGAAGTTGAGGCGGAAAATTGATGGGTATGGGTGCTGGGGGTAACACGTGAATCGTCTGTGAGACACTCGTAGCTGCTGGAGCTTCAACACGACCTAAAGGAAGGTAGAGAAGAAGAAATATTTAGAGAAAGACACCAAACACACTGACAGACTGTAACACAGAGATTTCAAGATTATTTCTCTGACCTCTTCCAGTTCAGAAAGAAAGTGAAGATGATCCCGACTTTGTAGGCACTTTCTCTTCCTTCGATGGTGTTTTTGCTTCTTTTCCTGCTGTGACAAGAAGTTGTCTACCGCAGTTACTTGGCGATCACAGCGAGTTCTGCTGGTTCTGTTGGATGCCTCTAAGGCTGCTGCCTCGGTGGCCTCATACCCACAAAGGTCAAAGGAGTACCTGTTTGAGCACAACATATCATCACTTTCACATCACCACGAGTGTATGCACCTTTAAAAAAATCAACAAATAAAATATCTTATCTACGTAATGTCTAAAAGGTGAATAAATCATGTAGCGCACCTGCGTCTGGAGGCGGGGCCTTTCTCAGTTTGGTCGGAGGTGCTGTTGTTGTCTGTTCCAATCCCGCTGTCACTGGGAATAGTCTCCTCACTGTGAGACTCGCTAATGGGGGACAGTGTTGCCTCTTTCACCGATGCGCCCTCTGACAAGTGGGAGGGGGAATTAGCCAGAAGGCGTGGAGGAGACAGCTTCCATCCTCCAGAGAGGAAGCCTCTGCTGGGCGGCTTGGAGGGCAGGGCTGAGATGGGCTGCAGACTAGGCATAGTGGCGTCAGAGTGGCTGGCTCTTAAGGATGGTGCAACAGAGCTGGGAGACAAGGTGGAGGAAGGCACTGCAGGGCTCTCATAGAGACCAGAAGTGGAAACGGACATCAGCGGCTTGTCTTTAGTGGTTTTGGAAGGGATGGAACCTTGGGTTTCTGCTCTTGGTTTACGCCCTCTCTTCTTCCCGATGTAGATGGTTCCTCTTTTACTAACATTTATCTGTTTTCCCAGGCGTGCCTCTATAGTAGACGCCATGGCGCTCATCGCTGAGGTTACTGGGGCAGAGGATGACTTGAGCGCCAGTGTGCCATTCTGATTGGAGCCTGAAAGGATCTCATTCAGGATGCTCTGCATTTTCCCCAGCTTCATCTTGTTCACTGGTCTAGAAAAACCCCTGCCACGCTTTAGCTTCAGACCGGCAGAGTTGACGCTGGTAGTCTGTACTAGCGTGTTTAGAGCGTGTGTCTTTCTACGTCGGATTAGCCCTGCAGAGGTCTCCTGTGCCAGCGGGCTTGGAGGTGATGTTGAGGTGCCCTCGTGGATGGTCTCCACGGTGAGAAGTGGCTGTTTCTTGGGGCGTCCTCGTTTCCTCTTGATGGGTGTGTGGACTGTCAGGCTATCGGTGTTGGTGTAGAGGGGGCTGGAAGGGGTAATGGGGAAGGCTGAGGGTGGGTCAGCTAAGGTAGAGGGGCTAGCCCTGATGTCTCTCTGGGGTGGCGTGAGACTAGCATGGCTTTTCACTTTCAGGTAGGACCACCTATCCTTGGTTTTGCTTTGTCTAGAGCTGGCTGTAGAGCTGGTGCTGTGGCTAGGACTTGGACTCAGGGCAGCTCGGGGTCTAGGACTTGGACTTGGACTGGGGCTAATGTTGAGTCTGGGTTTAGGACTTGGGATGGGGCTGATGCTACTCCTTGGACTTGGGCTGGGGTTTGGACTTGGAAGTCTGGGGTTTATGTTGAGGATGGGTTTGCTGATGTGATTATGGGTTGGTTCTCTGTGTTTATGGGCCTCTGTGCTGATCTTAGGACGACCAGTGGGGTTCTTCTTCACCCTGTTTGACTCAGAGTCGGTCCCGGTTGTGACCACCTCACCTCTCTCTGGCCTGTCCACCCTCTCTCCCTTTTCTCTTTTGTCACCTTTATCGCCTCTCTCTATCCGTTCTCTGCTGACATCAGCCTGACTTATGAGCCGAGAATCATTTTTGTAAGTCTCCGTCTTGTGTGCTACTTTGGGTTCTGGCGGCCCAGGCTGGTGCTTCTCTATACTCTCCTGTCGCTGCTGTGATTGCTCCTCTCCAGAAAACGGCTCGTCGAATGAAGGCCTTCTCCTCCTCTTCCTTCCTTTCCCTTCCTCTGACAGCATGGGCATCCCTCTTTCTTCTTCCTCTCCTTTCCTCCCAGCATTTGCTCGCTCTCTGTCCTCTTTCCTCCTGTCCTCTCTTTCCTCATGGAAGCGCTCAGCCGTCTCCTCCTGCCTGTACTTCTGTCTCTCTTCTGAATCAGTCGGGCTCTCCGATCCTTTCTCTGCCTGTCGTCCCCAAGGTGTTTCAGCGTTGTGGGGATTACTGAGCATCCTCTGGGAGTCCTTCCTGCCGTACTTCCTCTTGATGTTCCCAAAGAGCTGCTCACTGACCTCCTGCAAGCCCCTCCCCCTGGAGACAAGTAAACAGAGGAGAAATAATGACACATGAAATTAGTGGAGAGAGATTGACCAACTCTCGAAACTCTGAATAACGCGCTTTCTTCAGTTTTCAATCAACTGTTAAAAAACATTATTTACATGTGTATAAACATGAATATCACAGATGCACAATATTATTAACACAACATACAAGTGCAATAAGTTAATAACTGGTATGAGCAGATTTAGGAATATTTCTGCCAGTATGGTGACTTCTTATGTACGTATGGTGCGAGACCACGAACACGTTTCAACATGTGGTCTATATGAAAGTGTTTTTGAGACCCTGGAGCAGATAATGACATAGCTATTTGCAAAGCTTGTGAGGCACACGTGTTGAGGGCGGAGCGAAACACTGGAAATGTCACTGTGCATCTCAAGAACTGTCATCTTGATATGGGTCCATGTATCTAGTATCGGTTTCTGTTGGTAGATGAAACCCTAATGAAACCAACCCACCAAAAGAGTGCATCCATCACCTATTTTAGGAAATCTTGTTCATCTTGTTTTATGTCTGTTTCTAAAATAATTAGACAGTCAAAATGAGGGTAAAAGACCAATAATCTTAGATCCCTATTAATATTAACATCCTGAAGTCTTTCTTTCTCTTGAATTTGCATTTTTGCATCACTTTCTCACTTTCATGTTTCATCTTTCTATGTGTTTTTCACATAGTGGATGTCAAGTGTGCAGTTTTTGTTCTCGTGCTCACTTTCGGCCCATAAAAAGACCCATTACAGAGTAAAATGAGCCGTACCTGCTGAGAGAGGTCAGGTTGAGTATACTGGCATCTGTTACCACGGGCAGCTGCAGGTCTGGAGTCAGAGATCTCTGAGGCGAGGGGCTGTGTGTAGCTGATCGTGAGAAAGACTGGCCCAGTTCTCTGGATGTCTGTGAATCTGCAGGATTGGTTGGGGAAGCAGAAGGTGCTGTAGACGTGATCCAGTCTGGATTGATTTGGTGTTGGTGGAACTGAGGCGCGTGGGCGTGCTGTGTTTGCTGTGTGTGTGAGAGTGTGTGCGCGGGAAGGAGGGAGCTGCGGAGCTGGTGTTTGGGCGGAGTGTGATCTCCCAGTAGTTGCAGCAGGCCTCCATCCTTCTGCTCAGGCATTCTGAACTGGCGCTCGTACGTCTGGAAACGAAAGAAAAGAGAAACGAAGTCTGGTTATTACACAAACTGATCACAAGACAACTTATTACAGCAGCAAGACAGACTAATGATTTAAAAATGTGATTAAAACTCTGTGCCTGCTATACTTCCTGTCTTCATAACACCAGACTATATTCAAAGAGAAAACACACGCATACGTAGCACAGCATCCAGTCCTGCATACGCCTGATTTTTGTCAGCACAAATCAAATCTCCGATGTTACAGTCTTCTCTTTTCACAGCAGGACTGAGTCTTTAAATACATCTTGTGTGCACGAGCAAACAGTGCGCCACAAACAAAAGGCTTGTTTACAGAGCAATTAAATTCCTGTGGCAAGGATGTTGCATGCTGGGAGTGCTGGGGGGGATGTAGTTTGGGTGTCTGACTGCACACAGAATTAAAAACGGTAGTCTCGCTCTGCCATGTCCCAGACTGCCCTTGACCAAATATTATTAACAACACATCATTTGATTTGATTGGAAACTTTTCGACTCTTTTTCCGGCTGCATCTAACATTATCAAACTGTTTACCCCTGGGCTCTGAACTAGACAGACTCTGAAGGGCTGCAAATTTAAAGTTAAACATTTCTCCAGTAACATTTGTTCATGTAAAACTGAAATGCTAAACAAATGTCGAGCTGTGTTACACAGTAAAACCCTGCTGGATGTATCCGTGCTGCATAATCAGTGTTCGGCTGGAAGATGAGAAATAGAGCAGCGGATGGCCTTTGTGGTTTAGCCTGTTATTAACAGACTCAGTATGACGCAACAAGACACTGTTCTGCTGCGCTGCAGGGAGATGTAACCTAACCACAGGCCTGCCTCTCAGCATATACACACAGGCAAGCAACCACACACACACTCACACACACACATGCATACAGTAGATGTACACATTTCAAAGGATTTATGAAATCCTGCCATCACAGATAGCGGAACAAAACGCTAATGTGTGACACACAGTCCGGCTACTAATTCAGCTCTAGATATGGATGAGCAACTTGCACAATGAACACATTCTTACACACACACATACAACAGGAAGTATATGATGTACAAAGACCTTATCATGCACATATTCAAAAGGAAAACTCTTCATCTTTGTACCCTGATAATGTCCTGTTCAGCCCTTAAATCATCAGCCACTTCTGCTTCCATTCAGCTCCTCTCTATTTCTATCAAATCTCTTCTTTCCCTTTTCCTCTTTGCTCTCCTGTCATTAGTCAAACACTTACACTCATTTTGCTCCTGCACAGTGGCTGCAGAAGCTATTAATCGGCCAGATGCAAGGCATGAAAAAAAACTGCACATGATGCTCAGTAACACAACTTGCGGATGAGAACGCACTTGAAAAATACAAGCAAATACTGTAAATGATTAACAAAATGCACTCACACACTTACACACTCTCAGTTTTATCCTCAACAAACAGCTACAATATCCTTTTGTGTGTGTGTGTGTGTGTGTAGAGGAGTGACTGTGCTCACGATGACACTGGAGAAGGGACCCTGTGAGTCCACGGAGGGATAACATGACAGACACCTGATACACAGCTTTCTCATTTAACCTATCCAAGAGTGCCTGCTGTTACAGGTTCAAGGAAGAGAGCGACATGAAGATCGAGCTGGTTAGATTCACACAAACACACACATATAAAATGTATCCTCCCTCTAACCACACAGCAACCACAGGGAGATAATAGAGAGATGGGGGCATGTACACCTTTCTGACTAGAGGAAGAAGAGCAAAAGAGAAGAGAGAGAGAGAGAAAAAAAGACAGGAATAGGGAGCTCACCCTCCTCTCTGGTTGTGGTTTGGCACCAGATCAGCTTTTTGTTCTTAGTTTCCGCCCTTATACCACATCCCTCTCCCCTCCTCTGTACCTCCAACACTCCATGAAGCAGTTCGAGGGAAAAATATTTTCAGTCTGATATGAACACAAGCAAATATAAATAGATGGAGGTACTCCCATGGTTTTTGTTGTCAACACAGAACAAAGAGGACTCCTTATTCTCCTTGATTTCCAGACAGTGCACGTACGGCTCCGGTCATTCCTGCAGCTTTTCCCTTGTTCATGAGATAATGATGTGAATGTTTCCCCCTCTGCATGACTGCATCAATGTCAGAAAATGTTGTTCTGATCGTGTCATGTTATGTCATGTGATAGTGCCAGTCTGGAAATCACTTCCTCTAGAGAGACAGGAAGCTCTCTCTGACCTGTTTTTTAATCTGCTTTTCAATCCAGAGTTATGATGTATTCTAAGCCCCAGTTTTTAGGGCTTTTTTTGGCCATTTTTATTAAAACTGGAGGGACAGCTGAAGAGTGACAGGAAACACAAGGATAAGAGAGTAAGGGATGAAACATAATATCCTCATCCGTGGTGTTACATTTGTTGTTAGTTTATAATATTTGATTGTTTTATTCTCTATTTAATATTTATTCTGACACATTTTTAAAGTTGTCTTCCTCCTTCTCCTCATCTTCCTGTGAATCACTTAAAGCTGCTCGTTTGTCTGAAAGGTGCTTTGTGATTAAAGTCGATAATATCACTCTGATTTGGGGCTGTAACCTCCTTGTGCTGCTGCTCGTCTGCAGCAGGGGGCAGCGCTCAAGAAATCAGCACTCTCCCTGGACTCTGACCCTCTGGAGCAGCACACAAACACCAGAGCCACAAGGCTTCGGCCTTTTCCTCTCTGTCCGTCTTCCTCGAGTCCCCGCTGATCACGCTCCGATAAGGAGAGGGGCCAACACAAACCAGAGCCACAGCATGTTCAGTCCTCAGTCTGTTTGATGCACTCTCCCTCCCTCGGGGCTCTCAGGGCTGTGTTTAGGGGTTAAGGGTCATGCTCTGTGGCTAGGTCAACAACCATTTCTAGGATGTCTTCCTCTGGGTGAGCACTGTAACAACATGAATTGGTCTCAGTCAGTCAGAGCTCTTCCGTCTCTGGAACTGGAGCAGATATAGAGCCGCACATTCCTTTCAGCCCGTGATGTAACCATCAGATAAGGTCAGAGCGCGGCAGAGGAGGTCAGGGATAATATGTGACTAAGTGCTGCAATCACCCAACTGGAAGGCACTTTGCAAATGAGTCAGCATATATTTACTGACAAATACATGAGAGAGTGTGTCTGAAAGTTACGTTCACACTCGGCGGGCTGTTAAAAGCTCTGAAATTCTTACTCCTCGCTCCTCCAGTTTGATGTGAGGGGAGGTATGTGACGGCCCCTCCTGTCCTTTCCTCTCCTGCAGCCTCTCATTTTCCACTGTTGAATAAACCTAAACTCTAACACACACACACAGACACACACTCACACAGATACACACACTAAGCACCCTGGCTGCACCATTATACTGGGAAAAGAACACCCTAAACAGGCACACCCAAATCTCACAACCCCAGCACAACACAAACACACATATACAGGACTAAACATACACACAAACTCCATGCACGCCAACACAGACACACACACACACACACACACAAACATGCTGCCCTTCAAATAGTTTTTCGCAGCCTTTTATTTGGCTGCACGCCCGGTGGTTAGAGTGTTTCATTTTTCCCTGTGTATGGAACTGGGCAGCTGTCCAGACAGACACACAAAGAGAATGAGAGGGAGAGAGAGAGAGAGAGAGAGAGAGAGAGAAATGGGGAGGGAGGAGAGGGGAGAGGACAGGAGAGGAGGGGGGTTAGTGAAAGAATGAGAGAGGGGAAGAAGAGGACCAGCAGAAAAAAAACGAGAGAGGTGCCTTTACCCTTTAAAAAACTTGTTCTCCCCAATTTCTTATGACTGATATGAACCCATCTCTCTCTCTCTCTCTCTCTCTCTCTCTCTCTCTCTCTCTCTCTCTCTCCCCTTCACACACTCTCCTTGGCTTTGACACCACACCGTCTCTCTCTGCCCCTGTGGCCTTGTGTGCTGCCCCCCCTCCCCTCCTCATCTCATCCCTCCTTTTCTTCATTTTCTTTTCTCTTTTCTGGAGCTGACCATTCTCCCCCTGTGGGAACTACCATCCTCTTCCACCACCCCACCCCACTCCACCCCCCCTTCACCCCTTCTCTCTCCAGCTCCATTCAGAGCGCTGCTTCTCTGTGATCTGGGTTTCTGACAGCTCTGCGCACACACACACACACACACACACACACACACACACACACACACACACACACACACACACACACACACACACACACACAGCTCCTCTGCAAACAAACACCATGAATACTAACACGGCTTTGTGTCCACAGCACTTAAAACGGGGAAGAAGGAGAGGGGGGTGGGGGTGCAGAGAAAAAGGAGGGAAAAGCGACAGAGGAGAAAAGAGGCACTGTGTTGATCTTGCGGCCACTCTCACAGACCCCCCCTCCCCTCCCCTCCCTCCCCTCTCTCTGCCACCCCCCCCTCCCTCCATCCCTGTTTCTCGTTCTCTCGTTCTTCCCACCAGTTCTCCCGGGAATAAAGACTTCCATTCATGCGCCCGAGGAAACCCACGGCAGGGGAGAGAAAAGAGGGAGGAGAAGAGGGGGAAGGAAAGAGGAGGAGGGGGGTGTCAAGGTGGGACAGTTTGTGGATCACTGGGATCAAGCCTTTTGCCTTAAATGTGTGTGTGTGTTTCACTTTTTTTTCTTTTCTTATATCACTCTGTGTTTGCTAGCTTTGCCAACGCTTCACTTTCTCAGTCCTGGCAGCTCCTGTGCCAGCCGAGGCATCTTCTGGGAAAGTTGGGTGGGAAAGTTTGGAAAATTGGGCCCCATTCAAAACATCCAATCTCAGACTAATGCTGCAATCCCAAAACTATGTGTTCAGCCTAAAGCCACAATTTAGCAAAACAAAAGGCCTGATTATTTGGGAAAAAACTTTCCCCTTTACTCTGTTATGTGCTCTCCTGCTTGGCATTATCGAGCATTTGATCTACAGTAGAGCACATTTATCCTTTAAGCAACAGATTTAATGCACAGCAGTAGGTGTCAAGTAAAATATTCCCTCCTACGACCACAGCAGTAATCCTGGAGATTGGAGTGCTCCTAAAGATAGCAGCAAAACACCCATGAGCCTCCTTGTCACAGTCTCCTCGGACACGCTCACGCATAGATGACTCAATTTGAACAAAAGCCTTTGATTGGCTGAACCCTGGCATGTTATTACGGTGCAATTGGAGGTTTTCACCCTCTCAGTAATGACAGACACATTTACATGCTACACAAAGTGTACGTCTAATCCCTCCTATTAGCATTAATGGTGCATGTGCAGGCATATGTGTGAATAGCGCTAAGAACCACATTAGGGGACTTTTTCAGAGTGATTATTACAGCGATTATGTCGCAATTGTTCCTTTTATGGACGTGGCCGAACCTCCAGTGACAGCTTTATGCATTTCAGTCAGCACAAAGACAATGTGCACAAGCATGGAGGCTGGCCACACACACACACATACACACAACTGCATAAAAAACACACAAATACAGGTTAGAGTGCCTCATAAATACAAATAAAGCTGTTTAATCAATGCATTTATCGTGGAATTTAAATTACACACCCATTCGTACATGTGCACAACACACCGCACAAAACCAAAGAAATGTGTTTCCCAACATACCCTGTGCACCATATGAGCTAATCGTACCACTTCAGTACAACAGGAAACAATTAACAGCCAATGAGCTGCTCTAAATCCTAAGGGATGACTTCCTGTGTGGAATGATGGGTAATTCAAGACAGAAGCTATGCCGAGATTAAACACTTCCTCTGTGGTAAACAGTGGTGTGTAACGGCCAAGCTCCACTCACTGGTAAGTTACTCAAAATTAATTGCATCATTTTCTATATACAAGGGTAATAAGACTTTACCACTTCACCTGTATGTCCCTACATGAGTAATAAAATGATGCTTTATTGCACTGGAATTATTTTTTTCTTTTTCAATTCAAACACATAAAGTCAACATTAGGGGTGGGAATCGTTAGTGGCCCCACGATACGATATTATCACGATACTTGGGCCACTGTACGATGTTACTGCGATGTTTAACATTTTGCACTACAGTGAGCATTGAGATACAATGTACTGCGATTAATACAATTTCATCAACCGTTTAGCTAATTTAGCATTTGGCTCTCCTTTATGTTCGTCTTTTTTACACAGTATTTTATTTTCATGTAGCACATCTTGCTAACCTCATATATATTTGTTGTACTAACTTTCTCCTGCTCTATGGTGTCACCTCTGCCAACCTTACTGGACACACAGTTGATTTTATATTTCCATTATCATAGATTTGACTTCATATTAGCAATTCATTTGAAAAAATCGATACTTGTTAAATTAGACGATACCATATATCACCAGACAAAATATCGGGATACTATGCTGTATCGATTTTTTCTCCCACCGCTAGTCAACATGGAGTCCCACTCACTGTGCTGCTGAAATAACTGTTATTAAGATATACATGGCAGAGAAATTTGATTTCCCGACCGCATTATCCAAGTATGTCAGTGGGACAATGAGAAGTTTGATTTAGTGCAACTTCAGTCTTAATGAATGTCAGAACTGTTCCCATGTATTTTAAAAGTCCAGTTTTAGTCTGACCAAAGCAATAAATCAATTCCTTTGAACAACATGTAAACGTATTGATTACACATTTTTTAATAGTTTTTTTTAATCTACTAAAAAATGAGTCAAGTTGCTTTCTTTTACTCATAAATAGCCGCATATGGTAGGTATAGTATCTGATCTGCCATTGCATGCATGGAGGAAGATAAGCACAGCTGCAACTTAGTGATGAGGGAGTAACACTGGCATCACCAGAGTGGTTGTTAACCTGTTTCAAAGGAGGATAACAGGATTGTAACTTGTGACACGTGCGGTGAGTATTCTGAGAGGAGGAAGAAACTGCAACTTTTAACACAACACATAGTAAGAGTCATCTGTAAAGCTATGATCACAGTAAAATGACCTGAAGAGCAGAAGTAGCCACAACAACTACAACTCACACCAATGAAACCTAAAGAGTGTAATAGAGCTCATTTGAAAACTGCAGATGGAGCTCAAATCTAAAGGAGTGAATGACAAAATCACAGACGTGACAGCATCTGATGACCCGCCTTTATCCGAGGTAAAGAGCGAGGCTTCTCTACCAGCTACTGGCATATTTAGAAAAGCAGTCTGAGTCAACTCCGCTCAGCAGACGGATCTCAACATGCCCTGAATGATGTGATCTCTGCACACATTCACTGTTTCATCAACAACAACATCAGTGACATACGTTTTACCGCAGGCATATGGACCTTTGATGTTAGTCCACAAAGTGTGCTAAGCTTGGCGGATGAAGACTTGGAATGGAAATTGTTGCATGCTCAGATAGGGCTGGGCGGTATGGGAAAAAATGTATCACAATACATATTTTTCATATCAGTCGATATTGGTAGCATGTCTTCTGCAATACAATTAGCTACTGCATCTGTGAGGTCTTTGTGTCTCTTCGACGTCGCGCTGTTAAAGTGCTATGGTTGGGTGTAGCTGCAGCTTGCTACTACGCAGTTGTTTGCTACTTGGTGCTAACTCAGCACATGATTGGTTCAGCGCGAAGTGGACCTGGAGAAACTCACCTTTTTCATTGGCTATTCAAAACATGGCAGAATGCCGACTATTGAAAAGCATATTGACCATGTTTTACATTGATATTGAGGGAAATAAAGTTTTAATGTATATCTGTATCGTTTTATCGCCCAGCCCTATGCTCAGCGAAGCATCCTAGCCTTTCTTAGCTTTCTAAAAATCTGCATAACCTGCACATTTGAAACCAAAAACTGTATTAAAAATGTGATAACATTACCAGAATCAACCATTTGATATAATACATCATTATTGCAAAAAAAACACATCATGAGTTTAATTTTTTGGCCAAAAGCCTGCAAAAAACAAAACCAAATGAGTTTCAGTCACTAAAAATGAAAGGACTATAAATCTGAACTTGATTCAGGAATTTTATAGAGTGTATGATTAATCCTGTTTACATATCAATCATCCATAAAACTAACTATGATCTACAGTGCTGCAGGGCAGATTGATTTCAAGCAGGCGATGCCAACAAACAGTTGAAAAGACACAAATGACTGACTCTAAGAACTACTCTAGACATTACTCTTTCAGTTTTAAGCTTATAGAGTAACACTTTCATAGTTTAGTCTACATATTTCTGCGAATAACTCCAGACCTCAGTTGATCTCTGAGCACATAGGAGGCAGAGAGTCACAGAGCTGCTGTAATGACATCCTCAGTGACAGGCAAAATGGGCAAAGTGAGACACAATAGTCTTAACCAATCAGACGGCTCGCCTCCCCTTAGGCCCCCTCACACCAACAATAACTTCTTTGTATCAGGCTGCACTTCACTCGCACGTTCACACACACACATACACACACACTTGAGCAGAGCAAAGCAGAGCATCCTACTCTTTTTAGACAGTCACAAAGGGAGGGAAAGAAGCAGAGCACCAAATCGAGAGCTCCATCAGTACATGTAAATAAACAAAGTAAGAATTATAAAATGTGGCTGTTTCATCTGTGTGTGTGTGTGTGTGTGTGTGTGTATGTGTGTGTGTGTGTGTTTCTTCCCAGGCCCTGGCACATGACTGCAGCTGCCCCCTCGCTCCCTCGACTCAAACCGGCACCCCTCCTTGTTGTAGGTGAGAGGTCACACGGAGTGGCATTCCTCCTGGTCTGAGAGCAAGTATTACACTGAACAGAGGGGGCAGACAGTAAGAGGGTTGGTGGGGGAGGCAGAAAGCTCACAGCAGAGCAGGGCAGGTAGAGGAGGGCATGTGGAAGGGTGCATGTGTGTGCTTATGAGCATATGTGTGGTTGCATGTGCGGAGATGGCTGACTAAACAGGAGACTCTTGTGGCTCTTCCCCCCCCCCTAACAAACACAGCTGTTTGTTTAGTCTGAGCTGACCCAGGGGACCGACACAGAGACAGAAGGACAGACAGACACATTTATATCATTTATTTATGTCCGTATTCATACTCAAGAGAGGAGCAGTGTAAACAAACCGTACAATTATGGACATACAGCTTTGCAAAGACTGAAGCTGCTACGATGTTGGACTGTGCACAAAGACACACACACACAGCCACACTCAAAACAACTAATGTCGGGAAAGTCCAGGCAAGAACATAAAGGCCTTTTATCACCTCATCTTTTAGGATTACATCATGGTTAAAAAAGACCAAAGTTTAATAATTATCTTGTTACAAATAAAAAGCAAAAGCAATGTTAAAATGTTAGTTGAAGTGTGCTAAATATTAGCAATCAGTAGCTGCGTTTACACGAAGCATAACTTTCTGGTTATGAACAGAACAGCTCTTACATTATAAAAAAAGACTCCATATAAACAATTTCACTGAAATAAACTGGCCCAAATCAAATCAAAATGCATGGCAGTAGCATGGGTGTAGAGTTTGAGGTGGAGGGGGAGACTAATGCCTCTGAGGGAAGCTGATCAAACAAGAAAGTCTACTTGCACTCAGACTAGAGGGGCACTTGGCTGAATACCAACATTTCTGCATGTTTCTCTGCAGTTTGGATTCAATTTGTAAGTGTTTGTAACACCACACAGGATTAAATCACACGCCATATAAACACTTCACACAGTGTATTCAACTGGACTGAAAAGATAATGTGAGCATGTCTGTTACTGTATAAGACCATGTTCAGTTCTGGGTATCCTTAAAAAAAATCATGTCAGATCATCTCTATGAGTGACCTGTTTTTGTAGCAGATCTGACCCGATCATCATCTTACATGATTATTGACAAAAACGCACACATGTCCTCACAGGCACGTCCCAGACAGCTGATGGGGCCATCAGATTTCACTGACAAACACACTTTCACTTTAAGTGAGACACAGTGAAAGTCAATACTCTTCAGTAGCCTGAGTCCTCTCTTCTCCTCCGATTCATGTCAACCCTCTTTTCTTCCCTTCCTGCACTCGATATTACCCACCATCCTTTCTGGACCTCTGCTACTTGACCACACATTACACTCCACCTCACATAAACACACACACGCCACTGACCAACCACAGAGACAGAGTCAAGACAGCAACAAAGTAGTCACCTGGAGCACATGATCTTCTGACTCAACATCATCTGTGACAGCAGGATACATCAAACATGGCCGCCATCCAAATAATGACACACTGTATTTATGTGAGTGTCTAAGTCCATCCCAGTCAGAAAATCTGTTCAGGCCTTTACTGAGTCTAAACTTATACTCATGGTGCCTTGAAACAACTATGACACATGTCCTTACAACAGTGGAGTGCAATATCCCACTTGTTTTACCTTGCAAATTCATTTTTTTTGTAATTTTATTACTTTTTTTGGAGCATCTATCAATGGAAATGTAGAAGTGCAGAATGCTTCGAACACCAAATTAACTTTGCCAATGAAAGAGTTGACGTACATGTTTTTTACATGACTGAGTAGAGATGAAAATGTAACGAAAATTGTTGTAAAATCTCTGATTAAAAACTCCAAATTAATAATGATGACAAAAAAAAGTCAGACCCGTTCTCGAGGACAAACACAGCACTGTTTGTTTTCTTGTTTATCCAGTCATTCATCTGAAACAAGTTCCCCAGAAGAAATTCTCAGTGTATCTTTTCCTGCTCATTGGATGATTTTGGCCTCAAGCATGTTGGTAAGAAGTCTGTAATACAATTAGTGGTAAAGCTGGAACTAGCTCTGAGACACCTTATCAAAATCCCTGTCAAGCCACTGCTGGCAGAAAATAATGGGAGCCATATTACAACCAGAGGCCTGTAAGGTAGGAAGGCGGCAAAGACAACCTGTATGCTCAGTCAAAACCACAAGACTGAGTGTCCAGTATCATTCCCAATAAGGAGAGCTTTGAAGATACAAGATGGAAAGAAAAAAACATGATTATCTTGAAAAATCAAAGAATCCCAGCGTGTCTGCCCAGGTAAATAACAATGTCTTAGTTTAATGCTCACAAAACTCACAACTCTTAGTGGAATCAGGCCTCTGCTATTTGCACTATGGTAGCATTTTTTTTTATAAAGACAGCAAAGCATGACTGCACACCTGTTCATGATCAATATGTCACTCTTCATTGACTAATGAAACTCAAACTAAATGGGAGCACAGGCTAAGAATTACTGTCAGGTAATATCAATGTGTTACCTTGACTTGAATATGACAAACTTTCTCTCTGTTTTTCTGCTCCAAAATATAACCTCGACATCAGAGAGCACTGTACTGTTACCATAGAGGTACTAGTGGTCGTTTCCAACAGTAACTACCACTTTAGAGCAGCTGAGAGGAGCTGATCTCTGGTCATTAATTAAGTTTTAATAGCAGCATCAATAATGCAGCACTGAGGCAGATTCAGTGTGAGGCAAAACTAAGCTTCATTCAGCTAGCGCTAGCTTCTCTAGTGCCTCAGCAGACGAGAATGAGCTTCAAATCTAGCAGCTGCTAACTCCAGTTCAGCTTGTTTGGAGACATTCTGCTCGTCTTCCTATTGTCTCTTCCTCTACAGAACAACATCACTTGGTTAAAACAGTAAAAAAAAAACAACATGACAGTTAGAAATTGGTACAAACAAGACAGCCCAAATCAGACAAACTAAAACTACTATGGGTGTCTTTTCTCAATAGCAAAGCGCTGCTGTCTGTCTTTGCCTTCTTTTGTTTCAAGGTTATGACTACTACATCACATCGGTAGCAGATAAAGATTTTGCAGTGAGGATGCACTGAAAGTGTTTCCCACACATAGATAATACTGCTAATGTCAGTGCCTCTAATCATTTTTGTTTTTTTACTTTTGTAAATAGTGATCCAGCAGATGTCCATTTTGTGTCTTTCTAAATAAAAACAAGTTTGTAGTCATAACAGGAAATCTAGTCACCTGGACGTACGACAATAAAAAGACAAAAGAATAGACTGAGTAACAGCTGTACAAAGCAACTCTCCTTTATTGTTTGAGCATTAAATGGATTACTAACACTCAGGACAAAAGTCGTAATCATGCTGTATTGTGTAGCCAACATTGTGAACTGTATCAAATTATGACTTAGGTATACCATTACATCTCTGGTTAGTACAGTCTGAAGTCAGTGTTTCTCCAACGCAACAGAGGCACAAGAGAACCAGATGTCTGCACTAAAGGTGACTTATTCATTCCTTTATTTATCATTGTCTTTTATGTTTTAAATAGGGTGACCATCCGTCCTCTTTTACCCGTACATGTCCTCTTTTTTGGGGGCTGTCCAGCCTTGTCCTGCCTTGTCTGGGGGAGTTTATAAAATCCTTTAAATGTCCAGGGTTTTGTATGGAAGTTTTGAGTTTGTGTAGCATGGACTACCTGAGTTAGAAGCACGTAAAAAACACTCGACCCGACCCAAAAAACTCTCAAAATTAACTACGCGTGACTCTGTGACTCTTCCCTGGGTAGTGGTGTCCTCTTTTTTGGGGATTCAGAATATGGTCACCCTATTTTAAATGACCGGTGTGAGACGATAAGTTTCTGTCTCCTTTCTACTAAACAATCATGACAGGAATTACATCATTAAATATCTAACAGCTGTTATAATTTCAGTCCCCATGTCATCAGTCTTAGATACCTAAACTTTATCGAGCAAACAAAAAAAACGCATCTCTAGTTGTCTTCATGTTTATTGATAGCTGCCCTCAGACAGAGTCATGGCCATTTCTTTTAATGCAAGTAGCCGCCTCAGGTCTTCATTAAAATGTAACTTCAGTTAGACCAGCTATTATAGTCTGCCTGCATCTGCCTGGAGAGGGAAAGCAACCCACTGGGACTGGACACAATAGTAAATGAATAGGGCCTGACCTTTGGGACAGATTGAGAAGACGGTATGTGTGTGTCTGATTGAGAAATTAGCTACAGTTCCAACCAAATGGTCAGCACACACACACACACACACGTACAAACACACACACACCAAATCCAGCCCTGAGGGTAAGAAAGCAAAGGCCAGACTCCAGTTGTCTCAACTCTGACCCATTCGCACAAACAAACAATTCAATGCAGCACGAACACACACGGACACCGATGCTCACACAACTGTGGAGTCCAGCTACCACCTTGATGTTTGAATGTCTGGCGGGGTCAAAGTTCGTCCCTTTTTCTGAAAGCCTCCAGAGCTCTTTTGTGTGTGTGTGTTTGTGCGTGTCTGTGTGTGTATGTGAGTGCATATACATGTGCTCACTAGGAGTGACCTTGCAGAGTCATTCCTTGTAGATACGCTGAAGCTCTGACACAACTGCAGAGCTAATTAAGGAGCAGTCTTGCTCGGTGTACTGTGTGTGTCTGTGTGTTTGTGTCTTCTTATGTGTGTTTGGAGTGAAAGGCAGATGAACAGATTGTGTTTTGACTCTTCAGGTTTGAGAGACACTCAGGAGCGGATCAGAGGTTAGGTGCGAGTAGATGAGTGTGTATGTGTGTTAAGAGCGTGCGCAAGAATGGGCATCAGTGTGTGTTTCGGGTGTGTACAGGGTGTGTATGGGGGTCAGACAAGGATGGACAGCTGGTGTTTCAGTGGTGCTAAATCACTCACCCTTCCCCAGTATGCAAGCACATACACACATGCACGGACACACATACACGTCCCATCCCCCATCGGCCACAGGGAAACGCCCCTTAAAGCATTCCCAGCTCTTTACTCTCAAAGACTGCTCACTGTGGACGCACACTCGCACACAAACTCACACTCGGCACACACTTACCAAAATAAAAGCTTGAATATTTTCACCGTAATAATGAAGACCAAAAATATTCCAATGTGACGGTTTGGTCACGCTGTAAAAGAAGTGATCATTCCTTGTCATACATGTTCATAAATCAATTGAAGATTTCTCACTGTGAGCAAGCACAATGTTTCACACACACACAAACACACACACACGCTCCCATTTTATGAGCTCATCATGTCCCTTAGGTCACCAACCGCCATCTCAGCCAGGGATAAAAAAGCTCACATCAAAAGGCTAACCATCTCATACACAATGTGCAAGTCTAATACGCGTACACACTTGGCGTGGCAACTGTGGCAGCATTAATTTCCTTGTGAATGCACTTGACTAACATATAATAATCCCAGACACTACTGGGAGACCACCAAGCAGCAACACACACACACACACGCGCATACACACACAGACTCACACAGCCAGGGGGACCACCAAGCAGAGGGGCTGTCAAGACAAGATAAGTGTGTGTCTAACGTCAGGGTTTCAAATGGGCCCACTAGTACACACAGCCATATGCACACACAACCGTACACACACACACACACACACAACAACAACAACACACAGCCTGGCCTGGACTCCTGGAAAAGCTCTGGCTTATCTCTCCCCACAGATAGTGAAATGGATTAAGAGCCGCATTTGGCACGTCCTGAGAACTGGACAGATAACCAGGAAAACACTCTCTCTAACTGCAATCACTGCTCAACATGATTTGTGTGTTTCTGTAAGTGTGTGTTTGTGTGTGTAAAAAGCAAGAGAGAGAGATAGAGAAAGACAGGGGATGCATTTTACTTCAAGTGTGTGTTCCTGCATGTGACGGCGCTGGACTAGTGACCGCGTGTGTGGATCTGTGGGGGTGTGTGTGTGGGTGCGTGTGGTTACGTGTGTCTGGAGGAGTGATGCAGCGGTTGACCCGAGACACAATCCGTTAGAACAAACACATTCATCTTGCAAACACACACAGCATGCGCAGACAAAGAGCTGTGTGTAAGAGGACATTCAGCATGTGTGTGATGTCAGCTGGACACAGAGAAGGAGAGACCATCATATCCCGTTTATGTGAGTGCGTGGGTCTGTCCCCTGACACATGGCGCCTGCTCATTGACCCCCGATTATAGATGACTGCATGGAGAGAATACAGAGGTAACAATCATGTTAAGAGCTGGAACATGTACCTTTTTCCTCTCTTATCACTCCCTTATTGAATCGCTCTCTACTCCCTCTGTTAAAGAGACTCAGCTGTTTCATTTATAGTCAGCGGTAAATCTGTCATTCCTGGCAGGTGTGGACTCCTGTGACTGATTTTTGCATCGATAAAATTTGACTTATTGCGTTCTGTTTTCATTTCAATCAGAGATGCATTCATTGTGGAAAGCGGGGATTACGCTGACACCATCGTTTTAAATTTCAATCCAGCTGGAATTCAGATTCCAACACTCACGCTTATTGCATCGCCTCTTTGGAAACCTTTTCGCCTGTTTCTCAAATGAGTTATGTGATCTGGTGTTTTGAGATTGTTGCTATTAGTTCCTCTCTGTCTGTGAGGTTTGCCTAAGTATAAACATCAGCCATGTTTAAAGGACGCATCAGTGCACTCTTCATTTAAATCATAGTTTTTTTAAGGTAGTCCCTGCCTGAAACCGTTATCAGGTACCACTAAATATGTCAGCCTGTATACTCCGATATTTTAAACTAATAACTCCCTGAAGAATAATCTGCTTGTGGTGAATTAATGTGAGGATAATAAACTTTACTGGCTTGCTGGTGTTTGTAAATGTTTGTAAAAGTTGTCAGATGTTTGGTATTTTACATTTGAACTATGATTAAAACTTTCTGGGTCATTCATTCTTCAGAGACTGTGCATTAAGACATGGTGGCAGGGGGTGGATGTAGTTAATGTGAAGTGATTCTTGAACAGGTATGTGTTTCAATATACACTTTATCTTACCTCCTAGTGATGGTGACAGTGCCACTTGCAAAAGTTTACTAACTTAATGAAGTTTTTCCTGCAGACTGTTATTCGTAATACTGAAACACGGCCATCGCCCACATGAATAAGTGAAAAGTTTGATGGAACAAAAGTTTGTGAGGAAAAGGAAACAAAAAGAGAAGCTGTGACAGCTGATTTGTGTCTGCAATAAAAGAAAGAATGGTTAAAAAACACTATTTCTGTGTCTTTCTTTGCTCCATTCTCCATGTTTGCCTACTTATCTGTCTGTCTGTCTCTCCTCTTCTCCGTCTATTAGAGTCAAATCTCTGTCTTAATGGGCATCTATTGTATCCTGCCTCTCCCCCTCCTCTATTCATCGCACTACCACACGCACATACACACTCCCTCAGAGGGGGCCCCTTAACCAGGCTCTCCATATGCCTGACCCCCACCTCCTTTCTTCTCCTACTCTTTCCTCCACATCCCCCCCTTCCCTTCTCCCCCATCTCCTGCTCACACTCTGGCTTCTGCTCTTCTGCTGCTGCTGCTGCCGCTGCCCCACGCTGCCATCTGCCACAAGACAACAGAGGCTGAAAGAGGGAGGACGAGGAAGAAAAGAGGAGTGAAAAAGATCAAGTTAAAAAATAAGAGGAAGACAAGAAGGAAGAAAAGAGTGAGGAGGAAGAGTGTAGAAAGAGGGACAGATGAAAGATAAAGAGGGAAAGAGGGAGAGAGTGGATATGAACACAATATAGCAGAGAGGCTGTCCATCTGCTCCCCCTCTCACCTCCCCCTCCCCTCCTGACACACAGCCTCACACACCACAAAGAGAGTATTTAACCTCAACACACATGCACGCACACACATACACACACACACACATATATGAGAGGTAGACAGAGAGCAGCTCAGCCTCTCTCTTTAACCCGTTCTTCTCTACTGCGCCCGCCTGTATTACACCCTTGGGGTGGCAGGTGATGGCTGGATGGAGGGAAAGGATGTGGGGGGGGGGGAGAAAGGGGTAGTGGGAGGTTGGGGGTGTGATTGAGGGACAGCGCATAGGGGATGAAGGATTGAAACTGATCTGAATCAACACCAACACATCCTCCAACCCCTCCCCCTCTAACCTAAAATCTCAATAGAGAGCGGCTTGCTTCCCCTGTCACTATGACAACCTCTGTCAATCATACTGTAACAGGGGGAGGACTAATGGCGCCGGATTGGAAATGGTCGCCCCCTTTTTTGGGGTGTGAGGTTCAGTATTACAGCCAGGATGTGGAAACAAACACACTCATAGTTGACTTTTAGTGAGAAATCACATCCTGTAGATGACTGGCAGAAAATGTCTACCTGACGTCAGAGTCTACGAATGACAAAGCACGTCGCCAACTTCTTTTTTTTGTCCTGCTGAGTTGAAATTTTCTGTCTGGAACATACTCAGAAGTGTAGGTACGGCGTATACTTGACTGATTTCATCTTTATTTTTTAACTCCTGGTTTGCCTAAATGGAGAGCTACATTGGTAGCCAATCTATTTCAGCTTTTGAAGCATTATCAAAAATTACACCAAAATAATTTTTTATTTTCATAATAATAATTTCTACTCCAAGAATTTTAAGGCAGTTGTGCAAAGAACACTTAATACATTGATATGATACATTAATACGCCGTAGTTTTATGACACTACAGGGAGCTTTGATGAGAGTATGAGCTGTATGCAGCCGGTAATTAGCTGACAGCTGTATTTCATTTCATTATCTGATTTTATAGACTTAATATCTTCACGAAAATAAGATTAGATCTGGTATGATACATAGACGTGATCTGGCCGTATGAGACTATATCATGTGTAAGAGTAACAATAATGCAGTGCTGTGTCCTCATATGCCTCCTGTGTTTTGAGTTCAATCATGACACTGAAGCCTAACAGTACAAATCAGCTCAACATCATGTTGACAACAAGACACCTTTCCACCTGCTGGGCCCGCCGAGCTCTGAGACATGGGGATGGCTGTCAGGTTTGGACACACAAACACAAACCAGACTGTGTAGGTCAACACACCCTGAAAACACTGGTTTCCCCAAAGGACCTGTACTACCTACACAGTGTCACACAAACCAAACACCAGTTTAGAGGGTGCGATGTCTGAGAGGGGGTGAAGGGGGTGTGACTCAAAAGAAATGATTTAATCAGGAGGAGAGGAGAGGAGAGGAGAGGAGAGGAGAGGAGAGAGGAAAGGTCTCTGTGAATGCAACCACAAATGGAGAGAGCAGACACCAGCTGTCACTTGCTTATGTCAGCCCTATTCTCAGCTTCTGTGTGTGTCTGTGAACGTGTGTGGGTTGTGTTCTTGTGTGTGTGGTTGTGTGTAACTGTGTGATCTCATCTCGCCATGACTGGTTTCAATTACGCAGCAAACTTTGACCCTGTGCATCCAAGCAGGGAAACAAGCAACTTAGCAAGAGGTGCGGTGAGAGGTGCAGATTTTGATGAGACAGTGTTCTTATGTTCAGAGAAGTTGAGCTAATCAGAGGCCACAGGAGTTCCTCTCTGTATGAAACACCAAACTTCCAAAAAGACACACACCACCACAGTGTCTTTCTTTGCTCTTAAAAACTGTACATGTGAGCAGCCGCCCAACTTACTCTCTTTCTTGGAGGTCCTCGTTCTTCATCTTTTTGCCCTCCTCCTGCTGTCGCTCCAGCTCCTGTCCGTCCCTGCCGACCCCCTTTGCTCTCACCGACCGGTGGCCTGATGGTCATCCTGATTTCAGGTGAACAAATGTAGTTCTCCAGGTTTTTGGGGGGTTTCTTGGGGCGTTTGGTGGTCTGAATCTTCAGCTTTAGACTTCCTTCCTGAAAACTCGCTTCCTTGATGGAGAACTCCTGCTCCTCCAGAAGCCCCTCCCCTTGCTCCTCTAACCCCTCCCCTTCGCTGATGGCGCCATTAATCACATCATCATTGCGCGCCGATCCCATGCCCCCTGCTCCTTGCTGGTCCCCTTCATTTGGCCCCACCCTGCCTCCCTGTAACTCCACCTCTTTGGGTCGGGCCGAGCCAACCAGATCCCTTGGCTCCATCCACACTCCCGCCTGAGCCGATCAGGATAGGGGAAGTTGTGGCACCCAGCCAAAAGGAAGGTAAAGTGGTCAGTCGGGGCTGGTTGGTTGTTGTCAGTCAGCTACTGTGGTTGGGTTGGATGTCCCGCAGGAACACGGCAAAGCCAGGGACAGTCTGTGGAGAGAGCAGGTGAAAGATATGATTATGAAAAACCAACACCGAAAAAAAGAGTCCTGTCATCCCTTTAGCTTCCACTGCAGTGCGAGCTTTCAGCACAGGCCTGTTTGCTGTCATCAACATCATTAGGTGCCTGTTATGTATGAAGACACACACAGGCTGCACAGAGCTGTGGAGGTATGCCGCCGCACTCTTATTTGCATTCTGAACCTCACAAAAACAAACTCAGTTTTGACACCCACTTGCCTTTCTTTCGTCTCCAACTCTCTTCTTCACTTACTCTTTGCTAATCCCCTCTCCCTCCTGTCGTCCCTTATTCTATCCCCGGGATGGATCCAAAGCAGAGCCGTGCAGACACCAGAGTGATCAGCACAAAATAAGACATTCCTCTTCTCTGCTCTAAAACCAGGCTGAAGTTAGCCTGAGGACACAAGAAGCTGGCTTATGTTTTTTTTTTTCTTTTTCTTTTTCAGCAGAGCAGAGCAGCAGAGGAGGGAGGGAATCACACATGGGGAGAAGTGAAGGCAGCATAGAAAGACGGAGGGAAGGAATCTAAATTCTTTCCCCAGATGTGGTTTACGAGCTAGTCTGGAAAAACTAGTGTCTGAACTGTTTTACACATGCATGAAGTGGCATTGATACACACAAGCATGAAAAACAAAATACAGTTACGCACATAAAAGTACACAGGGATGACAGAGTTGCTGTCACTGAGTACGCTTCCTCCCTCCTGCTGCTATCTAAAGAAAAGATTGTAGAGGCCATTTATCAGAGTTGAAGGATTTCTTTTCCTTTTTGGATCATTACACATGCAGACAGAGATTTACATGACAGACCTCCATCAGTACACATACTGACATATGCATTCACTCAGGCTTACTTCCACATGAACAGAGAGGAACCCAAATAAACTCTGGACTACGCTTCTTACTACAGCTCCAGGGAATCTCATCAGTCAATATGACATGAGGCATGACTGAGCTGGAAGTGGGGAATGCCGTCTGACACACTGAGCTGCGACCAACACCTTTTACACTGATGTGAACCTCAACTGGACCACTACCTGCGGACATGACTCAAATAAAAGCTTACAGCCTACTGCAGTTTACAACCACCTGAGAACACAAAAGGTTTACAGCATATAAACCTGTATATGGTATTACCCAACATGATGGGGGCAATATAGAATTACCCCCTGCTAATACCCCGTCTGACATGGTTACTGATGGTATTTTACACTAACTGTGAGTGAATGTCTCCTGCTGTACCAGCCGACACTACTGTACTAACAGCTGATCCCCTTCATAATACCTCCCAGCACATGCTATACCTGCTTATCCTTTAGGATCCCAGGGGGTCAGAAGAACTGAGCTGGGTACAACATGGACAGGTCGCCAGTCAATCATAGGCCGACACATTCACACTCAAATCCACGATGAAAATTCAGAACCGTGAAACCTTTGCGATTATTTGGAAGAAATGGAAAGAAAAGCCCTGCAAGGCTTGAACCCAAAATCTCCCTGTTGTGCTGACCATTTCACCCTCCTGTGCTTACAGTGTGATTGAATAATCATAATCCACAGCAGTTTAAGACTGCACACAAACACTGTTGAACCCTGAGGTCAAAGTTTTTCTTCTGCTTTTGCAAGATTAAACGAAAAAGAAAAGGAACGTTTCTCCTCAACTCTGAAGTTTGCCAATCTAAAACCACAGACTTTCAAAGCGGACTCTCACCATGTCTTAGATGTAGGTCCTGGTAGCCCCATGCTGTTTAAGTATGAAAAAGGCTTAAAGGGAGAAAATAGTGGTTTGGCATATTTAAGCCTACCAACTCCAAATCGCTTCATCACCAGAAAAATCCAAACCTTAAAAGTGAATTCTGACTGGAAGTTTTTCATTATCATTCAATGAATGCAGTATGAAGAATAACTAAACTTGCTGGAATAATAAGTTTGCTTTGTTTCATGAAGCCATCAATTTATTTTCACATAGTTGTTCATCTCCAAGGAGGAGTTATTTTGAAGATTATTCCTTGTTGTTGCACTTAAGAAACCCTTCAACCCTGCATTCATGCTACCTGACACCGAACTTATTAGAAGGAGAAATACTACCAAATTCCCATCAGTCTTTCTGAACTTCTGTTGTTTTTTCTGTTAGAATTTCAAGAAAAGAAAGATTTAAAGTGCAGTGATTTTTGACAACTGAGAATCCCAGTTGCCAGCGCCTCCTTGATTGAACTCTTCTATTGGAGAAAAATCTTACAAACAGATCTTTTCTCCACAACCACAAGATGATAAAGGTTACATCAATCAGCAGAAAACAGGAGCCTAGATGTTTAATTTATATATCACCCATCAGAAAAAAAGATGCAATTCTCTGTTTAACTCGAGAAACTACCTCCTCAAAAATGTACTGTTTGCTTTGTAAATTAGTCAGAGGTAATGTCCAGTAAAGGCATTTTGCATTTGATGGGCTAAATCATGCAAAACCCCGACACTAGTCTCCTTCATAACTTCAAGGTATTCAAAGTTTTACAGGCTGACACAAAAGACAGAAGGTTCACACTCTGTCTCTGATCATACAAGTGCCCGCATGACCTTTTTTGGCTCTCCAGGATCCTCCCAGTCCCTAATGTCAGCGCAGTGACTCGGCCTCATGGCATGTGTGAAAGCCACCCCGTGTGTCATGTGACCGAGGGACAATGACAGGAAAAAGAGACAGCTGCCAACCACAACATCATACTCGTACATGCACGTGAAAAAAAAAAAGAGAGAGAGACCAATCCGCTCTGAGTGGTGCTCTTGAGACTCTTCTATCAACTGTCTCCCTGTTTGACAACAAAATGGCGTCATTTATTAGTATGATCTTCAGTCTGGGCCATTACTGTTTAAACTACTTAGCCTTGTCATGACTACTTCTCCTCCCTCCCTGCTCTGTGCCCCAAGCTGCATTAGCTCTCTGTTAGCTGAGAGTTTATGTAAGACTGACCCCTCCTCGGGCCTCCCTCGCCCAGCCTGAGCCTCCCTGTCTCCTCTCCCTCTCTCTCTAGCTCTTACACACACATACACACCTCGAGCAGCCTCAGACAGCAGGGTGATTGTAAGAGGCCAGACTCACTGCATAAATAGCTTTATTATGTTCTCAAAAACTAGCAGCGCTAACAGGCAGCTTCCCTCTCAAATAGCATAAGGTCGCTCCCTGTGCTGGATGTGAGAGGCTGTGAATGAGACACTTTGCCTCATCCTTTGAAAACAATTATGATAAAGCGCTGATAATGGAGTGCAGACGGACAGAGCAGAGATGGAGAATGATACAGACACACAGACAAAACAGAGGTAGACTGAGTGTTAGTGTGAGAGAGAGAGAGAGAGAAAGAGAGACAGGGGGAGAGAGAGAGATGGCAGCAGAAACACAACCTTTTAAGGCTGCATACCCAGCAGCCCAGTGCCTGAGGTGGACTCACAAATAGCTCACACACACATGCAGACAGATGCTCCCACATACACACTCACTGACTTACACATTCACACACCCAGAAGCACAGCAAGCGTCTGCGTGATTGCACAAGGTGAAGAGTCTTTTTGTCTTCTCCTTTGATGTAAGAGTGGAGTGGTGTCTCAACCACTCCTGGCAGAGGATGAGTACCTTAGAGGGATGATGAACATTGTCTCTCGTCCATTTTCATTTCTCATTTATCTCTTTTTCCCCCTTTTTTTCCAGCCCTTCAGTGAAAGAGCAATCACGTACACCAATGTTTCTAAAAGGATCAGTTCTTTGGTTGGAGACAAATGAAAAAAAAACAAGACCCCGGACTTGTGGTACTCCCAAATCTAAAGGTGCGGACATGACTTGTCTGACACAGAGTGTATTAGTCCTCTGCCTTAGAGCACAGAGCAAGGTGAAGGAAGCAACATTTCTACCTGTCCATTTCAAAGATAAATGCTCTTTTTTTTGGAGAGCATTATGATTTGCTTTTATGAAATAGCAAAAAACAAAAAAAAATCCTTTTTTCTCCTGCTTGGCATGGATGGCACAGGCATGTACTCAGCTAGAAGGACAATCATAAAGAACCATGTGTGGCGGCCGTAACAGAAAATGATGGTCTTGCGCAGTTGAGTGCACACACACTCCTCTGAATGAGCCATATGCCAGGTAGCACTAAAAACATCCTCACCTAACTACCTCTGCACAAGCAGATGAATGTTAAACCATTTTAACTGCAGCAGAAGCCACAAAATGGCTGTCAGCAAAAAACACCTCCCCAACTGTCTTCCTCCTTCCCCTCAACTCACCCCCTCCTTTCCCCCAACCTCTGTTCTCTCCCCTCTTCTCTCTGCTACCTCTCTCCGTTCCCCTCTCCCTCCTTCTCTCGCTCGCTCACTCTTTCAGTGTGCTCTGCCAAAAGGTGCTCCAGTGCTGATATTCCGTTAAGAGTGCCTGCCAACAGTTAGATTTGTCCTTGGATCCTGTTCACATTCCCTCCTCCCTCTCTCTGTGATCCTGTTTCGACCCAAGGTATCCAACTCAGAAGGGGGGATACACCTAATCGATTTCTCATGCTTTAATTTAAAGGTGGCATGGGCATCTCATTACCTAATAGGGGGTTTTAATAGCCTTCTTCATACTCTTACGCCACAGAAATGCTGCCAGAGTTTCCACTTCAAACCCCAGAAACCTGTTAACATGACAAGATCGATGGTTTCCATCAGCTCTATTATCCATCCCTCAACCCAATTTCTTTCCACTTGGTTACACACTTCTCTTACAATTGCCTCTGTATTTGGGACTCTTCTTTTTTTTCCTTGTTCATCAAGTGCTCATTTCCTCACCTCCTTTTCCATATATCCTACAGACCGGACCATGTCTCCACACTTTCCCTGACTCATTCAGACGTGTCTATTTATCTTGCGGTCTTGTGGTTGTGACTGGGGTTTCTGGGGGCTACTGATAACACTGACATCCTGCAGTTTTCAACCCAAACACCTTGGTCCACTTTTACAAGTGAAGTGATCAGCCATTGATATATATAACAAGCTGGAGGATTGTGGAATGGGGGAGCCACATACCAGGATGCATAAATGTCAATAAGAGGTGCTTTTATACCACATTTTTTCTCTGATACTTAAACTTTGGGACTATGCTAAAAAAGAGGAAAGATTGGTGACTCATTGGTAGCATTGACAAATTTGCTTCCTTTTTAGCACCATACTGTTGTTTATTTTTGTTTTGTCACATGTGTAGCTACTTCTTTGGTCAAGTGGCTATTAGGTAATGATACTGGACTGGTACATTGACGGTGCATTTTTGTTGACATTGCAGGTAGATACCAAAATTGGTATATCAGAATAGGCGATTGGTAGAGCTATCAGTACTGCAACTAAACAAAACATTGGCAGGTGATTAAATCTAGAACATGAGACAAACTCTGCACAATGTGTTTAAGTTCAAAACTTCCACAGCAGTTTGTCATGGACATTTTTCAAAACGGGTAGAAATGAAAACACTTCCTACCACCAAGTCTTCATACATGTCAATGGACAGACAAATGTGTCAAAGCTCATCATGACAGAATGAAGAGGGAACAATCTCCAGCATGTCACCGACTATGTGATGGACTATCAATGTCAATGAAGAAAGCAGGAGGTCCACCCCGATAGAAAAAACACTGAGCTAAGCATGTGAGCAGGTGTTTGAGCAGCTCCTTGATCAACGTGTAGTGGACACTTTATCCCATTGACCTAATTAGGTGTTTTATTTTACCGCCACCTAATTAACGAGGTATTACACACAGTAATAATAATAATAGCTGGAGACCCCGTGCAGGAGCATTGTTTGGGATGGTCTGTGTGTACGTGCGAGACTGTGCGCGTGGTGGACTGAGTATGTCGGCGCGTGCGTGTGCTAAGTCGAATTTGTTGGCATGTGACTCGAAGAAATGTGAAAAATTCATGGTAAAACGGCACATACATGATATAAATATGATACATGTCAGGTTAGCATGTAAAAGGTGAAGATATAAATCAGAGGCACAGCAGCAGCAGCTCATTAAACACATGAAAACATTGAAAGCAGAGGTGTATTCAGGTATGGAATGTGGCCAGTCAACCGGGACTACTTACCCATGTCTAATGTTGTCATACACTCGGCTCTAACGTGTAAATATTTTATCAATATCATTTACAATCCATTTAGACACATTTTTCGTAAGCGACGGATGGGATGACAGCCTCCCGGGGAGCTGTCAAACGGTGCCACAATATATGGAGATATGTTTTTGACAGAAAACCCCGAGGAAAATGGCGTCAGCAGGGCTTTTGGGAAAGAGAGAGAGAAAAAAAAATGCGAAAATAGGATTTGCAGCCGATCTGATGACAGGAGCGAGGAAGGTAGCCGTACAAGGGAGGAAAATCCAATCGGAAACTTGGCGCTTGTGTCCAGTTCTAGTCAGAAAAGAGATCTTTGAGTGCTCCAGCGGATTGACTCGTGTGGTTGAAATCCGCGGCGTTGCAGAGGGTCTTCAGTGCCCTGCAGGATTGCTGGTCACTCGGGGAGCTGCACGGCGCTCAGATCCCTCGCAAATCCGCTGCTCTGCTGGGGGAAGGAGAAGGAGGGGGGAGTAGGACTATTACTGCAGTCAAAACAAGCCCGCATACGACTGACTACAAGCCCAAATCCAGCGGGAAAATGTCAGTGACAAGACCGCGCTTTCCGCCGTCACTCCACGAGACCGAGGATCCGAGAAAGGTGAACGTGGGTTAGGTCGCTTTCCTTCGTCCTTTGCACCGGATCGGGGTTTTTCTCTCCTTCTGTCCCTCTCTCTCTCGCTCGCTCTGCTTTTTTACACGGTGAATGTCAGGTCCCGGAGCCTGGTGTCTGGTAATGATCTCACCCAGCAGACTGAGAGCTCTGGCCGATCAGAGCAGAGGAGGAGGAGGAGGAGAGGAAAGAAGCAGAGAGGAGGAGCGACATCGCCTCCACCTGGCAGCGCGGACGCTTAACGTGTCTCCTTTTGCAACCTTCCCATAATTCCCAGGGCTTCCTCCTGGAGGAGCGTGGTGCAAAGTTGGAAAGAGACATCTGGCTTAAAACTTGCTGTTCTGACTTCACTGCAGTGGGACACCGTGATGGTACACATTTACTTCCCACAAGTTCGCGTACAAGCCCATTTACAGAACTTTAGCAGTGTCAATGAAATGGCTTGTGCATTGGATAATACGGTGGCCCAGAACAGCCACTGCTGCAAATAAAAAAGAATGCAAAAAAAAAAGCCACAACAGAAATTACTGATGCAAAAAAAAAAGAAAGAAAAAAAAAAAGAAACTGCAGCCTGCTGCAAATAAAAAAAGAAACGGTGCAGATAAAAAAAATTAAAAGCCACAATGGAAGTTAACAACGCAAAAAAAGCGGTGATGCAAAAAAAAAAAAAAAGTTACTTACTGCGAAAATAAAAGGTTGCAAATAAAAAAAGCCACAACGGAAGCGAGCTGCCAGGGAGCAATAATAAAAAAAAAGCGAGGGGTCTGTGTACTTATTTCTACGAGTAAAACAACCAAACCGTAAAACTCGATTCTCCTCTCATGGGAGGTCTTTTGGGGCGTAGTGGGTTTCCTGTGTTAGCCAAAGCTAACACTACACCGGCATCCTTCAGTTTAACTTCATTCGATTCAGGCGCAACGTGGCCAAACCAAATGACACACAGTCGGTGGATGCTTTTAAAAAAGAACTCAAAACCTTCTTCTTTCGGGGGGGGGGTGGAAACATTTGTTTTACTTTTTTTATAATGTTTAACTGGAGGATGCTGGTGTAGTATTAGCTTTGGCTAACACTACACCAGGTTCTCTGCCACCGCAGGATAAGAATGACAATACATACAGTAGATCTGGCATTTTCAGATGAATTTCTTAGATAGTCTTCACTGCCGGGTTAAGCAGTCCAGTACCACATAGTACAAGACTCAGAATCAAGACCTGTGCGTCTGCAGTTCATGTCATCTCAGAAAAAAAAACAAGAAGACAAGTGTTGATTTATTTCACAAAGAAAAGCTTAACTAACATCTTGTAAAAAAAACATTGAAATAGGTGTTTCACTGCCAAAAAAAGCAGCGCCACAGATAGCATACAACTGAAATTTTGCAAATCTGTTCAAGTAGCAATAAATTAAGAATTAAGAGACCATGTCTGATTCATAAAACATATTCATCATTTTGCTATAAAATGATAGGACAATGGATGTAAGAGGTACACAAAGGACTGAAAAATAAGTGTGCAGTATGTAACAAAAGTTAGATTTATAGATTTTATAATATTAAACCCATTCAAGATCATTTGAATGATTGATCGTTTAGTTGTTTGGTGTGGTTGGTTTAGGTACACCAACACACAGAGAGTTACATCTGTTTTACTCGTCTTTGAGAGGATGTTCTGGTTGCTGCACCATAACTTATACACTTTCTAAGTCATAACTAGTCCATAAATCTTATCAAATACTGTGGTAAGTTTCTACATGAAACAATTTTCAAACCCACTGGCTAAAACATAACTGAAGTTTATCACATCTGTCTCAATAGAAAAAGCTTTTCCTACAAGCCACAACTACTGAGCTGACTACCAATAATGAGATTTGATAGGCACAGTATAATGAAGTCCAGTGTAACATGCCTGTATAAAGTCAGACAAAAGTGGGAACAAAAACCGCTGCCACCACATTGATTCAGAAGAAGACGTGTGGGTGTGTGATTGGATGATTACAGGTAAATTAACATGTGGATCTGAGAGTGCGTGGTGGTGCTTTCCCCTTAATATGTCAAATTACAGCAAAATGGAAAACTCGCATCAGCCAAACCTGAACAAGCCACATTTGTTCCATTAAGTCATCATTGTCACAAGGTGTGTCTGTATCGCATCTTCATGCAAACTCTGACCTTCCCTGTATAGAAAACATCCTATAACATTAGTAAGTGATGCAAATGATGTCAGATGACCTTTTCTCTCTTAGAGTCCCACAGTTAGCTGTTACTCATCACTGGCATGTGTGAGTGTGTGGATATGAGTGTGTGTGAAAAGCATGTGTGGAGCACCCACTGGGAGGTATTTCATTAGCCAAGGTACTGTAATTATGCACACAGTAGCTAAATACTTTACACGTTTTTGTTATAAATCTGCTGCGCTTTCAGTAGACTGGGTGTTGTTGCCTTTCACTTCCCCTGATGTGGCACGTCGACCAGTTAGGCATTTTTGTGTTTGTATTTTTGTGCCTGTTGTACGAGTATAGTTCATCATATTTAAAGTCTCAGTGTCATGGCAACATTTTACTCTTGTCTCTTTCCATAAGGTTAATATACATGCATTAGTGTGCATTTAGATTTATACAAAACATCTTAAAAATAAAAGTGAACTGAGAAAAAAAAATCAAAATGCATCATTCTTCTCAAAGTGTGCCTTTTAGTTAAATATTAGTCTTCTCAAATTTCAAGAACTAGTCGGAACACTGCATTCAAGCTTAAACTTGGCTCAATATAAGCTATAAAATTACACTCTGATTTGAGGACTTCATGTCCTTCAGAGGACTTGAAATTGTACAAAAAAAAAGGAACTGACTTGAGGCTTTTGAGGAAAAGAAGACTATAAATATAGACTAACAAAATTGTGTGTGTGCTCTCATTCATGTGTGTCTATTGATTTGGGATGTGTGCAAGAATACAAAGAGACCCCTGAGAGTGAGGGGTCAACAGCTGCTCCCCAACACCCAATCAATTGCCGGGTATCGGTAAACATTACACACAGACACACATGCACGGACGCAGACACACACACACACACACAAACACAGACAGACACACACACACACTGACACATACAGACGGCACTCTGTTCTTGAATCTGTTGCCATGGATACAGGATACAGGCAGCCAAGAGGGAGCAGTTTTCCAGCTTAAACTGTAAATATTGAATTATGACAGGGAGGAAGGAGACAGCAGAGCAGGGCAAGCGTTCCTGCCTGAATGATCTAAATATCCAGATCATCCTTTCATCTCTATTCACTGCTACAGGAAATCTGGTGCATCATTCATGTTCATCAAGTTCTACATAAAAAGATCAATGTCTCCTCTCCGGTCCTTGCCATTTATCTGAGTCTCTATTACAGACTGAGAGCTGCCCTCGTTCCTTCATCTCTGCCTGCCTTTTTGTCTGCAAGATCTTCATTCCCTCAAGTGGGACGCTAAAATAAATGCTTCCCCATGCTTGATTTGCCATACATAAAAGTGAGTCTCATTTGCACCACTTCGGCAAACGCTGGTGCTTTTATGTGGCGACAGTTCCTCGGTGGTTTTTATCAATGAGGGAGGAGAAGATTGAGATAAAGAAGTGAAAAGGAGGGGAAAGTGGTTAAACAATTAATAAATGTTTTTAAGAGAGGCCATCAGAGAGAGAGAGGAAGCAATTGATTAATAAAAGCAGCAAGAGGCGTCTACAATAACAACACACTGATACTTAGAATAAAGCTGAGGCACTTGACTGCACTGAAAGTCCACACGCTAACCTTGAGCTGACATTGCAAGCTGGGGAGACTCACGTTCAATCAATGAAGGGCTTTTCTCAGGGAGTCCACTAATCTCACAGGGCAGCCAAGGGTTCATCAGAGCTTGCAGCCCCCTGGGACTGCCAGAGCTAATGGGGTTAGCTCAGAGAGAGAGAGAGAAGCAGTGTGCGAGGGTGTGTGTGCACCGGAGCTGTGTGTCAAGCATGCAAGGATCATGCAATAGTGTGTGATAACCTGCACTTGTGTGTTGCAGATACGGAAGAGTGCATGCATGTGTATATGTGAGAGCATGTGTGTGTGCGTGCGAGAAGGAGCAAGGGCCGTGCTAATGGAGTGAGAAGTTAATGGGACGTGTGACAAGGTTGATTACTGAGGCCTCAGTGATCTGACTGGGTTAATGAAGTAAATGACTTCTTGGATAACACGGAGCTGAAGCGATCTCCAACTCCTGATACACTTAGATAAACCAGAATAGCCTCCTCTTCTCCCTCATTTACCTCTCCATAGCCACTGGTTTGAACTTCCTTCTGTCTTAGCTTCACACTTAATGCATATTTAGAGGCCTCGAGGGTTGGAAACCATCCTGTAATACTTTTAATACATCCTCCACTTCTAATCTATTTCTTAAACATACAGAGCGTGTTACCATTCAATATTTTATCAGCTCAATGCCAGTCCCCAGGAAGGTCACAATAAAACAGCCACATATTTAAAGCTCCTGTGAGGAATTTCTAACTGGTTGTGAATCAGATCTTGTGAATTAAAGACCTCATTTAACGTTTTTTTAGCTGTTTACAACATATCCTAGTTGTCTTAAAGTTTTGATGGTGCTTTTTTAAAATAAAAAACATAACACATGCAGTGATCTGACGCTTTGATAATGAGGTGCTGTGCTGACTGGCTTTCTGAATGTTGTCTGAGTGGAGAGGGTGATGACTGATGCAGATGAATACAGACAAGAAAAACAACAAAACACATCAGAAGCCCCTGTGCCAGTACCCAGCTAAATGTTTTGTGATGTAAACTGTAACTATTATCACAAAGTGGTGACACTTACTGATGACGTGACTGCTGTTTTGGGTCACAAACAGTTGGTTGAGAACCCAAATTTGTACTACACCTCACTGTTGAAGCCGCCCAAGGTAAAGCAGCTGACACAATTAAATTAGTGGCAACCATATCTGATGAGAAAGGCCCCCTGTTGCACTGAAACACAGTTTAGACATTTGTGTTGGTTTTTGCGACCAACAACAAAGCTAAACCACAATAGTGTCGCAGGAAGCAGCTTTGCTCAAAGAATAGGATTTAAAGTGGTTTTATGTGCATGCCTTTGTAATTCACTCCTGTTGTTACATCATCGCAGGAGGTAATTCACATCCCCTCATTCTTTGGGTTGGTAGGCCCGAGGATGACTTACTACATGTATAAAAAAGCCACTTTTTTCATTATATGGCACCTTTGATGCTTTTTTTCCTTCACAGTTATTTTAAACCCTGAAACCACAGCTGCCATGTAGGTGTAGGTCCAAAAAGTGATTTCCAGCTTGCTACAGAAATATCTTTTTTTCTCACGTTCACAGTAATAACTCTTGACAAGTAAGACATTTAGCTGCTACAGGAAATCAGAATAAGTATTGTTAAATAACTGATTGCACATGAACAGAACAAGATCAGAGATAAGAGGCATTCATTTGGAGCATCATAATTAAAACAAAGTTCTTTTACAGGTGCTTGAAAAAATCTGCTGAATTTACCACTAAAACACTCAAAACACAAAATGCAGCGACACAAAGCAGTGCATGTGAATTCTCTTTCTGGCACATGTACAAACATCCTTCAGTAAAAAAGAGCATTTTTGTTGAGAACAAGTAAAAAACATGACCAAAAAAAAATTAGAGATACAAGCAAATTTAGCATTTCATTAAAACAGTCCTGCTTTTCTTACAGGGAAAGTCTCTCTTAAAGTGGCCACCTGCTGTTTGCACATACTTGCAGCCACACACACTAACAGAAGGAGGAGAAAGAGTTATTGCAAGAATGTTTTTCTTTTCCCCCATTTGGTGCTGAATTAGAGATTTCTCCTCTAATGAGAGCAATAACGAAGTCTGAGAGAAGATGCAGACAAGAACAAAACAATAACAACACAGATGGGAGCGAAGACAACAAAGACAGCCCCTAAATGCAGTTGACTGTGGACTCCCTGCTGGCTCCATCTATGTGAAGAGATGACATTGTACCCATCCCCCTGCCACTTATAGGGACATTATCATAATGTTGTCACTTTATGAGCCGAGCCATCAAGTGGGCTCATCTTGAAGTCCTCCACAGGCCCGGGTGTACAAAATGCCTCTGATGCTGCAGAAAGACAGTGGATGAACAAAAAAAGTCTGCCCTAATATTTATTCAAGCTGACAGTTCTGGCACCTAACAATGCAGCCCAGGACTGACAGCCCCAATTTGATGAATCTTTGCGTTGGTTGTAAACAAACGGCAGCAAAGGAAGATAATGGTTTCCCTTTTGTTTGTCCTTTTCCTGTCTTACTGTTACTTCAAAACAGGCATCTGCAGAAAATAAGCTTCAGACGGGCAAAGTAAAACATTGTGAGTGTGAGGGGCTGAAATCTTGCAGTAATTGTCAGACGTTAATTAGATTTAGGTTTGATTCAGGATTATTTAGCTATACTGAGTGAGGAGACAAAAATAAGACGCAGATTACAGCGTCAGCATCTAATGAATGGTAAAAAAATTAGTTCTCAGAAACAGATATTGTTTGTCACGGCTTGTGTGAACCTTCACACCTCAAACATCCACCCTACAACATCCTGTTGTGTTATAACTGTGTATGTGGTCAGATACAGCTGCATGTGCCTGTGTGTGTGTGTGTGTGTGTGTGTGTGTGTGTGTGTGTGTGTGTGTGTGTGTGTGTGTGTGTGTGTGTGTGTGTGTGTGTGTGTGTGTGTGTGTGTGTGTGTGTGTGTGTGTGTGTGTGTGTGTGTGTGTGAAACAGAAACAAAGAGGAAAACTCCCTAGATGACAGAATCGTACCACTTCCCCAGAGAGTGGGTGAGTAAAATGGAGACAGAGACGGACAGCAGGTGTATTAAATATCACTGACTGAAACAGGGATGTACCCTTTTGACAAAGTTCCTTTTAAACCTTGATTTTCTATTGCACTTGACCAAATGGAGAGCATATTATAATACATCACGGAAATTACAAGTAACAATAGGCCTGTGAGTAATCTGACATTATAGTTACAATACACCAACTCCTTTTTAAGGTCTATGTATCACCCTTAAATCGATAACCAAGCTGATATTTACATTTACTAACATGAACATGAATACAAGGCATCTTCTGTCATCAATCATTTAATATTCTTAGTATCATTGTGTTTTTGTGTTATTGTATACAATGTACATTGCGAGTATCATTTTTTTGGATATGTCATATATTCAAGCAATTAAACATGAGGGGGAGTGATTTTCAGAATACCAGCTGCTGTGATTCTTTCAGAGGCATAAGAATGGAGATCGTGCGCCAAGTGTTGGTAATCAATACATTTTTTATTTTATTTATTTATTTAACATTTCATTTTGGACACAGAGGCGGTCCATAGAACAATAAAAATAAAAAACAAAAAAATGCACATATACACTATGATGAAGACTAATGACCTTAAAATTGATATTATTTTCATTTACCAGTTCCACATGCATAGTTATCCTATTAATTAAAATCAATAGATTAACACTTTTTGTTTAGTTATTTATTTTTCTTCACCAACAGAATTACTACCAGTAGGCTACTTGATTTAAACTGGACTGTTGCTTAGCAACCCAAACATTTTCCTGCACACATGCTTAACAGTCAATGGCTGTGTCCAAAAAGGATCCATAACCCCTATATAGGCAACTATATGGGGGTTAGGGCCATTTTGAGAGGTGTTCGAAACCTGAGTGATCAATTCCAATGCCCCATATAGGCGACTCAAAATTTCCCATAGAGCATTGCAAAATGTAGTGACTATCTGATGGTCACTCACCAGTAGTAGGCATCCTGCTGTAATGTTTTTAACAGTATTCAGAGCACTTGGCTGAGGCAGAGTGATTCAGAAAGTGAAAAGTCCCACTGATGTTATGCTCTGTATCAACACTCAGGGAATGCCTCTTATCTAATCAGATCACTGAGTCATAACTACTATTATTGTTCCTTTTATGTAACATATAAGAGGTCAGTGAAACGTATCCTGAGGTACTTCACACAGCACAAGCTGCCAAACTTTAACAGAAAAAAAGAAGTCTGATGAAAAATATTGGAATTCAGGATCTTTACACGTGGGGCCAGCTGAGGTTTTTGACAGTGATGTTTTCTCAGAATTAAAAGTGACTGTCAGTCAAAAGTGTGTGTTGCAGAATGTGTTAGGCAGCGTGATGATCAAAGTCTGTTAAGTGTAAAAACACACATTCATGGACCAACTGAGGTCTCAGCTGAGAGAAACAGTACAGATTTATTTATATGTTTACAATCAGTGTCTTAAAGAAAAAAACACTCAAAGTGACCACATCACTTATACAAACATACAGGCACATTCACACAAACACCATAGACTGTATAAGGTGCACACACACACACACCTACGGACACACACACACACACACACATACGAAAGCATGATAGAGACACCTGGCCTGTAAATGTTGTTTACTGTACATCTTGTGAACACCGTCCCATCTAAAGCTGCCTCCCAGCAGCAGGATGTGGTGGTGCGACACGTCCTCGCTCAACAACACCCACTTCCTATGAGTTTGATAAACAGCCCTGTGGTTTCACTCACTCTCCTCCTGCCCGTCAGACACACAGAGGAACACACGCACACACAAACACATACACACAAGCACACAGCAGCTCTCCAGCATCACCATCTGCTAATGTGACATATAACCAGAGTGAGTTATTGTGCATAATGTTACCCATGCTATCATGAGATTTACTGTGACAAACTTTATAAACGCCACCACATTCATTTAGGCATCCATAACTCAGCTGCTGCTCTCTTCACCCATTTGGTGAAAGACTAGGAGGAATGAGCACAAGAATGCCCTCAAATCATAGTAGAATTAAAGGAGGATGTCAGCGTGTCACACTTGTTTTAGAGGGAGTGATGTAAGTGGATCTGAGTTACGTCCACCACCGGACAGACAGGTTCCACTTAATGCCCGCCTGGATGACCCTTAAGGTTGGTGAAACAATGGCAGTAAATATACGAGGACCTCTCCTCTCTTCTCCTTTCCTCTCCTCTCCTCTCCTCTCCTTTTTTCTTCTTGCATGGCTGCATGGGCACATACGGTCCTGTCAGTCACATCTGTAAGCTGTCAGGATATGAATGTGTGGATACAGCTGGGAGGTGGTGAGAGTAGGGAGTATTAGGTCTGCTGATCCTTTGCGCTCCTATTGTCAAACTTGAAAAAAACATGAAAATGAAAGTCTGTGGTGAGAGAGAAAGAGAAGACAAGAGAGAAAGGGAGAAGAATTTATGCAAAGTTTTATATATGTATCTTATTATTTGTATTATTTCTTTTAACATTTATTTGATTGCTCTGTTTAAATTTTAAGAATTGTAAAATTGCTACTCTTCAATTGCAAAACTATAGCTTATAATTTATATAATTTAATCATTTGTTTGCATGTGTGTTACATTCATCATTTTCTTCCTGTTGTTTCTTTTCGTTTTTTTCCGGTTTGTTTGTATGTGAATGCCTTGGCAGTGTTGTCATTATACAGTCATGTCAACAAAGCTCTCTGAATTAAATTAAAATTGAGAGATTTTGTGATAGGATTGCAAGGAGAGAGATAGACACACACAGATGGGCAGAGAGATGGGGAGGGTCAAAGGAGAGGAGCCATGCCTAATCCTGTGGGATGTGAGGGTATCTGCTGTGTATGGAGATGGGATGTAGAGATGTGTTCAGCGGTGCATGGATCACAAAACCCTCCTAACTGACAGAAGGGACTCCCAAGAGGCTGACGTCAAATTGCCAAGTGTAAAAATACATTTTTTTTAAAAAGGCACGCTGTGTGGATCATAACAGCATGGCATAACAGCAGTGCATCATATCTGTGGATATCAGGGATTTGATTGTAGATGAGACTGGAGTTTAGATTTTGTCCTCTTCAACTGAGAACAAAATCATACATAAAACTACTTCAAATTTTTGTTGTTTTTTAAGATATGATATAATATAATATAATATAATATAATATAATATAATATAATATAATATAATATAATATAATATAATATAATATAATATAATATAATATCATATAATAGCTCAGAAGGTAGAGTGGTCGGCCAATAACTGGGAGGTTGGCAGTTCGAACCCCGCCCTATCCCTAGTCTGCCTGTTGTGTCCTTGGGCAAGACACTTAACCCACCTTACTCCAACTGTGTGTGTGTCCTCCACTGGTGTATGATTGTGAGTGTCGGAGAGGCCGTAGGCGCAAACTGGCAGCCACGTTTCTGTCAGTCTGCCCCAGGGCAGCTGGGACTACTAAGGTAGTTTACCACCACCAGGGTGTGACTGTGTGAGTGAATGAATGATGTATCCAATGTAAAGCGCTTTGAGGTCACTGACAAAAAGCGCTATAAAATCTGATGCATCATTATTGTAATATAATATAATATAATATAATATAATATAATATAATATAATATAATATAATATAATATAATATAATATAATATAATACAACATATTGTAGTTTTCCTCAGTGTTTAAAAAGCTCATCAAAATACAACATGCCAAATAGTCTATTGAATTATCGTTATTGTCATCATCATTGTTTGAAGTGACAGTATAGACATCTGTAGTAAGATGCTGCAGATGTTTTATCAATCTGTGGTGGCAAGTGTGCTGTTCTATGCTGCAGTCTGCTGGGGGGGAAGCATCAAACACAAAGATGCAAGACGTCTGAATAGACTGGTGAAAAAGGCCGGCTCTGTGGTGGGACTCAGTGGAGGATGTGGTGGAGAGATGTACACTGAGGAAGGTGGAGACCATTCTAAAGAACATGGATCACCCACTTTACAACACCTTGATGGACTAAAGAGCCAATGGTGGTGTACGGCTCCTCTCTCTTCACTGCAGGACAGAAAGATTCAGAAGATCTATAACTATATCTCTAACTCTTGTGTAAATAGTAGATAACTTTTAGAGACATATTTGGTGAGACAACAGCAACTGAATTTCCCTTCAGGGATTAATGAGGTTCCTCTTATTCTTACTCAGATCTATTGGTATAATTTTTAATGTTATGTTACAATAGTGGCTGGATTTAAACAGAAAATGACACAAATATTGAATATAAAAGTTAAGACCCAAGCAAGACCATTAAAAAATTTAATGATTCTGAAAAACAATGCTGTCTTGATCTAAAATACACGTCAAACTAAATTGGTTTATGATTTTGTGTTCGCGTTCTCCAAAATGAGCCAGTAGATGGCGCTGTTGGTCAATTTAATATCTCCTTTGACCCGGAAGCAGTACTTGTGTCTCTTTAACAAGGCAGGAAGTTTCTCTCAATGCAACAGTGCATCTGACAGTTGTTGGCTATCATGGCGCTTGATGTAAAATCTCGAGCAAAGCGCTACGAAAAACTAGATTTCCTCGGAGAGGGGCAGGTAGGCTGTGATAGATATTAGTTATTTCGTTGTCCTCGCGTCCATCTTTCTCACTCGTTGCTTCTGGGTTGTAGAATAAAGAGCATAGAAGCATGCAGCTATGTAGCATAAGCTGGTTGTTAATGTCAACAAAGCGATGCTTGTTAAAGCAACAGTGATGCTGAAAGAAAGAAATGTGAATATTGAAGCTCTGCTTTTCTGTGTTCATTGCTTTTATTTTGTCTCCCCTAGTTTGCCACAGTGTACAAAGCCAGAGACAAAATGACCGACACGATAGTTGCTATTAAAAAGGTACAAATTGCTGTGAGTTTGACTTTTGCATCTTAACGCTGTCCTGAACTGATCACTCACCCCATGCTGTTTTTGTTTCTTGAAGATCAAGGTCGGCCACCGAACTGAAGCTAAAGATGGTAAATGTTGCTACAATGCACACATACTAATGCCAAATAATATTAAATGTAATCATTATTGTGATTTTAATCACATGTTACCTTCCTTTCTATAGGTATTAATAGGACTGCTCTCCGAGAAATCAAACTGCTGCAGGAACTTCATCATCAGAACATTATTGGGGTTGGTTACTCTTTAATATATTTCAGTATCATTATATCTTTAAATGTACAAGAAAAAAAAAATTAGGGGAGAGTGGGGTAAGTAGTAGGGATACGGATCAATTTACCCCGCTACTGTGGTCAACTTACCCCATACACGGGGAAAGTTGACCATTGGAGACCACTTTTTTTTTGGTATGCTATATTATCAAGACAGTTATGTTTACACTTATTCTGTTGGTTTGCAGGGATACACAACATCTTGAAATATATGCAGATACACTAGTTAGGGACCAAACTATGATTGCCTTGATGTAGTGATCTGAAATATGAGAAATGGCTTATCTTACCCCACTATCCCGTAAGCTTTCTATACCCTAACTATTCTTTCACATATTGAATTTTCTTTTGGGGATAAATAAGGTTATTTTTATTGTATTTGCTCAGATCATATTGATAGTGATATTGATGTTCACTCTGCTTTCAGCTGCTTGATGCTTTTGGACACAAATCCAACATCAGCCTTGTGTTTGACTTTATGGAAACGGATCTGGAGGTGAGATATTTCCTTTAATCATAAGGAGGAGTTGATGTAACGAGGAGTTTTAGAATGTTTTATATTAAACTATAGACTTGTAGTAAAAAGCTGCACTGAATTCTTATTTCTTATTTTCAATCATTAAAGGGTTATTCCAGCGTAAAATTAATTTAGAGTCAAACACACCGTAACACTGAGTTAGACACCCCCTCGAGAGATGAATGTTGCCCACTGCTTGTTTCTCAAGTTATACCAACTTTAGTAACGACCGCACGATAGCAATACACAGCGGTCTAAGGAGCCACACACAAACCTCAACCAAAACGCCACTCTAAAGCCAGAAATAATGCTCAGAACAGCACCTAACTTCATCAACAGTACATATAGGGTCCCAGCCATAGCACTAGCCACCAAACATCGTTTTAACTTTGCCTGATTTCTTTAGCAAAGAAACGAAACACAACTCACCTACTCTCTTCCAGCAGCTGCTTGTTTGTAGCGAGACCTCAGGCCAGTCCATTACGGACTGCTGCAGGTTGACACAGCTCAAGGAAGAACATTTATGATCATTTCTTCATGGAAATGCAGTCAGACCAAGACAAGGCAGAAGAACTACCGCATCTGCAGTGCAAAATGATTAATATGATGATTATTAATTCAAGGAAATTATAAAGAAATGATCCTAAATATTCTTCCTTGGGGGTGTCTCACTTGGTGTTACCGTGTGTTTGACCCTAACTTAATTTTATGCCGGGAATATCCCTTCAAGCTCAATAAGATGCTTTTAAAAGAATTTGCTTGTAAAACTCTAAACTAAAGAACAGGCCAAAGATTGCTTTAAGAGAACTGATCAACTATTATTGAGAGGTGTAGTGTAAGGTGGCATATAATGTAACTTGGAGAATATGAGCACAACAAAGCTGATAGCAGTAGGAGTTGCGAGGTTTTCTAAGGTCACAAAGGCTGTGAGAGTTCTCTCCACCTCCCCTTCCTTTAGGTGTTTTAGTGCAGTAGGCTCCAGATAGGCGCCCACTGAGGATACATCAGGCTTTTACAGAACGATGCAAAACAAGATAAGCAGGCTGTAAGAAAGATCAATACCACTCTGCTCTCTGCTCTGTCAATGAATTGATGCCATTAGCAGCATGCAGACACACAGAAAAGCCATGAGGATGAAATATGATGCTCATCTCATTACTGATACTAAAAAGCTATTTTAGGCCCCATGCTTAGACTTGAGTGTTAGAGCTTATCAGTCACAGATGTCAGAAGCTTTTCCTGCCATTAGCTTGACCTAGCAGGTTACGGAAGCCAGTGTTATCCTGATGTGGGAGTGGTGGAGGATCTGGGAAAGAGATTGTCTGAGCTGTGTTGTTCAGCTATTTCTTTATGGAGAGATATCTTTGTCTAATTCTCTCATCTCCTCTGATAAGAGTATATTCCAATGAAAAGTGTAGTCTACATCGATGAGTGCATATAAATATTTAAATTTAATGGATGACTAGTCGGATTTGTGAGGGATCCTGATGCACTAAAGCCGGTTTAAAATCTTCAAGGTGATCATCAAAGACACCAGCCTCGTCCTGACTCCAGCCAACATCAAAGCATATATCCTCATGACCCTACAGGGATTAGAGTATATGCACCAACACTGGGTCTTACACAGGGTAAGAAAACTTTTACTACACACACACACACACACATACTCATATCCTCACACACAGTCAGTAAAGTACATTTTACTGCTTTGGTTGTCCAGGATCTGAAGCCCAATAACCTGCTGTTAGATGGTAATGGAATCTTGAAGTTGGCTGATTTTGGTTTGGCAAAAGCATTTGGTAGTCCAAACAGAGTCTACACACATCAAGTTGTCACCAGGTCAGTGCTTTTTGTTTATTTTATCATTGTAGACTTTTTGTACATTCTCCTGATATTCTCCAATCTGTAACAGCCTTTGATTGAAAGTTAATTGCATCCATAAATATCCGCATACGTAGTCTTCTTTTAGTTGAAAAATCTCAAGGTTAACCCAAGTGTGGGGGGCTTCTTTGTAGTCCGTCAGTATGAAGCATCTAGTAAATGGGTAATGATAAAAGTAAAAGCTTTCGTACAATTTTTTTTTTATCAGTTGTAAAATTGATCCCTGTTTCCCTGTTGATGAATCTTGTCTCAGGTGGTACCGCTCCCCCGAGCTCCTGTTTGGTGCCAGAATGTACGGTGTGGGTGTTGATATGTGGGCTGTGGGATGCATCTTGGCAGAGTTACTTCTGCGGGTACATAGACCTCAGATATATAACCTTAGATATTTATACAGTCATGTATGAATGAATGTATCATACAGTAAATAATGTATGCCGCTCCCTGTAGATACCATTTCTTGCTGGAGACTCAGATCTCGACCAGCTGACCAAGATCTTTGAGGCCCTTGGAACACCCACAGAAGAGACATGGCCTGTTGGTGTCTGAATTACCCAGTCTTTGTTAACCTGATTTACTGCTCTAACATAAGAGGATACTTTAATTAATTTGTTTGTTACATATCTTTACAGGGGATGACGAGTCTACCGGACTATGTGTCCTTCAAAATATTTCCTGGCACACCTTTGGAGCATATATTTAGTGCAGCAGGAGATGATTTACTGGAGCTTCTACAGGCTCTCTTTACCTTTAACCCCTCGACAAGAGCCACAGCTACACAGGTAAGACGAGGAACAGCAGCTCTCTCCCATCCATCCAGTTTTTGCTCACTTTCACTCACTTCCGTTGTCTTGTATGGTTTATTGTAGTCAGCTGAAGCCTAAATGTCTTACTGTCCAGTTTGCATATTTAATCTCAAATTACCTTAATTGCATTGCACCAGTGTTTGGCATTTACATTTGGGTTTAGGACTTTGACATTGATTTAAACATGTATTCTGTTGTCCTCGTTTCCAGAACTGATATCAGGTTCATTTCAAATACCACAGCCCTTCTCGATAGCTTTTACTAAACTTATACAGGTTGGACATTTCTGATATGTAGATATTTCAAAAAAGTGATTAATATATTATAACATGTGTCACTGAAAAATGTATCCTATTAAAAACAGTGATCAGCTTGTCAAAACAATGCAATGTTGGGAAATTGAATATTTAAGTCAAAGCTTTTTATGATAGATAGTTTTTTAAATGGCAAGTTTGATGTAAACAACTTTAAGGAAGTTAAAGACTTATTTATTCTCCAAGCTTTCTGTAAGAGATGTAAGTAATTAGATTTTATTTTTTATAGCTGAAAACAATTGTTTCTTCATAGTCCAGATGCATAATTATAATTATTAAAATTATAATAGTCTGTGCAGCTTATGGAGTCCAAGACAAATTTCCCTAAGGGGACAATAAAGTATATCGTATTGTATCGTAACGTATCATATTGAATGTCATGTAAAATACAAAAGGTAAATAACTGATAGGCAGGTTTGAATTATTTTTTTGGAGCAGCAGTTCTTTATTGAAGGTTTTTGCTTTTTATAAAACATCAAGCTTGATTGTGACAATAATAACCCTTTGTACATAATGTGTGATGGCTTGCATTTGTAGCTGAAGGATTTGATGAAAATTGGCAGGTACTTGTGTGATTATTCAGTGTGTATTATTTTTTTATTTCCTCTATTGTTCTCCAGGCACTAAAGATGAGGTACTTTAGCAATAGACCCGGTCCTACTCCAGGTCCACAACTCCCTCGACCCAATTGTTCAGTGGAGGCTCTGAGGGAGAGGGAAACAATGGGGCTAAAGAGGAAAATTGAGGGCCTGGAGACAAGTAAGTAACATGAATCCCTCATTGTTGCTCTATGTACCTATTTAATCCACCAAGTTTACAGAATCTTGACATACCCATAGTTAAATAAAACAGTTGGGTAATGTGGACTGAGCTCCAAAAATGGAAAGTTTATGCTATAAAATGTCTGAGGCTGATTTAAAAAGGAGCTGGTAAGTTTAGAACAACCCACTCAGACCAAACTTACATATGGAAAGTTGTGAATTTTAGCCCAAAGAACCAAGAACCCATGTGTTCTCATGGTCATGCACAGCGCAGGCAAGCACCAAGAAAACCACCAAAGTGAAGCTAGTAATTCAAAGGGAGTTGGCTGCACTTTCAACTGCAGTTAGCGACTCAGAATAAAGTGAAGCAGAACATACACATACACACACATGTAAAGACTGTTTAGTGGATTGTGGCAGTAGGGAATGTTTTAATGAAGGACAGTGTTGGTGTTCCTGGGAGGTTCAAAGCTTTTCCGGCCCCTGTGGTTTTGAAAATGTCTAGGTTCCTTATAGCTGTTCTCCATGCTACAGTATATTACAGTGGGAAATTTAAAATGATTCCTTAAACTCGAGTGGTTAGTGCGTTGCTTATTATAGGTTTGTTGAAACACATTGAACATTTTTGATAAATTATATCCCTTAAAGTCCTTTTTATTAGGTTTGTGACGCCTGTTTTTATGTTACTTCCAGCTGTGATGAAGAAGAAGCTTGTTTTCTGACCAGATGGGACATGCTTCATCTCATCATTGATCTTCACCCCCACATGCTCAGCTTTCCTTCATCACTCAGGATTCTCTGCTGGAATGAAATAAAAATGTCAAATACCAGAAGGATAAGGCTCAGATGGGCTGGGCTTAAGGACATTTTAGAGACGTTCAGCAGGGAATGTTTTTAAACAGCAGAGGCTGATTCTGGGTCAGTTGAGTCAACTCCTTAAGCTCTGGGAGCCTGTTGGAATATGTCTATTTATACAGCTAGAAATGAGAGCTACAAGGCTTGAAGAAAAAGTGTTTGATTTCATGTATGTGTATTTTTATTTTTTGTATGCAAGACCAATAAATGGTGCAAATGAACATCACAAGTTTTGTTGTTAAGTAGAGTTTTGGGATTACTTAAAGCTCCTGTGAGGAACTTTAATTTTGTGTCAGTTTTGGCACCCTCCTGTGGACACAGCAGTCTCTGCTAATCTTGTCCTCTATATGCTTAGGTAGTATTTACAGCTGATTGACTGATACCTACCCCCTCACAGTGGTTTCAGGCATTAAAAATTACAATAAAAATAATCTGATGGTCTTTTTCACTTTAATATTTATTTTTTTTATATTGAATTTAATCTAACATGAATATGAATTTCAGCCAATTACATGCACGTCTAAAAAAATCCTTACAGGAGTTTTAAGCTTATGAAACTCTTATATTCAGAAATCAAGCAGTATCTATTATCAGTTAAGGTTCTGCTGGCTCAGAAATTCACTCAGCAGCCCCACTTTGGTCAAACTGATTCCACATCAAAAGCATCTACACTGTTTCCCCCTTGAGTATGTGAGGTTTATTAGCTTAGGATGTTAGACAAGAGTCAGAGGGAGGGAAGTATGCCTGACAGTGTGTGATTGAATGGCATAAGCTCTGTCTTTAGAGCTTAGACAGGTTGACGCTAGGCTTGACACCAGCTCATGCATCAGAGTCCCACTAAACATGTCTTCCCAGTGTCTAGTCCTCTCAACATAACCGAGCCAATACAGTCTGACAAGTCAGAGGCCTGATGCTCTGGCAGGCGTTCAGCTGCTCTTTTGGTTTTCTGTCAAATAGAATCAGATTTGAGAATGAATCAAGAGGGAAGAAAAAGAAGACAGTGTGTTCAGAAAAGGGCTGCCTTGTGTGGCGGGTGTTTATTCATAGATGTTCACAATACAGCACTGAGAGGGGGCACCGTGACTGTGTGGTGACGTCGGATGACTACAGAATATGTGTTGGCTTATCAGGTCAGATGACAGGTTTTGGCCAACACCAGCACAGCCCGCGCTACAGTATCAGCCTTATCAGCCAAGGCAGTTTTATTGGCCAAGAAAACCACAGTTGCCCACAATCTGGTACAAAATGTCACGTCAGGGATTTGTGGGAGAAACCGATACTTGCCCATGTGTCTGAATCACAGAGATGTGTGTGTGGGTTGAACTGCAAAAGGATGATTAAGACCACATTATGAGCAATAGAGTAGAATTCAATCACAAGTAAAAGATCTCTGTGTGCAGAAGTGCTCTTTAATAAAAATAAAAAAAAACGACTGTGGTATGGAACTTAGTAAGTACAGCTTTATACTCCTTGCAATCCTTGTACGCCCATAGGCTGCATCAAGTGTCAATCATAGAAAACATGAACCCCCTAATAACTTTTAAAAACGAAGCTGCACAGAAAAAAGAGGACTTGAGCACAAACCAGTCTTACAGTAACTACATGTCTACATCACAAGCAGGGGGGAGAAAAAATTACGTTCTGTGTAATAAATTTATAAAGTTTGTCCACAGCTCCATCAGGATGGCAGGAGGAGACGAGATTTATGACCTATACTGCAGCCCGTCACCAGGGTATGTGTCAGAATAATGTGTATAAATGTATATAGAAGTTATCATCTTACTCAAATTCTTATGTAAGAGTTTGCTACAAGTATGAACTGTTTTAACCTCTTGTTACACATCATATAAGAGTGTTTTCTAACTTCTCTCTCCAATAGCTTTATTACACAGCACATGAATGTTTCTTAACTTCTCTGTAACCTTGTTTCTCCTATCAGCAGGTGTGTGTGTGTGTGTGTGTGTGTGTGTGATGTATCCTCCACTGTGAATCGTAGGAAGTAATGAGGAGGATCCGCTCCTATCAGAAGGAGCTCATTTAATGTCAACAATGTTGCCCTGACCCTCACATATTCTCTGTTGTTCATAATTATGCTTTATGAGAGTGCTTACGTTGCTGCACATATTTTTCCCCCATCCTTTAGAAACATTGTGTAACCAGGGACAACCCTAAATAAAGAGACTGGGCGGAAATACCTTTCAGAGTGGTTTTGAGATTGTACCTGATACTATCTCTGTCCATTCTCCTCGAGTATATACCATTGTCTTTCTCTTCTTTATATGTTATCAGGTATTTGGGCAGGTTTTAGACCCAACAGTATGCTGTTCTCAGAGTGGCTTCACCCAGCGAGGAGGCAGACGGCGTCCATTCTTTATACAGTCAATGGGGTTTCCTTTTAATACCACTATGTCCACAGGGGGTGCCAAAATCAAATCAAGAGTTCTTCACTGGAGCTTTAACTTTGAAAACGATTACAATTTCACTTAAGGGTTAAGTCATCATAAAACAACAAAACATTTAGCTGCTATAATAATTGTGTAAATGTCAAATAAAATTTTCTTACAGAGCTTATGTCTTATGCTTAAACTAATGTCAACTTTTCGGCTGTCTGCAGTCATATTTCATGCTATAGCCTAACACATATGACTATTAAACCATCTATCACATTTAGTGCCCTAGTTAGAAAGACTTTTCGTTACTCTCTGATGATTGAAGAGCTTTTTTTTCCCTTTTTTTTTTAGTGTGGGAGCTTATCTTCGTGTTTGGCTTTTTGATGATGATGTGTTCACATTGTGGGAGGAGAGACAGGGAGGAAGTGAGGAGAAGGAGGGGGGGGCAGCAGGAGCAGCGGCAGCGGCTCGCAGGCAGGCAGGCAGTCACGGAGGGAGGTCGGAACAGTTTGAGGATCTGCGCGTTGTTTCCCGTGTGGCTGGGGGGATTTCATGTGGAAGACGAAGAAAGCGACCGAGAAACGCTGAACGCTCATCCTTCTCTGGAACGGAATTTATCTCGTGTCCCCCCTTCAAAATGTGCACCCCGTGTTGTTTATCGCAGGTAAGGAACAACACACTGACATACTGCGAGGTTTTATTGTTGTTTTGAGCTATTGTAGACGGCGGTACGAGGATGAGCTAACGTTCCGTCGGCTCTTCTTTCTGTCTTGTTTACAGTTTGTATGAACGCATCTAATGTAAGCCACTCGCCTCCCGCTAACACGACTAAGCAGGGTCTAAAGTGTCGTGGTGAAACCTCAAACTGCTGTCAGCTACTGTAGGTCATTATAAAAAACGAGAGCATCATGATATGTCAAATGAAAGGATTGAATAACTTCACTGTAGTAACGTTACAGCCGATGTGGGACAAAGAAACTAGCCAAACCGTCACAACAGCCACTCAGTACTGTACCTGCTGCCATCATATGTAAATGTATTCACAGATGTGCTGGATGGAAACGGTTATAAATAGTCGATTTATGGAGTCCAGGCGTGTCTTGTCCACATTATTTAGGTGGCGATAAGTGTATTTTTCCTTTGACTTGCCTTGTTGTGGTTACAATAACGCACAGTTGCACTTCTTAAGAACAGCAACCAAAAGCTTCAGAGCAATCTGAGTAACAGCAAGTAGGCTAGCATACTTTTTTCCTGTCAGGCACATCCACTTAGCTGAAAATGGTTTAATTTTATTACTAAGGATATGCAGGTTGTGAAGTTGCAGACTGTCTCAGGAAAACAGCATTTTCTTACTTGTAGATTACCCATAACAAACTGTATGGTGGATTTAGCTTTATATTGATAATGACGTTAATGCCTGATCAATATAAAAGCTGGCTTGTGAACTCCAAAATAAATAAACAAAGGAGGCCAAAGTCTGGATATAGAGACGATTGAACACCCCTAGAGAAAACAAATAGAAAGTTTGGTGTAATTTAACTGGACAAAACAATGAATTAATATGACTGTTCAAACCACTTTCTGTCACCTTTTCATAGATTAAATCAAGTGGCTAAAAAGGCCATCACCAGAAATTGGCTAAAAACATGCACCAAAAATAGAGGATTGGGTAGAGGTAATGATCGATATATACAGAATGGAGAAGCTGACTTTCTCATCTAGACTAAAAACAGATACTTTCAAAAATTACGTGGGTTGATTTTGTGTCTCAATTGAGAGCAGACTTTGTGTATTGTAAACTGTTGATACCCTTGGTTCAGGCTACAAACTTGTTCATATGTTTATTATGTTTACCCTCCAACAGGAGAAAAGAAACAGTGCAAGAGAGGTATGAAAATAAGGACATGAGTGAAAAGTGTTTCGTTTTACAACACAGTTATTCTACTGTACATTAACTCAAGAAGTTTATCTCTTACTATGTCTCTGCTCTGCCGTGCACAAATATTATATACAGTTGGAAATGTGTTCAAGATATGTAAAATGTTGATGGAATATTGATATGTGAAATCAATAAAAAAGAAAATAAAAAAAAAAGGTTAATTCAAAAAGTATTTAGGAAATTACCACTAGGTAAATAATGGGTGGTTAAAGTTTGGCATTTTACGTATTTGAGGTCTGTAAGTAATGTGGAGTCACTAAAATACCAATACAGCTTATGGTCTAAGTGGTTAAAAAGCGTTTTCTTCTGTGCCTGAGTGCCTCTTTTCCATCCATCAGGATGTGTCTGACCACAGAGCTGGTCTGATCAGTAATTGAATTATACACATCCATCATCTCAATGGAGTTCACTTTTTATTTCCTGCTCTTTTCAAAGACATGAAAACAGGGTAGGACTAAAAGGAAATGAAGAGTAAACAATGAGATCAGTTTTGTGACGCTGTGGCGGTAAACTAATCCCGGTCACAGACACCCTATTTAGTTAAGTCACCGTCTCCTATTTATGTACGTACTTGTAATTAAGTCTTTTTGGGTGTGTGTATGTACCCCTCTTGAGGGTATAAAGGAGCCCGAATGGATGTGTGGTCTGTTAATTTCCTCTTTGGCTCTGAGGTGGAAATAAAGGGAGGGTGGGTTTTGTTTGGGTTAAATTTGGAATAGAGGAGTAGGCACAGTGAGGAAGGAACTCATAATTTCTCAGTGGGATCAGAGATGTATGCCATGTTGTGTTGTGATAGCGGGTTAGCTCTGGTTCAGTGTTTCAGCCAAAGCACAGCAAGCAATTGGCTGTGAGCGTAGGATGGGACTGAGAGCATTTTTGTGAGGTAAATGGCACAGACATGGCAGGGAAGATGAGGCATGAGATGCAAATATATAGTTTTATGCAAATATCCTAGCTAAATCAGCAGGTAATCAAACTTGTTTGGTAAATAGTAGAGATTGGTTAACAGTGTGTTTTTATCTTTTTTGTCGTTTCACAGTGTGTTTGCAATATGAAGTCTATGTTGGCTGCATTTGTGCTAAAGTAATTTGCAATTCTTTACAGATATCCAGTTGAAGTGTCAAGAATATGAAATTAAAATCCACAAATCACCACCCTTACACCTTTTTTTGTAAATAGATTAATAAAAATAAATCTGCCTGTCCTGTCAGAAACTTGTGAAAATGGTTTCCATCAATCCCCCAGGGTCAAAATGATGTCTCAAATAAGCAAAAAAGGTAAAAATGCAAGACATCCAACTGCAAATTGATTAAAAGTAAAAAAATGACACTGACAAAACTTCAACCAGCTACTGTTCATCACTGTTGCATAAAAAACTACTAAAATTATGTGTTTGTTGGACTTGGTAAGTAATCAAAAATGACAGTATTCAACATTGAAACATTAAGCCAACTGTGCAACTCAAACAGCGTGTACTAAAATTTTACAAACAGGTGTGGATAAGCTGACAAATCACTTGACTTGCAATCTATAGCCAAAGTGAATTTAGCCACAAAACATCTGTCAGACCCCCTTCAACATAAATTTCTCAGTTTAACATACGATCTGTATTACTCGCCAACTGTGTTCATGTGTGACATGCCTGCTATTTTCAGCCTCCCCAAAGGAATTTTGCTGTGGTCAGCAGCCCTGCAGGGGTTTGTTTTCTCACACAGATATCACCGGCGATCTTTCTTTCCTTTTGTCTCCTTCTTGACTGTCATGTGGCAGCTTTAAAGTCTTCCTAGCCTTTTCTCGCCCCCTGTTTTCCCAGGTCTTGTCTGTGTTATTTATTAATTTCCTCTCATGAAAGGGAAGAGAGGGATGATGAAACCATGTGAAATGCCAGCTCTGTCCTTGCGTGGGGCCATTAGTATCAGTTGACTTACAGTCAGGCTTAGTGTCAAGGGATTGTTTCAGATTCCGGACAATACCTTGCAGCCCACACTAATAAACAATAGGCTACGTTTTGAGATGAGAAACAAGCCCCTAACCACAGCATGATGTAAAAAGCCTGTTGATCTGAAACCCTTTTGTTTTCTTTCTTCCGGTTCTTGTTCGCTCTGTATCCTGCAGCTACTGCTTTGTCTGCATGAGATTTTTGAGTTTCTGCTCTCTTTTTCTTTTTAAATCTCCACTTTATCTCTGCTATGTCCGCCTTTCTTTCCTGCTCATTGGAACTAACTTTGTCTCTGTCATTTGTAGCTAGGGGGCCATGTTTGCCAAGTGAGAGGCAAAGACTTTCCTTTGTGTATAAGAAACAGAGCAGTGATACATTTTTGCTGTGTGTATACAGCTGCCTAGCTATATAGACAATAGATGGGCTGTCAGTCACAATATAAAGGGAAATAGAGCAGATCTAGATCTGCATCTTTGACCAACCGCAGTCTTGCGTGTAAAAGATCTTAATGTATAGATTTAAGGTGCTCTGTTTCCCCTGTTTCTCTTATTTTTGTCCACTAAGCTCTAAGCTGTGTTGTAATTTGAGATGCCAGGGAGTGTCTTTAGTTTCGTCTGAGCTATTTGTAATGGTTCATTGTGGTAAAATATCCAGAGGCCGCTGTCATTAACCTCCAGCTAATAGGGAGTTCCCAGTTTTAAAGCTGTATGTGGTGAAAGAAAATAGGACAGGGAATAAAGGAGAAAGTCTTAAATCTAATGTATGAATGAACAGCCTCACTGATGGCATAAATCGACCTGAGGGATAGACTCCCACAGTGACAGCCACCTGAGCTGTTCTGCTACATTCTTCCTGTCTGGCTGTTTTGACAGTGCTCATCCCATTTGTGAGTCATGTTTGTGCTGCTGTAATTTCCCTCTGAAAATACAGCTGGTGTTTTTTTTAATCTCTTCTGAAAATATGAAAGTCAACATGTCAGATCAGTTGATTAAAGTTTTTCACTCCTCTTTAGGGGAAGTCTGTGTCATCTTGAGTAGTGTTGTTTTCACTGTCTGCTGCCAAATGTCCGTCATCAGCAGTGCCTTTTTTAGGTTTGTTTTCATTTCTTCCAGGTCTCACTTCCTTATCAGTGGAAGCATTGATGACACATTTAATGGCTGCTGTAACAGAAAACTCCAAAACTAGCTCTGTACTTGTCTCACTAGCTCCTCATTCCCCTTCTTTGTGCTCACTAGGATATAGTGAATGACCTATTTTTGGTTTTGGTGTATCAGATATTGCATAAGCAGTTGCGTCTGCGTGGCTGTGCACACCAGAGTTGACCCCTGTGTGTTGAATTTAGGCAACCCCCACTGTTTCCTGTTTGGTCAGTATTGGTACTCTTTTGCTGCTCAGTCAAAGACGATAGGGTAGCAAAGAATGGAGGAGGAAAACATGGTAGTTATCATCAATGCTCTGCTCGAACCCCAGATGTGGTCAAAGATTCCCTGCGAGGACTGTTAAAGACTTGTTGGTTAAGCATTCAGCTGCGGGTCAGTCTTTTCTTAACAATTGAAGGTCACCCAGTCTTACTCTGGCTCTGTGGTTGCCTGTACTGGCCTTTGGGTTCATTTCCTGAGGGTATTCTCACCACTGTGTCTGATCCACCCTCTACTTTAAGCTGATTCCCGTGAATGTGTGTGTCCTCGTCTTTCTAGCCTTGAACAGCTGGAAGCTGGCCAAGCGTTGGGTGGTGAAGAGTTTTAGGGTAAAGGGCAGCTGGAGATAATGAAGAAAGGGTGGAGAGGAGAAAAATGAATGGAAAAAAGACAAGAGAGGTTGACAATAAGCCCCCCAAATAACAGGGTGGGGGAGGACTCAGGAAAGAGAGTGAAAGAGAACTTTTGGCCTTTGTTTCCTGAGAGTCCTATAATCACTGCATATAGAGATAGAGAGGCTTCAAACCATCAGTAGAGGTTTGTAATAGTCATGGTTTAAGTCTGTGGGTGAACACAGCAGGCGTTTGTAGTCGTATAAGATGATCATCTTTGGGAATAGCTGGTGGGGGGTTGCTTTTGATATCTGAAGCAGGGGTGTGCACTGCAGACACGCCGACCACCTGTCGACATGCTGGTGTGGCAGGCCTTTTGGTCTACAAGGGGGTGGATGGCCCTCAAAGTGCGTAGGGTCAGCAGTGGTTACCATGGATATACTCTTTGTGGATCTATGGTTGGTGGAATTCCCAAAGACATCCCCTTCTAATGCCCCCCTCTCGGCTCTGTCTCAGCGTGCTGTGGGCCCCCTCACCGTGTTTGGAGTTCACTGGTGAAACTCCCCCTTAACTAATGAAAATTAAACACCTTCATGACTCTAATCATCCTGTTTTTTCTTGCTTACTTTCAGCCTGTTGTGGCTAATTAATCGGCAATTGAGAAAGACGCGTGGGTGCAGCGGAGACAAAGGAAAGAGCTTATCCTGTTAAGCTCAGCCCTGTCAAATGGAGACCAGAGACCCTGATGTAAGGGTTGCTTTAGATTCAGGGTTTCAAGTCTTTATATGGATGAAAGCAGATAAAAGTAAATAATGTATGGATGAACAAGCACTTATACAATCATCCATGAGAGGATAAAAGCTCAGCACTGGTGAAACCCGAGAGGGAATAAACTGGTCTCCCTCTTCGTTTGATCTGGCATCAAAGAAGTCTTTGTTTGTTGCACACAACCACTTACCAGAGAGCACAAGGGGGTAAACTTATGAAACTACTTATTTTTCTGCTGTGAGCATTTGAGTATGGACAAAATAATCACATCATAACCATAAGTATATCAATCTATTCAGTTTAATTCAGAGTAAGCAGATGATGTAGTTTACGCTTCCTACTTGAGCCTAAATTCCTGTTTTAAGATGGATTAGTCCTGATTTTTTTCATCTTTTTGAGTTCTCCTTAACATAAAAAAATAACCCCTACCAGGTTCCTATAAAAAAAAAAACACTGAGATGTAAACAAATAAACACTTCTTTTAACACTTCGTTTGTTTCAATATTCAGTTTACAAAGACTGGAATCCTATGCAAGTATGGAAAAGTATGGAAATAAATTTGATCAATTTGCGGGTCTTAAAAAGTATGGAAAATGAAAAAAAAAAAGTATGGAGAAATATATATGTTTGCAGACTATTACCACAGTTCTTAAATACTGTTTACTAAAATAGAAAAGTGGGTATATCCAAAAATAATTCTGAAAAGTAGGGTATGGAAATTCCAGTAGTGTAAGGAAGCTGGCCAAGCGTTGGGTAGTGAACACATTTCTAATACAAAATGTCTGTAATTAGAGCAAAACCAAAAATTGTCTCTGAAATCAATTTTTAAATGGTTTATGTTCTCCCTTCATGGTTTGGATGAACCTCATTGGTCCACAAACATAACACAAAAGTTGCTTAAAGGCTCTGATTGGTTGAACTCCATAGACAACATGTAGAGTATTTACTTGACTCACATGAGGGTGCAGTCTCTCCATGAAGCTGTCTGACTCACAGGAATAGACACACAGATCAGGTGATTTTACAACTGTCTGAGAGCTGAGCACCTGTCTGCTCAAACTTTATCCTTGACTCCTGTGGCACATGAAGATCCAGAAGCTGCAGATCCATCTCCTTGAAATATACAAGAACTGTCTATCCCCCAACATAAAATAGTGATCCTAGGCAGACTTTCAAGGCTCTTTGCAGTAACTTTCTTTTATCTGCGCAGGCTGACGTCATTTTCTCACAACAACTCCTGTCCTTTAAGGTTTAGAAAAACAAAAACACTGAGATACTGGAAGTCAAACTGCATGAGAGAACAGGATGTTCCTGACTGGGCATAAGTCCAACATGTAGCTCCAATTAAACAGAAGTATATGGTATTTAAATATGTACAAACAACTGTTAACCGAGATACATGCATGCACTTCCACATTTTTGTGTCAGCGTTTTTTGCACAGAGATGCTTTCTGCAGTTAGGGTGTGTGTGTGTGTAGTGGTGCACCTTCCTGTTTCCTGTGTTTGGTGATAGACCCACAGTACTTGTGTTCTGACCATAAGTAATGATTAAACTGCACATGTTTGATGTTGATTTCTGTTGTAAAATACGCACCATATTCAAACTAAATGTTGAATTTCGGTGCATGTCTTTATTTACATTCATTCCCAGGTGTCCAGCTTTTTATATCCTGGAAAATTACTTACTGCGTCTCAGAGCAAAAAGAAAAAAATGGAAACTTTAGTGGACACGGGAAACTTGAAATAATGGTCAACTGCTGGAGCGTCTATTTGCTCATTCATGGTTTCTATCACGAGGGACATACCCCTCCTCCTGCCTCAAAGTGGGCATTTTCGGGTCAATTTAGACAGTGAAGTCTTGTCTGCACTAGGTCACAACGACACACACACACACACACACACACACACACACACACACACACACACACACACACACACACACACACACACACACAGGCCTACTCTTTTTCCTGTGACAGGCCCTCATGTAGAAGAACAGTCTGGTAAAGTTCTGTAATTATATAGTGTTATGTATTTATATACCCACCCAATCCTGTGTGTTTGCTTCCACTGCCCACAGATCACACACTGATGCAGGGAGAGGTGCACTTCTGATGTGGTCTCTGGTCAAGGTGTGGTGCACTGCAAGGGCACAGTGGTCTTTAGCTACTGGTGGACTATTTTCTTTTGTGTTCCTCTCCTGTTAGTGTAGGCAAATGCTCAGACTAGAGTGAGAGACAGGGAATTATGGGCAGATGGGAGTAACTTTCCATTGACTGCTGACCTGTCAACAGGTGCTTGTTATGAATATGGCATGAGTCTAACTACAGGCAGAAGTGACCTCATCCTCCAACTTAAAGGGATATTCAGGCGTAAAATTAATTTAGGGTCAAACACACCGTAACACCGAGTTATACACCCCCTCGAGTGATGAATGTTGCCGACTGCTTGCTTCTCTAGTTATACAAACTTTAGTAACGACCGCACGACAGCAACACACAGCGGTATGAGGAGCCATAAAGAAACCTCAACCAAAACGCCACTCTATAGCCACAAATAATGCTCAGAACAGCATTTCTTTATCATTTCCTTGAAGTAATAATCATCATATTAATCATTTTGCACTGCAGACACTGTAGTTCTTCTGCCTTAGCGTCTTGGTCTGATTGCATTTCCATGAAGAAATGATCATAAATTTTCTTCCTTGAGCTGCGTCACCCCGCTGTAGTCCGTAATGAACTGGCCTGAGGTCTTGCTACAAACAAGCAGCTGCTGGAAGAGAGTAGGTGAGTTGTGTTTAGTCTCTTTGCTAAAGAAATTAGGCAAAGTTAAAAAGATATTCGTGGGTAGTGCTATGGCTGCGACCCTATATGTACTGTTGATGAAGTTAGGTGATGTTCTGAGCATTATTTGTGGCCATAGAGCGGTGTTTTGGTTGAGGTTTTTGTGTGGCTCCTCAGACTGCTGTGTATTGCTATCGTGCGGTCGTTACTAAAGATGGTATAACTAGAGAAACAAGCGGTCAGCAACATTAATCTCACGAGGGGGTGTCTAACTCATTGTTACGGTGTGTTTGACCCTAAATATAATTTTATACCGGAATATCCCATTAACTGAACCACAACCAGTGTGCACTACAAAAACACATTGATATGTATAAAATCTGTCAGTCAAACAATGCCAGCACTCAGGGTCCTCTTTTGTTTTTTCTGTAAATGAGTGTAACGATACAAGAGAATGAAATGCAACACGGTTCTTCAGCTGCATACCTAACCAGGACTGTGCACTTGTCAGATTTCTGATTTTTCAAGCCAGAAGGACAGAGCTAATATCATTTCCACAATTCCATGAGATTAGTTCAATTTGCCTCTCCGTCATAACAGTAATCTAAACCGCTGTCTGTGTGTGGGTCCTAAACTGGGGTCTGTAATCTAGCCAGGGTGTACAGATGCAGTAAAGCCAGCGTGAAACATTGTATGATGTGTTGCGTCATGCTTCAAATGCCAGTAATGTGTGGTATGCTGCACACTCGTGGATCCATGCAGGCACATGGTCAGCATCAAGACACTTATCCCACAAGGCTTCAACCCTCCTGCTGTCTGTCCTGATGTCTCCCTGCTAGTCTTCCCTAGACAGAGCACATCATTGATTTGAACCTCAAGCTGTTGAAGGGCTCTTATTAGGTGGACTCTCTGAAGCCATGTGCTGTTGATGTTATGGTTATCTCTACAGATTAACATTTCAAACAAAACTCTTTCTCCACCAGTTTCCCAAGAGCTTGGAAACACATAGTTGTGATTGTTGCTGTAACGCAGGCTGGGTTTAGTGATATCTCTGTCTCTCTATTTCTTTCTTTTTGCATTACTGGATATTGAACTTATTCATCATGTTCATTTCCATGATTGAATACTGTGAAGTAGTTCAGAGTGTAACCTCCATAGCCAAATGGGGGTTGCAAAATAGACACCTGATCCTCTATTATCCAAGTGCCTTTCAAATACATCGTGTCTAATGGCACACAATTATGCAGAGAATTGTGAAAGCAGTACGATACTGATTCAGCGTTCTTTCTTTCTGTCCTCCCTATTGTTCTGTTTGCAGCTGGCCTGCTGCTGCGGCTCAGCAGCCTGCTCGTGCTGCTGTAACTGCTGCCCCAAGATCAAACAGTCCACAGGGACCCGAGTCATGTACGCCCTCTACTTCTTGCTGGTCACCATCCTCTGTGTCATCATGATGTCCCCGACTGTTGAGACGCATATGAAGGAGAATGTAAGTACAAAAATTACATACTCAAATATAGCAGCATGTGTTTGTAGAACTATGTAATTTACAAGTATATTTATATATGTAATTGAGGAGCTTTAACTGTATATACTTTGAAGAACGGGGAAGGGAAAGTGGAACAGCAACATAGAGGAAAGGAAATCTCTCCTCTGAGCTCTGCAAGATCTGTCCAAACACAGGACAGCAAATACATCTTAAAGTTATACAAAGTTCGCTAACACTTTACCAGACGCCTATCTCTATAACGCATTATAATTACATGTATGATGCGTTATAATCATGTTATAGCACTATATAAGTGTAGTTATAAACACTCATAAATGATCATAATGCTTTATAGCAATAATCATAACAAATTACAAAGCATTTTATCATGACTTACAAGGTCGGGTATTATAACGTGTTATGATTATTGCTATAAAGCATAATGATCATTTATGAGTGTTTATAACTATACTCAAACAGTATGCATATATTGATAATGCATTATAGAGATAGGCAATAAATAAAGTGTTACCTAAAGTTCATTACATATGTGAAATGCTTTCTGGAGAGTTGGCAGGTTTTCAGAACATCAACCTATTCAAATGTCATCCTTTATTTATATGTTTTCATTCTTTGTGAAGACTGCAGCGTAAGTGAGAGGGGCCTATTGATTTTCTACACACAGTGACACATGGGAGTTCCAGCTCTGTTTTGAGTTTTTGAATGGGATCATCTTGCGCACACAGCTGCTTTCTGGAAAATGTAGGACAGAAGAAGTACTAACTCATGTCTCCATAAACTTGCAGAAATGACATAAACCAAGGTCTGGGTGTCATTAGATAGTACAGTGCTTTGGTCAAAAGCCGTGCTAACTAAAAACAGGACTGAAAGAGAAAATCTGAGAGGAATTAGATTTGTAGGTCACATGCTCTCCAGACATGTTGAAACTGGGTGTTGTCTTGCTGGGTGAGCCAACATTTATTTTTTGCGCTTTGCTATAAACAGAACAGTCTTTCAGAGTCGTACTGGGGTTGGTTTGTCAGTGCCAAAAGGCAAAATTAAAGATTGATAACACTGCAAGGCAGACAACCTACTTCTTTATCTGGAGACTCCTGTGTGTGTTCACAGCAGGAAGGCCACAGTCTAGAAGGCAGGAGTTCAGGCTGCTAGCTTTTGTTTTAAACCGCCCACCTTACCTCTAAGGCTGTGGGAGGATACACAGGAGGCCTACTGCTCTCTTTCTTTTGATCTCTGTGACTTTCATGGTGTTTATTCCTCCGTGTTGCCTCTTTGATGAATCATGATGCAATGAATTATTATCAGAGCAACTCTTTCTGTGGTTGTTTCTGATAGAATCTAACTCAGAGTTTTTCAGTGAGTGCTCTCGTCCTCACCAAGCAGGTGTGTCAGAGTGCAGACATGAATTATTTCCTGACTCATCACAATCTCGTTTGTTTCCTTTACTAATATTCATATCTGAATATCTGAACTTGACAAGTAATACTGTTGTCTTGAGGCATATTCACACTGCATAGTAAGGGTGGGAGAAAAAATCGATACAGCATAATATCATGATATTTTGTCTAGTGATATATCGTATCGTCTCATTGGCCAAGTATCGATTTTTCAAGTTGCTAATATTATTATAAAGTTATGATGTGTTTGAGTTACCTCAGAAGTCAGATGTCGAAGCTGGGAATGACGTCACACCCGAGTTACCAGCACCAAGTCGAAAAGAAAGCAAAATCGGAGGTGGAAACAAGATGGCTACATCTACAAAAGTTATTTTAGCGCTTGCCATGTCCTTGCCTATATTCGGACAAGGCAAGTGTTAAAATAACTTTCATAGATGTAGCCATCTTGTTTCCGCCTCTGATTTCGCTTTTTTCCGACTTGGTAACCGAAACGCTGTTAACTCGGGTGTGACGTCATTCCCAGCTCAGACTTCTGGCTTCAAAGATAACTCGAACGCAGCATTAGTGCAACAAATATATATATAAGGTTTTCAAGATGTGCGACATGAAAATAAAATACAACGTAAATAAGACAAACATAAAGGAAAGCCAAAAGCTAAATTAGCTAAATAGTTGAAAAAATTGTATGGATCGCAACATATTTTATCGCAATACTCAGTGTATTGCAAAATGTTAAAAAACACAAAAATATCGTATTGTGGCCCAAGTATCGCGATAATATCGTATCATGGGGCCACTAGTGATTCCCACCCTTACTGCATAGTACTGTAGAAAACAACTAAGGAGTCAGTCTGAAGACAGAGATACTGCATTTTTCCTCCAGTCTTCCTTTGCTGTTTGTTATTCTTGAGCTTTTTTGGCATCCGCTCCAAACAGCTCCCGACTGTCTTTCTACTTATGAGAGGGGAACCCCATAAAAGCCCCCGAATGGTCTCTGATAGCCTGTGCAGATCCTGCTGAGTTACACACAAATATATGAACATGTATACAACGCTGTCAGCTCCACACTGAGCATAGCGGGACGTCCCAGCTAAAAGAGCAGCCATTGTGTGAATGAGAGAGTGCTGTTCTTTTCTCAAGAGATTTACAGCTGTCTGAATCAGCCCCTCTCCCTCTTAATCACGACACCATGGACATGCTAATATGGTCCTCGACATGAGACAAAAGCGCCAAAATGGGCTTTTTACTTGATGTTGTAATGTGGCTCTGGACTGTGCTTCACACTAAAGGGATGACAACTCAATCCTCTAGCGTCTCACCTGTGCGTTCAAAAACTTCAATACTCAGGTGCCACAACAAGGCCAAAAACATCTCAAGCCATCGGTTCTCTTAAAGTAAAGACCTTCAGTTTTTATTTTAGTTTCCCAAAAAGCCGCTGAAGTACTTCCACTTATTTTTAGAAGCAACATTGACGTGCTGATCCACTTCAATGACTCTGATTTTGCTTTTCTCTTTGATTTTGCAGCTCATTTTCCCGTCGGTCAAAATAAAGTTCATGGGATTGTATTTTCACTCGGGTTTCTCTGTCTTTCTCCTGCTCTTCCTGCTTCCCACTCCTCCCAATCCTTCTGACTTGCTGACAAGAGGCGGTTAATTTATTCATCTGTGTCTTTTGTTTGTGTACACTGACAGTTGGTTGTAAGGCCCCTCTAACAGCCTGTAGAGAAGGAGGAATGAAAGAGGGTTTCATGGAGAGAAAGAGGGGTTGTTGTTGCTGCCTGTTCTCTCTTTCTGCCGCTTTAGAGGCGTGACGCTCAGAATAGCAGCTATTGGGCCTATTCTCAGAAGCTGCACTCTGGACAAGCTGAAGAGGGTTGTTGATTTATTTCTCAAGATCATAATGATCTAATCAAAGTGTTTGATTTTTGTTTTCCAATTAGATCCCCTACTACAATGATCTGTGTGAAAAGTTGAACGCAGGAGAGAACTGCAAAACACTGGTGGGCTACTCGGCTGTCTACAAGGTGTGCTTTGGCATGTCCTGCTTCTTCTTATTCTTCTGTTTGTTCACCATCCGAGTCAATAACAGTGAAGGCTGCAGGGCAGCTGTGCACAATGGGTAAGAAGGCTTTGTTGTCTCCCTCTCCACCTTTTACCATGCCAGTCAATAAACAATTACCTCTCGGGGAAAACAAATGTGTGTAGTTTCAGTTAAAAGATTTTAAGAAAGGGCCACACAGATGTTTTTATACTTGACTGAACATTATAGGCAGGGTTTTAGTTGCACTTGCAGTGGTCAGCTCAGTTCAGGGTTAACACAAACCTCAAGCAATGACTGAATCTTGACTGTTGTCAGTCTGTCATGTTTCATTATTTTATTGATTTAAGTTTTTTCCTACTACAGTAGTTAAAATAAATTTTGAGTTGTGATTCTGTTTTTTCTGTGCAAACTAAATCTCTGCTCTGACTGCAGGTTCTGGTTGCTGAAGTTCATCGTACTGGCAGCATGCTGCGCTGGAGGTTTCTTCATCCCAGGAGAGGAAACTTTTCTTGAAGGTGAAGATAATAACACTCAGCCTTAGAAAAACAAATGGTAACACTTTACTTGACGCCTATCCCCTATAATCACATTATAGCACTGTTAAAATATAGTTATAAACACTCATAAATGATCATAATGCTTTATAGCAATAATCATAACACGTTATAAAGAATTTTATCATGACTTACAAGGTCAGGTATTATAATGTGTTATAACTGTTAACAACTCACGGACAATGCCCACATAGATAATACATTATACATATATTTGTGATGTGTTATAATTTGCTTATAAACTTGTATAACTATCATTATAAACACTCATGAATTATCATAAGGCTTTATAACAATAATCATAACACATTATAAAGCATTTTATCATGACTTACAAGGTCAGGTATTCTAATGTGTTATGATTATTGCTATAAAGCATTATGATCATTTATGATTGTTTATAGCTATAGTTATACAGTGCTATAACATGATTATAACGGGTAATAAATATGTATTGGTAATGCGTTGTATAGATAGGCATCAAGTAAAGTGTTACCCAAATAATAAATAATAAAGGATTGCTTGATAACATCAACCATTAATATATTCGAGTATTATTTCTTGTGTTACTTAAAATAAGCATACACCCAACGTTAGATCTTCTCCTTGCTAAAAACAAATGGTTTCTCCTTATGCCACAGTTTGGCGGTATGTAGGAGCAGCCTGTGGGTCCATCTTCCTGCTGATCCAGCTCATGCTGCTGGTGGAGTTTGCACACAGATGGAACACGAACTGGTGAGAATGAAAAATTCACTTTTGTCTCAGTAAATTCGAGTTTGTCTCACTTGTGTGCGCACAGTTATCATGTAAATAGGAGCATGGGAGAGGGTGGGACATGTTATTCTATGGGTTGATTTGTATTAAAAGTTGGGAAACAGAATATTGTAGCCATGGGGGTTTTGGGGTGGAAAGGTGGTAGTAATGCTGCGTTCCAGTTGTACTCAGAAGTCGGAATTTCGAGCTCCAAGTCGGAAATTAATCTGAAACGTCCCCCTTAAGTTGGATTTCCAACTCGTAAAGTTAGGCAATCCTCACCAACCCCGACCTGACAATAACGTCATAACCCAAGATGGAAGCGCAGCGCATCAACAGTAAAGAGTAACAGTGAAAGCTCCCACAATGTATTATGTATCAGCACTTCTGTTTTGTTTTTGTGAAATAAAATAAATGGTATATGTTGTACTGCCAAACATCTAACTGTGAACACCGTGCTATGGTGTTTGTAAAAGTAAAAAAATGTGTTACGCGATGTTTACAACTGGTATAACTAAAAACAACTAACAACAGCTGACAACCGCTGACAACAACTGACAATGGCCAATGACAGCTGACAATTGTAAACAACAGCTAGCAATGGCTAACAGTAGGCGTCCATCTTGGTTTTCCGACTTGTTTACTGGAACGCCGTCATCTTAGGTGTAGCGTCATTTCCAGCTCCGACACCCGACCTTCAAGATAATTGGAACGCAGCATGTTTGACTTAAAGGAAGAAAAGACAAGTTTATTTCATTGTTATTTGTATCTGTTAACATTTGACTTTGAACTTGGGAGGTTTTGTAGTAGATGGATGACAAAAGATGCAATCCAGCCCATGAACCCTCAGTGAATAAACAAACACTTGGCCTTCTTTCTGTCAGAGTTGAGTGGCCTTGCGCTTGGAGTTCCCCCTCTCCACACTAACACACACATACCACAGCAGACTGTATGACTTTCTTTTTCTTTTATTCCTGTGTACAAAATAGGGAAATTTCCAGATAAAGTAAAACTGAAGTTAAAACAATTAGAAAACCATGAACCTATCCTCTTGTTTCCTCAGGCATTGAAATAACTAAAGAAACCTTTCTCTTCCTTTGAAATTTTTTTAGGACAGTCTTGCCCGAGTCCGTTTTCTTTGTGTTTTCCCCCCATTCACTTGATCTTTTTACTTATTTAATTTCCTTTACCCTTGTTCATGTTGTTTTGTTTTTCTTTTTCTACTGTCTGTTTTCTCCCTCTCCTCTCTTCCTGTCTGCAGGAGTTCTGGGGTGAAGTACAATCGGCTGTGGTACGCAGCTTTGGCATTTGTGACTCTGATGCTCTTCACCGCCGCTGTCGGAGCCGTTGTCTTCATGGGTGTTTATTACACCCACCCCGAGGCATGTTTACTAAACAAGATCTTCCTGGGTATCAACGGCAGCCTGTGTCTCATCGTCTCGCTTTTGGCCATTTCTCCATGCATACAGAAATGTAAGGACTCGTGCTCATAGTCACATTATCTCATATGAACTTCTAATGCAAGTGGAAGGATGTAGACTTAAAAAATAACTGCTGTAATGCAGAATTGGGATTTAAGTAATCACAAATTTAACTATTAGATTACTTTAACTACATATGCATCTTTTTAGTTATCTCGTTTAGTGACGTTTTGAAAGTAACCCCTGCTTTTATTGTCTTTGCAGTGCAGCCCACATCAGGCCTGCTTCAGCCTGGAGTCATCAGTTGTTACGTCATGTACCTCACCTTCTCAGCCTTCACCAGCAAACCAAAAGAGGGTGAGTATGAAAGAAACCAACGCTCAGCTTTATGCTTTTATCAACAGGTGTTATTCATATCATGAGTCAGAGGTTTGGCTTACTAATGCTGCAGCAAAACCTACTTAGACAGACTATCTTTGAAGAAGTACACAAAACCGCAGAAACACAGTCTTAGTCGTAGGAAAGGGAGATGAAATGATAGAGATAAAAATTGTGTTTTTAAAATCTTTGGGTTCCAATTTCCACTGTAGTTTTAAAGAATACATACCATGAATATGATATCAGAGATGCCATATTGTAAATATGACTTTATGTTTTTGAAATCAGCACGCCTCCTTTGATACACTGAAGTATTCTACATTGAGTTTTTGCTCTTACTCTTTGTTGTACTATCTCCTCTTTCCCTCCTCCTTCTCTCACTGCTGCTTATTGCATGCCAAAACACACACATTCTCACTGCACCTTTCACTATGTCACTCACTGCTTTTAATACCCCCCTTCTTCTGTGTCTATCACCTCATCCATCTCTGTCTGCACATTATTTCTGTCCAGCGGTGGAGATAAATGGTGTGAACACAACCGTGTGTGTTTTTCCCTTCAACTCTGGACTGGAGGGGGACAAGAAGATTGTCACTTTCTTGGGAACTGTTATCCTGTTCGGCTGTATCCTTTACTCTTGGTAAGACACACACACTCACACACACCTCACTTCAGTTTTTTTTCTATTTCAATGTCCAGAAACGGATCAAATTATCTTGCAGTTTATCTTTTTTTGTGTTTGATCATTGACTTAACAGAGATAAGAGACGGATTAAAGGCAACAGTACAATCCCAGTGACCACCAATTTGTTATAAACGATATGAAATGAAAAAGAAAAACATTCCCCATACAACAGGCTGCAGAGACAAGGACAGGGCTTTTTGATTGGCTGTGACTCAGGAGAAACAGTTTGTGATTGGCTATGGTGAAGCTAGGGGTGAGAGAGTGGAGAAATGTGAGGGTTTTTTTTTTTTTGCGTTTCTTCACATGTGTTTTCCATCAAGCATAGGCATCATGTCTCTTGTGGTCGTTCCTTGAAGGAAGGGAATTGGACTGCGCAGTTGTTTGAAACTGCAAATTATTGGAAAAATACACAGAGAGTGAATTACAACCTTTCTCCCTCTCCTTCCATCTGTCTTTCTATCTCTTTTTTTCCGCTCTCCTTCCAGCCTGACATCCACCACCAGGAGAAGCTCTGCAGCACTTCGAGTTTGCAGGAATAGTGAGCCAGAGACCGAGGTAAACACAGAGACATTCAGGTCATGGGTGTGTAGTTAAGAAAATATACAGACTAAGAGGAAATGAACACCTCACTGAAAAAGCTCTCCTCATCAGACATCCTTAAGATAAATGAAAGAAAACAGATTAAACCCGAGGGACATCATGTGTGTATTTTTCGGGGGTTTTTCACCTGCTTGTTTTTCGCTTTCTTGCAGAGAGCTCGATGCTGTTTCTGTTTTGGAGATGATACAGGTGAGGAAAGTTTCCCCACCCCCACACTCCCATCACATCTTAACCCCCCACCCCCACCCCGAGCCTGCTCAGTGTGTACGCATATGTCCCCAGTCGCACACAAAAGGGCCGCGCTCATTGCTATTCCTCAGCCCGACTGAGGATGGTGAGAAAGTATTGGTCAGCAAACACAGATGATGTCACTGTTACTAGGAGGTTAGTATGACACATTGAAGCAGGACCAGCAGCGGTTTGGGAGTATGGGAAGGCTGACACTGCCCCCTGCTGGACATGTAATATTCTATTTTCCAATATATACCCACCAGAAAGGGCTGTACACCCCTTTAAGTAACATTTCCTTTAAATTAGTCGTCATTTTAGGACTTTTCAGCATAACCATTGTCTAATACTGAAAGTTTCACTCATCCACATCCTTCTTGCAACATTTCTTCTCTGCTTTAGATGACTATGATGAGGAGAAGACTGGTTCTGGACAGAATGTTTTGTACGATGAGAAAGAGGCAACCATTTACAGCTACGCCTACTTCCACTTTGTCTTCTTCCTGGGATCGCTCTATGTCATGATGACCGTCACCAACTGGTTCAAGTGAGTGATACTTAGCTTGATGCACATTCTGATTTTGCTGTAGTCCGATTTTACTCAGTAATTTGTATCTGATCAGACTAAGGAAAATAAAATAAGTTTACAAAAAAATGATATGCCGTTGCTACATTTATAAGGTTGCAGTCAAACTTCAAACTGGCCAAACAGCTCTATAAAAATAAGCCCTCCAAGACTCACCTCCTTTCAACGTGTCAATAATTCTTATTTCAGAGCTGAACTGTCAGTAGCACATGACAGCACTTTACCTCTGCAAAAGAGACAAGAGAAAAGAGACAATGTACCTGATGATTTACTTTGGCAAGAAATTTATTGTAATGAATGAAACTCATCTTATTTCCACAAATAAGCCTCTTTTAAAGCACACCTAATGACAAGTACATTTCATATTTATTTGATCTGTTTAATATTGATAATTAGGGAGGCACAATACTGGACTTTGCAAACATCTGACTTTCAAGCTTATTTTGCCAATATCTTTATCATTACCAAACCACACGTCAGCCCACATCTTTAACCACGCTGAAAGGCTGGTTGTCAGAAGCAATGAGTTCAGTGTTTCTCTCAGTAAGCTTCTTTATCTTTGGGTAGTCTCTGCTTTAATTTTTAATTCTCTTGATTTACTAAAGAAGAGGCTTCTTTTAGGTTTTTGCTAGCACTTTAAGTTCTTTTCAGAAACTTTTGGTACTTTAGGACAGCAGGTATTCAGATGTACAGTTAAAATAAATAAGTATCTGTAATGTCATAAGCTGCACCTGCTACATGATAAGATAAAGTCTGCGGTCTCATTTCTCTGGAGTTATAAACACCCACCAGTGTTCAAATAAAGTATTCTGATTCTGGTTTTGATTCTGATCATCAGCCAGTGAAAGAGTGAAAGAGGAGTTTGTTTCACTTGATTGTGCACACTCTCCGTTGATGCGTGGTATAACTGGAGAGTGTGAACTTAATTTGCAATAGTGTGGTCAAGTTGACTTTCTGCTGTCCTCAGCGTTCACTGCTAATCTTACCGAGCTGTTTGTTATGGTTTTCACGTCTGTCCTTCTCTGCGCCTTTTCTCAGTCCTCTCTTTGCTTCTCTTGCAGTTACGACAATCATGATATTGAGAAGCTGTTGGATGGGAGCTGGTCGGTGTACTGGCTCAAGATGGCCTCCTGCTGGGTCTGTCTTATCCTCTACATGTGGACCCTCATTGCCCCCATGGTCTGCCCGAAGCGCTTTGAAGCCTAGGACAGGCATCGCTTCAGTGGAGTCAGACTGCTCTAATTCTTGGGTTGAAGCTCGCACGCTGAGCCAAGGGACCACCACAATCCCCTTTACGGTGAAACACAACCTGACACTACCCTCAGTGTTTCAAATGGAGGATAATCTGTTGCCTTTTGTTTTATAAGCCTGGGTTTTTGTTCAATTTTTACTTTGTTTTTTAATGTTAAGCTTTTAATATCTGAATGATAACTGTGTCATCTTTTACTACCACTTACTCCTGAAGTTTTGTATTTCTTAAAAGTTTGAAATATACAAAGCGTTATGGAGTTGAGCTACGTTTTTTGAATATGCGAAGTGTCCTGCACTCATAGATTCCTCTGTCATCTTTAAATGCTTTCTCTGTGTTTATCAGCTTTTCCTTTTTTTTACATTCACTCTCATCCAGGCATTTCAGTTCAGTTTTGTACAGTTGGAACATAAAGTTTTGGGACAAATTTATTACAGGCAAATGTCACAAGAGAAATTGTATTTATTAAGGTGTGTCTAAAGCTATCCGAAATCATTTGTGAAGAAATGCAGCGCTGAATTAGATTTGTCCTTGGCTTTGTTGAAAACCTCATCTCTCAGGCTCAGATGTAAGCTGATTTTGTTTACTCTTTGTTGTTGCGCCCTTTTGTAGAAGTTTTCTATGCAACAGAACAAGCTCTTTTCAATATTATATACATTTAGTGTTGTGCAGCTTCCTGTTACACTTCAGAGATTTGATGTCTCAGATTTTAATATCGTCAGTGCTCCCTTTGAGCAAGACGTTTTTCTTAGGAAAATCCATGTCCAACATTTCCATTCATACTCGTTGTGAAACAGGGCAGTGCTCTTTAAGTCAACCTGCCTTACGTAAGAGTGACGTTAGTCTTTATGTTCGTGAAGTGTCCCTTTTTTGAATGACCACGAGTTGGTTTGTTTGCCAAAGGTAGATGTAAGAAAATAACATGACTCATCGTTTGGTTGGTTATGGTGAAAAATAAGAACATCTTGTATTTGCATGCTCACGCAGACTCTTAAAATCAGCTGTTTTTTGTACAGTTTTAAAGGCTTGTTACCTTGATTTTGTTACATGTGTCAGCTCATAACAGAGGTCAGACTTAAGTAGCATGAGTACTTTTATTCGAGTTATTCAACACTGGATGTTGAGTTTACTGCCAAATTTGAAATCCACAAAGACCTTCACCTGTTTGTTTACTGTGTAACAGTTTATTGTCGTGTAAAGACACAAATCATTGCACATCATTGCAAGTTGTTTCTTATTCGTCTTTAATAAATCAGATCATTCCCGTCTGATCTTACAGTAGCATTAATATGTTTCGTAATACCTTTATGTACTTTCTGGCTACAGTTCTGTGATCGGTCTCATTGACTTCTGCTTAATAAACCTGAAGATTTTGTTATTCAACTGTAAGTTCCTGTGAGGAGTTCATAGTTTGTTTTTAAAAAGGCTTAAATCTATCTATCTATTATTAAATCTACAGCCAGTAAGGTGCCAGACAAACTAATTACACACTGCAGAAACAGCCTTTTTTTTGTTTACAATGTCCACAACAATAGTACTTGACTAAAGGTACATTTTGACTGCTCCAAAGCAGGAAATCTTTATTTGTCCAACAACACCTACTTAAGCCTGGGCACAAGATCCGACACCTGATAAAAAATACTGTTTTGTCCCCCAGGGTTGTCAAAACCAACATAAACTGAAAGTTCCTCACAAGAGCTTAAAGTTGTTAACTATTCTGTATTTCAACTATTAGTGCGAATCTTGAAGTTAAATGGTGCTCTGCAGCTTTGATACCAAGCAACAAAGTCAATATGAAATCAGACAGCGGGGCTCTCAGTGAAGGCTGTTTGATGCTTAAACAAACTGGAACTCATTTTGACCAAGAAGTGTGTTCCAAATACAGAAACCTGGTTCATACTCTGTCAATAAAACACCCATTGAACCCCACATTTGGTGTCTTTGTTCACTGACGTGGTTTTTCAACACAGACAAACATCAAAATGAACTTGTGTTTAAAAAAAAATTTAGACTTTTTTTTGCGAAATGCAGAAAATTTTATTGGACTTACTGGATATTAACAAACAAACTTCATCTTTAATAGTACTCAGAATAATGACAAAATTCGCAGGCGATATCCCGTGGACAAACACAGACCTGATCATTCAAACAGGAGTGCACTTGCTTTAGCTAACTAATGAAATGATATAATGCCCTCAGTTATGCTGACTGTATTGAATGACAAAGTTAAAATACCATCTTCAAATATTTCCTCCAAAGCTGTTCCCTGTGGTCCCTCTCATCTTTATTTCTCAGTTTATCCCAAGTCTTCATCTTGGCCCTTTTATATGTTCTCAACAGGCCTCTTCACCCTCTTCTTTACTGCGTGCTTTGGGCACTGAGATCCTCATAGTCGTGGGGAATAGTGTCTGTGGAGAGAAGAAATGAAACTCTTAAGCTCTCAGTGATACTTATAGTGGACAGAGCAGGTGCTCAAATCTTGCAGACTCTCACCGTTGCATCTGTACTTCAGATTGGACCAGATGATATTCTCCTGTGAGAAGCAGAAGACGCCCAGTCTCCCTCCTCTCATACTGGTGTCAGTAATGACCCCTGTGTCTGCCACCAGGTCTGACCCCTCAAAGAAGCGAGCCCTGGTTCACAGAGGAGGTGAATTAGTCCCACATTTCATTCATTGTGTGTGTATTTCTGCCCAACTGTGAGTGAGTGACTGTGTCTTTTTGTACCTGATATATCCTACTTGTGGTCTGTGCTGGAGGAACCAACGGTAGGAGACCTTATCTTTCCAGCCCACATTCCTTGGGTCCTTCCACAGGAGAGTAACCTGGTCTTGGGTGTCACCTGTGTGCCAGAGGGAGTTCCTCAAATATTCACCAGGACCTGTCTTAGATTTCACAGCCTGGGGGATAAAGAGGGCAGTAACATGAGACTGGGAGATTCCTAACTTTATGAATGACATGTTTGGAGTTGACTTATGTGACTAATTCTTAAAAAATGAAAGATTTTCAGGATTTGAAAGTTGGCCAGCACACAGTAAAACTAAAAGACCAGACTTATTTTTAGTCGGTAAATTGAGAAGTCATGGTGAATTGACACTTTAATAAATTTTTCTTGCAAATAACAAACTCAGTACTTTAATATCTTATCAATACGTCTGTTTTCCTTTTCACCTTCCTCATCTTTTTGATGTATCCAAGGTGATTAATTCTCATGTTGCTACAGATAGTCGAAGACCTAACCTGCCTCTGGAGTTGTGACCGGGTAGCTGCAGATTATAAACCACTTGAACCCACGTTTTACCTTAAGTTGTATCCCAGGATCAGCAACTGCCCTGAAGGGTGCAGCCTGCCAGTACGTCTGCTCTGTCTGTTTCCACATCACCACATAGAAGGAGGAGGAGTCCTGGTAGCCAAAGATGAAGCCAGCGTAGTCATCGTCAGTCACAGTGTTCACATGGAAGGTACCCTCGAAGTCAACCCCACTGAAAGCTGTGTAGCCTAACAATATGGATGGTAACAAAAAAAAACACAACATGGTGGGAAACAGCTAAGAAAATATGAAGAAAATGTGTCATACCTTATAATTAAAACATCGTCTGAGGTGAGGCAGAATGAGGGTTTACTTACCTACTGCAAGGCCGGGGTCAGAGTTCATGGTCTGAACAATCTCCATGCCCTGTAAGCATCAAAACAGAGAAGCTTCACTTTATTTGGTGTTGTTAAAATTCAACATAAGTAGCATAATCCTCGTCTTAAAAACATTTTAATTTTTCAACAACAAGCACATTTTTACACTCATTTTGTCGTGACAACATCATAAGACTGTAATGTAACACAAAGCTAAAAATAAGACAGTGTCACAGAGGCTAGCTAAGAATAAAGGGTTGGTTTTCCTTTACCTGGTTGAGGACTACCCAGTTGGGGTCAATCTGAGAGTCCCCTTCTGGGTCCAGCACTACAGTCTGATAGGCTCTGAAGTCAGTTAGGGTGACTTCAGCGTTCTCTGGGCAGTGGTCGATTATGTCAATGACATTATCTTTGTCAAAATCTCCTTCACAGGCGTCTCCAACATTGTTTTCTGAAATATGAGGGCGCAGCTTAAGAAGAACACAAATACTGTCTACACAGAGAGCGCAAATACTACACACATGCTGCCACAGGGACAAAGACTAAGTGATACTAACTGTCTGTGTCCTTCTGGTCTGGGTTAGGGACCAATCTGCAGTTGTCATCATCATCCAGTATACCGTCATTATCATCATCATCATCACAATCATCTCCCTATGAAGAAATAACGGCACATTTGGAGTATGGGGATGGCATCTGTATGTCAAAACACATGAGATGATCAAACAAATAAAAAGAAAGGTAGCAAACCATCCCGTCTTTGTCGGTGTCCAGCTGAGAAGAGTTGATGACTGTGGGACAGTTATCCTTTGAGTCCTGGTGTCCGTCACCGTCACTGAAAAGAGGAGTTGTGCCGGTAAAACAGATCATTAAAAATGTCTCATTTTAATGGTTTGGATGAACTTAATCACTCCTGTCACCACACAGACATCAGTGTAGACAAAGTGCTTCAGTCTGGATCATAGTTTGACATAACTTACTATTACTTCTTTAAGATTTTCTACCAAACAGTTATACCGAGAAAGTTGTCACTGCTGTGTTTTTACTCCAAAGAATGCTCAACTGATGTTCTCAAAGCTTTTCTGTCTGGTCATGAAGGTGGGCTCTACCTGTCGATGTTGTTGTCACATGTATCTCCAACAAGATCATCATCTGAGTCAGACTGTAGGGAGAAAACACCTTCACGGTTAGAGCTACGAGGCAAGTCTTGTCTTTTGTTTGGGTTGTTCCTTAATTTCTTTCACCTGGTTAGGGTTGAACATGTCAGGGCAGCTGTCACAGACATCTCCCACCCCATCCTTGTCCTGGTCTTTCTGGTCAGGGTTGGGAAATCTCGGACAGTTATCAAGAATATTCTTCAAACCTGTGAACATGATTTATGAGTCGAGTGTTAAAACCCCCTGACAGGGGAGAAAGCAAAACACAGCGTGACAGTATGCAGCTACAGTATACAGACAGAGGCTGTCGAATGCATCAGCAGATGGCAGTGTTTGTTTAAGGCAAAGGTGAAATAGTTTCCAGTGGCCTTCAATGCCTGGCGGAGGCTTTAAGTGGAAAAATGCTTTGAGAGAGGAGACAGACATGACCAAGCGCTCAGCAATCCCGTCCTGGAGTTGAAGACATAACCAAATGATCAAGAGTTTGGAGTGCCGCCAAACTGAATGAGCATGGGTCACTACACAAAGTCTTAACATGCAACCTGCGTAAGCTTTTAAAGGTAAACACAGAGGCACACACACATACACAATGGGAACAAGTTCAAACTGTGTTTCCAGTGGAACAAATGAGATGTGCTCTAAAAGAGCCATCAAGTGAGGTATGTGAGAAAAGTTTGTGGGATAACACGTATAATTCCAGTTGGGACAGTTTAACATTCAACACTGTTTTCTGCTGTTTTTAAAACTGTAATAACCTTTGGGTTGTTTTCCTGAAAGCTGGTGATCTAAGTGGTAGAGGATGTGAATTGGAAACAGACATTTAAAAAAAAAACCTGGAGGATGTTTTGAACAGATAAATTGCTGCCCCTCTGTACTTTTTCCTAGACAGGGTGGTAAGAGTTGTGTTCTTGTCCAGACAGCCTGCGGTTTGGATAACTCTCACAGACACGGTAGTCTTTTAATGTGATTATCAGCCATTAGGTTTCAAGATGCCTTCCAAACTTCATTACCTCAAACTGGAGCAATAAAAGCCATAATGAACACATTATTACACCTCCCACAGAACAGCCTTTTTAGTCACTTTACCCATGTACAAACATGGTGGTAACAGTCCTGGAGGTACGGAGAAATCACAGAATATATCATTTGTTCATCAAAAATCCACTTACCATCATTGTCCATATCATCATCACACTCATCTCCCAGCCCATCCTTATCAATATCCCTCTGAGAAGGATTATCAACTGTTACGCAGTTGTCACAAGCATCGCCATGGAGATCCTTATCGCTGTTCCTCTGGTCCACATTTGGTACAAGCCAGCAGTTGTCCTGAGACAAATCAGTCATATTTTACTTTGTAGTTAATCAAACATAGGTAAAAGGTTTTGATTTTAGACCCAAAACTTTGTGGGAGTATCCTACGTCATTGTTAATAATGCCATCACTGTCTGCATCTTCGTCGCAGGCATCTCCTAACCCGTCTCTGTCTGCATCCTCTTGACCAGAGTTCGGAACAAACACACAATTATCCTGGAAAAACAAGCAAAGCACAAACAAATTATTTTTAATGCAAACAGGTTATTAAATACATCAGAGGGGGGTGGGGGTGTAGACATGAGTACCTGTCGACAGTTGTCGTCTTTACACTTCAGCTTACTGTCTGGAAATGCGTCAATATCAGTGTCCTTTCCACACACATAGCCATTACCTGCCCAGCCAACACCACACTAGTACACACACACACACACACACACACACACAGAGAGAGAGAGAGAGAGAGAGAGGAAGGAAAAGTCATGATGTCATGATGAACTGTTAAACAGCATGATCATAAATGACTTATTCATGATTAAGGGTTTCGCAGAAAGCCGAATATGAGGTCAGTCTCTTTGAAGCTCTTACCCTGCAGCTAATGCTGCCGTCTCTCTCCACCACACACTCTGCGTTGGCATCACAGGGGTTTGGTTGGCCGTTGGGGCAAAGTCTGGTACCTTGGCAGCCGCTCACCTGGTTGCCTGTGAAGCCAGTTTTACAGTCTCCACAGCGGAAAGAGCCCTGTTCAGGATAGTTCAGGGTCAAGATCCCAGGTCTCCAACTATGGGGTAATTTGCTACTAACTGTTAAGTCCCAGTGGTCTTACCATGGTGTTGTGGCACTGTGAGTTAGGGGTACAACCTCCATTGTCAGGTGGGCCAAGACACTCATCAATATCCTCACACACCTGGAAAAAAATGTCTACAGTCAGTGTGTAAAGAAGAGATTCCCTCAGTGACGACAGGCATCAATGAATGAACTCTTAAACAGCAGGGTCATTGTTTTTGTTTGACCTGTTTGTTGGTCTTAGCATAAGCCACTCCCACTCCATCTAACCCTGGTCCAGTGTATCCCAGAGGACACTGCCCACAGCGAAAACCAGGGGCGGTGTTCACACATTGCACGCCAGGGAAACATGGGCCAAACTGACACTAAAACGCACACAGAGAAACTGTTATTATCATGATGACGAGACAAGTACAACTTTCACTGGAAAACAACACTGAATCAGCATACCTCATCTACATCATCACAATGCACGCCATCTCCTGTATATCCATCCGGACAAGGCGCACACTGGAAATCTCCTGAGCCCGTAGGGATGCACATGCTCTGTGTGAAACAGGTACCTGGTGGGCACTCAGTCGGAGGCTCAGGCCGCATGACAAACTGTCCTGGAGTCGGAGCTGGACCCGTGTTGGTCGGGCCGCCCCTTAGACCCGCAGCTACACAGTCACAGATGAGATGAAATGATTTTCAGGAAAGTTTTTACACCATGTGGAAAGTCTGATTATTAGAACTTTTGTGCTGCTTACAACAAGGAATACACTCTGTGATGGTGTTCCTCAGAAAACTGATCTCCTTAATCTAAAGCAGAGAAAAACAGAAAAAATAAAGTTAATACTTGTGCTATACTTTTACTGTTCTCAGTGAAAGTGGCAGCTCAGAACCGTATCTCTTTCATCTTGTTTTCTTAATCTGAATGGGACTGTAATAGTTAGACAATCTGTACCAGCCAAGGAAAACTCTTGTGGTCTGTTTCTCAAACCACTGAACTGACTCTGTGTTTATGAGATGCAGACCGCATAACAAGGATTTTATTTCCACAGGCTCTTGGTTTGATGGTTTATCTTCAAACAAATCCTCAGCTTTAAACGATCATCTGAAATCCTTTATCTGCTCCTGAGGTGAATGTCTTTTTTTTGTTTTTCATTCTTCTCTCTGATGCTGAACAAATGAACTCTGGGAACAAAAGAACTACAGAGAGTTGTCATGCCCTCAGAGTCTGGACTCCTGATGTACACAACAAAATGTTAGTTTAATTACAGAGCCAATCTTAGCCTGGGAAAATTAAAATTCCAAATGGTCATGAAGCAGCCAACTCTCCTCCACTTATACAAACAAATAGCTCCTCTAAATAACAAGATACTATCATACCTCTTCCAGATGATGGGTGCATTTTCACTATTGTTTTCTATTTCCCAGACACACAAGGCTGGGACATTAAACAGGTTACCTGCTGGTTGAGCAGCTGTTTCATCTCAGCGAACATGCTTTTCAGCTCCAGCATGGTGGCCTGGTCGTGTGTCATACTGGCCCCCTGGATACCTGAGGGAATACCACAAACCAGAGAATGAAATATGCAATACATCTACCAAGTTCAGTGCTTAAACCAGTGGAAGTCTATGACTACATGGATGGCCATGGCAGTCGTTTGGATAGCATACGTTATTTGAGTATATTTTCAATAGTTAGTTGTTTAATTTATGAATAACTGATACAAACGATCTAATCTGGTTTTGTATCTGTGGGTTTTAAAATTGCCCTCATCTCACAATTATTAGAACATAAATTCTGAGTCCTGATTTCAATTCTAAGTCCTTTTAGGGTGTCTTGTATTATCTATCATTAACTTAGAGCTCTAATAATTCTTAGCCTTTATACCTAATTCATTCTGCCTTGGATCCTCTGAAACGATAACTAATAAACCTCACCGGTGTGTGTTTCATTGAATAGCAAAAGTCCATTAAGGACACTAATCCCTAAATGGTCAACACAGCCAATCTGACCATGAGAGGAGAACATAAACTGCAGACAAACAGAGTAACTTTAGTGCAATGTTTGATTTTAAAAGGTAAGATGTGCTTCAATAAGATCATAATGGAAAAAAAGTCCTGCTGATATTCAAAATTACATGAAGGGATTCTTTCATCAAAGGGTTTCAGACTGTTTTTAATGGCAATGTGCTCTTTGTTTCAGCTCAGAGCTAAAGCTTTATTTAGAGTAAAGTTGCGTGTGAAACTTTTTAACAAAGCTGTATATTTGCCACAGTTAAAAATCAGATCATGTCAATAAGCCGTCGATTTTTCTCACCCAGCAGCTGCAGAGCCTCTCTGCCAGATGCCCCAGATCCCCCCTGATCCATAGAACAGTCCTGCAGAGTGGCCACATTGTCTATAGTGTCTTCTATCACCAGCTTCAGGTCCATCAGCTCATCCTGACCAAGAAACAGCAGACAGAGAAAGACTGAAGGAGACCCAAACAAGCTTCTCCTCCTTACTCTCTTCTCTTATGAAAATGGGCAGCAGTGGGTGGAGGTAGGGTGTACAAGCTAACCAAGCAGGGTTGAACTACAAAGAAGCTTGTCACCTTGGCTCTGACTTTCCTGCCCTCTCTCTGGCATCTTTCTACTCTCAAGTGGTCCTCTTCCAGCAGCTAGACCTTACTGTTAAGCCTCTTTTATTAAGCTTTTCATTCACCTGTCTACTTGTCTGAAGGGTCCTGAGTGCCACCTTGTTGGAGCCAGGTGGGATGGACCCAAATGCAGCGGGCAGATCATCCAAAGTGTGAACCATTCTGCAGTCTATGTAGATGTGGAGGCGAGGTGGACCGTGCTGCAAACCTCTGGCGTGCAGCATTACATGGTGATCCCGGCCATCTGCCAGCGAGGGGTGGTTGAAGCTGGTTGTACCAAACCTGCCGTCAGTCTTCAGGTAACGAAGGATAACTAGTGTTGAAGCAAAAATATGACCAGACACAGAATAAGAGGGGAAACAGAGACCTGGCTGCAGAAAAGCATGATTTAAAACTGGAGAACAAAAAGCTTACAGCATAGTCTGTTGAAGTAGTTTTCACAGAACCTGTTACATGTATCAGAACAATAACTCACCCTTGCTCAGTTTGGCCTGTATGCTGAGTTCTAGATACTTGGAGTTGTCTTGGGGGTTGACGACACTGAAGAGAGAGGTCGGGGCCTTGTTGTGGATCCTGAAGGAGGAGAGGAGGAACGCCTCGTCTCGCCCTTTGTTCTTCAGACTTCCTTGGAGTAGGTCAGGCAGGCAGTCAGGAGACACCAGCAGGTCGTAGACTAACACAGGAGAGGACTGTTAGAAAAACTGCAATATAACACTGTAAATAAACTTCATCTTAAAGGCAAGGACTCGCTGAAATCATCACACACAAAACTCAACTGAGAGCAACACTGACTTTCTCTTTTTTCTATGTATTACTGAATGGTGTGTGTCTTCAAGTCTATAGCTCACATTGTGCTGTGAATCACCACTACTGAGTCAGAGCATTACGGTGCTTTATTACGTGTGACAGTGTATCCGTATGTGTGTGCATGTGCATATACATATGTGTGCAAGAACACGCCTATGTATATATCCTGCTGTGTGTTATGGAATGGTGGACCGAAGTTGCCGAAAAAAGCAACAGCAGTCAGCTCTTTCCAGTGGAACAAACCTACAGCCTCACACAGCTTCACATGCACAGACACATTCACACCTGTTCACAGAAACACTTGCAAACAGCTGAGAGACATGAATTCAAGACTAACGTGAAGCAACAACAACTGAAACTGAAACACTGAGGTTCACATTAAGATTGGCAGGTCGTGTTATTTAGCCTGCCAAAGACTGACCTTGTGCCAGTGAGTGTTCTTTTACAGGATGTCAAATTTTCAAGCCTCAAAATATCTAGAATATATTAGATTAGATATTGTTGAACAGAGAACAGATTATTTAAAATGGAAAGATAGATTCAGAGATTATTAACCTGTGCTGTTTTCCAGAGGGTGCAGAAGAGAACTTACTGATGCCTTGTGCTGTGACGGTGCTCACCAGCTGTTGCAGCAGCAGAGACAGAGCCGCTGCTCTGGCCAACAGACCCATCATCAATGCTCAGTACAGGACACACCTCAGGCGAAGCTGGATTCCTTCAGAGAGAACTGGGTGTCCTTGATATCCTCTATGTCACAGATTGATACCAGATCAATAGACTCCCAGTGTAGGGATGGAGAAATCCAGATGTTGAAGCAAAACCTCAGCAGAGGTGAGATGATTTTGTGGCCACCGCTTTTAAAGCAAAGGGGAGTGTCCTTTACTCAGCTGTTACAAAAGTGGAACAGTGTGGGGACGATTTTAATAGTTTGTGGGAGTGTCCCCCTGCTACTACTGTTTCATCAGATGACTCCTTCAATTTTTTTTCACTTGTGTTTTAAAGCTGAAAAAACTACTTCCAGATGAAAGAAACTGTTAAACTCCTTAAATAAATAACAACATAAGGTTTTCTGTACTTTTTAAGCGTACAAATATTTGAAGTATTTCACTTATACAGTATGAGCTTTATGATTTAATGTTTTTGTACTGTATTTTTGAGACAGCAAAAGGACTTCATTCATTGAGAATTATGTGTACTCTCTCAAGGGGAGTTGTTGTATAATGCCATAAAAATCACTCTGAATTGAACTATACAATCAGCCCAAACTTAAAAATATTTGAAAAGGATTATGTTGGGGTCCCGAGGGAGCAATACTTGATCCAGCTGGCTTTGCTTTCTTCACAAACATGATTAACTCGTCTCATAGACATGAAGCTCATCCCTCTGCTCATCTTCAGTAAGCCAGTTTAACTGTGTGCCAGATGTCTTAAAATTAAATTCAGTTTCATTTCACTCATTCTTCGTAAAAACCTGCAAACCCTTTATGATTCCATCTGCTGAAGAATTTGGGATATAAAAGGAGAAAGAGGTCTGGACTCTGGACCCTGGAAACACTTCATGAATGATGTCTGGAGCTCGTCTTACAGCTTCTCTACTTGCCTCAAGTACATTTCAACATCTGAGCTGCTGGCTTAAGCCAAAGACAGAAATCCACTTTCCCTTGGTGCATTTTGTGCGTGCTCGCGCCTGTGTTTAGCTCTCAGGTTTCTAATCAAACACCTGGCAGTGCTCAATAGTCTGTCAAATAGCACAAGGACACTTAATGAACATCCGATGCTAAATGTTAGTTGCTAGAAGATGAGGGAAAATGATATGAAAAAAGAAATGACTATTTGACAGTAAACACAACGTAACATTTCTGTCAATTGGTTCGGCTCCTGCTGCATCAGTAAGTTGCTTTTTAATAAACTAAATCACATAGTGTGTTACTGTTTGTCTCAGACAGCTCTTGATTTTTAATTCCTCTTCAAAATGGCTAAAAAAGCAGGCTGCATCAGGTACGTCCTTCGTGGCCAAAGGTATCGTATCCCGTGATTCTTTGTATGCCTCTTCAAAAGTTCAGTTCAAAACAAATGAAACACAAGTCTAACACATCACTATTAAAATCTATCTTTAAAATTTAAGTGATGGCTTTTAAGTTACAGGACACTAGCTAAACAAAATGAGTTCGCCAGCTGGCCACCAAATGCCTGGTGAAAGGGTGGTGCTGTGTGATGCTGGCATAAAGGCAGAGACACCCGGTGACTTAAACACTGAGTCCTGTGTAGACTGTGCTGTCTCAGTTCAGTTCAGCCTGAGTCTCTGGAGGCTACAAATGCTGGGTATCTGAAGCCCCTAGATTGGGACATGAAATCTACACACTGCACCTTTAATGAGCTACAACATATTATCATTGTGTTAGACAACCACTTTACCCTGTTAATCCAGAAAAAAATGGTTTAACTTTAATAGTTTTATTAGTTTCCTGGTTTATTTTTTTTCAAGAGGTAAAAACGTGAAAAATATAAGGAGCAATTCAGGGACAAATCAGGTTGTTTTGAATGACATTTGAATGTCCCGTTCTGAAAACTTTATAGATTTGTTATGAATTAGAGTTCTAATTAAAGTTGTTTTTCTTATTTTATTTTGCTGTAAGTGAACCATCTGTATTTGAGATGGATCACACAGAGGTGTTGCTGGCTCTCTACAAGCTTACCTCATTATTAGACCTTATTAACGATTTAATGACACTTAGTGAAGTAAACATCACCTTAGCTGACAAACAGCCAGAGAGTTTTTACTGGGATTGTAGGTACCATTAAAGCTGAATGACGGAGGTCTGTGACTAAAATCTTTTATGAGAGCAGTCACACTTGTTGTGAAAAGCTCTTTTCATGGATGTTTAAATGTCATAAATAGGGCCGGGCGATAAAACCATAAAGATATATATCGAAAATTAATGTCCCTCAATATCAACATGAAACATGGTCAATATGTTTTTCAATAGTCGGCATTCTGCCATATTTTGGTGGACGATACAAACAGCCAATGAAAAGGGGAGTTGCTCTGGGTCCGCTTCGCACTGAACCAATCATGTGCTGAATTAGAACCAAGTAGCAAACAACTGCATAGTAGCAGGCTGCAGCTACACTCAGCCATAGCACTTTTTTTGTTTTTTTTAAGGTCGGACATGAAGCAGAGTAATGTGCACTGCAAGTTATGTCGAGTACACGTTCTTGCAAAGTCGGGGAATTCCTCAAATCTTTTTCACCACCTGAAGCAGTGCACGCACAATGCAAAAGGTTACAAACCTAGAGTGGATCAAGGAGCCCATTGCACCTGTGCAGCCGAAACAGCTGGCCATTCAGTCCGCTTTCTCTAGTGCAACGCCTTATGACCATAGACTGTATATAGAATGGACGCCGTCTGCCTCCTCACTGGGTGAAGCCACTCTGAGAACAGCACCCTCTGGTGACAGGCTGCAGCATAGGTCATAAATCCCGCCCCCGCCAACAAAGCTTACGGGGCTGTGGACAAACTTTAGAAATTTATTACACAGAATATATATATATATTTTTCCCCCCTGCTTGTGATAAACTTTTGCTCATATCGCCCAGCCCTACTCACACAATTACTATTTTTCAGTGCAAATGAGCGGAGCTGGTCACCTGAAGTCACATTTGAACATTTTTCATGTACATATAGACTTTATATGTTTTCACCTCAAGACTCCAGCAGCTCTGCAGACTCTGACATCACAGGTACGGAGTGACGCCAGCAGCTCCTTCCATGAATGGAAACATGGCGGCTGCCATGGAGTTGAGATGCTGGGGAGGAGACTGGGGTTTGCCTTCCGTCCACACCGAGTCTCTCATAGTCCTGGTAACATCGCTGTCTCTTTGTGAAAATAACACGGTCGTTGTGTAAAAGTCGAATTGTCAAATGGAAAGCTTTGTTTCCCGTGTTTTGTCTCGTCTTTCTCTGTGTATCTCTAGCTAGCTTTCATGCTAACTCACCCTCTGCAGTTTGTTTGTCAGATGCTCGTGCCCAGCTGGTTATTATGCAGGATAGGAAATAATAATAATGATAATGATAATAAAGGGTCATTCCGGTTATTTCATGGTTTCCCACAGCAGAGATGGACTTATAAGGTCCATCTTTTTTACACTGTTTAGGCTGGTTGTCAAAAGTTTCTATCACAGCTAACAGAAATATGCTTCTTCAAGGTCAGCTTATTGAAGGTAATACTTTAACATGTTGGGGTATTTTCAACATTATCACGCTAAACGTCTATCGACGGTAGCCGAGGAGGTCGCAATCTGGTCAGAAAAGTCAAATCGAGTCATTTGTTGGCTGTTTATCACACGTTTCTGTCTCTGAATACGTGCGCTTACAACCCCAACCACAGGGGGACACTTTGGCCAGTTCTCCTACAGAGTACACATGTATACCGCTAATATAGTATTCATTGGGATTTTTGTTGTTGTTCATTAAATCAGTCAAATTTTATTTATATAGTGCCAATTCACAACAGTCGTCATCCTAAGACGCTTTCCAAAGAAAAAGAGGTCTAGACCACGCTCATTGTTTGATGAATTATCAAGACCCAACCTAAGATGGGACAGATTTAACTCATCTCATCTAACATGAGTAACAGTGGCAAGGAAAAATTCCTTTTAACAGGCAGAAACCTTGGGAAGGACCAGACTCATGCTAGACAGCCACCAGGCCGCTGCTGGGTTGGGGAGAGAAAGAGATTGTTGTTGTTTTATTTGTGATGGTGTCTTTTATTTTTATTGCTGGGTTTTATTTAAAGCGACGTGAACTTCTAGTTTGGCTGTAATCTTTCATGTCAATTTTTCTTTCAGGCCTATGCCAAGTTTTCTGGAGCCAAAGTCACAGTGTCTCCTATAGACTGGACATGGAGGACTCTAACAGGTGGGCTGCAGCTTGCCATAAACTAGACTGTCATAACAATGAGGTCATGATGGTAAATGTCATGGATTTAGTGTTTATGGTGCATATACATTGGAAAAGTGAAAATAATCTGCATGATTCCTTTGCAGATGTCTTTTTGCTTTGAAAATAAAACACTCCCAAAACAATATATATTATTTTCTAAATGTGTCTGTCATGACCTTTGAAAACAACTATGAGAAAATTCTATTTAGTAGCAAAAATTGACTGTTTGTATAATTGTTGCATCTCGTTGGATTTCATAAATGGCAGGGATGGGAGTAAATTGGAGGTAGATAGTACTCCATGCATGAGAAAACCTTACCATTGATGCAGTTTTACTCTTTAATAACATTGCCTTGTTTCATTTGCGATATGTTCTTGTCATTTAATCTGCAGCAACAGTCCCAGAGTTGCTTTGTGGAGACTCTGCAGTTCAAGAACCAACACAGATCCTCAACTTCCTCAGAAAACAAGTAAGAGTGGATGGCTATTTCCTCCCAATCAGCTGAGAGTATCAGACATAACCCCTAGATATACTGTTATAGCTATGGATTCTTTGTTTGTAGAGATTTAATGCAGACTTTGAGCTGACAGCCAGACAAGGAGCAGATACTATGGCGTACATCGCTCTGATCGAAGAAAAACTGATGCCAGCTGTGGTAACAACATCTCTGATCTGTTTTTTTTCTAACTGAATCTTATCTTTTAGTCCTGTCAAGATTCAGAGTGACAATATGTGTTCCACAGTTACACACATTCTGGGTGGATGCAGAAAACTATGCCAATCTGACGCGGCCTTGGTTTGCCTCGCACTCCCCATTCCCATTGAACTTCATTGTTCCAAGTCGCCATGCCAATGCTGCCCTCTCTCGTATCCTACTAACTAAAGGAGAAGCACCGCTGCACAGAATCACTGAAGTGGAGGGAAAGGTAAACACTGACTTGTCTTTTGTCTTCTTGAAGTTAAGACATGAGTGTGAAGTTGCAACAAAATGATACTAGCTTTGCATTTCAGATTTACAGTGATGCCAAAGAGTGCCTGAACCTCCTTGCTTATAGGCTAGGACAAGCTAACTTCTTCTTCGGCAACTCGTAAGTATTGTTACATTTTGTTTGAGAGCTTTTCCATGTGACAACAAACAAATGTCTTCAGTTCATGAAATAATTGTTTACTGTATAATTATGCTAGTTGTCTCCGTGTAGGTGATTTTCCCAATGGAAATCCAGCTACTACTTTTTCATAGCTTGCCTCCGGAGGGGAAAAACATAATCAGATATGGTTCAAAATTCTGATTTGTGGACTAAAAGTATGGAAAATGAAAAAGGAAACTTGGGTTTGGTAATGTGGCGTTGGGCACATTAGGCTGTGTGGGTTTTCCAAAGTTTTATTGGAGATCATTCTGGAAGAAATCTTCAATTCGAGAAAATGCTTCAAAGTGCTGACTTTGATTGCAGAATAAATAACACCGATAATCAACACTGATCATATAAAAAAAATCTTCCTTAGATATCTCAAATTGAGGCTGAATGTGTTGTTATTTTTTCTCATGTGGGTTTGTGTTTTGTAGGCCGACCAGCCTGGATGCCTTTGTGTTTGGCTTTGTGGCTCCTCTTTACAAAGCCAGTCTACCCAGCAGCCCACTGCAGAGCCACCTTAAACAGCTGGATAACATCACACACTTCTGTGACAACATCCTTGCTGTTTACTTCAGCTCAGACCACCCTAGTAAGAGCTCTGCACAGACAGGGGACATTCACACACTTGAAACTCCAATATTGTGAAATCTACACTAGGATACATAGGAGAAGTTTGCAGTGGCTTGCATACATGTCAACTAACAACAGTGGCATTTTCCGTCTTCTTACACCCGTGTTTCACTGCATGCTTGCTCTTTCTTTCTTAATTTTTGGGTGTTCATTGATCTAACCCTGCTCCCTTTTCCTCTGCCTCATCTTTCTTCTTCCTCTAACATCATCTCTCCCCAGGTCCCCCTCCACCTGTCCAGGAATCAATGGATGCCAACCTTCAGAAACTAACTCAGCTTGTAAATAAAGAGTCCAACTTGATAGAGAAGGTGCTTCTGCTTTCCTTTTATCCTCTTTGCATGAGTTCATGGGTGCATGTGTCAGGTACAGTCTCAGCTGAAATAAATAGTAGAAGTAGTGAATCTTTCAAAATTGTAGTCATACTGTTACTCCACCATCCTGCTCTGACTAATCTGGACCTTCTGAACTTTAGATGGATGACAATCTCCGCAGCAGCCCTCAGCACAAACCCCACAGACCAGAGCCCAAACCCAGTCTGGCCAGTGAGAAGAACTCAACCCCGGCCTAATCCTGACCTCTCAGCCTCTATGAATGGAAGAGGAACAGCCTTTAGATTAAAGGTGCAGCTTTATATCGGACTAAATTTCTTGTAATGGAAGAAAATGTCATCCAGCTGAACTTTACCTTAAACAGCAAATGATCCGGTAATATATGGGTGTGTGCTGTAAAATTGTAAAAGAGACTCATTATACAGCAGAATAATGATGATAGCTTTTAAAGATGCTGGCCTGACGGAGAAGGGAGAGTGCATGTGTGAGGTTATTTTTAAAAAAGGTTGAGTGCATGTATGTGGTAGAGGGCTGAATGCTTTGAAGAGGTGCCTGATGGGAAAGATATAAAGTTAAAAGAAAAGCTTGAAGTAAATGAAAAGTCCAGCAGAAAAAAAGGAAACTAAAGATCGGGCTTCTGGTTCATCTTTATTTTTCATGATACTGTGTGTAGTTTTTTTTTTTTGTCAGAAGTAACTTTTTCCTGCTCATTTTCAGTTTAAAATGTCCTGACCTACATTATGGGGATATTTAAATTACTGAGTTGTTTTTACATTTATCTAAAAAATTAGTCAGGCTGTGACCTTATTAAGTTATGTAAATCCCCAGAGTTTAAATCTGTGTTTTATCATAGAGGTTCTTAGATCCCGTAGCACCCCTCTGAGCACATATCCTCTGCAAAAAAAAAAAATGTTAAGTAGATTATAACAGCATCTGAATTGTAATGTACAGCATGTATGTCAGTACTCAATGATATAGAGAACACCATGCACTTTTTTTGCTTTGCTCCCTTTGCTTTGTATAGCTTGTAAAGATGTAAATAGTTTCATTATTTAAAATTCCTCTAATAGGGCTGACCAGCTTATCTTTTTACCGGGACATTAAGGTAAAGGAAGGTCTTTAACAGATTTTATTTACTTATTCATGCAGGAAAATGAGGGACAACTGTTGTAAACCTGTGTATCACTAATCAGAGAAACCCTGCGTCACTAATACCAAACTCATTTCTGTTGTTGCTGTGTTTTTTTCTTGTTTTTGTTTGTTTGTACTGCTGTGTTTTCATTTGCTGTGCCTATTTAACATCACCTTGTTAAAGCTTAAGTGTCTGTCCCACTTTGGGAATTTTCTCCATCTGCCTTTTTGTTTTATTCATACTGTGTGAATTTCTCTGATTGAAATTGAACTTTAAAGTGTTGGGTTTTTTTTATTACTGTTTGTTTCCTAGTTTCCTCACAGCTCACACATTTACTCAACCATGTCTGCTTTCATTATTTTTTTCCCATGTATCAGTTGTAAAATCTAAATACTTGTGAAGACATTAAGCTGTTGCAACGTCCAAATTCCTGGTTACATTCCCTTTAAAGCACCATATCCTGTGACTAAAGCATTCATTTCTATGTGTGTTTGCTACCAATCCCAAAATGTTGTTTCAGAAGACTGTATGGGTACAGTGTGCCTTCATGACTGCTCGTATATTTGTACAAACGTCAAAATACGACCTCTATAATTTTGATACATCATCATAAATTCTGTTGTCTGTCTGTCATTCTCTGTGGATAACTGATGTTTTATTGAAATACAGATACAGTGATCTAACCACAAACTGTCTTTTATTTTTCCACACATCTTTTTTTGTAAAAACAGGCAGTTGCTTGGATTAATTTAGCTTTTTTTGTCCTATTTTTTGTTCTTTAAAGAAGTCCTGATGCCCAAGTTGGAACATAGGCTGCTTGTTTTTGCCCTTGACTGTTTTTTTTTCTTGTAGTTGTTGGGAGAACAGAGAGCTCTTTGTTTGGCTCTGGACTTAGGAGTGGAAAAATAAGTAATTATGCTGAAAGGATGTGACAAACTTGATATCAGATATTTTCAAAGTCAAGTCATGGGTCACTTAAGGGCATTACTTCTGCCAAGCCTTCTCCTGGCTGGTCAGATCTTTTCAAAGGAGCTAATTCTTGTATATCAATTACATATTTCAAATCACAACGATTTTACAACATTATAAACCTTCTCCACGATGTTTGTCAGAAATATGTGCTTCTTGGCTACTTTCAGCCGAAACAGACAGGGATCCTTCCAAATTCAAAAACAAATCCTACCAATTTTCCAACTCTGTTTCATCCACTTTGGGAAAAGGCAGATAACAGCCAGTCCAAGGGAAATGTTAGTTTTCAAAGTCCTCGCCAGGTTTTAGTTGAGGAATCCAACAGATCACATGGAAACCAGCAGCCATGCCATATTCCTCTTTCTCCCGCACTCCTCCTCCTTTGTTGATTTTTGGGAAATGAAGCAAAGTGTCATACATGATGAAAAATAAGGGTACTAGTGCCTGGAAAAATTGCAGCACGGTAACTATGAAATGACAAGTCATCTGGAGAACGTTGTGTTACTGTAAGTGAGATATACGACTTCTTGAGAATCAGTAGCTGTAAACCATGAAAAGTCTGGAAGTCTACCCAGTGTAATGGACTTTGCAGAACATGTTGGATTAGTTACCATCTGTATTTGATTGATCTCAGCTCTTCCAAGTGTAATGTAAAAACCATGAAACTCCATGAGTGCTGTGCATATTTTAAATTATATAATGAAAATAATGCATATTACATTACATTACAGTCTGTGAAAGGGGCAATGAAACAAACATGCCAACAAAACTTGTAAACAACAGAAAGTAACCAAAAAATACAGGAAATACACCTATGAGAGTTAGTCTGTGGTTGTTTGTTTTCAATGAACTACTTTAGAGTTGTAGAAATAATAAAGTAGAATTCTGTTCGTTAAATTAGCCACATAAGGGACTACAGTTCAGTTCAATTTTAGCTGATCTAGGGCTAAGGTGAAACATAATGGAGTTCTGAGGCCCTCTAGTGGTCATTGTAAGTCAGAGAAACAGTGAGCGGAGGCAAAACACTCTTCAGTCCACTTTTCATATAGAAAATGGCAGTTTGGTTTAACCACAAAATTTGTTCACAAGACAGGCAAACAATCCATCTCAACTCTCTAAGAGTCAGATAAAACATTTTTTAATCATATCTGAAAGATATTTACACAATTTAACAATATGAAACACAGTTAAAAGTGCTGCAGGAGTCTGTTGGAGCTATAAACTTGTTTTTTCAACTGTGCCAAAGGAAGCCTTGACTTTTGTTTGACTAGAACAAAGTGCTTTTGATAACACTTTGCAGTCAAGTCTTTTACCCCAAGAGAACAAAATGAATAGAGTTAATCACAAAACATTTACAAAAAAGTACAAAACTATCACATCAGCCCATGTTATGGTCAAATTTACACGAAACATTTCTCTTTAAAAAAACGAATCAATTAAATTTTAGTTCAGTGGATTTTTCACACCACTGTTTATGTTTAGGATCTGTTTTTTGGTATTTACAGTCACAAAAAAAAAGATAAAATTAAAATTATTTTCTATTGAAACACAATTTTAGTCAAGTGTTATCTCACTACAACACGTGCAAACTCATAGACGAGTGATGGGACTTCAGGAAACTCAGATCAAGTGTATTGTACTCCTCACAGTGATTACTAGAATATCTTTAGTCCTGTCATGTCTGTGATTTTCATGTCGGACATGGACTGTAAACTCCTCAGTGTGTGAGGCTGGTGGCAGAGCTAGCTGTCCTTTGTAAACTCTGGCACCTCCGGCACCATGCTGATCCCCAGGCGACCCGGCATCTCCAGGGCCAGAGCAGGGTGACACGGCTGGGTGAAACCTTGGCAGAAAGCTCCTAGCAACTGACCAGTTTGGGCATTGTAGAAACATAAACGACCAAGCTGGTAATCCAGGAGGGTGCCCACCCGCTCAGGCATGTCAATCACAAACACACTGGAGTGCACATCATTGTGGAGCAGCTGATACCTGCAGCTGGTGAAGAGCAGAGTAAGAGAGGTATAGGATTTACCTTCAGATCAAATAAAAAGCCATGAAAAGTGAAATCAGTCCTTCAGAATGTTTGCTACATACCCTGATGGTGTAGGGATACACTGCAAACACCACGACGCGCTGTTCTCCCCCAGTTGACTGTTCCTATTGGCTGAACTGGACATCACTCCAAGCCTGTATGCTGTGCTTCCAGACACAATGGTCTCCCAGTAGTACTGACCTGTACATGGCAACAGCTCCCCCAGGATGAATGGACACCTGGAAAACAAACAAACTCTGGTTAACAAATGTAGCTGAAAAAGTTCCTTAGATTTAAAGGAGCTGAATGCAACTAACCGTTTGTCAGCAGACAAGGTCTTTTCAGGTGTGTCCTGAGCGTAGTGGATGGTGGTCTCATCTGCTGACAGCTTTAAAGCTGGGTGAGCAGTGGCTTTCAGCAGGCGGAACTTAGTTCCTGAAAACAAACACAGTTCAGAAAAAAAAACAGAGTTTGTTATGTTGCACACAATAAGAATTGAGAGTTTATGCGTATGTTTTGTTACCTTTGGTGGAAATGAGAGCAGCCTCGCTCTGCTCACTGGCTCCTGCCTCGTTCACAGCTTTGATGTAAAAAAGATAATTTTCATTGGGCTGCAGGAGAACCCTCTGTTCACAGCTTTGGATACCTGAGATCGTCCTGGTAAGACAACATCAAATATACAGACATACATTCACATACATAAATGAAAAGTACGCACATGAGTACCCCAGGTTTTTGTAGATATTGTATCCAGCTAGTTGCATGAAAAACAGATTTATTTGTATTCAAAATACTTTGTCTCTTGGTATCTAACTGGTAACAAAAAAAAAACACCCACCTGAGCCCTTCTCCCTCAAGTTCATATTGACGACAGTACTCCACAGTGAAAGTCTGTTCTGGAGTCTGTTTTGCTGCGCTCCACCTCAGTGTGGTTGAATCCCACATGACAGTACAGAGCTCTGTGTTAATCACTGGCACTGATGGAGCTGCAAAAAGAGAAAAAGATATTAATAAAAGAGTGAAATGTGCTTTGTGATTTCAAGTGCCATCTGTTTGTTGGGTCTATTGTTATATGACAAAGATTAAAATCAAACACTGACCGGCTGAAACAGTCTGAACTCCCTTCATAATGCCAGTGAAAAATAATCCTGTATTTTCAAACAAAGATGATGTGCTGTGGCACTTCAGCTCCTGTTGTGGACTGACCTGTTCTGAAGCGAAGTCTCTCACTGGGCAGAGAACAGCCTGTGTAGTTGACAGCCATCACCCACACCTTGTAGGTCTTGTCAGGCTCCAGCTCCTCCAGGACGCAGTAACTCTCCTTCACTGTGACACGGTATTCCTCCGACACGGCTGAAGCAGCAACAGCCACAACACAAGCACCAGTGGTTTTAGAAAAAAAAGGGCATTTTGAAAAAGTACACCCTTGCATTTACACCGTGCTTTCAGTATTTACCTCCTTGTGGATCCTCCATGCAGTAGACTTGGAAACAGTCAATAATGTCTCCAGGATTGACTTTCCAGTAAACTGTGACACTGGTGCTGGAGGCTGAGCCGGCCTCCTGAACTTGCAAGGTGGGCCTCTGAGGCACTAAAACACAGAAAAGAGGATATACATTAGAACCAAAACCACTTCATACATGCACAAGACTTCCTGGAGGTGTATTTATGTCAGCTGGATCTGAAAATACACGTTTATGTAAAAACCTACCTGGGATTCCCTTGCGCTGTGTGAGGTGGGAGCTAGAAGTGTTGCCTTTGGCGTAGTCCTCGAACACCAGCAGCCCCCTAGGACCCAGCTCCAGTGACATGGCGGAGTCCAGAGCTTCCTTTAGCCTGACCACACAGACAAAGCATTTAAGCTTTGGCAACAGCCACAGGTCAGGGTCAAAAACCTTCTTTTCCTGCACCTAAATTTTCAGTATATTTGCACAAACTATATCGGTTGTACCTCTGCAGTCCAGAACCTATGTAAATTCAATAAAAGCAAAAGCAATTTTGCACAGAAAACCAACCAAATAAATTCACACCCTCACAAAGTAACAATTTTAGCACTTTGGAAAAGGAATAGGATTGAAGTTGAGGCAGTGGTGATGGACCTCAGTTCTGCAGGTCTTTCCAGCGAGGCTTTGATCTGATTAAAGGTTAAAAGACTTTCATCCAATGACCTGAGGGGGCAGATCGGGTTGTTTTCTGTGAGAAGGTCAGAAGTAGAGTTTAACTTTTGAGAGCTCTATGGACTAATAATAGGATTATGAAAGTGATTCTGTATTGACCGAGGAGCCAGTGAAGTGATTTGAGAACAGAAGTGATATGTTCACATTTTCTTGGCAGGACTCTGGCTGATGTGTTCTGGAACAGCTGGAACCATCCCACAAATTGTATGTATAGTCCTGCATACAGGGCATTGCAGTAATCTGGCCTGGTTGAAATGAATGTGTGAACTAATTTCTCTGTATCGGTTTGAAACATGAACGGTTGTATTTTCTAGACATTTTTTAAATGTTTTTTTTTTTTTGAAACACTGTCCCAGTCATTGGGTAATTTGGTTTTCAGAGCAAAAATCTAAGTCTAAATTTACACCAACATTTCAGGCCTAATCACTGTATTTCAAAGACACAGATTATTTCAGTTTTGTCTGAGTGAAGTCTTACAAAGCTTACGGATGTTTAAGATTTGATATTTAGACAGTCTAACAGTTTGGTAATAGGACTGAGATTACTGAGTGAAAGGTAAATGTATAACTGGGTATCGTCAACATATGAATGGTGTGACATACCATGCTTTTTACGTATCGTGTTGTACTGAGTGGGAGCGAGTATAAATTCAAGAGGAGGGGACCAAGGACTGATCCCTGTGGAACACCAGAGATAACTTTTGAAGTTATCTGGTGAAGTATAAAACTTCCTCTCTTTTAGCAGCTGTGAGATCAAGTAAAACTAAGACATTTGTCCTCTGAGTCATTTTGATAAGTACTTTTTCAGTGCGAGGATTTAATCTAAAACCAGACTGATATGTATCATCAACCTCCTCTAGAGTTTTGCTGAGGAAAGGTGGAAAGGTTATTAGTGGGTTTAGGTTGCTTTCCTTAAGCACAGATGTAATTATAACACATTTTAGAGAAATGGGAAAAATGCTAGTTTGAAGAAAGGTATAAAAATGTTTTCAGTGTCATTTAAAAAGTCAGAGAAAAACAGCATTAGCTTTCTCTCTAGAGGCTACTCAGCATAAGCACATTACCTTAACTGAATCTCCTCAGGTGACTGGTAAGAGAAAAGACCAAAAAAGGGGTTGATCAGATATGTGACATAGATAATGACTGGACAATTACTGATCAAATCTGATACTGCCTTAAAGCCTCACCCGTGCATCAGTCTCAGCTTCTCTGGCCGTGGTGTCCAGAGTGACCTTGGCTGAGTCAATGCTCTCCTGGAAGGAGACGATCTGGTCATATAGCTGCTCCAGCTTGGCCTTCTTTTCCTCTTCCATACTGATGGACATGTTGTTGTACTGTTCCATCACCAGAGCCATCATTTCATCATTCTGTGCCTGCATCGTTGCCTCACACTCGACACACTGGTCCTAGTCCAGAGGAGAGGGAGTGAAAAACACTGCATTATTTAAAGAAAAATAAAAGTTACCACGGCGTATCTCTTAAATAAATTACAGTGTATTGCACATACTGGTGTCTATAAATGATGATGGTGCATTTCATTTTAATGCACTTCTTTTTTCAGTATCAAATCTATATCCCATAGTCAGCATGTTTTACCTCTACAGAGTTGTAGCCCAGTTCGAGCTCAGACACCAGGTCCTCGATGTTCTCTGATCTCCCTTGCAGCTCTGAGATCCAGTCACCCAGCTTCTCCTAATAACACATAAAAACATACATCAAATATACATATCATGTGATACATATCACACACATATCTTGGAGACGAACTTAGAATCAAAGGTAAGTCTGCGGAAATGAAGTGAAAAAACTGCTACAAACTACAAATAGACTGCAAAAATTCACCTGGAGCTAATATAAGGTTTGAGCAGTCTGACCATTGCAAGTAAATACTGTCTTTCCTCTTTTTGAGTCTCTAGCTGCATAACAACCACAACATATCTAAGAAGATGACTGACCAATAGTACTATCTTACTCTTTTTTTAACTTTCACTCAGGCCACCTGATAGGTCTGTGGGATCCCAGGTGACGGTAGACAAGTGCTGGTTATTATTATTATTATTTTTTCACTTTTTTTGACGCCTATCTCTACAATGCATTATAAATACATGTATGATGTGTTATAATCATGTTATAGCACTGTATAACTGTAGTTATAAACACTCCCTTAAAACAATAATCATAGCAAATTATAAAGCATATTTTCATGACTTATAAGGTCAGGTATTATAATGTGTTATAACTGTTAATAACAGTTGCATTACATTATCTATGTGGGCATTTTCAGGGAGTTGTTAACAGTTATAACACATTATAATACCTGACTTTGTGAGTCATGATAAAATGCTTTATAATGTGTTGTGATTATTGCTATAAAGCATTTTGATCATTTATGAGTGTTTATAACTATAGTTATACAGTGCTATAACATGATTACAACACGTATACATATATTTATAATGCGTTATAGAGACAGGCGTCAAATAAAGTGTTACTGTTAAATCACTATGTTCTGCAGCTTTAAGGGAAATCAGCAGCATTCCAGTTAGAGGAGCGTTGGTAATCCCCTGTCAGCGCTTGAGCACCGGTGGATCATTTAACTGGGTCAAGTGTGTCACTTATCGCTCCCTGCCCCTTTTGGGGCTCCTTGCCACACCACTGCAACAACTTAGAAAACAGGTGGATATGTGTGCGTGTGAGCCTGCTTGCACCCCCTCCAAGCCTAAGGAGTTGAGGGAGTACACTCTGTATTTCAGCTCCTTTTGAAGTTGTTTTGGTAAACATGTCATGGTTCCTCCCAGTTAAAAATCTGTAAATACTCTTCTTGGTGCTAAAATCAGGAGTACCAATAACTATGATTAATTGTCTTCTTGTTTACAGTACAGCTGTCAATGTTTCTCATATGTAGAAACAGCATAACATCACGCTTGTACATGACCTGGTTCCAATTTCATTTGGAAATGTCATTAGATCATTTTCAGGTATCCTTTGGTTTAGGGCTTCTGGAGAATGACATGTCTTGTAGAGAAGTAAATTTTTTCTCTCTAGTCTAGAGCAAATACTAGAAAATGTCTTTGTAATTCTGCAGGTTCAGGACAAATGGTTTCCTTTTAGATTGCTAGAAGAAGCTTTAATATTGACACCAGTTTTAAAAAGTAGAGCGTTGACCCTCTGCTAACCCATAGGGGTTAGTGTCTGTGAACAGATCAGATTTCAGTCTCCTCTTGATGATGTCACGCCGGACCTTTCCACCGATCAAAGCGGAGCATTACATCACAACAGCTCAATGTGTCTGGTCGCAGCCTGCAGGCAACTTGTGAGCATGCAGCCTGTTAATCCAGGGCTGCTTTATTATCTGCTGTCCTGATCTGATGCCAGTAGAGTATGTGATGATGGAGCTGTATGTTCTTATTACACTGGTAGAAACAGTGTGCGGTAATGAGCCGCTCTTTGTGACAGTCTAACATCAGACATGAGAACTACAGCATGCTGTCTGCAAAATAGTCCAACATCCCTGAAGCCTCAGACAGAGCAAATTGGATAAGAAATATTATGTATATATATATATATATACATATATATATATATATATATATATATATATATATATATACTACATATATTTACTTTCATGCAGAACTGAACTGTTTTCGTTTCTTACACTCTTCTAGACCTTGATGCATATTCATGAATTATTTTAATCACACAATGTGATAGCTAACCCACAAATTTGTATAATACCAGTACCAAAGAACATATCTAACAGGGCCAATAGCACAAAAATACCTAATATGTGCAATGTATGGTCTGTTTTCTTAACTACAAGTAATTTAGAGTTTCCACCAAAAACAATAATGTCAAAGCAATCTAAGAAAAACGCTCTGACTCAAATGTGAGTTAGAGTAAGAACAAACTTAACTTCAACATCCAAAGTTTCTAATGGACTTCTGTAATGTCTGCAGTGTGATATAATTTTACTTATATTTTATTAACATTTTTGAGTATGTAGTATGTCAACATCAATCACATTTCTAAATTTGCTTCCACTCCATATCCAGTGGTTAAAACTGCAAACTTCTGTACCATGTAATCAGTTCAAACTCATATTTTCTGCACTAGAACATAGTTTTGAAAAACACTCATTGTAAAATGTTTGTTTACTAAAATGGTTAGGTAGCAGTGCAGCAGTGTGAGGTTTTATAGCTCCCCACTCTTCAAAACACTCTCACACTGCTACATTCATCCTTTAATACACACACACACAGACACACACTTTTTTACTGATGGTCAAAGCACTAATGCATGTCTGCAGTATTGAATCTACCCCTCGGCCACAGCCACCCTGGTTAATATATTCAGAACAATATTATTCACATGAGTTGTATTACCTTAATTCCCTCGAAAGCATCACCCACAGCAGTCACCTCATGGCTGTGATGCTCTCCAGATGCACGGTCATCCTTTGACAGCAAACATCCACATGTGAAACAGAACCAGTCCAATCCCTGCAGTTCAGCTGCTTGGCGGGCCTGGCTCTCCTCCTCTTCATCAATGATTTCATAATCAGCCTCAATCAACTCTTCCTCTGGGAACAGATCAAACACTTCTTTTCTCTTCTCCAACTTCACCTCCTTCTCCATCCTCTCCTCTCTCTTCTGAACTGTCTCAGCTTTTGGTTCCTCTTCATCTTTCTGTGGTTCTTGTTGTGGCATATCTTTTGCATCCTGTTCAGTTATCATCTCATACTCGAACTCCTCCACTGCTACTTCTGTAACTGCCTCAGCTTGCTCCTCTCTGAAAACATTTATCTCTGGGCTTGTATCCGCTGTAAGAATGATTCTTTCTTGGACATCCTCCACTTTGTATATGTCTTCATGTTGTTCTGTATTTTTTTCTGTATCTGGTATGTCTGACCTCTGTAGATCATCTCTATGTAGGCTAGACAAATCCAGTTGGGGGGTAGAGCTTCTTAAAGGAGAAAAAACACCTTCATCTTCTTCAAATTCCTGTGTTAGTTTCTTCTCCTCTATTCCCACTTCCTCCAAAGGTGCAAGAGGAGAGTACCTGTTGTCAAACTCATTTCGAAGTTTAGCTTCTTCTTGTACATATTCTGTTTTTTCTGTCTCAACAAAATCTGTGGTTTCTGATTCTTTATCTACGACTTCTTGTTTTTCTAAATCTTTAACTACAACTATTTCTGGCTTTTCTGCCTCTATAAAAGCAAAAACATCTGATTTTTCTCTGTCTTTTAGAATAACTTCTTGTTCTGAGTCTTTAACTACAACAAATTCTTCTTTTTCTGCTTCTTTTACAACAACAACCTCTGGTTTTTCTTCTTCTTTCACAATAAATTCAGGTTTTTCTTCCTCAATTACTTCTTGTATTTCTGCTCCTTTAACTACAACAAATTCTTCTTTTTCTGCTTCTTTTACAACAACGACCTCTGTTTTTTCTGCCTCTTCAACAACAGCAATTTCATTTTTTTCTGCTTCGTCAACTACAACGACCTCTGGTTTTTCTGCTTCTTTTACAATAACTTCAGGTTTTTCTGCCTCAATGACATCTTGAATTTCTGATTCGTTAACTACAAAAACTTCTGTTTTTTCTTCCTCTTTTACAAGAACAACCTCTGTTTTTTCTGCTTCTTCAACAACAGCAATTTCATTTTTTTCTGCTTCGTCAACTACAACGACCTCTGGTTTTTCTGCTTCTTTTACAATAACTTCAGGTTTTTCTGCCTCAATGACATCTTGAATTTCTGATTCGTTAACTACAAAAACTTCTGTTTTTTCTTCCTCTTTTACAAGAACAACCTCTGTTTTTTCTGCTTCTTCAACAACAGCAATTTCATTTTTTTCTGCTTCGTCAACTACAACAACCTCTGGTTTTTCTGCTTCTTTTACAATAACTTCAGGTCTTTCTGCTTCAGTGATTTCTTGTATTTCTGATTTATCAATTACAACAACCTCTGGTTTTTCTGCTTCTTTTACAATAACTTCAGGTTTTTCTGCCTCAATGACATCTTGAATTTCTGATTTTTCAACTACAACAACCTCTGTTTTTATGGCTTCTTTAACAACAGCAATTTCGTTTGTTTCTGTTTCTTCAACTACAACAACCTCTGGTTTTTCTGCTTCTTCAATAACTTTTGGTATTTCTGCTTCTTCAACAACTTCTGTTATTTCTGGTTCTTTAACTTCAACAACTTCTGGTTTATCTGCATCTATTATTCCAGCGACTTCTGTGTGTTCTGCATCTTTTACAACAACAAGCTCTGGTTTTTCTACTTTTTCAACTCCAACAACTTCTGGTATTTCTGCTTCTTCAACAACTTCTGTTTTTTCTGCTTCAATAACAACAACGTCTGTTTTTTCAGATTCCTTAACCACAACAACTTGTTGTTCTTCTGATTCTTCTATTTTTTCTGCTTCTTTAACCATTTCTGGTTTTGCTTCGTCCTTCACAACATCTTCTGGTTTAATTTCTCTTACAACAGGTTCTGATTTTACTTCTTCTTTTATAACATCTTGTTTTACCTCCAGGTTAGACTCTGTAATTGTCTCCTTGTTTTGAGCCTGGAGACCATCAGGGACTTCCATGACAGATTCAGGTGCGATTGGAAGTTCACCTGCACCCTCAGGCTCAGTGGGTGCTTCCACATCACTTGTCTTCTCCAGCAGCTGACCGACCTCTATGTCCATCTCCACTGCTTGTCCTTTAGGCACAAGGACGAAGACCTCATCACCCACACTCACCACTTCCTGATCATCAACTCCAGATTCCTCTGCAGGTGTAGCACTCTCATCTTTTGGTGCCTCTTCTTGTTGCTGCTCCAATTCAAAGATGTCATCCACTTTCTGATCTGAATCCGTCTTTGCGTCTTTGTCCTCACTTGAAATCTCAGTTTTATCCTCCAACACTAGGTCAGCTTCCTTAGTAAGTTCAGGCACATGGCTCTCAGGTGATGCAGTCTTGGCTCCATGATCTTCTTCACCTACAACCGCTGCTTGAACTTCTGTCTCCTCAACGCTTGTTACCTCCTTGAGATCAATCTGAACTTGAGTCTGAATCTCCTTTTCATCCAATGCTTTTTCTGTGACCTCCACGACTGCTTGTACTGTAGAATCAGAGTCGGTGGTAACCTCGACGGTCGCAGTATCTTCTGCAGCTTCTTTCAGGGATGTTACAACCGATGCCTCTGTTTCAGCGAGAGTGAGCTGGTCTTGTACTTTATCCTCAGACCCCTCTGCAGCAGCCTCAGTTATTACTTTATCTTCAGGAGCCATCACTTCAACATCAGCAATTGCATCTTCTGTTAGTATTTCAGGTTCTGTGGTGATTTCAGGAATCTTAATACTCTCAGGTGTTATCACAGTTGTCTCCTCCACAGCATCAGCCACAGCCTGTGCCACCTTTTCTGCCTCATCTGGTATCTGGTCTGGCTGTTCAGTGTCAGTGATAGGTTCAGTAGCTGTTACTGGTGTCACTCCTCTCTGATGCTCCTCACTCTCCTGTGTTTCCTCAGCTTTTATGTCCACCTGCTGGGTTTCAGGAAGTGGTTCATCAGTGCTGCCCTCTTGTTTCACTTCCTGAACCTTCATCTCGTCCAAAGCTAATTCTTGTGAGGCTTCACTGACAGGCTCCTCCTCGGTCAGTTTTATCTCTTCCTTCTCTTCTGCTCTTTCTTCGCCTTTTTCGACTTTCTCTTCTGTTGCCTCTGGTTTTAAGTCTTCAGACTTTTCTTCAGCGCTGCTCTCCAGTGTCTTTGGTTCCTTGGTTTCTGACTCGTCCTCACCTTCCTCTTGGATCACCCTCGTCAGACATCCTGTCATTTCAAACTTATTCTGCGGCCACATCATTCTCCCGTCTCCTTCATCCTCCACTGTCTCTGGTTCAACCTCAACTTCTGCTGCTGGAGTTTCGTCCTTCAAAGTGAATTTCTCCAAATAGCCGTCAGTCTCCTCTGAATCTGAGAGACGCCTTTTGTAAGACTTCTCAGAAGCTACGCTCTCTGCCTCGGAGTATTCCTCGTCACTTGTCCTCCTCTCCCCTAAAGCATCCTCATACAGGTCTGAGTACATGAAAGACATGGCAGTGGGCTCCTCCAGCAGAATTGGGTCTATGATCTTAGGTGGTCCAGGGGAGATAAAGATGGGTGTGAGGATGGTTTCTTGACTGCCAAACAACACTGAACCACTCTCCTTCAGAGATCTCTGACTCTCGCGTCTCATTCTCTTTCCTCCACGACCCTCTGCTTTGTCTCTCCTCTGCAGAGAGCCAGGAGGGGCTCCTTCTCCATAGAAGACTTCATCAAGGTGTTCCCCAACAATCTCCACATCTGTGACAAAGACGAAAGAGTCTTCTGATGCAGTGGGGCTGTCTGTGGCTGTCTCTTTAGCAGGCTTTTGCTCCTCTTCTTGGGGCGTCCCTTCAGGCTTTTCTGCTTCCTCCTCCTCCAGCTGCGGAGCTAGGTCCCCAGGAACACCCACATCAAGCAGGGTGAACTTTTCAAAGTAGTCTATATCACCGGTGCTGTCTTTTGGAGTGGGTGTCTTACTTAGCTCTGTGTCTGCAGCTTGCTGAGATGAGTCTTGCTCTGAGGGCTGAGGAGAATATCACAATAAATGACTTTGAACCAGAGCAACAGGGTGTTTTAAACAGAAATGAACAAAACACATGAGAGTATTCCTTTGCATCACAACCAAAAGCACTCTGTAAAACCTCTCAAATCATCAATTTACTAAATATGCAAATACCTCTTGGTTGTTCAGATCTGCCTCATCCTGTAGCATGTCATCGTCCTGTTGCTGTCTCCAGATATGGTTGTTTTTGGACTTGATCTTAGGAGTCTGATCCAGATAAGATAGATTGTCCTGCAGCTCTGTGCTCTCCTCCTCATCCACAGTGGGAAGTTTTGAGGGGACTCTAATATTGAGAATCTCATAACCCTCTGAAATCAAACTAAAAAGCTGCTGATCTTTGTTTCTGATGTCCTCCAAGTCTGGCTCTGTAGGAGTTTTCTCTGGTTTCACATTGGGGAGAGACACCTCCGACATCTCTGGTCTCTCCACTCCCAAAGCTGAAGCCGATCTTGAGCTACCAGGTCGGCTCAGTCGGTCTCCCAGCCTGCTGCTCCTTCCTCCAGACCTTGTCCTCCTGCGGACGACTTTCTCCTCGTCAAAGACAATGGTAATTTTCCCTGCAGCTCCAGACCCCTCCATGCTGTAGGCCTCAGAGGTCGAGCTGGTCTCAGAGGCCCAGGGTGTAGAACAGCGGCTCGATGCTGTCTCCCAAACAATCCCACTGTCTTCGCTCTGAACTGTTACCATGGAGAACGATGGATCCACCATCAGGCACTGGAGTTTGGGTTTCACAGACTGGTCCTGAACAACCTCACGAAGACTAGAGGAAAGAGGAACGGACAGATTCAGAGGAAGGTAAGCAGGCTGTCTGTGCTGTTCATGATAAGAGGAAGGGCATGACTAAACAGTCTATGTGCAAGAGGAGATCCCTCTGGCAGCACTTTTAGAAACACAAGCAGAGAACGAACTAATGAATCAAACCAAAACACATCTTAGCACGATGTGCCAGCATTGAAAGCACATTCACGTTTTTGCACCTGAGGCAGTTCAGCAAATCTCAACTGAGGATTTGATAACACCTGCTGATCTATTCTCAATTTGACAAGTCAAGTTTGGATATGCAGCATTACACCAAACCTGCCAGTGTGAGTAATGAGCTGAAAAAATAATCATCATCAAATGCACTGTGAGCTGTCCCTCCAGCTATGAATACAGCTCCGATCCTGCAGAGTTACGGCCAGGTGACGTCCCAAAGCGTCATCCGTGTAATATTAGAGAAGAGATGCCTGTGCTTTCCCAGATACGCTCAACATATCAGTGTCTCCTACTATTTCTGACATGGCAAAGGTAGCTAACGCACCAGAATGAAACATGATTAATGAGATGTAAAAAATGGCATGGTGAATCTCATAAATGTTAGAAACTTAGACTGATATAATTTATTTCCTTATATAAGGAAAAAAAACTAAACAAAAAACGATGATCACTGAATAGAGTTGCTTTGTGTTCCTTGTATACACTTTTTAAATGACCTCAAAGTCCAGAAACAAGTTGTATCTCATAGACTCCATTTGGTAAATTTCATGTTTATATCTTTAAGAAAAAGAGGCATGGATTGACAAGAAGTGAGCAATAATTCAAGCCATTAAACTATTCCAATCCAGAGTGTTGGGCACCTGTTTTGGAGTTCCTCCACCTCGTCTTCGTCGTCCTGGCTGTTGGCCTCACTCTGAAAGTCCTGCAGCTCCATCATCTCGGTGTCCAAACTCTCACACTCCTCCATCTTGGCGGTGACCCCAAGCTCTTCCCTTTGTGGTTCCCAGTGTTGTTTTTTGTGTGTTTTTCAGAGTCCTCCTGATTTTTACAGCCACTCTGATTTTGGAGGAGTTACTCTGCCTGTTTGTGTCATTCTAAGTTGGGAGCCGTCCATCTGACTCAGCTGGGGGACAGAAATAGACTTAGAGGGGCATGGGATTGGAGAGGGGGAAGGACGTGACAGAGAGTAAGCCTCACAGGGGGTCTCAGATTGGCATCTAAAAAAGGGAGTTATATTTGAACTTAATATGAGGACTTTACCATACTGCTGAAAAGTTAGTGAAATTATAACCTTAGTTGGTTGGTAGACCTTTAGCAAAGAGCTGGTGTGACTTTAAGATCGAAATCCCCTTTGCAAAGATAAATATAGGCCTGGGGCTGAAACAGGAGCCCCCCCCTCCAAGTCCTCCGGCTGCCTGTCACACACACACACGCATGCACGCACACACACACACAACATGCAAGGTACCCACCCCCAGTAAAACTGGCACAATTCCGAAGCCGTAAAACTAAATGTAATAAGGCGTCAAACCACAGGACACAAAACAACCAACAACACCATAGGAAGAGCATTTAGCACTCTGAAGACGTAAATTTACAGAAGTCATCTGTAACTGCTGACCTTTATGAGGCGTATGAAATCACAACATACTTACTAACATAACATCAGGTCTATAGAGTTACAGTGATTTAAGTGACCATCTTTAGAAACAATACAAGCCTAAATCTAAATAGTCTGTAAGCTGAAGGGTAACAGTTTGGCCAAGCTAGCCCATGTTAAGAGACAGAAATCGTGGTTTCTGGCTCCAATGCTCGCCACAACCTTTTCCTGCATGCCATCACTCCACACAGTCACTTTCTCTGAAGTTCGATTCTTAACTAAGCACAGTCTCTGACATTATAATGCTCAGATTTCTTATGGTAAAGTGATAAAAATATATTTGAGTCCTGTTTACACCACATATTTGAAAACAGAGTTTAATTCCTTTTTATTATTGATAGAATACCTTTAAAAACCTGTAAAGATGAAGAATCCAGGAGACAATCTGATGATTTTGGCACTTCTACTGTATTTGCAAAGCCAAGAATTCTGTGCAAGCTCCAAAGTATAAATTCAAATCAATTATACATCTTCAGAGGTTTAATTTTCTTAAATAAACAAGTTAGTTAATGTACAAAATGTACAAAAGACCACAGAAAAAATATCAAACTTTAAGGAAAAAGAACAGTTATACTTAGGTGTGATTTCTCCAAACACGTAACAGATGAACCAAAAATGTATGAACACAAGAGCGTTTAACCAAAATCAGACAAGGCTGGACTTAAATGAAACAGTAAAGACAGCAAAGGGAATGAATGCAGCAGACACAGGTGACAGATAAATAAGTAGAAACATCTGGTCCAGCCCAAGTGATGACCCTAGAATCACTTACTAATGAAGGCAGTTTTTAGAGGATTTTAGAAACATACACACTGAATGATACAAAGACGAGTGTGGAAATAGTGTTTATGATTTCTAGACTTACAATGTTGACTGAGTAAATAAGAAAATATAGTTTATTTTTGCATGTTGGCTGAGACAGGCCAGAGACAAACTCAACATTTTATTTGGCAAACAAACTTGTCAGCGTCTTCAAAAAAAACTGGCTCTGTATAGTTAAGCTCCAGTTATGAGGATTAAACTGAGATGCAATGAAAAAAGATGAACCCAAATGCTGTTGCTTCTGATACGGCTTATCTCAGCGATGAAAGGGACACAGCTATCATTTTGTCTTTCTATACCTGGGCATTAAAATAGGCGTTTGTTTGATTACAGGTCATTGACAGCAATGCTCACCTCTAGCATCACTGCCAAACCGTTATTACTTTTGATAAAAACGCAGTATTTGTCTGTATTCGTCCGCAAATGATATGAAAGTGATATGAAAGTGAATGCAGGTGACCTCAACCTGATTTACAGATTATGGATGATATTGAGACAGAAAGAGGGTTAAGGTCAGAGGCAGCGGGGCTTCCCTCCCAGCACATCCCAAAGGTCTCTCTGAGGTAGAAGATGAATCAGTTCGTCAAATAAGTGTAGGCCCTTATCTCCTGGATGACTCTTTATTAATGATGGCTCTGACTGGGAGGATCGAGTTCAGGTCCTTTCTGTACTGTAGTATCCGCCATGACTGTTCAGACAGAGAAAGATGAGAAGCAGAGGACTGTGAATAACTCATGACTGGTCCACAGCCGTTTAGTTATAAAAAACAATGTTCATACCTCAGCAAACTGAGCTTTAATGGCTTCAAACTTGATGCTCTCATGGACTGCCCGGGCAACATTATTTCTTTCAAATGGCTCTGAAACATAAGAGAACAACGGTTCTGCTGACTATGTAGCATCACTGGGAATACTACTCACATTGATGCTCCAGTCACTGACAAGGGCTGGTGGCAGGTACATGAAGTATGAGAATATTCACCTTCCACACAAATGTATTTGTTTCTCCACTCGTGGGAATTGTTCTTCGGCAAAGTCCTGGCTTCTCGAACTGAGATCACCTGCTTGTCCCAACTACGGGACAAAGAAAAGAAAGTGCAAGAAGTTAGCATGTACTTTTAGACTGTACAAAAGAGCAAGCACCACCAGTGCTTAATTATACTAAAGCACACCTAACAGCCAACAAAGAGGAGGACTTTCAGAAAAGTCAGTTTGTTTAGATGTCAAGATGAAAGCGACTGAATGTTGCAGGACACAAGAATGTTAAATAATTATTGCAAAGTAAACACAAAGATGTTTTTATTTTTGGTCTGAGATTGAAGTGATAATGCAGAAGGAAACAAATTGTTTTCCCAACTCAATCTTAGAGGACAGCAGAGACACTTTTAAGACGTCTGTGCCAGCATAGTAGCACTATCATCTGTCCGTCAAATCTCCAATACTGGACGCTTGAAATTTGTTACATCAAAAGATCATGTGGTCTTAACAAGAGCAATAAAGCAGCATTTTAGCATGAGTTGGACTAAACATTGGTTACTAGTACACATTGTGTTCATCTTTCCCTCTTCCACATCTCTTCTTTCCAAAAAGAAATCAAACCTAATGAAATAATTAAAGGCAGAGTTCATGCAAAACACTCAATTTGCAGGTCTAGTGCACAAATCGTGAGTTTGCTTGGAATTTAGTTCAACCTTGTGGATTTTAGCATGCCAAGGTGACACACATGCTGCAAACACGGTGATCATAGTGTGTCATGTTATTGCTGTGTAAGGCCAAAGGTCCCACCTGCTCCTGCCCTTTACCCAGAAACATGAAACCAGAGAAGAGGATGCAGGATGGAGGAAGGAGGGGAGAGAAAGGAGCTGGGGGACTCGAGAGGAGTAGGAGACAGGGACTGGTAGAAAGGAAATATGAAGGGAAAAACATCTGAAACACTCGACAAAATAATGTGATATCCTGGAGTGATACCTGAAGCCTGTGGCATAGTATTTGAGAAAGCCAGTGAGCAGCTCTCCCAGAGAAGACCAGTTTCTTGAGACATACGGGGGGATTTGTTTGGGTCCTTCTGGGACCATGTCAATCTCCATGGAGGGATGAAAACAGTCCTGGGAGTTAGAACACAAGACAAAAACAGAACATTTATTAATGGTGAGTAGATTAATACAGGAATGTCTTTTACAAAAAAAAGAGGATAGGTGACAGTTTGTATTTCTAATCATTTTCATGTGAATTGTACTGACTTGAATTTTCAGCAGCATGTCTCATAATGAACCTGAGTGCGAGGGTGAAACACAAGTATGACTGGAATCACTCATGTATTGCACAACAATGGAAATACTTACTGGATAGTCCCTCTGCAGAGATGGAAGGACCGGATCCTTCAGGGCTGGAAGGAAATAAACACACATGGGGGACGAGATATTGAGACCAAAGAAGAAAAGAGATTAAAAAGGATTTAAAAAGATCTTGTGTGATTTCACTGACTCTGAAGGTAGTTCAGCACCATCAGCACCAGTGTGTAACTGCTCAACGTTCCTTTGCTGGCATCGTTGATTTGATGGTGCCGTGCCCACTTCTTAATGACAAGGATCATGGGTCTTATCCTGAGATCAGCTGAGAAATACCACACAGTACACAGCAAGTCAAAACAAGAAACGTGGACATCTTCCTCTCAGGTATCAAACACAGTATTTAAGATATTTGACAGTTACGAGGATTAAAAATCAAAGTATTACTGACTACGTCACTCACCATAGGCATAACTTCTCAAAAGAAAAGTGTTCCTGATGCCCACAGTGTTGTTGATATTCAGATCAAATTCCAGATCACTGAAGAGACAAAAGAATGTACATCAACGAGTCTTTCAGACTTCTCACCGTTTTATTTTAAAAAATGGCTTCAGCTGTTGTTTTTGTTCATACCTGCCTTTCTCTCTGAACCTGAGGATTGGCACTTTGGCTCTGATCAGCTGAGTCTTCTCTACATATGCTATATAAGGACGAGAACAAAAATCATGAGATTTGTGATACTTTCAGTTTCCTTTCCTGTGAAGCTGAAACCCCTTTTCTCTGGGTGATAGCTCCACCTAGTGGACTCTTTAAGGTGCATGTAGACTAAAAGAAAATTCCCATTTCAATGTGTTACTACTGATCTCATTATTTTCCAACAAATAAACAGTAATGTAATTACTGAAATCATGACCATTTCATTACTCACGCAGTGATCTGAACAACTTTTGGAGGACAGAGAGTACATGGATAGGATCTGGTCTTTTCTGGAAAAAGAGAAACATGCAGGTGATTAGAAAGGAGAGAGATCTCTGATTGAATCTTGATCAAACACTTCTGACGGCAGTCGCAGCACAGCGTCTGACATACTCACGCTTCCCTTGATGACAAGACACAGATCAGCATCGCTGCTCCGACAGCCCAGTCCATTCATAGAGGATCCGGTCAAGTAAAGTCGTGCCACTGTGATGAAGTCACTTAGTAAATAAGGATCTTGACAGAAATTCGTGCATCACTGTGTATTTTATGCACACCTGCGTAAACATGCTGTATGTCTTTCTGCAGCTGTGTTCGAATCCCCTCTTTTCGGACCAAATCTGAGTATTGCTGTTGGCACGCCTCGAACAACTCCACCATCTGACCGCTTAACTGAGGATACAGACACAAGCACTTGACTAAACCACAGATACCCTCATGCGCACACACTCAGAAAAAAAAATGAATGAAAGCAAGAGAATAAAGTTCCCTCAGGATGTAGTACCTTGTCATGAGCATAATCCTGCAGGCTAATGGAGCTTTCCTGGATAACAGGCACCTGAAGGTGAGGATTGGGATGTGTGCCAAGATGCGAACTTGGGCTCTGTTGGGACCAGTCAAAATCATATCTTGATGATCCAGCCAACGTTTGGGTGGGATGAGGAGGGAGATGTGCTTGATTTAAAGGGGAGCCTATTGATGGGTGGGGAGGGGGGTCAATGCGTTGGCGCTTCCCCACTGGGGATCTGTATTCATCATTCTGTCTCCTGGGAGAATCAAAATAAGAGGAAAACATTTTATAGGGCATATGGTAGATAAACTTGAACTTTCAGGTTAGACTCTATTTTGATCAACAAATAAAGAACCCAAAGAAAGTCCCTACTGACACAGAGATTTTATTTAACCTGTCTGATCTCAGGACACTGAGTTACTGTCAAGGATTTGAAGGCTTTCACAGTAGGTCACAGTGCACTACTGTAGCACAGATGATAAACAGAGACTAGTGTTATGTTGTTTGCGAATGATTCGTTCAAAATAACCTAATCATTTAAATAAACATACTGAACCAAATCACTTCATCAAGTGATTCGTTCGTTTCTCACTTCAGTTGAGCTGTGAGCAGTGCAGCTGCTTTAGCACGCAGCATTGCCGGGCAAGCAGCCAGCACATGAAGGACCGCATGCACTGATGCCTGAATCAGGTATTGAACTAAACTCTCTGTAATCATTTTTGTCAGACAAAACTAACTTTCTTTTTTTTTACTGCTAAATTGCCACCACGACAACTTGCATACAACAGGACTCAGTATGTAACAAGCAGTGCATTAAACCCACAGCATCCTATCATTGCAGCGGTTTGCAAGGGAACGGTGCATGTTCAGTTTGAATTCTTCTAAACATTTAGTGAACGAATCACTCACTGAGCTCAATTTACCGAACACACCTGATAAAAAGCATACCATTGGACAGTACACTTGACTTGACACTTGACAGTACATCATGACTTATAAACAGTTTCACTTTTACAAACCTGTTTGTCAAAGCAACACAGCCAAACACTCTCATCTCCTAGTCCCAAAGCTATGATCTGAACTGAATCCTGAACCATTCAGCTGTGTATCAGTTCAGGAAGTCAGAGTCACAGGCTCCTCCCACCAAGGAGAAAAGATTCGGTGATTTGGTGAACGAATCTTTTGAACGAATCTTTCTAGTGAAATGATTCTAGTGATTCAGTACATGTAAAAGAACTGCTGTGCCCATCACTAACAGAGACTTAGCTACTTTTGTGTGTTACATAAAGCACAATGGTGAGCAAATACAGGTAAACAATCACTTGATCAGCACAAAGATCACCAGTCATGAGTAAATATCAAAATTACAAACTTGCGCCTGTTGGTCATTGTTGGTGTCTGAGGATGATGGGCCGGAGTGTGGGGTGGTGGAGGCTTCCATTCATATGCCGGTAACCTCTCTTGTCCAGGAACACGGAAGCTACAAGAAGACGTGCGTGTATTAGAGCTCAGTGTGTGGAATAACAGGTAAGTGACTATGGAATCCATGTCTCACACCAATGCAGCTCATTTCCTTAAATTTTAGGCTCACCTATCAACACCGGTTGGGCTTTGGTGGTTGTAATGGACAACCACAGGGGGTGGTGGAGGGTACATGGCGGTGTTGTTGGCTGACCGCCCCCTCGGTGCATCTCTGCGGGGATACATGCCGATGTTCTTCACTGATCACCAGCATTAACTCCACTGATTTCCTGGTAAAAACAAAACAAACTATATTTCCACCTTACAGCTCATACATTTGATCGTTAACTTTATAAAATCCTTCAAATTATCATTCATAATAAAAGGGCTACACGACAAGTTTACGAGGAAACCGAAAGTTATCGGCGAGGGAGAGAGCAGGGTGTGCTAAGAAACGTTAGCTCAGAAAATGCCTAGCAACGTACAGTTTACCGGTTGAAATGTTCGTTTGAGTATCATATTAACGCTATCTAACAGTATCCGAGTGAATAGTATCTCTGCGGAAAGTGTCATGTAATGTTTGAAGTGTTGAACCTGAGCTGAACACTCACCATGTCACATGTAAACAAAAACTGAACCTGCTCGTGTTTTAGTTTCGAGAGCGTTACTTCCGCAATTACGCCATGACGTAGTAGAACTGTATTTAAAGGGGACGTGCGGGGATTAGTTTTTGATAAAAATACAGCCAAAACAAGTTGAACCAAAGTTCTGTCCATTATGCGTAAATAGGCAGTAAAAACAAGATTTAAATGGTCAGTACACCTAATAAGTACTTAGACTAGGGATATTTGTAATGTTCTATTCAAGATGGACCTACTATCCATCCAAATGAGTTGAATTTGAATACAGGATGTTGATCTGTGAATCAGATAAAGTAAGTCTGTCAGTAAAATCACAAATTCGGCTACACACAGTGTCCTTTGTGTATTGTAGAGCAATAGCCAATCTATAGCTAGATGGCTATTTCACTACTGTCTGTCTGTTTTGGTTGTTGTGCCATGTAAGTGATTTGTTTCCAATCTACACAGTTTTCTAAATTGTAAATACAACATGTATTGCTTTAGTTTGCACCATAAATATTACTTTGCAAAGTGCCCTTGTATGCTACATCAGAAGTGAATAATGGTGAGAAAACAATGGAAAGCCGCTTTTTAGTCATAAAGGGACTAAATTTATGTATGAATCAATCAGTTGACCAACAAAGACAAATTTTGTGAACCTTTGTCCTGATTATTTTCTTTTTCCTATGTGACATTTAATACTGTTAGTCCTAGTTTGTGAGCACTAGCAGCCCCTGTTACACACTAATCCCTCATCATTTCAATCCAATCACTACATATCTCCAAAGGATCTTTATTATAAATCTCATTTTTTTAAACTTGGCTAGAACCAATTAGGTATTAAAAAAAATAATAATAAATCACACAACAATTCATAAAAATCATCTGATAAGGAATATGAGCAAGAGAGAGATACTAAGAACATAATCTTTAGCACAAATATTAATAATGATACATAAATCTGTCATTTTAAAGCAACTGGAAATGGAAATAGATTGGTCTAGCAGGCTGCCAGATGGCAATAATCAACAAAAAGAAAAAAAGGGTAATAGACCTATTGGCAAACTGTTCTCTATACTTGGAAAAGTACAGGGTAATGCAACACACATTTCTACAGAAAAAAATAAGAAATTGGAAATTAATTATCAGTGAACATGCTTGTTGACATGTCACCTGGAATGCCTTCTAAAGTCAGGATTTCTACACAGAAACATCATGTCACCTTGACTCCAGTTTCATCCCGTCATCATCCTTGACTGTGTATTAATATGAACCGCAGGCCTCCATCTCCTCCCATTGTCCAGTCATTAAAGAATCCAAAACTATATTGGCATGTACTGACATGTAATCAACCTTAACTCATTTTTTGTCTGTGAAAATGGACTTTCATGGGCATCAAGACTACAACCAGTTTGGGCTTCACTTAACTAACTTTGACTGAAGTTAGCAAACTTGGGCACTGATTTTTGCATGGGTGGCAAGAAGAGGCCTACGTTAGAGCGTGCACTGATAAAAAGCATTTATCAACTTATTCTATGTTCACTGACCTTCAATTTAGCATTTTCTAAAAGATGTGAATTAAAGTGTGAACATCAAAAAGATATGAAATTCCTGCGCTTTTTAATTTCATTTTAAGAAGTACCACAATGGCATGGCAATGAATGCATCTTCCTTGATATAGGGCCATACTGCACACCCAAAGCAAAGCGCAGTGTGTGCGGTACAGTACTTGTTATGAGGAGCACAGTACTTGTTATGAGGAGGTTGAATTCATGTGATTGTAAGATTAGGAGGTGTTCAAAATGTGTGTTCCCCTGCTTGTTACACAGAAGAAGGTATGCAGTGGCCCTATTTCTCACACTGGAGTGTTGGCCATTATTTTGAACCACAAGAATTTACTGGAAAATAAACAAAAATAACAAACAAAAGTCATGATAAATGGCATGTTACGGTTGCGATCAGCACTACCACTTGAGTTCAAGACTTGACCCTCAGCCCTCATCTTCCTCTTTGGAACGAGATTGTTATGGCTTTATTTCATTGGATGGTTGGCCATGTTTTTGGACTACTAAGATGAACCGGAAAGTTCTTGCATTTGCAAGTACTGAATACTGACAGCTCATCATTAGACTACTTCAAAGATCTGAGAAGTGTTTTACCCAAAATAAGACAGCTCAACAAGGCAGCACATTATATAAATCAAACAACTGTGCACGCAAAGTGGTGTGATGGTGCAGTTGGTCGCTAACCACTTCACACCTCACACCTTGGCCGGGCCTTGCAGTGTGAAGATATAATGTTGTGATTGAATCCCCCACAGTTATGTATACTGTAATAGGCTAAAAAAAAACACAAAGGAGAGCTGAAAAGTAGCATGACAGTACAGCTGTTAGCATGATGCCTCTCAGCAGGCTTGTATTAGGCTTGACTGCCAGCAAGGGTCTTCCGGTGTGAGGATTGAAAGTCCATTATTCTTCCACAGCAGTGTAGACTGGCTCTGAATAACCATAGATTTGCAAAGTGGATAAACCAAGCCGATAAACCACGGAATCAAACAAAAAAACCCTGAAAAGCAAAGCAAAGAAAGAGAAAAGCTGAATGAACCAGCCCAGGCCCTCTCTAGAAGAAAGAGTGACATCCGCTGTGTTATGCGCCTGCCTGCAGGATTACTTGGCTCATGGAAGGGATGACAGAAGACAGTTGTGCAAGAAACATGTTTCAAAACAGTAAGGACAGGGACAAATGACAAATAACACTTTAAGAAGTGTAATGCTGAAATTCACTTGGAACGTCTCCCAAAATGATAGTTACATAAATCTGCCAGAGGTTAATTACATCCATCCATCCACTTTCTACCACTTTTGGCTCTCTTATGATAGAATTACTTCATGTGTTCTGGGGGTTTACTAGTAGTCAGAGAGGACAGTTGCTCATTCAACATCATTTTTGTTCAAATGTTTATTTTGGGGGGTGATGGGGATGCTACGGTGGCCGAGAACTGCCACTTCTTCAAATAAAAAAAGAACGCCAAAAAAAAAAGAGGTCACAAGGAAGTTACTGATGCAAAGAAAGAAACCGAAGCCCGCTGCAAATAAAAAAAAGAAATGGTGCAAATAAAAAAGTCACAACAGAAGTTAACGCAAAAAAAAGTGGCGATGCAAAAAAATAAATGAATTTTTGAAAAGTTACTTACTGTGAAAATCAAAGGATGCGAATAAAAAAACTCAAAATGGACGTGAGCTGCCGGGGACCAATAATGATGATGCACCAGGCTTTTTTTTTTTTTTGCATCCTTTTATTTTTCCAGTAAGTGACTTTTTTTTTGCGTTGTTAATGTCCATTGTGGCTTTTTATTTCAATCTGCACAATTTCTTTTTCTTCTTTTTTTTTGCATCGGTAACTTACTTCCGTTGTGACTTTTTTTTTCCAGTCTTTTTTTTATTTACAGCAGTGGCGGCTTTTGGCCACCGTAGATTACACCTCTGATATGCAGCACCTTAAGTTAAAAATAAATAAACATCCTGAGCTTGTGAACGTAGTTGTGAATGTGTTATGAACTTGGGTCATCCAGTAGAGTAATGTGAAATCTCACGCAGGTCACATGTTCTTCTCGTTTGTCTTTCGACAAAGTCTTCTGAGGAGGAACCATGTTACAAATCAAAGGCTGAGAACATTCTGTGTAGGAACCGGTGAGTAGCCCACATCCCAATAAACTTCTTATAAAACAACAAACCATCCAATGACACTAGTCCCCTGAGCATAGAGTGACGTCACTGCGGAGGACGGTGCGATGACGTAGGCAGTTCAATACTGACAGTGATCTGAGTGGGAGGAAAGCGCGTGCATCTGCCAGATGTAGAGCGGTTTTTGGGGGCGGGGTGCATAAAGGGGTCTGTGGATAGGCTCGGATCAATGAGGCACACATACAGCTTTAGCATAGAAACTGCAGGATATTTAGACCCGTGCACAGGAGGAGTCCAGGCACAAGTGTGGAGAAGGAGGGCACGTGAGCCGGTAGGGTTTTTAAATTGATGTAGCAGAAGCACTAAAGATGGTGTAGTTAGTCCAAATCATGCGTGGAGAATCGGCTTTTCTTTTCAAATGAGAGCACTGTTAATAGTGAGTGTGTGGAATAGCTGTGAAATAGCTGTAGTCTGGGCGAAAGTGGGGGTGTAGCTTGTGAGCATGGTAATGAGAGAGAGAGAGAGAGGGAGAGAGAGAGAGAGAGGGAGAGGGAGAGGGAGAGACGCGGGTGGACAGTGTGATGCTGTGTATTATCTTCTGTGTAAATGAGGGTTGTCTTTCCCAGTTCAGGCACCACGGCTTCTCCGCCCTTCCTGCTCGGATCTGTAGTTTACACGACAACAGCAGGACGCCTCTCGGATCTCCACTGGACCCAGCGCTGGATCTCCCACAGCGCTGCTACTGCTGCTTCTGCCTCCGCCGCTGCTGCTGCTGCTGCCTCTGCTGCTCCATCACCGGCCCCTCAACGCCAAAGGAGGAAGAAGAAGAAGCAGATCTGATTTCCTTGCCATGTGCCGAACGACATGTATGTGTTATTTCAAACGGTGACAGTGTAGGGGAATGGAGCAGTTGTCAACAAATTCCTGCAGACGCACCGACGGTGATACATTGAAGGCTGTCGTGTAAGGAGAAGACCTTCATACGCAGCAGCAGCCAATCCGAAAGACACATTTTTTTTTCATTACCAGCGAGACGGACCAGCGGTCAAGTGTCGCCGTCATGTCAGCCACAACAATGGGGTAAGTGCGGTTATTATCCCACAGGCTGAGTCCCTTATCACTTCTTTGTGAATGTAATCTGCTGCGGATGAACTTCCCTCACACCACGCATAATACCAACACTGACCCAGGTGTATGCGTAAAAATGAATCTTTCATGGCTCCTGATGTATCCAACTAGGTAAGCTGACTAATATGTGCGGTTGAGTGGAGATCTTCTGACGACCTCAATGTGCTACACACTAAGAAAACCAATTCAGAGACATAAAATGAAGCAAATAAATTCCCTTTTTCCCCTTCTGACAAAATGACACTAAAGGCCCAACAGGCTGACACAAAGATGCTGGACCAAAAGTTGCTTCATCATCAAACTTTTAGGATTAAATGTTGGTTGAATCCGCAGTGTTTCAGAAAGTAAAAGTACCAGTGATTCCTACAGGGGGGTTTTCTCAAGAGAAGCAGATTTTTAATTTCTGATATTGCTTGAGAAGAACAAAAGACTGAATAAAGGTGCTTTTCTTTCTGGGCCCTGTTTCTCAGTGTCAACTCGACTACATTGTAGACAGTTATGTAATTCCGAAAGAAGGCATGTGCTTCAACAGCATTTCTTCATTTCATTCTCCACATTGATCCAAACTCCGATCTGCTGTACATTTTGTTCAGTTCGAGGGACAACATCATGACAGAAGGAACGAAATGTTAGCAGCTACACTGCTGCACAGTGCTTCAGTGACAGAAAGTGGCTTCCTGTCTCTATGGTAGCACAGCGGCTGCTACCTCACACATCCTCCACAACATGCATCCATCAGTGATCCGCCTAGTGCGCAGCGCTGCTCATTTGCATGTCCCCTAACCCTGAGCTCAGCGGTCCATTTCCCTTACCAAGCCTGTCGTCCATTAACAGCTGTCTCCCACTGCTCATTGTGATTAATTGCACAGCAGGAGGTTAACAATATGGCACAGGCATGGTGCGATTTAGAGGCATCAGCCAAAACTCCTGCATTAACTATTTACAATACACTGGAGGCCTCCCAGGCGCCCACTCTGCCCTCCTACAGTGTGGGCAGCACATCATTCAGCGGTCTCCCACTCAGCTGCAGCTCTCCACTGGGCCCTGCCACACTGGTGACTAACTTACTGTTATGCAACTGGCTCAATGACTCAATTGATCTACAATGGAATAAATTGTAAACTGGGATTCAAGCACTCTTCTGCACACAGTGCTTGTCTGAATATTTGCAGGTGCAGGTGACATGAATGCGTGTATAACCATAGGCTTCAGTCTGCTCTGTCTGTGTAACGGTAAAGTCACACAGATAAAGTCGTATTTCACCTCCAGCCTGGTGGTTCAAATCTAAGCCATTTACAGCGCTATAGTTGTTTTAGCCCAGAGGAGCACATTAGAGTTGGACAGTGCTGGAGATGCCTATCAACAGTCTCTCTGGTGGGTTTTCACTTCCTTGGGCAAATACAATCAATGCACAGATGGACTCGTTTCTCTGCCTGTGTCTTTGCGCGTTTGTGTGGGTGTGAGTAAGAAGAGAAAGAGAGAGATAATTTGTGTTTACAAGGAAAATCTCAGGTCATCTAAGCTTATTCCAGCAACATGCAACAGCTGGGAGCTCTTATTAATGACCTCTTTCTACCTTAAATAAGAACTACATGCCTTCAAGCTCTGCTCAGCTGAATTAACAAAACGCTCTGGAATGAAGGACAACTTTCAGACCGAGGCGGGGTGGAGGTGGAGGTAGCGAGGGAGAGTGAGATATCCCGAGGTGGACTGTTGAGTAATACTTCTGTTTCACTGTCAGTGTTTGCACAGAGAAAGGCAGCTGCACAGCCTAAGATGACATACTGTGAGCTTAAAACCAAAATGCAGCCTTTTGGAGTTTAACATTAGGGAATATGCGTGTGTGTCAATGTGTGTGCCCTCTAAAAACCACTGTTCACATCTGTGCATCAAACCCCTTGAGCAAAAGATGTGCTTTGGACCTCACCTGTTGCCTCTCCTAAAACTACAAATATTTGTCTGTGTGGGTTTGTTCATTTGAAATAGCCTGTTGGTTCAATGTTGTCCAATCATCAATATCCATGTAAACATGTAGATTTGAGATTTATGCTAACACGAGTGTGAGGCTTGGTTCACCTTGATTACATAACACAGCAAATAGTGCTTCCTAGCTTATCAGCATATGTTTGTGGGTTCATTTTTCACCCTTTACAACAAATTAAACACTTTGAGGGCATGGTCCAACAGTTTAGGAGAAAATAGATTTTAATGAAACTGTGGTATCCCGAATCAGATGATTTTTGGCAAGATAGAAGCTGATAGCCGTTTACAGAAATTCTCCTCTATTGTACTAAAGTAGACTCTAACATTTCTTCCAACCATTTAATTTGTTTCTGAAGTCTTTATGCTGGCCCTTTAAACCAAAACCCACCTCACAGCTCATCTGTCTGTGTATCAGTCCTCCTGTACAGCAACTTTGTCAAAATGCTGTCCTACTCTGTCAAAACCAACATTAGAGTGATGGCTGCAATTAAACATCAAATAAATCCTAAAAATCTGGCATTCAAGAGCCACTTTGAAAAATGACGAATCAAGATGCAATTCATAGTCAAAATAATGTCTGGTGTTACAGAACAATGAACTCCGAATTACGGCTATTTGCGGTGATATCAAGTAAAGAAGTCTATCAATAATGTTTATGATAAATCAATAGTATTTCAGAAGATATAATAAAATGATTAGGTGTTACCAATTGCTCAAAACAATAACCCAAAAAGTCTGTCATTGTGTTTGTTTTCTAAAATTGGTGTTTCATCCATATCATCCACATCATCATCATCATCATCAACTTCATCAACATCATCCCACAGAAGTTAACCAAAAGTCTCTCAGACCCACAGCCCACACATGCTCCTCTCTGACACTTAACCAGCTCTTCCCTTAAAAACTCTGGTGATGTTCCTGAAAGTTCAGATTTGAGCTGCACAGCCAAAGTTCACATAATTGTTTATACCACACTCTGAAGCAGTTTAGAGCCTCCCACTCCCCTCATCTATTCCTCAGCGCTCTCGATCTCACCAACATTCATCACCTCCTCCATGTTCTCCTCATGTCTCCTTTCTTCTCTCACTTCATCGCCCTCCCCCCCTATCTTCCTCCCTCTCTCCTTCATTCTGCACGCCATCTCTCTCTCTCTGTTTTAACATTCACGTTCCATCACCTGCCCTTGTGTCACACACTGCCCTCTGCATGCTAAACACCACCTTCTTCACCCCAGCTTCTTCTCATTCAACTTAGACGATCCCTGTCCTTTCCTCCTTTCTGTACATTGTTTCCTCTCCATTTTCCTCTCACAATGACCGTGTCTCATCATTGGGTGGATACTTTTTTCAGTCACATTCATGCATGCACTGTTTCCATGCATCAGTGGTCAAGGAGATCACATCGTGAAGCTTTTCTAACCCACAGCCCTCATGATATTGTAAAAGTTCTTTGGTGATTGAGGCAGTAGGATGGATCAGAATCATAGCATGAACAAGTTGATGCGACTGTTTTTAAGGGAAGAAAAATTCACATATAATGACCGTTGGACATATTTTGTAGAAAGCATCATTTATTTATAATCCTTTCATTTATCATGCTGTCTTTAAAAGTTCAGTTGTAGGAGTACATATTGCCTTTTTTTCAATAACTGGTGGGTGTCTTTTTGGAACTCAATTCTTTGGCTCGAGCGCTCATGTAAGAATCAAAGCACAAGATCAGTGCTGCATTTGGTACAAACACAATCAAGCAACAAGAAGTAGAAGAATTTGCAACCGCTCCATCAAATTATGCAATGGAGAAAGATGCCTGTTGCCAAGTGGCTATTGCACAGATCATACGGACAGGCTTAGAAAGTGTGATGTGTGCTGGGAGAGAGCTGAAATGACTCACAGTTCTGCCACTTACACTGCTGTCGATGATTATGATAATTCCTGCACAGTACTCTACAAGCAGCTTTGTGAAGCAACATTAATCATCCCAAATTCACTCTCTGACTTCCTATACTCTATACACATTCCCCATCATTCTCTTTCTCTTCCTGTCTAACTTTCCTCACTCCTTCTCCGTCTCCCCTTGTCTCCATGTTTTTCTTTCTTTCCCAGTCTTGGCTAATCACACACAGGAGGGTTGCTGCTGCTGAATTTTAATATTCATTTATACAGCAAGCCTTTGATGTCCCCCATCACCCCCTCAGTGCAGTGTAAGCACTTCTCTATCTCCTGCTCTGCCAGCACTGCTAGCCCAGAATATCTCCCTCTGCACCCTGCACTCAAAGTGTGTGAGTGTACTGACTGTAGATATTACCCAAGAAGCCCCGACAATGCTGGAATATATGAGGGTGTTGTAGGAGCAAAGTGAAGGGTCGGAGTGAACGGCCAAAGAGTTAAAGTTGGGCGTGCATAAAAGATGATCAAGTAACAACAATGACTGATTGATGAAGACCAGTATGAGATGAAGTGAATCTTTTTGTCAGTTTTAGTGGGACACAAAGGTCGATAAGGAATACAGCCGTCTGGAACTGAGCCAATCATGGGCTGTAGTTATTTACAGTACATTCAAACCACGCAAGACAACTCCACACATCCTGTAACACAGGTTTACTGACAAATTCCAGCACATCTGCGCTTATACATATATGCACATGCATTATGTTAGCCTGTGTGGAAAGTGCAGCTCTGTGGGGTGTGTCTTTGCTGGTTAACCATGGCCTACTGTCTATATTTAGCCTTAAACCCCCCCTGTGCTCCCTAGCATGACCCTCACACAGTGCTGCAGGCATTCCCATATCAGAGCAGGGAGAGACAGGCTGCCTTACTCAAAGAGAGACAAAGAGAAAGAGAGAGAGTTACAGTCATTTAGCTGCATTTAGTGTTTAAGTTTGTAAGTTGAGAGGAAACGCATTAAAGAAAGTTTTGGACTCAGCTTTTTGAGGAAACTCCCAAAGTTTGAAGGATCAGTTCCTATTCAAGACATGTAGTAGTTATTTGACCGGCTTTCTTTCTATGCTGTAACTATGGAGGATGGCGAGTTGGTGATTCGGTTGTCAGGGCGATCTGACTCCCCCGTTGGGAACAGGAGGTTCAGCGCTGGTGCTGGTTTTGGCGAGACGTTGGTGTTGCGGCACAAAGAAGTTCACAACTTCTTCTTCGTCCCCTTTAGGGAGCAGCCCATCTACAGCACCCGGGCCCACGTCTTCCAGATCGACCCCAACACCAAGAAGAACTGGTTGCCCACCAGCAAGCATGCTGTCACAGTCTCGTACTTCTACGACAGCACACGCAACGTGTACCGCATCATCAGCCTGGATGGCACCAAGGTGAGTGTTACTGTACACCTTGAACACAGATTTCCCTTCTACTAACTTAAAGTTCTTCATTTTCCACCAAGTCCTTTCAGTACGCTGTCAAACAGCTGTCCAGGAGATTTTAGAGGCACCCTGATACACTTACTGTTAATGGTGTTCATAAGCTCTACATTGGAATCAAATGTGCAAACACATCTTAAAAGAGCTCAGGATGTCAGCCAGTCGCAGGACTGACAACTCATGTTTCATTCTGTGTTTGCAGGCAACCACAGTGTTTGTGTGCACATGTATGTGTGTATTCTAGTGTCTGTCTGCACTTATGAGTCCACGCTTTATGTCGGGATATATTTGTTAGTGATCTGGGCGGGATATTTCGACACACACACTTGCCACCAGTTATAGAGAGCAAGGGTGGGATACAGTTAAATGAGAGAAACAGATGACAGACTGACAGGAATGTGTGGTAGCCCTGAAAACAAGAGCAGAAAAAAAGAGAAACCAGGTGAGGGCGGCTAAGTGTGGAGGGCTGGAAGAAGCTAAGCGATGTAAGAGAGTATGTGTGACTGTCAAGTTAGCAACCATCTAATATCATAGCTGTCTGATCACTAAATTCAGCTATTGTGTAACACGCACATGCACAGACCGCTCACTGATTATGTATTGATGTTGACAAGAATGCCAACCATTACACAACAATGTAAATTGATCAGACATTAATTTGCTCTCCATTAGTGTTATTTAACAAAGTGAATTATATAAGACTGAGAGGTAGCATTTTATCTTTGTCCGTTTCAAAAAGAAGGACAAATTCAAATGAATTATCAAAAACAACTAGAAGACAAAAACCAACAGTACAGTCAGTCAAATCCTTTATGAACCTTTTAGTTTCTTCACCAAGATCAACTTTACTAGTTCCTAATGCAGTTTTTTACAAATTGTTAATTACTGTATTTTATTATTTGTTTTTATTACATTAATTTATTTCGATCATGTAAACAACAACTTCAAAACAGTTCAGAAATAAAAATGAGTGAAAATCAAGAAATGAAAACAAACAGTTACTTGCATCTGCAAACTTTTAAGCCTCTTAGTTTATATGAGTGAAAAGGAGAAGAAGAAGATGCTGGTGTAATAATGTAATGTGGCGCAGGTAATACTTGTTCACAGCACCGATTAGTTTTGTTTTGGTCTTACCTAGGAAAAATGTAAAATTTTGCCTGATTCACCTGATTTCGACACTCACCAACTTTCAGAGTTTACAGTTGTTTCTTTCAAACAAACATTTCTATCCATGACTGTCTTGTTGCTCTTTGTGTGTATGTAGTAGTACATGATCATGCTCGCGTGCATTGCTCTCTGTCTTATTGATGGTGGATGACTGAATCTGTGACTGAAAGCTTTCAAAGTGAAACTCAGCAGCTCTCTGTTATTGGAACAAGCATAAAATACAAAGTGCTGGTGTGTTTGAGCACGCATTACTTCAGATCAGTTACCGTGTTATTTTTCTCATCTCTTGCGTGTGAATACAAACACACAAAAAGTGCATTTTTTGGACTATTGCCTTTATCCAGATGATTGGACAGATGATAGAGTGGCAAGCTGGAAAAATAGAGTGGGGCATGGCGTGTGGCCAGAGACCATGGGTCGGATTCGAATCTGGGCTTCTCTTTTTAAGGACTGTAGCAGCAGAGCATAGAGTGCACAACATAACCACTGAGCTAAAACAGCAACAACTTAAAAAATAGTGTTTATTTTTTGGGGTTTTTAATAAACCACGAGTGCATTCTAAAATTGCAGCCTCTGCAGGTGAAGCCTGAAGTAATGTATTCAAAGACAGAATAGCCTAAAATAGTGCATATGGTAAAGAAGGTAACTCACACTTAAAGTGAAGGACATTTTTGGCTTAAAGAATAATGGTGTTGTGAGTCATTTTTCTATTATTGAACTCAGTGAATAATCGGCTAATTGTACTGGCACAACAGCAGTACTTGATGGACAAACTCATGACCGGACTGTTACAAACTGTTAAGATAAGGATGTCTCCAAACTTAATATTATTTTCTCGTTACTTGTGGTCTCAAAGATATTTATTTAGACATAAAAAGTGCACGCTGCAATGATGCTTATGTATAATTTTGTTTGTGTTTATTGCTGTGTGTCTGTCCTGAAGGCAATAATCAACAGCACCATCAGTCCCAATATGACGTTCACAAAGACTTCACAGAAGTTTGGCCAGTGGGCGGACAGTCGAGCCAATACTGTATATGGCCTGGGATTCTCCACTGAGCATCATCTCGCCAAGGTACCACCCCCACCCAACCCACACACACACACACACACACACACACACACAAACCACAAACGCTACAAACCTCTTGGCATCAATCACACTTTTCTTACCCTTCCCAGGTGCTTGAGAGTGCATGGTATTTCCACTTTTTCTTGTTGCTATAGCTTTTCTCAGAGTGTAGAATGTGCCCAGCAGTAAGCCCTAATGAGCCTTTTTTCTCTGCATGTGTCTGTGTGTGCTGTTATGAGTGGTATATACTGTGTGTTCACTTGGGTGTGTATGTGTGTGCAAGTAGGAGCTGGTTTCTCTCCTCTGCGGTATGATTAAGCTCTGACTTGTACTGGGGAGGCTCACAGCATCAGTCAGAAGAGCACATGCACACACACCCTGCATCTACACACAAACACACATACCTGTTTTTAACATTTTGTGAGGACAATGTTCTCTAAATTTCTTGAGTGGACGACAATTTATATTATAACTGGAATGGTGTCAAGGGCTAAAGGCGCTCACCCAGGCATTTTATTTGTTAAGAATTCACAAAATGTACTCACAAGCAAAAACGTTTTCAGGAAAAGGCTGTTGATAAAGAGTTGGTCCTCACAAGTATATTAAAACACACACACACACTTACACAATCCCCATAAACAGGCCTCAGCTTCAGGATAAACACTTGTGTTGTTTTTTGACTTTGGCAGTCACACATAGATGATGGGTGTGTTAGTGATTAAAGGGACAGTTCAATAATTTTACATTACACTAGTACAGTTTGGGCTATATTAACAAATCACTGTCTCTCCTGGCTTCAGCATGACCAAAGTAACCATGAAGGTGTCATCAGGGTAGTTTTAGTAATGCCTTGGTGTTTGGGACCTACCAGAATATCTCAGCGTCAGCGGCAGTTTTTGACTGTAAAGTTATTAAATCTGTTTTTCATAAGAATGTGAAAGTGCAAAAGAATCAGTGGTAACTAGATGGATTGTAAAGCTACACAACACAAGTCTGGTTATGTGGATTATGATCAAGCGATATAAGGCGTAGAGGTTGATCAGAATCTACACTCAAAGCTTTTCATTTAATGCAAGTCATTTTTTTGTTTTTTAAAGTTTGTATGACTCTTTGATTCCATTTAACTTTAGTTTTGTGTTTTTACTCTGCACATATAAAATTAGTTCTCAGGTAAAAATAGACTTTAACAATTAAAAAAAAAACTTCTACTGACACATCTCGGGTAATTTTCATCTTATGCCGGATTTGCTATAAAACTTACATTAATTGTCAGTAAAAGGGAAATCAATGGCCACAAACATTCAGATGAGAAAAGTCCGCCCATTCTCAATTTCAAACGGTAATCATGTGCATTTGATTCTGACTGATTTAAGGTATTTACGGTGTATCAATTTGCAGTTTTTACAGACACCTACCAGCCTACAGGATGTATTTCCTGAAGATTCAAGTTGAAATAATTTGATTCACTTCTCAGATAACTGCAGAGCAAACACTCTTGGAGCACTTAGACTGGGAACTACTGAATTTAGATCACTGTTCCAAGAACTATCATATTGCACTGAAGTGAAATGATATTGAGTTACTTGTTTCAGCTCCACTAATGCCAGGCACAAGACCGACTCTAGCAGAGTTGTCAATTTGATTTCTTCACCGCTCAGCCCACTGCAGCTTTGAAGATAGCAAATAACTCTGTAACGCTGTGGGAGCAGTGTTGGTGATGAACCCCACCCTAAAGGGACATTGGGGGTATATGCGTGTGTGCAAGTGTCAGTGTGTTTATATTTGTTCAAAGCCCCTTAGCTAAGCTCTCCTTACTGCCTCAGACTCCCTGCATGTATCTTTACTCTCGACTAAAATAACCCCAGATCAACTCCAGCCGCTGGCAACTTCTGAGTAAAGGCAAATCAGGACTCCGCAACACAATGAAACAGTCTGCTGTATGTGTGACTGTCTGTGTGCATGTACATCTAGTGTAGGCATGTTACTAATGGTGACCTAGTTAGCTCATGTTTCTGCTAAAGCATTATGGGTAAGGGCTCTTTCCCCAAGTTCAATAGCAGGTTGTTATTAGCAACAGCTTCCCCCATTCCTTCCCGTGGCTTTACAGCCAACCTATTACACACTGATCCATTTCTGTGTGTGTGTGTGTGTGTGTGTGTGTGTGTGTGTGTGTGTGTGTGTGTGTGTGTGTCCATGTATATAGGCTTTACTGCACAGATTAATCCCCTTTGTAAGAATTTCACTCCATACTGATGGCTGTTCCCTGTGTTCAGTTTGCAGAGAAGTTTGCAGAGTATAAAGAGGCGGCACGGCTAGCCAAAGAGAAGAGTCAAGAAAAGATGGAGATGGCCACGTCACCATCTCAGGTATGTTCATGATCCTTACCTCTCCCCTATCCTTATTATCACCCTTAACCCTTTTTATAGTCATATTGACGTAATATGTACAATGAACATCTGGTAAAGGGGTCAACCAAACAGAGACTTTACCCATTGGTGTTTTTAGGATTACATTTATTTGGAGGTGTAAATCTGAAAAAGAGAACAACATGCAGAAATGGAAGTCCAACATAATCTGGCAAAGGAACTGCCAAAGGAAATTAGCCTCCTGGCTCCCTCAAGTATATTTACTTTTGCCTAAATGTTGATTAAATCAGTGAATCAATTAAAATTCTAATATGACTTTAAAGTTGAAAGTGCTTTGAAAATGATCAATAAAGAGAGAAGTATATTAATATTAATATACTTGTATATTAGTATATTACTTTAAACATTTTTAAATGTACTCTAAAGAATTCAGTAATTTTAAGTAAAAATTGAGTGGTAATATCTACAAAATGTAGTTAAAGAATGTAAATTCAAACTTAGTAGCTCCTGTCATTTCTGTAATATTCAATTTTAGGCTACTTAGCTTTGATATATAATAATGTTCAAATTAGGATGCAACATTTTTCAATAATAGCGATTAAGAGAAGCCAATTGTCAGAACTATTTATCTCAATTTATCGCGAATATATATCTCAATCCGGTCTTACCCAACCCTGAGTTTTTCTCCTGTGAAGGCTCAAAATATTAGTAAAGTATGATCAGCTAATAAGTAGGAAGGGCAAAGGTCTTGTTGGTGTGTTTCCAATATATAATAATCAGAAATATGGGGCAAGGGTTTCAGGTTAGACCTTGCCTTTCATCGGGGTTCACTATCCCAAATCACTACTCTGATTAAGGCATGTATATTTGCTTAAATCTAATTTAATCACATTTTTTTGTTAAAAAACTCTTATTATCATCATCTGTTGAATGTTGAATGAAATAGTTATACAGCAAACACCTTGAAATCACGCTCCTTAGCAAAACTTGAGTAAGAGCACTTTGAAGTTTAGAGTAATCCAGCTCCATAAGAAGACTTTACAGTGAGGTTAAACATTACAGTCCTCACATAATACGCTCCAATTTGTTATAGTCACCCGATATGTAGTAACTCAACACATAAAGAGAAAAAAGACATGACTAGGAGAGCACAATTAGACTGTAAAGTAGGTGGTTTGTGAGTAATTCATAGTAGGTGTTTGTTTGAGTGTTTCAGGACTTGTGAAGGGGAGGATAGTGGTTTGTTCCAGAGGCAAATCTCTGGAGAAATCTGTTCCTTTATCTTAAGGCTGTTAACAGGCTCCATGTCCTTGTCTCTTCATTATGGATGCTAGTGGAGTGCCTCCCTGCTGTACTGCACTCTAATACTTGTCCACTAATGTTGGGCCCACATGGGCTGAAATGCTACAGTACCTTGTGCCTCCCATGGGAGGTTGTTTTTTAATGAAGCCAAATGGACAGCTGGGCTCTCATCAGGGGTTGAAGGCTGCATGTGCACAGGTCACCACCACACTGAAGTGACAAAACAGGAAGAGTCACCGCATCAGTAAAGACTGCAGCCTTCCTGCTCCAGGCCTGCAGCAGTCCACTACCTCTAAATCTACCTGCTCTGATTCTTCACTGATTGTTGCAATAATACCTTCTTGCTTTCTGTCCAACCTTCAGATTCTTTGTTTTCTCTTTCCAAATAAACTTAAAACTTAAAAAAATATGTAATTCTTCTTCAAACAGGGAAATAGAGCAATGTGCTGGTCCCATCATGCACCGCCCCAGTGCGAGTGCTCCATGAACAGATTTCAAATGCTATACTAATGAATTCAGAGCACAAAAATATAACGCCATCCATAATCTTCCTCTTATCGCTCACTTCCTTCTCGTCCATTAGCGACGCACAGGCAGTGTCATTGTTCGACTGTATTGTGCTGAAGCCCTGACTCTTAATAGCTTTGTTTTATGTACGAGCAGCAGCTAAATGATTTGTCCCTCGTATAATTCTGTGGTTGTATGGGATATAAAGATAAGCATAATCTCTAATTCCCAGAGCTCAAATAAGCTATTTATTGGCCTTTGGGCATGTGGAGCCACTCAGTACAGGTTCAAGTTTTAACCTCACAGTCAGAGATCTCTGAGTGTGAGAGGCAGCACCTCCACCAACATACACCTGGACAGTTCCTCAGTTTAGTTCCTTACAGGAGAGGTGTATGGATGTCCTGTCTTTTTTTTTATAAGAGGTTCTTAGATAACTTTACTCTTACATAAATTAAAAATCTCTCTTAAAAGATTAGTATTCATTTTGTTGATACTTATTAGGTGCATTTTGTAAGTTGTGAACCTTTAGCTTTGTCAAGTTAAAAAAAAAGCCAAACTTTCTTGTCCCTGTTTGTCAAATAAAAGTATTTTCTCAATCTTTCTTGCTTCTGCAAATGATCACAAATCAGAGAACACTAAACGCTGGACTGTGGAGATTTTAAAAAAAAAACAAGAAAGGCATCAAAGTAAAAAATTACTTGGGAAAAATTATGGACTGGTTTACATAATAGTTACAGCCCATGAGTGCCAAACGGTTTTTCTCAGTCTCTTCAGCTGTCTGTCTCTGTTCACAAATATCAAGTTTTCCAAACGAATCACTGTCTCTGCTTGTTGTATATTTAATGAGCCATTTACTTTATGCCTGAGGCTGTGTCTCTGAAAAAGCAACCAGATGTTTCAACAACTTATAAAAGAAGTAGATATGAAATTACAATGTGTAGTATTTAACGACATTAAGCAGAACAAACTGGTTAGAAATGGAAATAGAATATGTATAAGTCTACATAAATAATTACTTGAAGACGGTGCGGATCAGAACTGTACATGATGCCCATTTACTTTGGAAATAAACGCTGCCATGCACAGGACGCGTCTTTATGTTGCTATGGCGATGGATCTTTCCATTTTCCAGTGGAGTGAGGAGGGCATCCCATACCCGCCCCTCTTGTTTATACCCTCCCATTTCAATTGAGGCGCACTCCACAGCTGTGAGTGAAACTTCATTACGAGTGACACTCGGCAGTGAAGGGCGAGTGAGTAGGGGGCGGTTTGGGATTGGGCCTCTGACTGTTTCATATTGCCAGATATTTCCATTTCTCCACACTGTCCCTTTAAAGTTTTTTTTTCATACTGTGGGTTAAACAATGTTGTTTTCTATGTACAGTAGAGCATCATAGCGTACAGTAGAGCCTTTCTATTCATGATAATTTCTTGTATTCCACATGTAGGAGTCTCCAGCTGGTGAGCTGTCATCACCTTTGACCCCTGTAACTCCGCCCATGGAAAACATCAATGGTACAGATGAAATCTGTGACACAACCCCAAACTCAGACACCTCTCCAGGTCCAGCACAGAACGCGCTGGCATTCGCACACAGGTACATCCCACAAATTATCATCTCATGTCCTCATGTTTGCTAGGCTGAAGCCCAGATGTTTCAGCCGCACGTTGAAAAAAAAACTGTCACAGATGTATTTCACACAAACTACACAAAAAATACCTGGATGCAAAAAATGAACCCTCTGATTATGTGTTTGTCTGAAGCTCAGAAATATGCACCTCTCCTCTTCTTCTTCTTCTTCTTCCTTTCAGTATGCTTGCACCTCTCTATGTTGCATTTTAGCATGGTAGTGAACTCCCTCTATTCACTGCTGCTCTCGTGTTTTTCCTCCCTAGGGAGCAGTTTAAGACTTGTCGGGTCTGCTCCTTCTGATAGTGATGTCATTACAAGTCCTGACTACTGCAACATCATAACAAAACAAAAAATTATGCTGAGGCACAAGCCTTCCCCACAATAAGACCCTGCAACAGGGAAGGTGTCCTCAACAACAACAACAACAACAACAACAAACAGATACACTGCCTGTGTACTAATTGCTTAAGATAATGTAAAAGTAAAGACCATTCACATTATCCTGCAGACAGTTTTTACTTCCATCACTCTCAGGTCGACAAAGCTCAAATGCTGTCATGATGCTGAACTGCTCATTTCATGAAAACAGCATTTTTAGCCTTGAGACGTTTGAGTTAGAGGAGTCTGATGTATGATTATCATCTCATCTGTTCTTGGTAGATCAGCAGCTGAAAAAATAGATATTGAGGTTACCTCTGGCATTTCAGTCAAGGCAATACAGACAAACTAACTATAGCTACCGTTTGATAACTACTAATGCTGGTTTTAACCTCTATCCAGTAAACATCACTATATTGGAAAAGTGTGAATTACTAGCTTATATTGTTATCCCTAGCCCTTTAATGCCTGAAACCACAAATTATGGTCAGAAAATTCAAATTTTTTTGGAGCTGAAATGTTTATTTCACTTACTACTGAAAACCAAAAAAATCAGAGTATCCTTAAAATGTAACAAACATATTTATTTGTCTCGTTTGATACGTTAGATGTTTTTGGAACCCACAAGAGGACATTTTTATCATTCATCGGTCTGCATTAAGGTGTTTTTTTTAGTAATTTGTTGATCATATTGATTTGATAGAAGTATCATAAAAGTATGTATCAAATATGATACAAAAGGCATTAAAGGGCTAGATGTGGTTCAATTCTAACATTAGTTGACTTGGCTTCAATATCCGTAAGAGTGTATATACATGTTTTAAATGACCTTTTAGCTCACAATAGCCTGGTCATCAAAACTTTAATGGGGTAAATAACCATTTCCTGGAAAACAATTGTCAGTCAAGACAACAGCCCCTATCTTATGCTGGCGTGGTAATGGTCGCTGAGAATTGACTAAATGCTGGCACTTGTTGATCAGTTGTCACACACTATCTGTTGTCTTTTCAGCTGCTGTTCAATCTGGAAGCAGTAAACTGTAACAATTTGTTCAAATTCATGCTTTCATAAAAAGAATCACAACTTGTAACGCAGCAGTAGAAGATTACAACAGCATTTGAGCCTCCCATCCACAACTCAGAGTCAGAAGGAAACGACTGCTATATCCATACGGTCGCTTGCTCCAGTCAGGAGGAATTAGGGTGCTATGAATACAATTTGTGACTTTCTCACTCAAATACTGTAACTACACTCAAACCAGCAAAAGATGTCGCTTTGATTATTTCTCAGAAGTAAGGAATTATTTAAGTTATTGACCTGACCAATCTGAGCATGCCTGATAGAAATCTACCTACATGTATTTCTATACCTGTGTTTTCCTACTGCAATAAGATTTTTAATGCACATTCAACTTTACTGACTCTTTCTGTTGTTTGAGTATGCGACTGTGTCACCTCTATGCATGCACCACTGCTGATGTATACACTCCTGCTGTCTTTGTGACCTGTTTAGCAGACTCAGTATTGAAATGGATAAGTCATATTTCTTGTGATTGTCAGTACTGCTCTGTGTAGTTGTATAAGACAAAGGTGTCAAAGCGTCATGTTTACATTCTGATTTTTATAAAGGCTTTCTGGAGAGGTGTGGCTGTAGGGCTCATCACAAAAAGTGTCGATGAAGCATTTATGTAAGACTTATATAACATATTGTGGGCAGTGGGAGGCAGAGAAAGAGCAAGACAGAGAGAGAGAGAGAGAAAGAGAGAGAGAGAGAGTGTGTGTGTGAACCACAGAGAGACGAGTGCATTGTATAAAGTCTGTACATGAGTCACTGATACCTACTTCCACTAACTGCACACACTCACTACCATAAATAAATAAAGTGAACAGGAGAGTATGGACAATTACTCCGAGTCATTAGAGTGAGTGAACTGTTATTTCTCGAATAAGTAAATGCTCATTATATCTTCTGTCAACTGTACTCAGATATTTTCATTTGTAAAGTCTCTGTGATCTTGTGCCATTCATTTGATAATTTCTCTGGCTACGATTCCCGTTTATTAATTAAAGATTTGAATCAATTACTTAACGTATCTTTTTTTTCTTTTTGGGGGTCTGGCAGAAGACTTGACACGGTTTCATATTTGGAGATAATAATAGATATCTTTAAGACAAAGCCGTTCATTAGTGTGTTAAAAAGTCAGAAAAGCTAAGACAAGCTGAAGCACAAATGCTTAGAAGTCCCTGCCTCTACATCATGAACCCTGTGAGGCTACATAGATCTGAGTGAGCAGTGAGAGCAGAATGTAGAGAGGACTCCCACTGCCTGCTGCAGCCCTGCTGCTGATGTGTCTATTAATGCTCCATGCGTGGGAGAAGGGGTCGACTCCCAGCATTCGCAATAGCAAGCAGGGACGTAACAAGCAAACCTTCATCTCACATTTTCTCAGAGCCATATGCACCAGAGGGTAGATGCCTGGACTGTAACTATCACAACACGTAATCCTAATTTTTTTTTATCATCACTACTCTCATAATTCAAAGGATTCTGAACTGTGGGCATTGTTTCCCATGTGTATCTCCTTAAAAGTAGCTCCTTCAGCCTTGCATGTGCTGCAAGCTGCAGTTTGTGATTTCTTGTCTTTTTGTCACTGTGGAAGCGTGTGGTTACAGCCTAAAGAACCAATAAAATGATTTAAGTTTACTTAAACTGTTTACTTGTACTTAATTAGGGTTCGGACCCACATATATTATTAATCCTACACGCACACATACACATACACAGGTGTTTTTGCATCACAGCTATTTGATGTTTTTCTTTTTTTCTGTCCTAATAGTGTCTGGGATTACTTGGTAATTTATCTCTATTACATACTCCACACTGGTGTCGTGGGGATGTGTAGGTAGTTACGAGTGGGCGCACAGGGCAGAGGAAGAGGCAGAAAGATGAGATACATGCAGGGCTGTGAGAGGAGTTTTTTATATCACAGGCTGTAGGCGTGTTGGCAGGTCTGCAGTGGAGTCTTTTTGACCGGTTTTATGAATATTGACAGACCTTTTGTTGGGAGTGCTTTGGCTGAATGTGAATGGTCTTCTGGCGTTGGAGGGTGAAGGCGTCTGTTGGTGGGTTTTTGGTAGGCTTATAGGAAGGTAGACAGTAACTATGTCATACGTCACGGTGCCAGGAGCACCTCCGTTCCTCTACTGCTGCCATGGCAACTGTGCTACCTCCCTGCTTCTTTAAGTGCTCTGTGAGGAGGAAGAACCTATCTGACAACACACAGCAGTCAGGACACAGCAGACACACAAGAGGGCTATGGAAAACCTTCAGAGTCATACAAGGTTATCTTTTATGTTTGGGCGCTCTCTGAAGCCCTGGAGCGGAAATATACTTCACATGATGGAGTAGAAAAACACAAAACAGAGAGTTGAAGTTTTTATTCAAGTGTCATGGTAAAGTGTGTACAGATCAAATCCAAACCACACAAAAAAAGTTCAACTTAGTATGTAAAATGATAAAAAAAAAAAAAAAAACTGAAACAACAGAAAAGGAAAAGAAAAAATTTCCATGGCAACCCAAGATCCCTATTTTAGTATTTCATTAAGTGCAGCGGCTCTGTATTGAAGTAGTAGATGTTGTAGCTGACTTTTGTTTAAAAAAAAAAAGACAAAATGACGTAAAAGTCATACAAAAATATAAATAAGAGATCAATTATTTGTAGCAGAAACACACATTTTTAGTCAGTAATTTTGAATTTATTCACATTTATTATGAAAAGGGAAAAAAAATCACCAAACAAATAAAAGCAAAAACACACAGGGATATTTTGTTTCTCAAGTTGTAATAAAATAACATAATTACCAACAACTAAAAAAACATCAATAGAAGTAAAAATCAAATCCTCATTACAAGACATTTTATTATACATAACAACACTACTGTAACAACCGTGAGCTCAGTGCAAAGCAGCTGTTAACTCACCCTCTAGGTGTCCCACACACCTCCAGCTCAGCTCGTCCTCTGTCTTCTGCCAGATTTCCTGCTCTGGTGTCCTCCTGAAACTTTTCAGCCAGAATCGTTTAGTGAAGACGGACAGGGGTGTCAAAATGTCCTGCACTCTTTCCTGTCCTCTGGTTTCCCCTGCATCACTTTCCCCTCTCGCTATCTCGGTCCGTCTCCATCTTCACATCTTGACGTCTCGCCTGCTCTTCTGCTCTCCTGCTCTCCGAGTTGCTGTGTGGGGTTTATACATTAGCGGTGCTGCGTGCCTTGGTGACAGCATCGCTCTGTGTGTATGTGTGTGTGTGTGTGTGTGTGTTAGCTGATATGTGCATGTGTAGGATGAATTGTCGTCTCCCTCCTATGCGTCACACACACAGACAAACTTGCTCTCACAGAGGGGGCGGCTGTTGTGTAAGAACTGAAGGCGCCGTAGGAGTCCAGAGTGAATTAGATCTGGGCTTTCTCTCTTATCCACTTCACAGAGTGGGTGTTATGGCATAGTGGAGAACTGCTGCACTGTGTGTTTGCATGAATGTGCGTGTGTCGGTGTGTGAGTCTGTGTGTCAGGGGGGGAACAAAAGTAGAAACCACATTTTTATGGGTCATACATAGACCCTCATTGCTCCTTCAGAGATTTAAGCTTTCTTTTGTGTTTTTCTGTGAGTGCGCTTCCACTGCTGTGAGGAATGACTGTGAAGCATGTAGGAGTAGGAGCTCCTTTTCAAAGGAACTTGACTCGATGTCAGCTCCCAACATTTAGGTCTCTTCTCTTACATTCTCCTGCCTGAGGTAGACATTATGTGAGCGACAGAATGGGCATTATGTAAATCTTAAATGAATGCCTGTATTGCTCATATCTAACAGGAAAGATGCACAACGTAAGCATATTTCCTAAAGGAATTGGGGCTTATACACATACCTAATATTAAGATGAAAGTCTGAGCTTCTATGTACTAACCAATATAGAAGTTTTTTAATATACTCTTTCTTCTTCTTCTTGATTTATCTCAAACTTTAAGCACAAAAAAGATAAACAACTAGAAACAAAAACACGAACAAAATAATACATATGTACACCAAACAACTGTACATGTCAAAGATAAATTTACACAACATACATATGTATGTCAAAAACAAACAGTTTGAGAAGGAACAGACTGAAGCAAAGAGCTTATCTCATCCTGCCCCTTCCCTGCAAGTTAGAGATTAAAAAACAAACAAATCTAATTGTATAAATTACAAAGATCTGTTTAAATACCTACATAATATACACAAAGATATCTGCTCAACACTACATAGGTTACTTATTATAATTATTTGCATATTATAATAATAATAAGTGTTATAATATTCAGAACTAATATTACTCCTATGCAATCAGGTATATTTAGTATAAAAACATATTTTTGTTGGTTTACTTATGTGAATCTTTGAATACTTCTCTATAGCGTGATTTAAATATTTTTATGTTATTGGACATTTTTAAAGTGACATCCAGGCTGTTCCAGGCTGCACATACTTTCAGAGTGGTATGGACGGTTGGACAAATAAATTTATGTTTACCCCTTAGATTATAGCCCCCCTCTCTGGTTTTGAACATCTTTTGTAGGTTACCAGGTAACTTACTTCATGTTATTTTGTAAAGCACTTGAGCTGTTTTAAAACTATGTCATTAAATTTTAACTATTTTAAATTTTAAAAACAGAGGCTGGTGTGATCTCTGTATCCAGCGTACCCCTTCATCGTAATTCAACTCAATCACATTCAATCACTTATCCCTGATCTCTCATCTCATCTTCTGGTCTGTGAGTAGCTGGACCAGATTAGGCTCCAGTCTGTCTGAGGACATAATCTCAGATTACAGAGTATAGAGCAGACAGCTGGGTTAGTATCTACAGCAGAGTGTATGAATGTATAGGATGGAAGGATTTTTGATTTAGTCTAGCTGCTAACCAACAAAATTGTCCTGATATATTCTAAAACATTAAACATGCTCATAATTAGATGTAAGATTAAAGTCACGCCACATATCTTTAAGGAGTACAGAGTTTCCCTTCACTTTAAAGCAAAAGCTTGTGTCTGTTTTATGTGACTGTTGGGGTAATCTCATGCTTTTCCCGCGTTCCCGCAGCCCAGCCATGACAAAACACTGGGAGGCTGAGCTGGAGGCACTAAAGGGGAACAATGCCAAGCTAACAGCAGCTCTGCTGGAGTCCACAGCCAACGTTAAACAGTGGAAACAGCAACTGGCCGCCTACCAGGAAGAGGCCGAGAGATTACACAAACGGGTGAGCCATGGGGTGAAAATACGCTTGCATGTTTTTCTGTGTGATTGATTCATGCAAAACAAACAGGAGAGATCATTAGGAGGGATTGTGTGAAGTCAAGATTAGAGGATGGAACAGAAACACAGGGAGGAGAGATGAGTGATGGCATGAAAGAGAGAAATGAAGAGGAGGTCTGGAGGTGACGATAGGTTAAAATGGGGTCTTGATTTTTTTTGTACGTCTAGGTGACTGAGCTTGAGTGCCAGAGCAACCAGACTCCTGTGATCAAATCCCAGAAGACTGAACTCAACCAAACCATAGAGGAACTGGAGAATACACTAAGAGATAAAGAAGAGGTGAGTTTGTGTCCTTGGATAGTTTTTAATGGCGCTTGATCAACATCTGATTCATGTTTTAATCTGTTTTCTGTCCTGAAGGAAATGGAAAAGTTGAAAGAAGAACTTGAAAACATGAATGACTTGATGGAGCAGAAAGACACCCTTACCCAGAAACTTGAGGTGAAAAAGATGAAGTGTTTAAAACATATGATATGATTGTTTCACAAAGTATTATGAATATGAACTAACTGACATTTATGCGCCATGTGTTTTAGGAGACAGAGTTACGCGGTCGGGTGCTGGAGGAGCAGCTGGCAGGAGCCGAGCAGCGGCTGGAGGAGAACCAAGAGGAGCAGGAAAATTTCAGGAAGAGCCTGCGGACACTGCTGGAGCTCCTGGATGGCAAGATCTTTGAGCTGACGGAGCTCAGAGACACCCTGGCACGGCTCATAGAAGAGGCCAGCTAGAGTCTGAACCCCCTGAACCCCACAGACAGAGCCATATGATAATTTACAACCTTATGCCCTCAAATCTACCACTCCTATCCCACTCCACTTTTACGCATTTATCCCTAAATTTACAACACTACAATACACTGCCCCTCCTCTGATTTTGCTCAAAAAGGGCAGCTAACCCCTCTTTTATACCTTGCAGGCATCAAGCTCCAACCAACTGCAAGCACTCCTGTAGTTCAAGACAACACAGGGACTACCTCATCTTGCCTTCTGATTGGCTGGTGTAGGCGTAACCTTGGTTGAATTGATCCCTCTCAGTTGTTAAGATGCCAATGCAAGTGAACCCCCAAGACCCCCCCTTCAACCCGCCCACACACTCACAGATATAACTTGAGAACTGTGCCTCAGTGCCATCTGCTGTTTGACTCGGAGAACTGCAGCACAGCTTGCTGCATCGCAACATCACACACTAACACTCCTTTTTCTGCCTCTCTAAACTGCCCCCCCAAGGGGATTGTTGAAAGTCATGAGGAAATAAATGCTGTTAAGACTCAGAGAACTGCGCCAAAGCTGCCAAATCCCCCTTCAATATTGTCCTCTGACTAACAGATGCTTTGATCCAAAGTGACTTACTGTACAGAAGAAGCTCTTAACAGAAAAACAGAGTCCCGTGTGTGAGCTGGGGGCTGCCGGCGGAGTGTCACTTGAAACAGAGAATGAAAAGACAGCTCTCAACAAACCCATTAGTCTTACCTGTTGGCCTGTGGTGACCTAAACGCTGCTCCTTAGCCTGAACACACAGTACCCCCTGGGAAATAAGGTTTATGTTTCTTCATCTTTGGAAATCAATGACTACTACACTACATAAGCAGCCAATTTGAAGCCCTGTGAGATAGACGATTATTGAATCTTCCAAAGGCATCGCTCATGCCACACTGAAATTTTAGATTTGACTTGAGACATCCTGTATCCAGACTGCTTCCACCGTCTCTGACAGCTGACCTGTCTTCCTGCCAAACTCAGTGTGGTGTGTGTTCCCCTAACAAGGCCTGGCCTAGCGTGTGCTTTCGAAGCACGCATGTATGGACACATGTTTGTATATAATGTGTGTGTGTGTTTTGTGCTGTGAGAGAAAGACCCTGTTATTGGACACGCGCGCGCACACACACACACACACTGAGCAATACCAGACAGGCTCTATGACACCTCTATGTAACTCTATCAGGTACTCTACTCAGTGGACTCATGCAGATAGGTCAAACGCAAACCCAGCTCATCCCCCACCCCTCTTGTCAAACAGAGAGTGTACCGCTGTTGACCGCAAACCTGTGTGGCAGCCCTGATTGGACAAAGTAGTGCATCATGAAGGGCTTGTAGAGCGTCATCTTAGTCTCCGTAGATCTCCACCCTCAGTGAAACTGGCCGCAGATTTTCACTCCTCACGGGTGAACGCAGAACTGTACTCAGTTTCTATTCTTTTTTTTACACAGGCTATAACACTAATGATATAATAACAGAACTGTACAGGACTACTTTCTACTCATAACGCCAATTGTAAGTGGACAGATGGAATACTCAAATGCAGTAACACCCTGCAGTGGCTTATTGTCGTGTATTAACCATGGAAGAGTGTTACATAGTCATTATAGAATATGTAGTCTGTAGGTAAACAATGAAAACCTCTTCAATATATATTTAAAATGCGTAACAACACAATGTAAACACTTAAGTGTTAAACATCCTGTATCAAAGCATACACTTATTAAACAGCCCCCCTTTTTTCCAGTAAAAACAGAAACTGTATCTTTAAATCTCTTCCTCCAAAATCACTTTATTACTCTAAATTTCCTCATGTGAAATGCTGCTTACATAACCTTTCTATTGAGCACCCTGTTTGCACTGTGTTATTACACCATTGTGACTACATTATATACATATATATATATATATAAAGAGATTTGCATTCAGTACTAGCACAGCATAATTCTGTACTTTTGTAGTTAGTTGTACAGGTTAATACACTGGAATAAGACCCTTGTCAAGGGAAAAGTTACCCTTTTTTTGTTTACTGGTTTAACTTTGACAGTCCAACGACAGATGGAAGACCTTAATATTCATGCTATTGTTAATGAATGCCTTTGTACAGTAGTGGATAAGAAGCTTTTCATTCTCCTGTTTTGTAACTTATGGTATTTAAATGTAGGTATTATTGTATTTAGAGGTATGAGAAGACTGGCAATATTTTTGACTATTTAAAGTAATTTTGAACTCATGATATTAAAGAGGTACCTCAGGCTAAGATGTGTGAAGATTGGTGATAGTTGTGTGTTTGCTGGTGAGAGGATTTACCAAATGTTGGTTTTAAAAACAAAAAAAAAGGAAAAAAAATCAGGAGACACACCTGTTGGTGCTGCAGCCAAACTGAATCCTTTGTTGAATTCAAACAAAGACAGCCCCAGCAGGCTGAAAACACACATATGTGAACTAAGAAATGTTATGTTTTATATTCAAATACAGTGAGCGCAAAATTCAGTGTGTGCAATTTGTTTTTGTTCTGATTTGCTTTTTCTTTTTTTTTTTTTCTTAAAATAACACGTGGGCTAAAATCTGAGTAAAACCATCCGAGAAGCTGCTTCACAAGGTTTTATTCAAATGCAGGGGCAAAAATGTAATTTAAAACAAATCTAAATAAATGAAAGTGGAAGGACTAAAGACAAAACTGTATTCCTGGAACAGTGTGTCGATACACCATTGTGTAAAAACAACTGCAACATATTTTAAGTACTTCGTTTCAGGCCATAAATTTGAACTTTTTACCCATTAACTTTTCATTTTCTCACTTTACATTTCTTTCTTTTCTTTTTTCTTCACTGATATTGCACTTCTCAGGTGACTTGCTAATTCAGACAACAGGGCATCAAGTCAGCCTTTGTGCATCACAGTCCACATGGTAAAATGTTTCGAAGTATATACATCACAAAATGATTTGGCAAGAAATGCTTTGGAGAAAAACAGGAAATGAGGCAATAAAAATGTAAAAACCAACTATGAACCTTTGTTAAGGTTAAATACAGGTAAAGAACAGTGTTCACACAGAACAGTGTATTTCTACGCTCAGTCAGGTGTCAGTTATGTGATTCGTGGCAAAGGAGTGAGATCTTGGATCTAGTTTTGTTGGTCATTTTTGCTGTAGAAAAGCTTCAACTTGAGCTGTGAGATTTTTTGGGAATCTGGTCTCCTAGCTGGTTTCAACAACAGTGCGTCAGGTAAGCTCTGGATCAGGTTTGAGATAAGAGTAAGACTGGGTTTGATCTCTGCTACATGATGAGGGTACCACAGGAAAAAACATTGTGCTGACAGGAGACACAAACGTGCCTCAGGTTTGCTTTACAAGGAAACAATAAACAGTTTTAAGCACTGAGCTTGCTTCAAGCTGTTCTTGATACTCAGTGTCCTCACTGCTTCATCAGCAGGTGGCTTTTAACACAAGCACAAAAAAATCAAGTTTTAGATTACATGCCAAAGCTATCCCAGAATCTCCAGATTTTTTTGTCCTTGTTTGCAAAATCAAGTCATCCCACTGCTCCACCCATCATGACTTAGTAGGTCCAAAACCACTTTGCTCAGTGCTTCAAACTTTCTCATCTACAGCTGATATAATCTTTAATAAGTGACTGAAAAACAAAATAGAAAGCTCTGTACACATGGTGCTTTAGAATTTATACAATGTACCATTAAAAGTGCTAAAACCACTTCTAAAATAATGGAAAAAACAAACAAACAAATGAGATGAAGTTGTGGACTTACTTTGACACTCATCCTACCAAATTGGCTAAGTTTAGGGCAAATCCATGTGCGCATAAGCGTGTTTCCACTCATAACATTGTGAGTAACAGACCTCCTACTGTGTGCCTCCGCCCACTAAGTGCAGAGAAAGAAACCAGGCTGGAGGAGAGGAGAAAACGTGAAAAGAATATCATGAGAAACAGCATCAACCACGGCCGCCCGCTCGGCAGCCCACAGTGAGTCCATGCGGCGCTGAGAGCATCTAACCTCCCACTGAACATCCATCACTCAAACAGGCGTGACCAGCTTCACATCGCCGTGACTATCCCACATATCAATGTTCGTAATCACCCACCATGTGAGCCCACACTTGACATCGGGTCCTGGCACTCACCATGACCCCCACCTCTCTAAAGAAACTTTCATCTTTTCCCCCTCCTCTCATGGGAGACGCGCATTATCTAAGGAGAAGATGTTTGCTGTGGAAACAAATGATAAACTTCTTGTGACTCCTTACGTCTCCCAACAGCCTTGGCCGTATGCTTCAGCTAACAGATGGGTGGATACATATTTCCTTTCCCAGGGACAGGGGTGAGAGTTGCTGAGGGCGAGGGAGAAAAAGAGTGGGGAAGGAGCAGGGACCTGGTGTTACAGACTATTGTACAGTGTCAGATACCAGTGGTGATACTGTACGACACAAATTGTTGTTACAGGTAAAGATTGTTGTGTCTGATTGTTTGTGAGGCATCACACACCTGACTTCCCTCATGAGGTTTTCAGTGTCACACACTACTGTCAGTGTCAAATCTGTTATGTTTCTTTTCTTGAATACACAAAGGGCCAGTGCAAAGAGAAAGAAAAACAAATGTGGCATCATAACAATCTGAGAACATGAATAAAAACCACAGTAAAATGGCAAAAATGTCCTTTTTATGACAATGTCCTTTATGAATGCAGTGTGAAACACAAACACACGGGTCAGACCTTTGGAGCATTTGGTGAGTTTGGTGATATTCAGACTGATTTAGGCTTAGTTCAAGCCACAAGATACATGTGTGACTGAGCTGTTTGTACTCGTGAGTGAAGGATGGAGATTGATGTGTGTTATGCATGTCAGTGTTCAGTACAGTGCAGGCATCTGTGCAGGAAGTTTTGTGTCTTCGCCTTGAACCCTAGCTGTCCCAGTCCGGTCCTACTAGCCCGTCGTCGTCAGAGTCAGAGTCGGGCGAGGCTTCTTTGATTCGGCGGAGCGCCTCGTGGATACTCCTGGTCAGGGGGTCGGTGGAGGCCGGGAGTTCTCCTTGATCCTTTATCTCTTTTCTAGGGACACGCCTGAGTTTGACCCCCTTGCGGATCTGAGCCAGAATGCTGTTAGGATCATCATCTCCCTTAGTGGAAGGCAGGGACCGCTGGTCGACCTTCTTCAGGTGGAAGCAGCCTCTTTTCAATGAGGCCAGCACCTCGTCCATGGGTGAACTCACTAAAAGAGGAAGAAGAAGAAGACTGTGATTGGTTTATGTGTAAGGTAATTAAACAAAGCCCATTGTGGTGATTAAAAAGCCGTGCTACCTCTCCTGCTGTGGGAGTCAAACTCTGGAGTCTTCCTCAGCTTTTTCCGGGCGCTGACCAATTGACTGCTGTCAAAGAAGCGAGGGATAAACGGGCCAAGTGGGGAAAGAGAGAGCTCCTCTGCTGCGCTCTTTCCCTCCCCCTTCTGTCCATGCCGACCTTGGCTCTCAGAAGGTGATAACTCCTCCCTCGCTGGCAAGGGCGGAGGAGGTGGAGGGGGAGGCGGGGGTGAGATTGGGGATGCCAGGAGTGAGGAGAGTGAGCAGGGAGAGCAGGAGGAGTCTGCAGGACTGGGCACAGGTAGCGGAGGGAGGGAAGCTGTGAGAGCCGTGACAGGCTGAGTGGTGAGTGTCGCGCCGGGGCTGGGGTCTGTCTGAACACTCGTACTGAGACACAACGGCTGACTTTGCATCTCATCCCTCTCACTCAAGCTACTCATCTCCATACTCCTTCCACTCTCTCTTCTCTTGCTGTGAGACACGCGTAGTCGAGTGGATTTCAGAATCACTTGACCAGGGTATCTCTGAATAAACACAGAGAGACAGACTGAAGTCAGATAGCAAACAAAAATGAACATCTTGACATGTGTATGTTAACAGAGAAGACAAACCTGCTTAAAAGTGCGTAGTCTGTCCAGAGTTCTCTGCCTCTCTTGACTAACCCTGCTGTTCTTCGTCTCCTCATCTTCATCATCCCCTTTTTTCAGCTGAAACGTATCACAGTTCATTAACTGACCATGACTTCACTGAACACTGAAGAGGTCTTACACATCATTTAGACAAAAGGATCTACCTGTAAGACCTGGTGGGAAATGGAGTCCTTGGGCATGGTTTGAGGTTTCTGCTGTTTCTGAGTGTGACTCACAACACAGATCTCCTGCAGAGAGGCGGGGGGAAAACAACAACACACCGTTCCACACACAAGACTAATAAAACACTGTGTGTCTGTCAGAGTCTTTTTCTATATTTGACCATGAACCAAAGTAAAACCATTTGTCATGTCCCTCTGTAGTGTGGAGATTATTACCTCCGCCAAGGAGGTTATGTTTTCGGTAGCGTTGGTTTGTTTGTTTGTTTGACTGTTAGCAACTTTACGGAGAAAGTAACAGACGGATTGACCTGAAATTTTCACCAGAGGTGCGTCTCAGCCCCAGGAGGATCCCATTAAATTTTGGTGGTGATCCGGACAAAATTCTGGATACTGTGATCCAGAACACACAAAAATAAGGGTGTCGTTGGAATTTTCAATGCTGAAAGATAACCAATGGGTGGTTATCACTAGCCTGGCTGGGCCATCCTCTTGCATACAACAGGATGGCCAAGTCAGGCTAGGTTATTACAGTGGTGTAGTGGTTAGCACTGTTGCCTCACAACCGGAAGGTCCTGGGTTTGAATCCCGGTCAGGGCATTTCTTGTTTAAGGGGAGACATGAGCTGCTTGGCGGAGGTCTGCGCTCTCCAAGTGCTTTTCTAGTTAATAATACTCACACAGCAGTCATGTCTCTGTGAAGTCCTGCTACAAAGCTGTTAAAGTGTTGTCATACTATGTTCCAGGTTTGAAAGTCTTATGTACACATAAAAATGATCCCACTGCATTTTCAGCTGATGGAAAAACTCTGAGGGGTCACTGAGTATTATTCTATTTTAAAGAATTAACAAACCGTCAGCTTATATCAGACAACAGCTGATGATATCATTTGATAATTTCCTGGCTGACAGTTCTGTCTGATACTATTACGAGATGCAAAATAATGGAGCTAATATTAACCGCAATGTAAGCGAGGAATTTGCTAAATACTAATGTGAGAAGTTGTAACTCAGCTGTCAGTCTCACATTTCTCCTCCTCACATTTTCTGTCTCTCTTAAGCTTCCCATCTTAAATAATTAAAAGGAAGTGCTGCTGAATACACGCTCCGTTCTACAACTACAGTCTGTATAATTCAGGTGAGGATATCTTTCCAGGAATAAAAGTAAGAGCATACATGAGAAAGGTGTACACACCTTCTTGTTTCTCAGATAGGAGCGCTTGGCTGTGATGCGCCCCCTCCTCGCCTCCAGCTGTCGAGCGCTGACCTGAAGTTTACGCAGCTCCTCTCTTTCTGCAGTATCATCCTCTGTTATATCATCTGCGCTTTCAAAAGTGTCATAGTAAACCACTTCATCCTGACGCTCTAAAAACAAATAAAGATCTGTCATGAGTATGACAGGCACGACACACTAACAGTCTTATGAATAATACTTTCAAGCTGAATTTTCAGGGACTGTCAACAGTGTGAAATACCCCTTGAAGTGAATGACTGTTAGCTCTCTCTCAAGAATAACTTACTGCATCTTAAAGGAGGTTATCCTGCGCGCCAAATCACCCTAAAAGTAGACAATAAATGATGAGATAATACCTGTCATCTGTCTGCGAATGCTGTCTAGTTGAGCGGTGAGGAGTAGCTCTTCACACTGTAGTATCTCAGCCTGGATGTCATACAGCTGCAGCTGGAGCTCATAGTACTGTGTCTCCATGTGGTCCAAGAGGGCCATGGCATCATCACTGTTACACAAACTCTGCATCTAAGGAGGGAAAACATAATAAAAAATAAATCATAAGACAGCTGTGTGTGTGTGTGTGTGTTTGTGTTTGCAATTTTGCATGCTGCTGAGTGTTACCACCACACCTCCTCTCGAAGTGTGTGTTTCTTTTGCTCCAGACAGATCTCCCTGGCTCTCTGGAGCTGCAGAGTTTCTTTTGCTACAGAGTAACGGAGTCTTTCCATGCGCTCCACCGCTGCTGTCCATGAAGACTTGCCAAACTTGCGCTGGTCCACTTTCATACGTTCATAAACTCCTACACAAACACACACAAGGAAAGAAAAGAAGATTTTGTGTTGACGCTAAACTTTCAAACGACTTAAAGTTAAGAGGTTTTTACATGAAAATGAGTCAAAAACAAAGTCAACTACATAGAGGTTCACCCACTGATAACTGCAGTCTCTCAGAGGGAACACTTTAATAATGTAGAGGGAGACATCTACTGGCCACTTTTGGACATTACAATATCTTTCACCCTAGTTTTACCTCAACTCTTTCAATTGTAACATTTTTTGATTTAATAAGTGCCAAATAATAAATAGACCATTCAGAATTGGGGAGAAACATGGACAGGCAGGGGCAGATTGTAGAGTAACTCTACAGAGAGACTGTCTGCTGGCAGAGCAGTTTGATCAATAGCTTGTCCTTGTTTCTTCCTGTCCCCGTCAAAGCATGGCTGTCTGCACTCCCTCATTACTAACAAATCACATTAGCCCTGGCGTTCACATCCACACACAGGTCAATAGCCGACCGATGCTGCCACTATGTCTGTGCGATGATACAAAGTCATTCCTCTGCTGCTGCATTGACTTGACATTGACGGCGATGATGGCGTACTGTACCTTTCTGGGCTCTGGCAGTGGTCTCAAAGTATTTTACAGTAAACTCCTGGATGTTGAGGACTGCCCTCTGAGCTTTCTTCTGCCAGTCAAAGTCCTCCTTTTTTAGAGCTTCAACTCGCCTCGGGCCCAAGTAGTCATTCTCCATAGAAATCTGTTGATAAAGAATATTTTTGAGTAGCTATTACAACAGAAAACTAAGAACAGCAGCTGTTTTATTAAGAAAAAGGGGGTCAGTTTTCCCTCCTCTTGAGCTACAGGGCTCTCTCCCTCCCTGAGTCAGTGTTGCTTTCAGCAGCTTTCTAAACAGCTATAAAAAAAGAAGCTCTTTGTTATGGGCTACTGATACCACTTTAGGGGAACATGGAGGTAGCTCGACTGGGAAACTTGAGCTGATTTCAGGTCAGAAACAAACTTTGGTAACACTTTACTTGACGCCTATCTCCATAACGCATTCTAAATATATGTATAATGCGTTCTAATCATGTCATAGCACCGTATAACTATAGTTATAAACACTCATAAATGATCATAATGCTTTATTGCAATAATCATAACACATTATAAAGCATTTTATCATGACTGTATTTCTATTACCTGCAGTTCTCTAACTTCACCTTGTCCCGGTGCGTTGTCTTTCTTCTATTAATCGTCTTTTGTACATGATCTTCCTAATCAATAGTTGTGTCCTCAAGGTATCAAGATAGCGCAGTTCAGTTTTCATGTCTGTCTAATTTTACACTGAGGCGTCCAAGATTATCTGAAGTTTACATCTCTGCATTTTAGCAATGCTTCTAAACGTCTGACGCTTTCATCAATGGTATGAAATTTATGCAGGAAATATGTAGTTTGGTTTCCAAAAGAGTCCTTAAGCGATGGTACTCTCCTACACACTGTTCACAGTACTTGTTGAACTTTATTGGCTGCATTTTATGTGAAAAAGTGGTATTTTAAGAAATGTGTGTCTCAGTGAAACGTTTCTGCAGAGAACACAAGCCTGAGGAGTACTTTGCTCATGCAGTTTACCATATACACTAACAACTCCACATACATTAACCAGTGTGAACACAATTGTGGACACGTGTTCTTTTTATGGACCCCTATATAAAAAGCTTGGAGAGAATAATTGACATCTAGATGGACTACAGTGAATTTATATTATTTAGAAGGTGTGAAATGCCTTATGTTTTTATTAGTGAATATAAACAGGTGAGCAATTTAAAACTCATTGTACTATCTTATCAAATTAAATGTGCAAAACAGGCATTTCCACAGTTTATACTTTCTTGATCCTTTAACCGATCATGGATCATCATATGAAGAAAGTTCCAGACCAAACCCAAATACTGACAAAATCTGAAGTAATCAACACAGATCAAAAACCTAAAGGAGAAAAACAAAGGTACCATTTAAGAATAGAGGGAAAGTTTACAGAGCAAAGGTTGTAAGGGTTTCATCCCTTACCTTAAGTAACCTCATTGCACCTCTGCTCACACTACACAGCTCAGCAATGTATCATTTACTACTGCAACTTCCTGCAGTCCAGTTGCCCCAGTCTGTCCTTTGATTTCTACACTTTAAACAGTCCTTAAAAATATGTAAATGTAACCCTATGTGTTCTACGATATAACAGGAAATAGGTCAGATTTTGACGAATGTAAGACCTCGCTTTCAGGAGATTCTCTCAGACAAGACCAAAGTAAAAGATTTATACGTTCTGTATTAATATTTATTCAGTATGTCATTAAAACAGCAAAGCTTCAAACATGTGCACTAGAGGGAGAGACAAATAAGTGTGAGCTCATTTAGAAAGCTATGCTACGCCTAACCACTCACTGGGGGCTATAAATAGATCTGTGTGTGTGTGTGTGTGTGTGTGTGTGTGTGTGTGTGTGTGTGTGTGTGTGTGTGTGTGTGTGTGTGTGTGTGTGTGTGTGTGAGAGAGTTCATGGGTTTGTCACCCCTGCAGACTCTGGTAGGAGGTTCTATGGTGTAATGGTTAGCACTCTGGACTCTGAATCCAGCGATCCGAGTTCAAATCTCGGTAGGACCTGCAGTTGTTTTGACCTCCTTTCTGACAAAGCCTCAAAGGAATTTGTTGGCCTGACATGTTTGTGAGCAGTTTGATGAACTGCAGTGAAAATCAAAGAGTGCAGAGGGGAAGAGAAGTCTGCTGCTGAAAACAAGTGTGACGGTAACTTAAAGTGAAACAAACCCTGAACCGTTAGAAATGTAGAGAGTCGAAGTTGATGACAGTTCTCCAGTTTGAGAGAGAGAGAGGAGTGACAGACACGTTTTGTTTAGTGTGCAGGTTTTCTCTGAATGTTTTCTGGGGAGTTTAACTCAAAATACCACCAACTAAACAGGACAACAGAGAAACCTGTAAATACTGCAAGGTCAGAAGTACAAACCTCTGTCTGATAATTCGCTGACAAACAATCAGTAACCATTAGAATATCTCTAAAAGCATTGTATTCATGTATCTAAACTGAGAGGGAAGTCGAGTCTTAACCACACAAGCCAGCTTTTGATGTTTTCAACCCCAAATCAAATCATTTTTTAACAGTCTGATCTCAATCTGAAGTGCGATTACACACATTTTTCAAGATGTCCTGCAATCAGTGTTAGTGTGCTGTGAGAATATTTGAAAAATTCTTTTAGGAAACTGAAACTAACACAGTCTTGTAATGATTTTTATGTAGCAGGATAAATAATGAGAATAAACTTTTGTTTAAATAGATTTAAAGGTGAAATCATTACAATAAGCCACATCCTAAATCGAGAAATTCTCTGACTTTGCTCTCTGTCTTTCCAGCTCTGCTGCATTCCTACTTTGTCCCAGTGTCAGCATCATCTGTGCCTGCAGTAAACCTATAGGGCCACACACAACATGACTTATTCATATCTCTGTGAGACTGCAGGAAACTGGAGATCCACAGGGTTCATTTCCAGCTCACAGCATGTCACTCATCCACCATGAGATGCACCCCTCAAATACAGACAACACAGAAAAAGACATAATCTAAAAAAAACAATATTTCCACCCAAGATCTGGGAAAGTTCTATGTAACCGTTTGCCTCTGTATCCTCAGATATTTTATAGAAATTTAATATGTGTCTCTTTATTGCTGACGTGCCATGTGTGAGTCATAGAGCTAAATATAAATGTGCCATCACCTCTGCAAGAACTGAACAAAATCTTTTCCCCATTCAGCCAATCTTATTTATGCAATTAGATTAATCTCAAAATCCTCCCACTGCATTAAGAACCGTAAAAAAAACAAATAAAACAGCTCATTTTACATGAAACATCACAGTCAATCACACACACACACACACACACACATATACATGTACAAAGCAGATTCTGCATTGAAAGTATGTAATACTATGTGTAATGTAAGCCCTTCTACAGGGCAGACCCTCCCTTTTGTATGTTATCTGGATATTAACATGTGAACCACCTGGAGCCAGATCAATGGAGCACAATGTAAATAATAACTGAGTTCAACTCAAAGACATACAGTAACATAGATACACAGTTTTACTCAGTTTTAACTCTCAGAGGTCTCTTAGAGATAAATACACTTTTTTTTTCCACAACAAAACCAGCTGGTCATCTGTGTATCTGTCTCTCTGTGTGCGTGTGTGTGTTTTGGGGGATATGTCTCAATGCCAAACAGGTTTTGGCAAATTACTAGGCCAACAGATTTTGGCCAGAAATTCTGTATGAGCCTAGTTTTCATGAGAAAATCTCATCCATAACACATTTTATTTCATTTTTGGTGGAGCAGTTTATTATCATTTTTGTTTAAATATTATTTTTTTACATTATTGATTTGGTTTATTTGATAGAATGTTATTTGCAAACAAAGATTACAGCTGTTGCTAGTTTCCAAGGATAGGAATTAAAAAGACAAATAATTCACATCTGCATGCAAACTTTAACCAGTGCAAATGTTTACCTTGATCTGCTGCCTACGTAGCATTGCTAGCTCCCTCATGTCCCTGAAGGGCTGCAGCAGGTACTGGTACAGCTGTGTGGAGGCCTCCAGTAGACCTCCATAGGCGCCATCTTCCTCCTCATATAGTTCCAACAGGTCCACCATACTTTCCATGTTCCTGTGTTTCTCCAGCAGCTGTGACACATGGAAACACAAGGGATTTTATTCCACATCACTGTTAACTTACAAACAACTTTTAGAATTACAGAAAAGATAAATAAATAGAGCCCTGAGTATAGTTTGGGTTAAGACTTTTCCAATAGGGCATTTGCTGTTATTTCTATCACATGTAGGTGAAAAACCAACATTAACAATTAAAGGTGGGGCAGGCAGGATTCCGTTAAAGACACATCTTTTTTTTGTGGTGTATATACAAAAAAAGCTTTAAATATCAGTCAATAGCTATTAGTTATTGGTGACATTTGGTAATATAAGGATATCGCTGTGTTTTGTTGTGTCTGTGTAGTCAACACTTTAAATTTTTTGAGCGGTCCGCTCTTTCTGACTGTAAACAAAACCATTCTCCGCCTCCCCCAATCTGATAGGTTGTGAGGCGGACGCTGCTCTCTCATGTTGTAAGGCACGCTTCACGTCCTCGGACAACATTCATGAGCCCAAACAAAGTTAGCGTGCTACAATATGGGACAGTAGAAACCAACCAGAAAGTACAGAAAAATGTCTGAATCCTCCTTTGGCCACGACTGCCAACACAAGCAAGAAAACGAAGATAATACCGGAGACTGGTGGAATAACAGGCGCTTAAAACAGAGGAAGACCGGACAAGCGCTTCGGGATCTTACAGACCCTGTAACCTTCTGCTGGACCGCTTTACCAAAGTAATCCAAGTGTCTGTAACAGAAGTGTTTCTTGTCAAACAGGACCTGCTGTGTGTTGTAGCGCCGCTAAACTGTTTACCGCGGGTCCTGGACTATGTCACTTTATCCTAGTTGTAAAAGTCCTGCAAACATTGTGTTTGCTGCTAGTCTGTTGGCATCTACAGTAGCACCAATGCTTCTTACTTTCACGTTGACTGGACCCCATTTGTAATTTTCTTAAGTATTTATCTGCATTATATCTGAATTTAATTGAAACGATTCCAGTGAGCAGGAGTGTTTGTTTGTGGGCGGGGCTTGTTGGAGCAGAGATGGAGGGGAGAGGAGGAGATGAGGAGAAAACTGGTTGGGAGGGGTAGTGTTGACATTCAAGATTTCTCCCAAAAACTGTCACTTCATCAGATCCTGCCTACCCCACCTTTAAGTGTGTCAAGCATAAAGTGAACACACTTCATTGCACAAAATATATAATGCATGTTCCCAAATGTCTGTTTTCCATACAACAGTGTGATTATAGCTTCCGAGAGTAAGCTACCCATCCCAGACAAACCTACTTAACACATCTTTAAGTATCACTTAACAGTGAATAGAAACTTGCACCTCACTGTGAAACTAAGAGGATGCTTTATATGACTATAAATAACAGGAGTTTATCAGACAACGGCTGAGTGAGCACAGTCCTTTGTGCTGCTGGGAATAAGATCAATACACACACATTTTTGCCAGACTGAGCAATCCTGTAGGCTACCAGCAAGCACTGAAATAGCCATTAACTCAGCCCTCAGATAGAGTGGGAGGATCAATAGGCGTGTGTGTGTATGTGTGTGTCTGAGATCCCACGACACAACAAAATGAGCCTGTGTCTGAATGAGCTACTGAGCCTTTTCCATAATAAAGACAGAATAAGGTCAGTAGCTCTTCCTCCACATTCGGGATGAATGCACCCCGCAGGAAACAGGAAATCCCACAGAGTCACGACAGTTATTAAACAATTGGTGAGAATAAGCTTTGGCTGGTGTGTGCAGTATATTTTTTTCTGCCAAGGCTGCAAGGCAAAGCCTCATGTCATGTTTTCAAAGAGTGTGTGTTTCAAACCGTGAAAATGGGAGATGGGTGGAACTGGCTGGGTGAAATGATATAAGATGGTTTGTCTTTGCTGCTGGCAATCAGTTTTTAACGTTTGGACAGAAAATCACACTAGTATTCATTAATGCCTTCTCTTGACTACGTGTAGCTTCTGCAAAAATTAAAAGGGATTACATCAGCAGATAGATAATACACTGCACTGTGACCTTGCTGTAGTGCTGGAGATGTGAAGAGTGCATGCGTGGAAATAAAGGAACTTTTTACTGTTTTTCCCATTTTCTGTGATTTAGCTTTTGTGATATGGATGAAATTCAAAATTCCTCTTTGTATTGAAAAGATATCTTTTTCACTAATAAACATTTAATGGTAATGATTAAGCATGTGATGTTACAACTGTCAATGTTACAGCGTCTTGCACTAATGCTCACTCCTACCTACTCTTCCAGAGGACTTCTTGTACTGTCTGGCTCAATACTTCAAGACTGCACAAACCTAATGCAATTGATTAGCAGGACTACATTTGTGCCAACGAGTATTAACGTTACGTCTGTGTAGCACTGTATAAAGTGCATCTAATCAATCACTAGCTGTTGTGGGTGTGAAAGAGAAGAAGACCTGAAAAGTGGAGCTGGTGTGAGCATTTTGTCTTTATGGTGTCAAAGGAACTGCAGAGTGAAGTTCAACACTATATTGTCTGCAGAATTTCTTGACAGTAATGTTTATCTATATTTTCAATTTCAAAATACACAAATCTGTTAAGATAAGATGAAATAATATATGCTTTAATGATCAATAAGGGGATTTTCCTATTACAGAAGCAGCACAATAAAAGAAGGCTGGAATAAGTAAATAAATAAGTAATGGATACCACAAATACCTATAAAGTTAAAATAAGTCAACAAAAAAAGTATGTGTGTGCATGAGGGTATGGAACGGGATGGTTATGCACAAAATCAAGCTGCACCAGGTTTGTAGGACTACACACAGTGTGTGTGACAAAGTGATCAAGTGAAAGCTGCAGAGATGAGGATACACATGAAAGAGACAATACCTGCAAAGGCATGTTGCCCAGCAGGGATTAAGTTTTAAAAGAGTATCTGCAAGGATGCGTGTAAATAAGTATCATAAATGTAACAAGAAATAAATAAACGAGGCAAGCATATGATGTGACTAGTACTGTGTTGTGTTGTAACGTCTGATTGCAAATAGTATGAAAGACCTCCTTACCTGTGCCTCTCTGTGCCTCCCCAGCAGACTACTGCATAAAAGTGCAGATGCCACCACAGTGTTTTACAGGATTAGTATTGTATTAATATTAGCATACTGATCTGCAGACTGCTTTATCCAGCGAAAGACAATGTGAAAACAAATAACATATCCATCAGTTATTTTGAGCAATTAATTCCCAATACAGTAAAAAAATAAGTCTCTCTGCAATTTCTGCAATATGCCTTTAACTACTGTAAAAATAAAAGAAGGAAATGCCTCAGAAACTATATACTGAGGAAGACAGTTATCACCAATGCATAAATCTAACCCTAATTCCTCTCTTTTAGCATGGATTACAGGGCTTCATATCAGACATATTTTGTTGAACACCTAAAATGCTTCCAAAAGTCTAGCATACTATAGCTAGTACAAAACTGGAGCCGCCCTACCTCTATTAAACAGCAGCATTCGGCCACTCCCATAAGTTTCCTACAGAATTATCTCGAACTGTCACCCTGAGTGGGAGGTAGGTCTATAACCAGAGGGCAGCACTGCAGTCACAGGGGATGTCTGTGCTCATAGCATGAACTGGTTAACTCGCAAAGACTTAAATTGTGTGTCAGTGTGTCATTTTTCTCCAGTATGGGAGCAGCCATGCAGACAGTATACTGCTGGAGAGGAGAACTTGCTTTTACAGTTTCTCTGCTCATGAGCTGAAGTAGCTTTGCAGATATCATCAACAGATTAATCCTCAAATAAAATAAGTGCTTAAACTCTGTGTGTGCATGTGTGTGTCTGCACTTGACTCCCTCAGCTGTGTAAGCAGCAGACAGTAGCCATGCTGAAAACAATATTTCACTAGACTTACGGTTACAACAAAACTACACAAATTCTCTCCTCTCTTACTTGACTGGGTTTCCAAAATACTTATTTCACAGTGTAATAATGGAGACACTTCCCCTGTCAGCCCCCTCATCAGTAATAGTTAAAGGAGATGTCTGTATATTTTTAGACTGTAGACTACTCTGTTTTTCATAACACATGAGGTACAAATGTAGTTGTTCATTTTTTCAGTTTACCCTTTGGGCCTCTGCATATTTCTCCTGTCATACACCAGTAACCAAGTACTAAGAGGTTGCAAACACATTGGCCAAATAAACTGTCAAACAACAGCCCCTTATCATTCATTAATTCAGTTGTTATGTGATGTTGGTCTACTGGATTGTCATCATATTAGGCTATACTTCTTACTGTTTTTTGCAAAAGTTTAATTCTCAAGCATCAATATTTACCAAATAAGAAAATGTTGGGTTAAAACATACTCCTTTAGAACATCAGTGTCATGCATTATTAACTTTCTGTTGAACTCTCTGTAAATGCACTTCATACAGTTCATTATGCCTATTTAATAGGGAGGCACCAATCCGATATTTGGATCAGATATCGGCTCCGATATTGACAAATTTACTGGATCGGACATCTGATGAATGACGCCGATCCCGCATTCCAATCCAGTCTTTTTTTCTTTGACTAATTTTTCTTTTAATAGTCTTACTTCTTTTTGCATTTTGTGCATTTTTTTATTTGTTAAATAATACTAAGTAAATTTATTTTTGTGTTAACTTGTTACCTTTTTTTAATAAGGCTAATGTCAAGCCTGGTGAATACAGTTCATTCATTCAACAGCAGTATTGGATCGGTATCAGATATCGGCCGATACACTAAGCTCAGGTATCGGTATCGCATTGGACTGGAAAAAAACGGATCGGTGCATCTCTACTGTTTAACACTTGTGTTATGGCTGGAGCATCACACTTCCTCAGTGAACCACTTTGGTGTGTTGTGCCTCAGTCCGTGGGCCTGGTCAGTGCAGCAGAAATACTGCGGTTGTGAAGCTAACACCATGCAGACTATATTTATGAGAGGATGAACTCATCATGGAGTTACTGTGGGAGAACAGGCAGACTCTCACCTCTTGCAGATGTCTGGTTTCGCGGTTGAGCGCCTCCTCATACCCTGACTGCCTCAGCTCGCTCAGGCTTTCATAATACTCGTCTGGGTCATCGTTCTCTGTAAACAGAACCTGCGACAGGATCTTCCATCCACACGTATCGAGTGCGTGGCCCAGGTACACCTGTAAACTATAGCACAGCTCGTCCATTTCCGTCTCAGGTACTTCCGCTGGACCAAACAGTACCGTCCACATCCCGGCTGGTTCCTCCGGAAACACCGGTAGGCAGGGCTCCAGGTCCGAGTTCACCGAGCACAGCTGCTGGTGAATGGCCCTAAGGTCCTGGAAGGAGAAGAGTCCGGCCCAGCTGCAGTCCTCCCTGCTCAGACAGTCCAGTTCCTCCAGGTCCAAGCTGTCCAGGGAGGAAGACAGAGGGTCCCCCCTCAGTGATTTCAACACCTCAGTATCAGGACTGACAGATTGAATCTTGACTGGACTTGGTTTGGTTGCTGTCATGGACTTGGTTTTGGGACTGCAGCCTTTTGCCACAGCCTCCCTTGCACCCTTGATCGGGCTCCGAGATACTTCCCTAACAGGACTTTCGGGCCATTTTGTTTTGTCCCCATCCTGGCTGGTCGCCTCTAGGAAAGGGTCCCTACCAAAGCTTCTCCTCTGTACCGTCCTGTTGTGACAGGTTATGGCAAATTTACCCTCCACTTCATTCCAGGCGACGATGAAAACAAATTTGTGCTTCTCCTTCTCCTCAAACGCATTGGGGCGAACAGCAACCCACCCCGACTCCAAATGATCCTCCATTGTAAAGGACATCTCTGGAAAGTGATGTGACACAAATAAAGACGCTTCTGGCTCCAATAAAAACCCTTGTTTGAACCGTGTAATGGTCGTTTGAAGCGTTGTTTGTCCTTGTTACAATTGCGTTACCCAAACACAATGTTCTCACCGGGGATGTTCTGCATGAAGGGCTATCCTCCTCCTTCGCTCAAGCGGATAAATGTTGGTGTCATTTCCCATCTCTGGCCCACCTGCCCTCAACTATGTCTGTTTACTCCAGCCTCCTCCTAGCTTTGGCATTAGCTCTGCGACCACACAAGACTCGCCTCTGACACACTATCTGGGACTGTGTGTTTACCAGGTCCTGCTGCGGCCGATGTGCCTGTCAGCTGTGCTCCGTTATTCTCGATCTCTCTGCTCCAGACCTCCCTTCTCATCATTAAGTACCAGCGGGATCCAGAAACAACAGCTTTCATCATTTAAATGCATCAGACTGAGGCGACAAATAACTACGATAGGGGTAAAGATGCGTGTCCATTTTCCTGAAAGGTTAGCATCGTCTCCAAAACTCAAGACAGTGCCATGTTTTCTTTATCGTTTGCTGAACAGGACCACATACGCAAAAAATAATAGTGCCAACTTCAAGTGTTGTAAAAAATGTCGGAATTTACAAATATCAAGCTGTGACATTTGCTCTCCTTTTCGAAAAGCTTGTTATCTGTTTAGGAACAAACGCCTATAATTAAAGTCTTAACTCAAAGTAAATCAGAATGTGTCTGAAGTTTTGAGAAAACTACGAAGAGTATTTTGTTCGTGTTGCTGCTGTTGTGATTTTGAAAAATCCGAGTAGAACATGAAGGCAGCGTCAGAATCTCGTTTGGAGTCAGGTACGTAAGATACGTGATGACGTTCCAGATTGAGCAGTGTGGGATGGTTTGCAGAGTGGCTGCAGTAGTGAGCGCACTATGCAAATGTCCAAGCAAGATTTATTCTCACAACAGGCCTGTATCTGCGCCAGACTTTCTGCACTGCAACAAAACTATTTTGGAACTGACTAAAAGACTAATTTCAAGTTAAGAGCTGGTACAACAATACGTGGACTAGATGAACGTAGTAATTATTTTTAACCCTTGAATCATAACAGGAAAAATCATTTTGTATTTCACAATAAAACTTGAAAAAAGTAACATCTTGAAAGATAAAGGCTAAAAAAATAACCTTACAAACACTATAATTGTTATTAAAATTTAAAACATGCTTTGATTGAGTTTGTCACATATACACAGGAAGATTTCATTAACCATCTTTTTTTTTTTTTTGGAGCAGCAGAATTTGTATGTTTAACACATAGACTGTATATAAGATACATATAAGATATGTATGTATATATGATATATATATATATATATATATATATATATATATATATATATATATATATATATATATATATATATATATATATATCTTATATACAGTTTATGGTTTAACACCACCAGGAACTAGTCAGTGGAGAAAAATGGAAATGTATCCACTGTTGATCACCACATTTAAACAGCTGAAATTTTGTAGGCCTACAGGACATGTAAACTTAAGGCTGACAATAAGTCTACACCAAACATACCCTATTGAGGCTTGACCTGTACTTCAAGTTAGTCATTCACATATAAAAATTTGGAAGCTGTATGTTGCAGTGTTGCTTTCAACTGCTTTCGTTTCAGTGGCTTAAAGGCTTTTCTGTTTGATGTCGCACTCCAAAGCTGCAGTATTGTAGTTTTTGTAGATAATATTCAGAAAACCATGCAAAAAGTATGAAAATGCATTAAATACTGTATAATTATGGCTTTATGCAGAGGTACATGTCTATGGTCAACATTATGCAGTTAGAAAATTGTAGATTGGAGATAGTAATTCCATTAATATTAAATAAAAAAAATAAGTTGAGTTCTGTGGCACAGAAATCCAAATATTCTGCAACGAGCATTTTATCATAAAAGGTCAAATGAAACTTAAGTCTTTTTTTTTCTACTGAGGAGAAAAGATGTGATGAATATCTGTCGTTTACACCACTATGTATGGTCCCAGGGTTCAGTGTCATGGTTGAACTCTGGACTTTGAATCAGCAATCTGAGTTTGAATGTCAGTACAGCCTGGTGGGTTTAAAAGATAGTGATGATTACAAAAGTTTTACCAATAAGGTTACCAAGACAACTCTAAGAAGAGGGAGTAAAGATGAATATGTTGGAAACAGTCAAATAGATTATCCTAATCCGTCTGTTTATTTTTGGTTCAAAATTGGTATTATTCAAATTTTTAAAATGTATAAAATTTGACTTCTGGGTATTTTTCAGTGGTGTTTATGTAGAGTTGATAAGGTCAGAGCCTAGAGCTGCAGATAATGTCTCCATGGTTTTGAAACTGAAGTAATTCAGAGAAAATTGCACTTATATTTATAAAACGGAGAAAAAGCACGAAACCTTATCCCTTTTCAAGTTTTCTAAGGGGAATCGTGTTAGTGTATATTTCAATATTACATTTAACAAAAAAGGCACAAGAGTGATGATGGGGTTGTATTTTTATCATCTAAATAGCCTACTCAGGTCAAATGTATGACTTTTGCATAACAATCCCTTTTGTGAACTTTTATCACCCTGTATGGCCATCACCTTTCTCCCTACATAACCCGACTTTTACCCCAATCCGTGTTAATAAGTGACATACTGATAATGATAACAGAGAAGTGTTGAGCCAAGAGTGAAGTGCAGAGAAAACAGATGTGTTGTTTTTAGAGAGGTAACAAAAACATACAGCGTATACTCCAACATGTATGCTGCAGAACACTGACAAAAGCCTGCAACTCTATAACCTTTAAAAAGTTACACTAGATGTGCAACAATCTAAAGGGAAAAAATCCCATAATTGGTCAAGTTTTTTCATACAGTGAGCAAAGACTCATTTTTTTCTAAACAAGGGACCAACGTAAAAAGAAAACACAATATTTCTTCAATACTTCAAAACTTTCTGAAAAATATTTCATCATTTTTTATTTGTTTCACTGGTAGTACAAGCTTGAGGGAGGTGTCCAATAAGATATCCAACTGCCAAACTAGAAGTTCAGCTTTGTTATAAAATCTACTCAGAATATGAATACAGGTGTTAGTTTTTGTGTGGTTATTGACAGTCTTCTCACTTATTCGTCTGCTGGTTTGGCCATAGAAGGGCAATAAGGACGTCCTGAAGCAGGTAAAAGGTTTTCCCAGTACTCTCTGCGAGCTCTGGAACAAATTTGGGTTATAATGTTAGCAGACACACTACAACATCTCCCCCAAACAAATCTAACAAATCTTTTTGTCAAAATTATATGAGCAGCCTTGTTTCTGCTCAGTCTTACCTGGCTCTAACCCAGGGTTTGGTGTGCATCTCCAGAGCAGATCCCCAGAGCCCATGCTTCTGCGAAGCTGGTGGAAGAAACCCTCGCTCTGCAGCCAGCTCTTCTGCTATGGCTCTAATATGGTACGGCTCAAACCCACAGCAGCCGCCGATGTAGCGAATTCCTGCATTGTAAGCTTCTCTGGCGTACTTATGGATGTCCCAGCGAGTAAGTGATCTGGTCTCCAGAGCTGTAATGAAGGTCAGATCATTTTGTCTAGGCTTTTAGGGTGAAGGATCAGAAGCACTTTGTCAACTTAAATTATTATTTTTTTTATCTGACACAAAAAGAAATGCTGACCAAAAGGGAACTCGGGGAGGCTGAGGTATCCACTGTGGTTGCACTCAGGTGTGTGAAAGCCAAGAGGCTGGACCATGAGATGGGCTTTGAGACCAGCTTTTTCTAACCCTTCTTTCATCAGCTTCACAGTTCGAACACATGTCAGAGGGTCCAAGTGGCAGTTAATTCCAACAATGTCAGCTCCTGCGCATGAAAACATCAAATTCAGACTGTAAATATACAACATGAACACAGACTAAGTTAGATAAATAGATCACAGAAGCTTAGTGTACCAGCTTTGACCAGCCTGACGGCACACTCTCCAGGAGGAACTCCATTCATATCTCCCTGAGGCGAGATGCACAGTGTTGCACCCACTGGTTTACCGCCCGTCTTCATCACCTCTAGTGCCCACACTGCCTCTTCCACGTGTTCAAAATACTGCAGAAAAATTTTTTTGATTGTCAAATTTTGTCTCAGGAAATCAAGCAGAAAAAAACTGAAGAAATAGCGAGCAAGCAAATATTTTTTCATTCTGCCACAATGTGTTCACTAAAACTCAACTTCTAACTCTGTTTGAATTTTGCTACCAAGCAGGCACCACATCATCAGAGTTAACTGGAAATTAAATACTGAGACAACAAGTCTAATAAGTTATGTAGAGTTTCATAGTCTATTACTGTCATTGCAAACATTACGTATTTTGATCAAATTCTCATTATTTTATGTTTAAGTAGACAAAAATGAACTCTACATACCTCCACCATAAAGAAATCAATGTCTTTCTTTAGGAAGTCATCCAGCTGTTTCTTAAAGATGGCCTTCACCTCATTCTCGCTGCGACTTTTTATGTAACAGGGAGTCTGGGACACACCCCCAGCAACCAGCGCATCCCCTTCATCTGCTACCTCCCTGGCAATGTCACATGCAGCGTCATTGATCTGAGCCCCCTAGATCAGACAAAAGCACAACATTATCTCCTCATGTAAACTCAGAATTAGTGCTATCATATTTTCCTATTTTACCAACATAGTTTCTGCACTTACAGTGATGCTGTTGACAGTGCTACTGATCTCCAGCTTATCCTCGCTGCAGTAGAAGGTGAAGGTCTGCATCACGTTGGCTCCTGCTCTCAGGAACTCTCGTGCCAGCTGCCGCACTGACAGAAATGAAGACAAGTGGTTAATTTGATACTCAGGTGAACAGATTCTGAACAAATAAAAGCAGGTTTTAACACATGAACTCTGCAATGTTTGTAAACGCAAGAGCTGAAGACTGCTTCATTTTGATGAGGGATACAGGAAAGGAACAGAGATATGGAGCAGGAAAACATCCAAAACATACAGGACAGTGGGCCTCGAGGACTGGACTTGAGAATCACTGGCCAAAAGGCTCAATTTACCCCAGAACTACTATTATGACTTTATAAATTCTCTAAGCTAAAATGGTGGACTTTTATGCTAGGTTTTTGATCGCATGTTGTAGCTCATAGATACCACAATTGATGTATAAAACAAATTTAAAATGATCTTTTTTGGTCTGAACACAACTCTAATAAAACTTATGACAGACTAAATTCACTTTCAAGAGTGAAAAATGATTTTTTGGAAATAAATGTCTAACCCCTTCACCCATGTGCTTCTAACCGTCACAGACTCCATGAATTGATTCCCATCTCCTAAATTTTTGGTCACATGATCAATTTCATTTACCATTTCCAAGCAACAGGGGGTGGCTCAACTTACCCCACTCTCCCCTAACTCTCTGTTGGGATGCAGTAAGGGGTTATTTTTGCCCTTAAATGTTTTGTATAGCAACTTCTAGTTTTGTGTTTTTTTTACCTGCTTCAGGATGTTCTACAGCAGCTTCAGGTGTCCAGTGTCCACCCGTCACATAGCCACGCCGCTCTAGCTGTAATACATAACCTCCATCACCCACTACAACCTCCCCTGCATTCAGGCGCTCCAAGATACCCTGAAGGTAAACAAACAAAAAGTTACACACAGAGGACTGATCACAGCCTCTGACATGCATGCATGTACATTCAGGTATAGTTTCACATGTCCCCTCATGCTGGAGAATGAAAAGCAGAAAACGGGTAACTCAGGTCTGAAATTCCATCCATGTCATGCTGCACTGAAATGTTAGTGTTTTTGGAGATGGGGCGAGTTTATGAAACTCTTTGCCTATTTGGCAACAATACTCAAAGTAGTTAAGATCTACAATGAATCTTCAACATGTGCGTAAACCTGTAAACTGCCTGTTGGTTCGTCCTCACTTCTCAGCCAATAGATGACCGTAATGGTTAATATGTGACAGCATTTGGTTCACTAATCGCTCATATGTAATTTCCAGTAAAATGATCTCCTAGGAAATTAAATGCAATTTTAAATCGGCTATTTATTCCTATGATCTGAATGAATCATTGACATAATTTTGACTGAGTTCAATATCTTCAGCTGATAATATTCAGTCTGATTTAAGCACCTTAGACTGACGCTCTGCATGTCATTGACTGTAGACTATAAATTCTTCAAACCTTTTATTAGATCTGAAATTACGCTGGTATTAGCTTTATGCAGTCCCCAAACGTAAACTTATTACACACCTGCTCAAGTGCAAGAAGACTATAAAACGCTTCTTTGACTTACCCTCCTCTTGCTCCCCATTATAGTCAATGCACCGCTTGGTGGTAGTTAAATTAAAAGGTGAAATGAAGGTTTTCTGAAGTCTGTGCAGAGATGAGCTCCAGCGGAAATCTTGATCACAGTGACGGTGCCAGAAGTCACTCGGGAGGGCTGCAGCTGCACACTCTCGGCGGGTTGTAGGCCTTTAATACACGACCCAACAGCGACACTCCCCCTACCGGCGACCCGCCCCCAAGCTGTCCCCCTTATCTTTTATTTCACGTTAAACATCTGTAGATTTAAAATTGTTTATAATACCAAAACTAATGCAGAAGTGCGAATAAAAGCGTTACAACTCTTTAAAAGTATTGTAAAGATAAAAAAATGCAGCCATGCACCATCTGGAGTAATATAGTTTACATGTTAAGTTTATTAAACTTGTAAAACCTGGCTAATGATTAAAAGAGCACAAATTATGGTTCTATTAAAATGTGTACATACATATGTCTTTAAAAAATGACAAAGTTAAAATATTTCGGTATATTCATCCTTCACCAAAATATTCAGCTACATAAAACAAAGATGAATCACATTAAATTCTAAAACTGCTGGTTTTATGAAAAACAACCAGGACCACTGTGTTCTCATATTTACCCACAGATTTAGAGGTAGTAAGCACAATGACATAAAAGGAGAATAAAAACGCTAAAACCAAGCTGTGGTTTTCAGACTGATCTCACTGGTCAAGTGAAATGGTAAAAACTAACGATTATGATAGCATGTTAAGGTTCCATATTTTTCTCATAATCAGCTTCTGGTGTGGACATAGAAGGGCAATAAGGACGTCCTGAAGCAGGTAAAAGGTTCTCCCAGTACTCTCGGCGAGCCCTAAAGATAAACAGTAGTAGATTAGTTGGTTGCAAATCAAAAACATGCAGAGAACAAACACTCGATTCTCCTCTTTACTTTCTTTCATTTGTATTATCTGAACAATAAATTAGATCATTGATAAACTACTCAATGTTTCTGCTCAGTCTTACCTGGCTCTAACCCAGGGTTTAGTGTGCATCTCCAGAGCAGATCCCCAGAGCCCATGCTTCTGTGAAGCTGGTGGAAGAAACCCTCGCTCTGCAGCCAGCTCTTCTGCTATGGCTCTAATATGGTACGGCTCAAACCCACAGCAGCCGCCGATGTAGCGAATTCCTGCATTGTAAGCTTCTCTGGCGTACTTATGGATGTCCCAGCGAGTCAGCGATCTGGTCTCCAGAGCTGAAATGACGGTCAGATATTTAAGGTTAGCCGTTTTTAATAGTGATATTGTAGATATTGTGTAGTGATATTATAGAATAAAATGTATTAAGTGATAAACATTTTTAATAGTACAATTGTTAATGAAAAAGAAGAAATCTAAATTATGCATAATATTAAATGCTGACCAAAAGGGTACTCAGGGAGACTGGTGTATCCACCAAAGTTGCACTCAGGTGTGTGTGATCCCAGAGGCTGGACCATGAGATGGGCTTTGAGACCAGCTTTGTCTAACCCTTCTTTCATCAGCTTCACAGTTCGAACACATGTCACAGGGTCCAAGTGACAATTTATCCCAACAATGTCAGCTCCTGCACAAGAAAACGTCAAATTCAGACTGTACGTATACAACATGAGCCCAGACTAGGTTAAATAACTAGATCACAGAAGCTCAGTGTACCAGCTTTGACCAGCCTGACGGCACACTCTCCAGGAGGAACTCCAGCCATGTCACCATGAGGCGAGATGCACAGAGTTGCACCAACTGCTTTACCACTGGTTTTTAGCACCTCAACAGCCCACACTGCCTCCTCAACATGGTCCACAAACTGCAGGAGAAATGAGTGGTGAAAAATCTTTTTTAAATTTGACATTAGATGGAAAACAAAAGAAAAGCCTCAACATATGCATATTACGACCTTTTGTATAATAAGCCCTTGATTCATACCTCAACTATAAAGAAGTCAATGTCCTTCTTGAGAAAATCGTCCATCTGTTTCTTAAAGATAGCCTTGACAGCAGTCTCGCTGTGACTCTTGACATAACATGGAGTCTTTGACACGGATGCAGCAACCAACGCATCACCCTCATCTGCCACCTCCCTGGCCAGATTGCAGGCTGCGTCATTGATCTGAGCCCCCTAGACCAGATGAAAAGAAAATCACACGGACATGAGGAGATTATTTATCAAGTCTTAAGGGTAAACCACTAGACAGTGTTGGTAGGTTTGTCTAAATGTTTCTAATTATTTACGGACAGTGATGTTGGCGACACTTCCACTGCTCTCCAGCTTATCCTCGCTACAGTAGAAGGTGAAGGTCTGCATCACGTTGGCTCCTGCTCTCAGGAACTCTCGCGCCAGCTGTCGCACTGAAAGAAAAGTGGGCTTTTGTGGGTAACACAAGGTTTTCTGTGTCTTTCTGTGTCTCTAACAAGAACCTGTGCCACAACAATAAAAGAATCTGTAACCCATACCTGCTTCAGGATGTTCAACAGCTGCTTCAGGTGTCCAGTCCCCGGCTTTCACATAGCCACGCCGCTCTAGTTGTAATACATAACCTCCATCACCTACAACCACCTCCCCCGCATTCAGGCGCTCCAAGATACCCTGAGGGGAAACACACAGAGGAATGTTGAATTAAGGAATGCATTCAATGTTGTGTTTTTTCAGAGTTTTTTAATGGTATAAATGTACACCTGTACATATGTTCTAAGCAGGCTACATTACTAAAGCATGCTGATACACTTTATCTCTGTTCACAATACCCTTGCATTTGATCCTAATGAGGCCTACATTCAACATACTTGCATATATTAGCAGAGAAAAATGATTGAAACATTTGCTTCACTTGCTGCTTAAAGACCTGTAAAACTCAGATGAGCTTGAGATGAATAGCATAAATGGATAAATCTTGGTTTTCATACCCTTCTCTTCTTGCTCTCCATGACACAAAACTTCTCAGGTCTCGGTTAATCGACTGTCGACGTTCACGCGTTGAGTGTTGCGTGGAAGCACAATCTAGAAATGATCAGTTACTAGTAAACTGTTACATAAGTCAGGGACCAGGGTAATGTAATTTCACAACTACACAACTCATAACACCTTATCTATAGACGCGGCTGACTTCAAACACAGCGGCCTGGACTCTTGAAGTATGCGGTTCGGATGATAATTGTGCAATAAAACTAATAATAACAGTGCAATAAAACTAACAGTATGTAGCTTCTTCTTCGTCGTCGTCTCCTTCTTCTTCTTCTTCTTTATTTCCTGCAGAGTAGACGCCGCACGGCCTACTTCTGCCCTCCACTCGTCTCTTGTTTAATCTGATCTTGTTGTATGGTCCAGTTGCATGCAGGGACTGCAGCACTGCTTTGGACATCACCTGGTGGTTTTCGTCATGGACAAATAAATCGCTTATTCCACATTCGGTCCTCTTGTTCAAAAGGGGGCGCTACTGGGCATTTTAGAATTACAGTAACAGGTAATGGCGTCACTTCCTGGCGGGAAAGCGATGTAAACAAACTCAAAAACAAAGTTGACCACAGCGTCAACTCCCAACTTCACATATGACAGTCTCTGAATGATTTTAACGAGTAAAGTGTAACAGAGAAACATTTGCTGTCAGAAAAAAAGGCTTTATAACAACGAAGTCTTCCTAACCGTGGAGAAAAGCGCTCTTTACCTTTGATTTTGGCTTTTTAGTCACACTTTAAGACAAGGTAGGACTGTTTACATTTTCATTTTCCTCTTGATGATGCTGTAACCCAAAGAATAGTTTCATGTTACTTTACAAACGTACAGTTAATGAGTGTGATTGTCAATCATGTACCGTTGTTACCACTGCGTGTAACGCTACACCGACCAAATAGGGGAGAGTGGGGTAAGTTGGGCCACCCCCTGTTGCTTGGAAATGGTAAAAAGAAATTGATCATGTGACCAAATATTTAGGAGACGGGCATCAATTCATGGAGTCTGTGAAGGTTAGAAGCACATGGGTGAAAGGGTTAGACATTTAGATACAACTCAACTTACTTGCAAAGACTCACATTTTCATCTTTTATCGACATGATCAGATAGCTGATTTTTACACTTAAAACTTGTCATTGAGGACGTGGGTAGGTGCTGGAGTACATTCTTCAAACGTGATCCTAATGAATTCCCTTGTTTGTTTATGAACCAATTTTTAATGTTGGTGAGTTGGGAATAAGCTTTAGCTGTGTCACACCCATCGAGTCACTGTTTCCATTGACATTCAGCGCTTCATCTGTTGTAGCAGTTACATTTCTCCTTGATGTATTTAAATCTTCACAATCCTTGTAGGCAGAATCAGCTTCTTGAGAGATCTCACAGACTTTCTTTGTCCCCCCCAGACATCTTCCCTGTTTTGTCATGGACCCATCCGACATTATGGGAAACCTCAACCACATGGTTGGGGCTGTGAGACTCAATGGTGCCCCTGCTCCCGACCACACCACTGGACAGAAGGAAACTTCACCAGCGGACATGCTTAGGTTCTTCCAATGAATCTTAGGGATGCACAATATTATTGACATACAATAAGTATCGGCAGATAAGAGCTGAAAAAGAAAAAAACACACATTTTTAAGTATAGTAGAATTATATGTTTTTGTCTTGTCATGTGTCTCTTTTTCAAAACAAATGGAGAGGAGAAACAGGTATTCTTTACTATGTAAAAAGTGTTGCATACAAATTGTAATGGTTGAAATGTTTGAGAATATCAACTTATCTGTAATCTGCAAAAGACAAATATTGTGCATCCTTTGTAAATCTGCCACAGCACTTCTATACACATATGTAGTTCTTTCAGCTACAGTGCCTGAGTGCTGGTTTATTTACAATTTATTTTTATATCTATCATTGTGGCATTACTGTATTTTCAGAATGAGACAGCAGATGTCCAATCAGTGCTTTGAGATGACAGTACAGATCAATGCAGGTGTGTTACCAGAGGAATTAATTCAAATGATATTGTTTGATTGAGTTTAACAAGTAATGTCATTCACATGAAGTTTCCCTTGACAGGAAAAAGTAGAAGATCGTGCAGCACATCAGAAGCTGAAAGAGACCTGTGAGTGTTTGAAATTAGTCTATAGAATTTACTTAAAGATTTCAACACAAAATTAAGTTTTTTCTTTTTTGCACTGTGAAAAGAATTGCTCACTGATCATGTGTGTTGTGCCATTAAATGTTGCAGGCCAGATCATGTAGATGAACTGGAAAGAATTAAGACCACAACTTTTAACAGAACATTGGCCCTACACAGGTAAACCTTTGCTTTATTTGTTTCTTGTCATGTCATCAGTTTATAGAAAAACTCATATTACGAAGGCAGTGAGCTTGATGAAATTGTCCAATAATGCATTCAACTTGTGCCTTACAGAATGCAGATGTGGCATGCAATCGGGGAAAAGCTGAAACAAACTGATCCTGAGGCAGAGTGAGTCAGTCAGAGCATATTGAACCAACTGACATATATTAAATTTCAAAGTGTTGGTTGATTTAATCATATAATTTTGTTTCTCTCAGCTTCCTGACAGCTTTAAGTGATCGCTGCTTGGCTTTATGTTCGCAAATAAAAACGTTTCAGCAAGTAAGTGGAAACATCATGTGTATAGTCAATGGTGACATTTCCTTGTATGAAACTACTAGACACATAAGAAACATGCTGTACACATTGACGTTTATGACTTTCAGTAAAACCAGAAAATGACACTTGCAGATGCTTTTAATGTACCTGTTGCCATTAAATACAGAATTCTGTTCTGTATCAGAACTGCTCATAAGTAAGACATATGATCTGAAACTTAATTAAAAGAACAACATTTTATATTAAATAGTCTTTTCTTCCCAGGAGTCGAGTGTTCTTCAAGATGAGATCACAGAAATACAGAAGAAGCGGCTTGGTAAGTTGATAGTTAGAATAAAATGTTAAAATAAGACTGTGTCAAACTCTTGTTATTTTACAAATCCCCTTTTTATGTGTTTGTGCAGAAATGAAGCGGCTCACACATGAGAAAATGAAAGAGATCGAGGAGTTGATGAAGAAACAGCACCCACACACAGAGAAGTACAAAGCTGTGCTGGAGAAAGGCCAGGACAACCTGGAGAAATATAGAAAGATGATCGTCATGACACAGAATGTTCTCAGGGTAAATAGTTGAAGAAGAAAAAAATAAATAAATGCATTTAATAAGTTTTGCAGACTTGGTTTTAATATATGTCTTTTCTCAGGGAGTCCTCATGGCCTGCAAAATAAATTGGCTGGATGACCCCAAACTTCGAGACATCGCCATGTCACTGGAAGATATTCCCATTTCGGATTAAAAAGAGAATTCATTTGTTTCATGATAATATTATGATCCTGTTTTTATCGAATAAATCATCAAAAAAAATCTCTTAACGACTCTTATTTTTAATTGTAAAGAAATGTGACCTATATCCAGTAGAGGGCGACATACGAGACAAGAGCACTTAATTACCCAGTGAATAAGAAGAACGAGGTACACGTGAAGGCAGAGGAGGCGAAGATTTGTGATAAATCAAGAGTTTTGGACATTTATCCAGATTATAACCGAGTAAAAATGCCGAAGATAAAGGCGGAGAAGAAGAGCAGACAGCACCAGGAGGTGAAAAATCAAGGTATGTGTTTACATGATAGGGGCTAGCTTTAGCATGATAGCAAACACTGTCAGCTGTGGGAAGGTAACTCGATTTAAAGTTGTGTTTTCCATTATATTGACCGCAGACCTAAACAGATGTTTACTCTTTTACCGTGTCAATGTTTAAAGAAACAATTCTGTCACATTTTTTCCTGTCCTTGTCAATATCTTGTTTACCATCCATATTATTGCTGAGTTACACCAATGCTCAGTTAAATTCACCAAGTTATACGATGTTCGAAGAGTTTCCCACATGTCAGGTCTCTTCTCTTTTACAGGGATCATGTTCAACACCGGGATTGGCCAACACATCCTGAAGAATCCATTAGTTGTCAACAGTATTATTGAGAAAGTATGATAAATTCGAGTAAACTATAGATAAATACTGTTTACTATACATACAGATTCAAGCTGTATCAAGGCATATTTGTGGCTGTGTTCTTTAGGCTGCTCTGAGGCCGACTGATGTGGTTCTGGAAGTTGGACCTGGTACCGGTAACATGACAGTGAAGCTGCTGGAAAAGGTCAAAAAGGTGAAACATGTTTACTTTAAAATCTGCAAGTGTAGGTAGACAAGAGTATGTGTGCTGTAATGCTCTAGTCATTCTGTTCAAATCAGCTGACTAATTCTTGTCAGGACGTTTCTATGTTATGTTACAGTTATATGTTTGGTGGCTGCGGCCCTATATGTACTGTTGATGAAGTTAGGTGCTGTTCTGAGCATTATTTGTGGCTATAGAGTGGTGTTTTGGTTTAGGTTTGTATATGGCTCTTCAGACTGCTGTGTATTGCTATCTACAGTCATTACTAAAGTTGGTATAACTAGAGAAGCAAGCGGTCAGAAACATTTATCTCTTGAGGGTGTGTCTGACTCGGTTTTATGGTGTGTTTGACCCTAAATTAATTTTATGCCAGAATATCCCTTTAAGTGGTACTTTCTAAAGTCGTATTCTATTCTTTCAAGAAAAACTAAATGCAAATAGGACTTATTAATTTTGTAGATTATGATGTTTATTTTTATTCTTGAACCTGTTTCTCACAAAAGTGTTTTTATATTAAGTAATTCATGCTTTACCACAGCATCTGGCAACATGAAATTCTGCAGCAACCGCACAAGAGCTAAAATCATAGATTGGTACTGAGATCATCGATCTGAACACTATTTATATTATTTGTTGTGTTTTTGCAGGTGGTGGCCTGTGAGCTTGACTGCAGATTGGTGGCTGAACTTCAGAAAAGAGTGCAGTGCACGTGAGTGAGGACCTAAAAGCTTTGCCTCCACATACAGCATATCTGCATAGCACCTAAAATATTCTTTATAAAAGTCAGTGTGTGATATTTCAGAGGACATTGTTGTTTCCCTACAGACCCATGCAGACCAAACTTCAAATATTGGTCGGAGATGTTCTTAAAACAGATCTACCATTTTTTGACGCTTGTGTGGCTAATTTACCGTACCAGGTAACATATGATTCGTTTGCACTTCTCACAACGAACTTTATGTCACTTAAAACGTTTAAAACAAACTTTTTCTTTACAGATTTCTTCACCATTTGTTTTCAAGCTTCTGCTGCATCGACCCTTCTTCAGGTACATCTTCATCTTCTTATTGTTGTTGTTGTTGTTATTGTTATTGAGCCCCTCTGTTTGTCGCTCTCGTGGTCAGGTGTGCCGTGTTGATGTTCCAGAGAGAGTTTGCCATGCGTCTGGTCGCCAAGCCAGGAGACAAGCTGTACTGCAGGCTGTCCATCAACACACAACTCTTGGCTCGTGTAGACCATCTCATGAAGGTCAGTGCACAATCTCCAGTACTTGCCTATCATTGACGTTTTGGATACTGCTTAATCATCTTATCTTGTGTTGATACAGCTGTTGATGTTTCCTCTTTGGTTAGGTCGGAAAAAATAACTTTCGTCCCCCTCCTAAAGTGGAGTCCAGTGTGGTCAGGATAGAACCAAAAAATCCTCCTCCTCCAGTGAACTTCCAGGTAGGGTTTGACGTCAGTAAGAGTTTATTAATAGATAAAATGTAGATACTTGATGTCATCTTTCTTTTTTGAAAGGAGTGGGACGGTCTGGTCAGAATAGCTTTTGTCAGGAAGAACAAAACCCTTAATGCAGCCTTCAAGTGAGTACCCCTCTGATCAACCCTAATTTGAGTTTGTTCTGTTTAAAATGAGTCCAAAAAAAGATAAAATAATGTTTAAATATTTCCAGGTCCACTGCAGTAGAACAACTCCTGGAGAAGAACTACAGAATTCACTGCTCTGTACACAACGTGGTGAGTCATGGTTTGATTTTGAGCTGAAATTTTTTGTTTTGAAATCAATCTTACTCTCATTTTTGTTCCATCTTGTCAGGAAGTGCCATCAGATTTTAACATCTCCACGAAGATAGAGACTGTATTAAAAGAAGCTGATTTCAGTGAGAAGAGAGCCAGGTCCATGGACATCGATGACTTCATGGTGTAAGATGAACTCCTGTTTCTTGTTTTCTTTGAACAAGTTTTATTTCTTTCATAATCTTCATAAGACGCATATAAGTTCTGCTTGTTTAGTTCTGATTGTTTTCTCTCTTTACAGGCTGCTTCATGCATTTAACTCTGCCGGGATCCACTTCTCTTAGAGAGGGAGCTGAGGGGATCTGTTGTGCCTCCATTATCACAGATGAGACGTTATTTGGATTTGAGTGGGGAAAATTGATTTTTTTGAGCAACTTTTAATCTGAAGCTGAGATTTACAGGTATCAAACTAGATGTGTATAAGACTGCTTAAGGATACATTTAGAGCTCATATTGAGTTCCTGTTTGTATAACTGCTGATGTGAAGAGTCCCACCTGCATGTATCAGAGACTGAAATCAGTGTCTGAGTAAAGATGTGCCTCCATGTATGTCCACTCTGTGTTCACAGAAATCAGTGCAAATGTCCATCTGTACTGAAGATTAAACAAATTAAATGTTGGTGGTCAAAAGTGACAGTGGTCATTTAAAATGTTTAAGGCCATAACTTGGATATACATGTGTATTTCCAATCAATTTCTAATACAAAATGATAAGGTGTTAATAGATACTATTAAAAAGTTTTAGAAGTCATTTACAGCCACAGTCAAGGGTGTAGGAACCAAGGAGAAAATAAAAAGAATAAACTTTTGGGGGATCTGTCCTGATATTGTTCTGTCAATCAAAAGCCTTCATATATTCAGATTTTTAATAGATTTAAAAACAGTGTTTTTGTCATTCATATCTGTTGCCACTGTGAGAAACAGTGAAAAGCTGGCTCTACCCTCACCGGAAAGACCGGGCTCTCCGAGGAGGGCTGTGGACACCAACAATCTCCCGCCAAAAACCGCGAGCCTATTTATTAATGTCATATTTTACCCTTTCTTCTTTTTTTTTCAAATATTTTATAGAAAAGTAATGCTGTGCACATCTTTATTAATGCATATATAAGATCTGTATGTATGTGTTTTGATCCTAGGATGTGAGTAAACCACCCAGAAAAAACACTTCTCCCTCTCCCTCTAGTTTAAAGACAGGCATGATTTAGATTAACAGAAATTTAGCCTGGTGTGTGTAAAACCTATTAAAAATTTTCGATGTTGGAATTGAAATGAAATGAGATGAGAAAACATTTTAGAGATAATTAAAACTAAAAAGAAAAATCCTCGTTTGGCTTTAGTCATGACCTTTTTGATTTTAGTTCATAAATTTGCATGGTTTCTTGCATTCCTACTCACAAGTTTATCACGCGTTATTCCTATTCACGATGGTAACAACCGTATTAGTGTTTAAACGGGCAGTTGCTAGTACTCACTGTCACCGCTAGAGGGCAGCAAACTCGCTTTGTCGTTTCGTTCGATGGTTATTTGTGTCAAGGTAGACAAAATGCAATAGTTTTCAGTTGCAGTACTTTCAAAATAAAAGTTTTATTGAAATTGGAACTAAATGTAGCGGTTAAGCAGTAATGGGTAAGTAGAAAATGTGCGTTGAATGAAGCATCAACATTACTACTCTGGAAAAAAGGAAGTAGTTTGAGGCGTGGATTGTTATCAAAATGTGTGATTTTGTCAAACCACAATTTTAAATGATGGATTTTGTCATTGCTAGATTAAGATTTTGACTTTATTGCAATATATCACATAAACTATGTTTCTTTTCACTTGTACCCCACCATCCAAAGTATATAAAAGCTGGTCATTTGAGGATGTAATAAAATGAGATGTGTTTTTTTTGTAAATATGTAGCTACAGAGGTGTGCGATCATTAGAGGTTCACTTTACTATCAGAGGGACAAACTTATATAATTTTTTTAGCAAACAGTGGAAAATTAAGATTGCAATAAGTTATTCAGTCCACTTATCTGTATAACTCGATGTCACACACGCCTTTAAATGAAACACATGAATCTTTATTACTTCATCCAGCATTACATCCGGTGCAAACACTGAGAGACGTGACCAACTGTGGATCAGTGGTCTTTACTATACATTTATTAATAGCAGATTTTCTAGTTTCATTTTTTTAACAAAGAGTTAAACAAGTGAAAAACATGTTTTACATTAAAATCAGAGGTTTTTTTTTTTTTAGTAAGTAGCCACATTGAATTACATGGCACAAACTGAAGTAAACTACATTTAAAATCCTCCCATGAGCACATGGAAAGATACTCAATGTGGTTCAAGGCTTCCTCCACACTGGAAAAATGCTCTGAGAAGGAAGGAAAAATGAGAATAGACCATTTGTAATGAGTTATGACTTTACAATGCAAACGGAGGACCTAAAAACATGGGAAAACCGAGGACAGCGGTGTACTTACGCTATTACATAATGCACATGCAGACATGTCAGCCAGAGCAGAGCAACCAGAAATCAAAGACTGGTTTTGTGCGGTAAACGTTAAAACATGTTCATCGAAGCTCTCTTTTGAAACCAGGTCAAAAAAATCAGTTCAAAGAAAGTAGAAACAAGTATAAAAGAAAATAATTTAAGAAGAGGAGAGAAAGGAGACTAAACACTCCATAAAAAATAACCTAGTAAAAGGAAAGGAAATAAGACTATTTTCCTCCCTAAGTTTTCTAACAAGACCATAGTGTGTCAACAGCCAGTTTTGTTAGGAGAGGGACCGTTACGGATGCAGTTCATTGAGCCTGTTGGTACATCAGACAGTCTTTTTTATTGGTGTTTCCTCAGCTGACAGTGACAGCTCATTGTGCCAAACATCTAGTGGTTATGTTGTCGTATGTGCCACTTGTGCCTCTTCAGCCTCCTCTCTCTACAGAGCACGCGGCCTCTTGGGATTGATCTGCTTACTGGCCTGCTCCTCCTCCTGGAGTGTAGAGCGGAACGACTTCACTTTATCTGTAGGGAGGACGGAGAGGAAAAGAAGTCATGAACATGTTTATGGAACATCAGGATGGAGAGTCCTGTTTGGACCAATGGAGGTATGTCTGTGTCTCTGACAAACCTCGAAGCTCAGTGAGGATTTCTATTTTCTGGTCTAGGATCTGCTCCAATTGAGTTGCATACGACTCCACGTCATAATCCACCTCCTCTGTCATCTCAAGCAGCACTTTTTCATCTTCCAACCATCGAATGGACTCCTGAGGACATGCATACACATCAGCATATTTATCTATCACAGGACCTCCATACAGCCTATCTGTATATTTGCACCAATTTAAACTAAAAAGAACTAAATAAAGGCCGTTATTTATATGCATGTAAAAATGACAAAATACGAGATGAGGTATCTTCAGAGTCTTGACCTGGAAAACTGCTCGGTGGTCCTCCAGCACCTGCTCTTCCATCTCCACCAGCTGAGACACTGCCTCATGGAAGGTAAAGAGCTGAGGAGACACTTCCTCCTCCTGGAAAACATGTAAACAGGTGCCACAAGGACATATAAACAGGATTTAAAAGGTTTTAAAGAGGCAAAGCAACACAGTGCGGGTCCTTGGAACCTGTCTTGTTATTCTATGTGCAAGGTCAAATGTTAACACCGTTTATTAAGCTATAGACTTAGTGCCCCATCTATTAAACTGAAGGTTCACTTATAACTATGTACTTACATTCTGCTCACAGAGCAGTTTGAGGTCATCTCTCTGTGGCGAGATACTCAGCCAATCCTCATCCAAAAGTTCCAGCTGGTTAACGGCATGGATGTTGGGTCGACCTCCCTCCATCATTTGATTGGGGTCCACTGTCAGCTCCTTCACCCTGCAGAGAGAAACGCGTAGAGCTGGTCAGGACAAATTCTTTCAGAAAGCAGACCTGCTTGGAAAATGGCTTTTGTTGGAGTTGGGGACGTGATGTTATCTGAAGGGTCAGAAGCAAGAGCACAGGATGGTGGTATAATGACACAGACACATGCACGGGTGATGATGATGATTGTTGACTTTGTACATGTCTAATAAAACAGTCCCATTCATTAATAGTCAAAATGGGAAAATATACAAAGGCAGATTTTTGACTGAAAGAGAGATTATGGGCTTAGAGATTGGTAAAATGAAAGCTCACCCTGGGTACAATTACATAATGAATCCACGGCTATTTCAGTGCTATTAATGATGCCAAACAGCAACACAGTTTTACTGAGGCAAGTTTTCACTCCTGTGTGCTTTGAACAAATTGAACCCTGGTGTTAAAGGGATATTCCAGAGTAAAACTGAGTTAGGGTCAAACACACTGTAACACCGCGTTAGAAACCCCATCAAGAGATGAATGTTGCTGACTGCTTGCTTTTCTAGTTATACAAACTTTAGTTGCAACCACACGATAGCAATACACAGCGGTCCATGTCTCCACGCTTAAACCTCAACCAAAACGCCACTCTATAGCCACAAATAATGCTCAGAACAGCACCTAACCAAACATCTTTTTAACTTTGCCTAATTTCTTTAGCAAAGAGACTAAACACAACTCATCCACTCTCCTCCAGCAGCCGCTGGTTGGTGGGGGTGCCCTGATGAGTTGATCACCAAGTGCAGCGGCTTATTTCCATGAAGTAATAATCATTGTAATAATCATTTTTCACTGCACATGATAGTTCTTCTGCCTCAGCGTCTCGGTCTGATTGCATTTCCATGACGTAATGATCATAAATGTTCTTCCTTGAGCTGTGAAACTCCGCTGCACTCGGTGATCGACTTGTCAGGGCTCCCCCACAAACTAGCGGCTGCTGGAGAAGAGTGGGTAAGTTGAGCTTTATGTCTTTGCTAAAAAAAAAAAACAGCCAAAGCTAAAAAGATGTCTGATGGCTAGTACTATGGCTGAGACTCTATATGTACTGTTGATGAAGTTATGTGCTGTTCTGAGCATTATTTTGGCTATAGTGGCGTTTTGGCTGAAGTTTATGTGTAGAGACATAGACCGCTGTGTATTGCTATCGTGCTGTCGCTACTAAAGTTGGTATACCTAGAGAGGCAAGCAGTCGGCAACATTCATCTCTCGAGGGCGTGTCTAACTCAGTGTTACGGTGTGTTTGATCCTAACTTAATTTTACGCCGGATTATCCCTTTAAGGTCATCTCTGACAACCAAACCTCAGCACTGATGGTGTCATAAAGAACGATTAATAGTAACCTACATGAACAGACTGATGTGTTATTCTACTGGAGTAAGCAAAACAAATATCTTTGCACCCACAGCTCAATAAAAACCAAAAGTATTAGCTTGGCCAAAGCCTGAGCAGGCACAAGGATGAAAAGTGTGAACGGCATGCAGATGAAAACTAGAAATGATAACATGATGGAGGTTTTCAGCTGGCAACTGCTGAAGAAGGGAATAAAGGCAGCTAATTGGTCTCATGGATGTGTTTAATAATGCAAACGAACACCTGTGAGGGACACATGCACACTGTATGTGTGTTTGTGTGTTAGTGATTGCATGCAGTGCTGTGCTATGGGGATTGCTTGACCTGCTGGGAGAGGTAGCAGCAAAGTCATCGTATTCAAAGGTATTGGTGGGCGAGTGGTCGGGGCGACTCCCCTGACCACCCTGGGAGAAGGGGATGTCTGACGGACTAATCCCAAACTCCTTCACTCTACGCGGCGGGCCCAGAGGAGCAGAAGGAAGGAGAGAAAAGGGAAAGAAAGAAGGAAAAGAGAGAAGGGAGTACAAGAGAGTCAGACAGAACTACTGAGAGACGGCAGAGAAATTTACAACAATGCAGGTGCGACTAACAATGATCAACACTAAAGACACTGGGGAGTAGAGGGGATCTTAAGGATATGTATTTGCATAATTTCCATTGGTTCCTGTGGCAACTATTCAGTTTCCAAATCACTGAAGAGGGGAAACATATTCCCACCTGTTCGCATAGCGTAGTGTGTTGAGGGTGTTCTCACAGGATGTCATACCGGGAGAGATTGTTGCAATCTGCGGGGAAGATCATTAAAATTATGACTGAGCAGTGGAGCTGTGGAGACTCTGTTACAGGATGTTAAAGAGGGGCAGTGGACTGACCATGCATGTGCGTGAATTTTCTCCAATGAAGGAGTCTCGCAGGACTTGGGTGAGCTTACTGGCTCTGAATGGGGTATGAGGCTTATTACGGCCAAGAGCGCGGATACACTCCTGAAACAAGGACGGAAAAAAAATGACGTTACAAAAAAGATTCAAAAAGCTCTTTTGGGATCAGTGTGAGCCTGATGAACATGAACTGAAGTAGCAGTGAAAGCAGGAAATATTCAAGTAACAATGTTAGGCTATTGCAGCTCACAAACCTTCAGGGCCAGTAGACTTTTGTTGATCTCAGCCCCCTCCAGACGAGTTTGACGGTCGGCGCTCGATGTATCAGCCCCTCTTTCATTCCCAGCGAGGTCGATGAGTGAGAACTTGCCATGCATTTTCCCCTTCCTTCGAAGAATAATCTGGAACACAGCATGGCTGCGGGACGAGTGGGCATTGGCTGAGGTCTGCCCTGATGTTCTGGAAATGGGAAAAGATGAACAAACAGGTAAACATGGCCGACTAACGCCAAAAAACAGTAACTGTAGGAGAAATAACTTTCAATACCCTATCAATACGCTATATTCTACTACCACATCTGACACTTTTCTTTAGAGTAGGAAAAACAAGACTTCCCCTGAGATAAAACATAATAATTCAAAATCTCTTTTGCCATACCTGCAGCTGTTTCCAACTTCTATGAGTTTCAGCACTTCCTCTGTACATTTGACATCCTTCTCCTGAAGCCCAACAACCTGCACCTGCTGCTTGCCATCCTCCAGTACCCTCAGTTTAGCTTTACGATTCAGCAGGTCGAACACCTACAAGAACATACACACATTTCAGCAGGGGTTTAGGTTTTGTTGTTTTGAGAAAGTTGACATGTTGGAAATGATTTCTCATCACTTGCCTTCCCGCTGTAGATTTCAAAGAAGGTTGCGTACACTTGTAGATCTAACTTTTTGTAGTTTGGTTTTTTCAACATCAGAAATACATCACGAGCTGCAGGAAAAAGAGATTATAGGTGAAGAGCAAATAACGTCATAATTAAGCTGAGTTAATTCGTGGTTTTCAGAACACGAACATGACAAAGAAAACAGATAATTTACTAACCAGCTAATGCGTAAATTCCTTTAGAGCAGTCTTGGTTTTTCCCAGAAAAATCTCCACCCATTGTCTACAAGAACAAAATACAACACTATAAAAGGAGGAAAGATACTTTGAAATGATCAACATGGGTTATAACATTTTTTTTTATCAGAACAATTAGATTTGATCCCTCGTATGTTATGTAGTTTGGGCTTTTTGAAGAAGTCATTGCTTGTAACTTACATGTGTTTTCCCACTGCCCGTCTGCCCATAAGCAAAGCAGGTAGCCATGCCCCTCTCAAAAATAGTCTCCACCAAAGGTCTGGCAGTGAACCTGTAGTGTAAAGCAGGACACACACTCAGTCAGGACTGAGCAAGCATCATCTGACCATCCGTTATTTGACCACACCATACTGACGAATCATCTTAAACACTTGTGAACCATCAGCAAATGAAACCGGTCGAATGACTCAGTTTGTTGCTACAAACCTGTAAACCATCTCGTTGGTGGTGCTGTCATCGAAGGCGTAGTCAAAGCGGAAGGTCTGGTTCTCCAGGTAGCGGGTGAGGTCAACTTTTTGTTTGGGTTCATGAACCATTACCACGTCCTTACTGGGGATGGTTATCACATCCAAATCCTTTGCCATCAACTCTGGAACCAGAAAAGACAAGACTTTCAAACTCATATGTACTTTGGTGGGAATAAAAAGTTTTATTTCTGATTTCAGACCTCACCTTTCTTGTTGAGGGGACGTTTCCTGACACAAACACATATTCTGTGCTCTTCGATCTACAAAGTTACAACAGAGGAGAACGTTTCGTCACAATGCTGCTGAGGGTCAACTTCTTAAAAGAGGAAGGAGAGGAGAACAAATATATCCGCTCACCAGATCTGCTGTGGTCAGAGGCCGGTAGTCTAGACTGGCTCGGAAATCCCGGATCATGTACATGATCTCATAGTTAGGGATAGTGGTATCCACTTCCTGGAGGATGAGTAAAGACAGCAGAGTGAGCCGTCAGCAAAGTCATCGGGAGCAAATTCTTCTTTTTTTTAAAACACATTTTCCCGAGAAATGTCGAGAATGAAAGTGTCTACTGAGTCGTAATAAGAAGTTTGGTTATTCATACATGAAGAAGAGAGGTGAAAAATACTGATGTACCTGAGCTCTTTTCTCCCTGAGCTCCTGTTGCTGCAGCCGTCGCCTTTCTCTCTTCTCCTGGAGTTTCTCCACCTCCTTTACGCAGTTTGACTTCCTCCTCGCTGCCATTAAGACAAGAGAAACACTTACTCTACTACCTTCCACTGTGCGTACCCATAGCCTCGATGTTCACAGGTCTTTTCCTTTCTCAGCCCACTCCCCACACTGTCCTACTCTTTCTCTTCACTCCTTTTCACTTGGTTATAACATCATCCTCCCAGTGAGTCTTCCCCTCTTTTTGGTCTTACTTTAAACAGACAGGAGACCTTGGGCTACTTCCAACAAAGCACAACAGTGAACTGTGCTCAAGCAGGGACCAGGATGCAGTATCTGGAACACAGTGCCTCCAGTACAACACTAGCTGCTTTCTCCACATCACCAACAAAAGGCCTTTACAGTGTGTTCGAAATCCGCTCTGTCCATTTATTTGCATTGTTAATCACAGCTAGACCAGGGGACTGCTAAAACTAGGAAATGTGCCTTGTATTACGGCAATCACTGCATTTCAAATTAAAAGCGACGTCAAATATTTAATGATTGGAATATTGTTTTCAATCCACTACAGATTAACCTCAAGGTTATTCCAAATTTCCCACAACAACATACCACCAGATTAGGTCCAAGTATTAGTAACCATGATAGGAAAACTCAAATGATCAAAAAAGTGAATTAAGTCTCTGCTGAGTCCTCACAGAGTTAATAAAAATACAGCATTATCTGATTAGCCCCCTGCTACCGCCCCAGCTTCTAACTGCAACGTCTGGTCCAGACCCTATAATGCTGTCCTGGCCTCCTGCTGGCTCCAGTTCCTGTGAGTCCACCACCAGAGCAGAGGGATTAATAATCTGCTCTAATCTGTAGGCAGAAGATGAGCTGGGTCAGCGCTGGGGGAAAGGGCTGTCACTACTTGTGAGTCTCACAGGCTTTCTGTTGAGGAGCTGCTAGGTGAGAATGAGGGATACAGGGATTCCCACTCCCTCTTCCCTCTGCTCATTTACAGAGACAAAGAGCTGGTGAGGAATGAACAGATAGAGGACTCGGACTATTGCTGCCGGAGCCCAGAGGAGTAACCTGCAGTGCTACAGGCTTTTCCAAGTGTGGCTGTGAGTGACTCAGCAGAAATGAGACCAGAGAAAGACAGACAGCCTTTAGCAGAACGGGCTTTTTTTACCCCCTGTCTAATACCCAGAAAGCCTGTCTGTTGGATGGATTGTGTCTGTGCTACTTCAACACCACAGCTCTGAACAGCATTAGGCAGACATTTTTGGTGCACTATCTTTTTTTGTAAAACTAGAGGACTCTCTGTTTCTAATGGGGACTCTATCAGAATCACCGTGAATCATTGAGGACAGGGGGGGGGGACATGCAGGTCATACATACAAAGCTGTCCAAACTCCTTTCTGGTTATCAGTTGATGTGATGATTCTGTGATAAACACGAACATTAGACATTCAATAGTTGTGGTCATTAATCGGTTTTCTGTAGATGCCCTGAATCATTGGTTTCAATAAATACTGACAACAACTTGGAAAGGAAGTATTCAAACTATGGAGGGAGATAACAACCGGACCACAGCTTAAATTAATCTAAAGACTTGACTGTTTTGTCTGTTTTACCATTCTGGAGTTGCTGTTGTGTCTGAGTTTGAGCGGGAGGTGCAGGCTGTTGGGATGGAGGCGGGGGTGCAGGCTCGGGTTGTTGGGGCTGTGTGGGTCGAGCGCGAGTCGGAATACCTAAAACACAAAGGCAAAACCATAAATGGCAACTTTTGACTTGCACAGCTCCACTTTTAATAATGTTACAAAGTTTGAAATTAGATGTAGCTAATAAAAACAAAACTGTGAGGAACTTTTGCCTCGAGTCAATTTTGGCACCTCCTGTGGACAAAGCACTCTTTGATCATCTTGTCCTCTATATGCTGGAGAAGTAAAAATCTCATCCTGCTGATTTCTTACAGTCAAATGTGTCATTTATTTTGAATATTCACTGGAGAAATAGTAATAACCACGGTTGTTTCATCAGCTGCAAGGCTGACACACACACCCTTTGCAACAGTTTAATAAAAAATGGGATATAGAAATCGTCCATCTGGTCCCTTGTGGTCTTATCTGCTTTTGGGCATCATGAAAAAGCTTCAATATTAATTTGAGTTTATTTCACAAATGTTAAAAGAACAACTTTAACATCAGAAAATCAAAACTTAATCATTATGTAAAAACTAGTATTTCTTTTAATTCTGCAAGTTTGTTTCTGTAATGTCTTTCTGGCAAAGCACACCACCACATTCAACGACATCCTCCAGGTGATCACAAGGGTAAATCAGCACATCTCTTACACCAGAGATGAAGAAAAGATCAAGATTTGATAGGGAAGATTTATTGTAGCACTGTTTTAGTGTAGCTGACTGGCAATCCTCCATAAAGAGTCTAAAGTATAGTCTACATGACTGGCCTGTGCTGCTGTGAGCATTTATTTTCGTGCTCAGATAGTCCTTTCGCTCGATGATGATGCACATGTTAGGATAAATGGAATTAGGAAAACCTTTGTGGTTGCTTTGTTTATTGTCTTCTTGGAATAAAAGCTACGGAAACCAACCAAACACAGGAAATAATTAAAGTAAAAAAGTGTTTTGATTAACCATACAGAAAGTATAAAACAGAAAAGTAACTTTGAATACAAGCGACATTTAAACCAGTTTATAAATAAAACTTAAAATAGCAGAGCTGTATCTACAGTATATATACTGTGAGGAAACAGACCTTGGACTCCACTAGTTTTAGGTGAACTGAGCATTACAGCAAAGAAATATTTGTTTATGTATATCTTAGGTCAACAAATCCTAAAAAAAATTGTGACATAGAGGATTTCAATGGTAAACAGAGGAAATGAGCATAAGTGATAAAATGGTTAGAAGCTACAGGAATAATGAGATATTTGCTGGTGAGTTTGAATGGACTGTCTGCTCTTTTAAAATGACTTCCTAATTTATTTAGGTTTGAAAGGAATGTAAGTGCAATGAAAAAGACGCTTTATGATTCAAAGAGAAATGCATCATACAAACCTCTATTATCCCTGGACGGAGTGTCATTCTTGACAGGTGCTATCGTTCGACGATTCTGCAAAAAAAAAAAAAAATCTCTCAATGCAGATGGGATGGACTGAGATACTTTCAAATAACAGCATTTCTGTTGAGTAATTCCTGGATTGGTATTCATGTAGAAAAATTCCCTGCTATTCAGGATTGTAAAAAAGAAATACATAATTATCTTGGTTCAGTTTCCAGCCCCCTCTGCTTGCCGCTGTTATGTAGATACAGAAATAGAAAAAGCCTGAGAGTCAGATTAGTGCTCAGCACAGAAGACTCCTTTATTAGCACTAATGTTAGTGATGATGCTTAACTCATCCGAAAGTGTCAATAAAAAGAGCTGACCATGTCTTAACTCTAAAAGGCCTTATTCCTGTGCAGGTCATGGGTTTGTTTGAACATTGAATCTACTTTAAAGCTTAACATACAACACAATCAAATCAATAATAAATCCTTACAGGCTCATTTCAAGTATCTTGTTGGAGTAACAGAGCTCATTCTTGGTGATCTGAACCACATAGTAAATATGATAACAATAACTAGTCAGCATCACCTTGCTATATATTGACAACAGTTGTCTACATAATATGTGCAACATTCACACAAATAATCACTGTGTATGGTTTACAGAAGATTAGGATCGCATCGCCGTGTTAACACTGTGTGCTTAACAGGACAAATTAGTTAGTTGCTTAGAAGGATACTGGTTCTATATTAAGGTCCAACGAATTGTTGCCAACTACTTGAGCAGGACTGAGCACTTCAAGTGCAATCAGTCTCTTCTATGAAAGAAAGTTCTGAAATGTCTTCAAATCCAATTCATATTACACTGGTTTACTGTAGCTGAAGCTGCATAAAAACACATGTAGTATTTACCTTTGCAATTTTATTGACCTTCACACATGCAGGAGTGGGTGGGGGTGGAGTTTCTGGACTAGGGGCAATTTCTTCATCTGGAGCCACATCTGGGTTAAGTGCAAATATACTCTCCAAGTCGATCTGTCCAGAAAAAGAATATTACTGACAGAAGATACATGTATGCCAATTCATACGTAGTCTAGTCACTGCATCCATGCATCACCCTTAAAATGGGATAACAAAAAATAAACATTACTAGTGAATGCCAGTCGTTCTATGAAAATCTAGGTAAAAAGACTGCTTTTTTTAGGGGGCAACAGAGGTGTCGTAGAGGCTCAATTATATTCACCAAATGTGAGGCCATTACATATAAATGGGGTTTAGTTTTTAGGCATTGTAAATAGTTTCCATGACATCTTCTATCTTAATTTGTGAAATTAAACTAGTTTCTCTCTATGTAAACTGGCAGGCAGACTGTCACAGAGATTCACACTGAAGTCTGAATCTAATGAGCTGCCGAGCTTTACTTGCTCTCTTTCCCTTGAGAGTTGGATTTACCATTGAGTAACGATGTAATAAATGATAGGTAATCAAGTTGATGACAGCCACAATCTGATGAATGTAAAATAAAATTTGAAGATATTAAGAGGTAAGAATTAATAAAAAAAAGTGATTAACCATACATCAGTATTTTTTACATCCATAAATGAAAGCATGAATGTTGTTTAACAGTCTCAAATATGGCCTTTTGTTATGTGTCTACTGTTTGGGACACATTGGGACCGGACTAACAGACTGTGTTAGCTCATGCACACCAGTTTAAAGGGCAACGTCTAGTGGGATTGTAGTAAATGCAGGCTGGTTGTCTATGAAAACAAAAGCACATTGTGTTGATGCTGAGACTTTACAGGGTAATGAATGGTGGTTTACCTCTTTTCCTTTGGTGTCTCCATTCTCTATCCACTCCACTGTGACGCTCTCGTTGTCCTCATTTAGAGAGGTGACCATTGCCTGATGTATACGTCCTGTGAAAGTAACATGAACATGGACAACACAAACATCAGAAAAAGTCAAGATGGTCTTTACAAAAACCCCAAACTAGGACCTTTGCATGTTTTTCTTCATCTTTGTCCTTAACCTCATTTCAGTCGTGAAAAGATAAGCTAAGAATGACTGAGATATATCTTCAGTCAAGTGTATAATTTTTCCTTTTCTTTCTCCCTGACACACATACACAAGCACACACTGACTGAAATAAACTGGATTTCACTAATACCTCAGTTTGCATATTAGCAAGGTTATGGCCTCATTACTAAAGCCTGATCAGATCTGAGTCTAGTACTCCCACATTAAATCGACCTGTTACTTTGAAACACAGCAGGGCAATAAACTCTGCCAAAGGTGATATGATTTTCACAATGTGCTGAATTATATTTGTAACCTATCAGACACCACTGTTTGCAAGATTCATATTTCGGGGTGCAACACTGCTGTAAAATGAGGGTCAGAGTGGAACATATTTCTAATGTTTTAGCTGTCTAAAACTGTTACATGTCACACAGTGGGGCTGTAATTTTTAGGGCCCGACAGATTTATCGGCGAATCAATTAAATCGGCCAGTTTTAGCTCATTTGAGACCAATCGGTAATCGGCCAAAACTCGCCGATTGTCACCGATATTTCAGAAATAACATGCCGAGAATAAGATTCGGTTTCACTTCAAAAATGTTCTGCCATGTAGATGGCGCAGCGACCTCATGACAATCTTCATCCACTAACTACCTCACAGCACAGCAGAGTGACGGATCTGAAGCAGGCAGGGACAGGGATGCACGGAGGAGAGTGGTCCGTCCCAGCGGCAAATAAACTAGTGTGTGAAATACACAATAAGTCAACAAGTCTCAGTTCAACCCACTTCATGATGTTCCCCACTGTGCTGGTTTCGGTCACGCCGAGTTAACGGTGAAGCACCTTGTAATATGCAAGCTAAAGTTTGAGTTAGCCACCTGCTATTAGCCTTGCTACACTGTTAGCCGTGCCAGTAACGGTAGAATAAACAACAGTACACATTATGTGATGAGCTACTTCTCTTACTGAGGCAGATGCATGTCTCCAGATGAGACCGGACCGGAAATGAGTAACATGAGTTAAGACGCGGAGGCACCGAAAGAAAAGACAATATGTCGATATATCACTTAAATTAAAATTACTGATTAATCGGACCCCCGAAAAATCCATATTGGTCGGGCCCTAGTAGTCTTGTATATTGTTTGACAGCTGTCAGCTGAATTGTTCCACTTTGATTTGAATCTATGTAATAACTCCCCAAATCTCTATTATCCATTCATACAAATAGAGGGCTGCATGTCACTGCTGGTAGTGCCTATGTTAAATGAATACACGGAAAGCCTGATAATAAGCCTGATAAAAAAAAAGAGATTCAATCACTTTATCTGGCAATTAATTATAAAAAGAGGGCAGTAGTTAGACAGGACGGCTTCAAATGCAGCATCAAAACCATAAAACCAGCCTGTGCTCACTGTAATAGTGGCCAACAGATTTTGGCATCAACAAATCAAATATTGGGATGCAAATTGGTTCTTCAAGTTTGAGATGGAAAGGCTATAGAAATTAGGCTGAGCCTGGTGAGATCTGGAAGGAGCGTTTGATAATGACCCACTGGAGAAAATCACTGGTAACAGAGCTAAACACAGCTGCTTTACATCTCTCCGCCTCTCTGTCTGCAGGGTAATGATACCAGCTGTAAAGTGACCGCTCAATCCTCCCATCTTTGACCGTGTGGAGCTAACTGTTCGCTGTAAATTCAAGCACAGTTCAGGAAAGCACCATGTTCCTTTATCTATTATTCAGAGACTCGCAGGGAACAAGCGAGTGAAGATGCTTTTAGTGTTCTCAACTGCTCAACGTTTCGCTGACTTACTTTGAAAATGATCGGAAACAGATAACAGGCAAAATCTTTAAAACTGGGGGAGTTTGGAGGTAGAAAGAAAGACTAGTATGCACTTTGATGACTGCAAATCTCCCATGTATACGTGTTTAATACTTCTTGGAGATAAATGCAATGCATCGTTCATTTATCAAATAATGATGAGCCAGTAGGGTATGTGATACATTACATACAACAGAGGTACATCTTACTAGGGGTACACTGATTATCAGCCTTGGACGATTATTGGGGCTGATATAGGCCTGGGCAATTTGGCATAAAAAATGATCACGATATATTTTGTCATATTGTCCGATCTCGACTATTATCACGATTTTTAAAAAAACTGATGATGTAAACGTAGATTGGCTTGTAAATTGCACATCGGCTTAATTGCTTGACGTCACTTTGGAGATACCCGAACCACCACCGCACAACTGACGCTGAATGACTTCTCAACAATAACATCTCCGGAGGATGACTCAAAGTCACAGCTGATATCTATTTTACTGCCCTCAGCTCAGCGTTTAGCCCCATGTTCGGTCATTCTGTTTACTTCTGCTGTTTACTTCTCCGGCAATGTACAGCAGTGAGCAGGAAAAGCTCGACTCTGATTGGCTGTTGTGATGCACATTTCAGTTATGTTTGATTGAGCAAATATGCGCACAGCTGATCACCGTGATCGAACTGAAACTTATCACGATCATTGATTGCAATCATGTAATTGCCCAGTCCTAGGCTGATATTCAAAATTCAGCCAGTCAGGCAAAAATTTTGCAATATTCTTACATTTTATTCTTAATATTACTCTTAATATTCTTAATAACCTTACATTATGACTGAGACATTTTCAGTTGTACTGTCAATGCACAGTGCTTCCAAATAATAGTTATCGTGTCATTAACTGCTAATAATCAAAATCAACCCTGAAAAACCAACAACCATTGACCCCTAATTATGATATGAAAAACAGCTGAATTAAAATGTATGAACTGAAGTTAAGATAGATGATGCTGGAGCAATAAGAAAAATTGCTTGATAATAAATGAATAAAAGTTATTATTCAACCAATACCAATGGGCTCTGTGCACCTATCTACTACTTCCAGACAAACTGATTAATCCAGGTGTGACTAATCATTGTAACTACTCAGACTCACCTGGATTAATCAGTTTGTCCCATGATGTAAGACAGGGAATAAAGGAGCAGCCCTAAGTTCAGGAAGTAGTGGATCAGTGCATAGAGCCCATGTCTTACTATTTCTAAAGCAAATACCATTCTTACAACTGCGAGAAAAAATACATAATCAATAATAATGACTTTTTAATGACCCTGTTTTTTCATTAGAAGAGTCAGGTAAAGTAAAGGTATAAGTAATTTGTCAAATTCGAGAACAAGTCTAAAGTTCCCCATCATCCTAGCATTGAAATCAGTGAGTCGTCCCTCATCGTTTCTCTAAAGGCATCTGCTTCTGTTTTTGGTTCTCTGCTCAACTGTTACGGTTTTATTATGATTAGCCTGCACGATAGAAAGACTTTAGGACTGAACAATGTGATTGTGAAAATTCAATTGTTGATCCATGATATAATTAGTTTTAAAAAATCTCTTGGACTGCTTGAATAACAGGCACTTTTCTTGAGTTTTGCGAGAATGTCATGGTCCAACTATGACTGCAGCACTCATAGGATACACAGGCAACAGAGGGTCATGCAAGGCCCAGCAAATCACTGCTGCTTTCTGCTAGTATGTTTTAACTTGTGATTAAAAAGAGACACAAAGAAAATATATCTGAGCTCTGTTAATGTCAGTGGTCACGTCTGAGAACCAAAGCAGCTTGTGGGCTTGTGCAGCCACAACTCAAGACAACCACATGCTGTATTATTAACAGTGAAGCAGATTGACATATCAACTGAGCTATATCCTCATCAACTTGTGTACTTGTGTACCTGCAAAATATTCCACAGTGGTTCAAAGTTAAGAGCCAAAATACAGAATTACAAGGATTATCACACTGAATGTACATGTTTTAGTTCAGCCAGTTTTAGAAACACAATAAAGAATCGAACTAAGTGAACCAGTTTGACAAAGAAGTGTGAGATAGGATCTGTTTCTTTGCAATTCTGCTGTAAAGGTAAGATGTTTGAGCACACAGTGGACCATAATATACCCTCAGAGGATTTTGTCTCTACTGTTAGAAACTTAGAAAAATCATCATGGTGTCTTCACATAATGATGGCAAATAGAAAGTTATGTGAAAACAAGCACAAGTCAACATTCTGGGAGAAAATAGAGTAACTATGGTGAATAAAATATGTGGCAAAAACATTAGGATTAAAGATTTTGCAAATTCATAATGTGTCAGTAAGAGCAACAAACCATGACATAAATCCTAAGCAAGGGCACTGTGTATAGTAGCCAAGTCATCAAAGGTGAATACTTCATGACCTTAGAGTGGAAGCAGTAACACCACACACAACAATGGAACATGAAGGGGGCCTGTCCAACCTGTTGCAGCCACAGACTGAGCTAGCTTAATACCATCTCCATGGCAGTGTTTTTTTTATAGTACAAACTTCCCTCTCCTGCCTTCTCTCCCTCTACAGAGAAGGCAGGGGCCCAACTGGGGACTTCTTCTTTTTTCACTTGATGATATTGTCATTTAAAATAGTATATGTATATCATTCAGTCCAAATATTACACCTTTTTTAAATAGCTCTTTATTACAGGATGTTACAATGACACTGCATACATAGTCAGTGGGAAAGTGACAAAAATCTTTACAGCTATACAGTGGGTCATATCATTAAGAATGATGCTTTGTCAAATTAAAAGTATTATTTGTGAGTGATTAGCTACAGTGAGTCAAGCAATCATTTGATAAGTCATTTCAGCATATCAATGAATTATTGGCCCAGCAAATTAGGCCAATAATTCATACAAACAAAATTCAGACACTGTTGTGTGGCTACCCACTAGACCAGCTAATCCACCCAATACAACCAACCTACTCCATTTTCTAGTCACATGGGCTGGATGGCAGAGTCACACAGTGGCTTGTCTTATAGCAACTGATATTCAGATTTGTTGTAACCAAACAAACTGCCCACTGTGTCCTACTTTCGTGCTAAAACCTGGCTGGATGATTATGGTGCTGACACCTCCCAATAGTCAAAGGGGCTTAAGAGAGGGTGATTCAAGCTCTGCTAAGCCTGAGGAACAAACAGAGCCTTGGTAGCATCAATTTCACTACCAAAAAAGACACCCATTAATAAAACTGTATTAGCATGTCAAGAAAATTGTACAGTCCATGTTCACAAAGCTATGATTATGGCCTATGTGCCTTAGCACTCAACCATACAAAGTACTATAACACTGCACACAAAAGTGAATGCTTAATAACACATGGTCTGTGTGAACCATATAATAGAAAACCTCTTATTACATTTGAACATAGCTAACAAGTTTTTGAACTGCTGATAACACAGTGAGCAATAACTAATTTAGCACAAAATCATTTTTTGTGTTGTCCTCAGGCCTGACTATGAAAGGGAAAAAAAAAACAGATTAAGCCAGAGAGAGTCCTGGCAGAATTGAGGGAGCTGGTTGCAACAGATGGGGTGGTGGCTAATGGCCTGAATCTGGCTTGAATCTGAACCAGACCCGCCACCTACCCCCCAGAGATCGGGCAATCCCTACTCTGGATGCAATACAGACCAGCAGGGAAATGGACTGACAGAACTGCTCCACTCTCCACTAGTTGCTTAGGATTTCTCTCACATCTTTCTCCCGGTCTATTGAGAATACTCTTAGCGATTGCCCCAGGGAAACAACTGTTAAAAACACACCCTTGCTTAGAGATTAAAACAGTTTGCCTTCAATACAGAGCTTTGTTGAAAAGACTATTTGTTGTGCAAGGCTTTTGCCCAAAACAGTATCACTGGGTGAGGCCTAATACTGGAAGACTAACAGGAATTACACAAACTTTTCACTCATCTTTGGCCTCTGGTCAGAAAGCCATGCTAAAGTACTACACAATATAGGAAGAATGAAGCTGAAATTCCCACAGAGAAAGTCGTATAACCAGCTCCATCTCAGTTTCTACCCTTTGTTGACAGTCTAAATAAATAAATTAGTTATGATAACTGTGGAGCAGTTCTGCTGTAAACCCAGACGTGCCCTTGGTTATTTTTAAAACATAAATTGAATCAACGTAACTTTTACTGAATGCTATTCCTTTCCCTGTCCCAATGAACCTAAGAATAAAAAAGAGCTGCCTTCATATTATCAGCAAAACCAACATGGAAACGGGGAAGTCTGTCAATGTCGCCATTATTTAAAATTCGTCCTGTATCGATAGATTTTGATTTTTGACGTTAATGCCGTTTCCATAACAACCGACGTCAACCAGACAGTCCAGACAATATCTCGGTAAACTACTATCCATGAATTACAACCAATAGGCCAGGCATTTTCAGCTAAACGAATTGTTGTTGAGTTTATCTAATAAGCCGGTAACATTAGCGAGCGCTAGCCGGCTAGCTGGTCACAAGCTGATGTTGCTCTCTGCCGAAATGATGTTAGCTTAGCTAGCAAGTTAGCCCGCTTAGCTAAGTTTTAATTAGTATACCTCTTCAGAATTAATGATTTGGATAACGTGCTTTCAGTACAACAGAGACCGTGTTGAAGGTTAATTAAAATCCAATTGTGAGCATTCTGTGTTGCCAAGCAGTGACTACCCAGCCAACGGCAGCTGTACAGTGGATTTGTATGGCAGCTAGCTAACAAAGGTAGGAGCCCATGCAAAGGCTCATGTTGAGGCACTCCGCCCTGACAGCTCATATAAAGGTTTCCGTGCAGCTAACGTGAAGGTTCCGCTCTGCGGACAGGGAACAACGGTTTCTGTATCCAACAGCACCGCAACAACAAAGATACCCAAAGAACTTCAACAGTCCGACGGGAAGAGAATAGACAGGGTGAAACTTACCATCACTGCGCTTGATTTCCACATAAGTACCGACGACAATCTTCCCAAAGCCCGAAGCCATTCTGCATTACTTAAATATGTAACAAAAGCAGGGTAAAAGACTTGAAATGAATCGTTAATTACAGCCTCTTGTGTTTGGCAGTCTTTAACCGGGAAGGAAGATGCAGGCAACAGAATGAGCTAGCGTTACGTAGCCACCAACGATGGCCGAGTGTTTCCGGTGTTCTGCGGAATTGGGCTACTTTATCAAAAAGGTTCACACGGAGGCCTGCGAGGTGAGCGACCATGTTTCAACTGTAAAACTTTTATCCAAAAGAAGCGTATTTCAGCGTCCCCTGTTCGGTAGTTCTCTCTGCATTGTGTCACGTCTGTTTTGGAACTGTATTACACATTTTACACTTTATTTTCATGAAAAAGACTCGATAGACTAATATCTCAATAGCTTCGATGTTCCGAGGAGTGGCAAGCGCTCCTGAGTCTGGGCATGCGCAGAGTCGCTTTGTGGCGCATTTTGATAGGAAGCAGTTTTTAACAGAACACCGGTCCTACACTTTCAAATTAAACCAGCCAAAAATTTAACCCGCCTAGTCCTCTGTTGCCCGTCAGCAAGTATTTTCCGATTAAATAATGTTAGGTCTCCATGCCCAACCATAAACTCTGTAAATGAAGTTGCTAAGAGGATCAGACAATAATGGATGCCCTGCCAAGTTCGGTTCTGTAGCAGTATTCTAATTGTTGCATCGCCTGGTACCTGTGACTTCGACACAAAAATATTGGTCAGACTCAATGCCATTGTCTTTCACTCATGCTGGTATTATTTGAACATGACAATAGACATCATTTGAAATTTGTGACGTTTTTTGAGTGGTGGAGATAATTCTGCTTGATTCCAGTAGAGAATGTGACCCAATTTCCACCGTTCAAGGAGTCTAAGATTTTGCCAAGCTGGATAATGCCACCTAGTGGTGTGAATTGCAAATTCATGCGCCAAAAATCAGTCAAGTCAAAAACTCTGAGTTATTTAAGCAAAGGTCTTGTTACAGCTACGTAAATCAAGTGATTTCTCTATCAGTCTGAAATCTGCTCTGAACAATAAACACATGTGTAATAACAGGTTGCACATTACTTTTACCCAGAAGCTTGAAATCCTAAAACCATTTATGAAATTTAATAAGTCAAGCACAAATTGGTACAATCAACTTTGGATAAACTGCAAATGACCATTGCTGTAACATAACCAAGGTGTTTGGTACAGTAAAGTAAAGAAATTAACACGATCTTTTACCAGTTTAATGACTGCACTGATGAATTAGAATGTAGACCAAGAGAGTACAAAAAGGCTTAAACGTGGAGGTTATACTCATGAAGAGTAACATTTAAATTGTTCTAAAAAATACAATAATCAGAGCAAAGGATAATAATAATCTTGACTGTGTAGTGGGATTTGTTCATCTTACTAAAGTCACATCTGTTAAGCTTCTGTCACATAGTTTCTTATAGCTAGTCTCAATAACTTTTGATGTACTATTGCTAACTAGAGTATGAATAGAGGTTCTGTAAAAATTTAGCAGTTTTGTGCATGGTGTCACTTTTTACTCATTTAGCCTCATAGTGAGTATGCTGATAAATTAACCGCTCATGTATAATAACACCAGTCTTTATTAGCCAGAGTGGTGGGTCTTTATAATGTTAACCACTTTGAGGTTGAATTGTATTGATTGTACTATATGTGTAGGAGATATTCCTTTGTTTCTTTTTATTCACCAAGGGCCTTTAATCCACCCTACCATGCACTGGTCAACACACTTATGGATCCGTTTTGCGCTCTCCTACCCAGGACTAGAACTCTTGCCATCACAACAGAATGCCTGACCCCAATGTTTCCAGATCCTTCTCTTTCCAGAAGCTACTAGGTTCCTCTGTGATCTTACAGCTGTCAGCCCCCCACCCGTCCACAGACACCCACTTTTTTTCAGAGCCCTCCTCCGCCACTGGGGCATCAGGCATTTGCTGGTGAGTTCTCAGCTGTCCATGCCCTAAATAGACCTTATCAGGATCAGACCACCTTAGAGGGGGTGCTCTTTCTCGCAGACTTCATTGAATGGAAAATAGATTTTTATTTCAAAAACGTTTGATTTCTCAGAAACTTTGGAAGTTTATTGGTTGCAGTGCAAGGTCTATTACTTTACAGTGACTATCTTGGAAAAGTTTTTCTTTCCAGTTTTACTGTGTCCCTATGAGCCCCTCTGTGTGAAGAATGGTGTGTCTATGTCCTGCCCCACCTCATTGAGTACGTTATAAATATAAATTGAGTTTGTGGGGGAAGGTTTCATAAGACAGAGAGTTTGTAACAAGCACGAGGGACTTGAGGAACCAAGCTGTCCACGTTGAGCAAGAACTACAATACACAGTCTTGAAGGTAGTGTAAAGCTTCTACAAAGGTCTGTGGTTAAACTGCTGTTTGAACGGATCTTAAAACATACAGTGGCTATGTAGGGTAAGGATATGGAGAAGTGTGAATTTTACTTATCAGAGAAGTAGTGGGAGATGGTTTACTGTCCATTAGGACAGCAGCATTTGTTGCAAGGCCTCTACAGGGGTCTTAGTCCATGCCCAAATAAGGCTTGAGGGGGGCCATTTAAAGTTAGAGATAGCATGTGCATGACCATTTGCTCCAGGAGACACAAGTCTACAGGACACTGGTTAACTACAAAGGTAGGAATAAAAACATTTCTAAAGTAGTTTTGAATTATAGCCTATGAGGATAGACTAGTCATTATTCTGTAAGATGAAAGTAAAATAATGGGATATGCTGGTTGGCAGTTTAAGTTTTCAGCACCTAATGTGCTCTTTTTAATTCTCGTTTCTTTCAAAAGGACAGAAAGAGTCCAAGTGTTGAGCGGATTTGTTTCTAATATATTATTTGGGATATTGTTTGTGTCAAATTCTGGTTTTACTGCTCATCGCTTCACTTGCTTCTTTCAAACCTTTCGGTCTTTAATCATGCCTCTGTACCAATCTATTATTCATAAGTCATGTTTTAACACCAAAAAAACTAACAAACATTTCACTGTGAATGTATGTGACAGTAAATATAGATTTAATTTAAGTAACTGATGACACTGAAATCATTAATCATTGGTTACTAGTGTCAAACAGGAACTATGTAACTTGAAGGACTGAACACTTAATGATCTTGATTGATCGGATTTTGTTTTCCATAATAATCCCTTTTCACTATCAGATGGGAGACCCGGTCCAGTTAAAAGATGAGGGGAACAAACACTTCCAAGCAGGAGAGATTGACAAAGCCATTGACTGCTACACTAAAGCTATTCAGGTGTGCAAGGACAAAAAAGTGCTTGCTGTCATACACCGGAACAGATCTGCATGCTATCTGAAAAAGGTAAGCATAACCAGATTAAATGTATTTGTTATCTATTTGGTAAATGTGGCAGTATGTTTTGATGTTTCTATTTTTCTCTTAGGAAAGCTATGCAAATGCAGCAGCTGATGCATCTAAAGGTAATGTAATGCATATATAATCAAAGCTAATGATAAGAGCTAAGACACCAGTGTTACTGAAAACATACATCTACAAGCTCATTATGGTTCTTTCTTCCTTTAAAATAGCCATCGATGTCGATGCAGCTGATATTAAAGCCTTATACCGGCGTTGCCAAGCTCTGGAGAAGCTAGGTAAACTCGACATGGCTTTTAAAGATGTACAAAGATGTGCCACCATTGAACCGAAGAACAAGACTTTTCTGGAGACTCTACGCAGACTTGGAGCAGAAATTCAAGCTAAGGTCAGCATCACAGGGTAGAAAACAATTGCACACAGAAGCACAGGGTGGTATAAAACCAAACAATGTTGCTTAATACGTTGCTTGAAATTCTACGTGTGTGACCACAAAGAAACAAAGCTGTGCTTACTGACGGGAAATGCTAGTAACAGGAAATAAAAGTTTTCTTATTTCTTTCATAGCTCAAGACAACATTTTCCACTGATTCAAGGGTACAGAACATGTTTGACATCCTCCTGGATGAAGAAATGGACAAGGACAAGAAAGAAAAAGTGAGTACAACAAACAAAACAAGACAGAAATGCTGCAGCATGAAGTTCCAATAGAAAGTACATCTCAGTTTCACTTCTGCTGCAACATCTCTTATGTTGTCTAGGCTGCAAACAACCTGATTGTGCTGTCTAGAGAGGAGGCTGGAGCAGAGAGAATCTTCCAGAATAATGGGGTGACTCTGCTGCTCACTATGATAGAGACAGGCAAACCAGAGATGATCCTGGCTGCTGTTCGTACATTGTCAGGAATGTGCACAGGACACAAAGCTCGGGTGAGTTTACACTAAGAAAAAAAGGTCAAAACAAGGTAAAAAAGTGTGGAAATGACTCAAATAAGAATGTCAAAAAAACCCCAGTTTCAGTGGCAAAACTGACAGTCTCTGTGTTTGTCTATTCTTCTTTCACTTCTCCTAAACAGGCCATGGCTATTGTCAACATGGTGGGTATTGATAAGATGTGCAGCATAATGGCTATTGACAATGAAGAGATTGCACTGGCAGCCTGCAACCTATTCCAGTGTATCAATGACTCCCTCACTGGTGGGGATAAGAGAGAATATGGGAAAGAGGAGGCCATGGTTTTGGGTGAGAAACCGTTCTAATCTAACCCTAGAACAAAAATGTACCACTAAGACAAGTCCTCCTATTATTTTTCCCTCTGTAGATGCCTCCAAAGACCTGAAAACCATTCTTCTCTCCCTGCTGGAGATGGTCGCCAGTAAGAAGGTGTCCGGCCATGGCAGAGACCAGGCGCTTAACCTCCTGAGCAAAAATGTACCTCGCAAAGACAAGAAAGAGCCAGACCACTCCAGGACACTTTTCACTATTGACCACGGTGAGTCAGAACTCATTGTAAATTTTCCTCTGTTTAATCACTCAAACACTGCCTCCTTTATTCTGTTACCTCATTCTATTTTGCCTAATTACTCTTGGTATTTTGTGATCTTTTTTTTCACCTCTATTTTGGTTGTTTTAGTTTTCTATCAGATTGTGTCTTTCAGTGGATACTTGTTTTTTTATCTTGCGTATGTATAGTGGGGTCTTGCCTTATATTATTTGATTTGATTATATCTATCTATGCATTTTTTGATCAGTATATGTTTACATGTGACCATTTTCTAGGTCTAAAGAAGATCCTCAAGGTGTGTGGTCAGATTTCCGAGCTGCCAGACCAGCTGCCCTTAACAGAAAACACACAGCTGATTGCCAGTGTTCTTCTAAATAAGCTCTACGATGACCTCAAATGTGACCCAGAGAGAGACAACTTCAGGGACATTTGTAATGACTATATCAAGTATGTATAAAACATATTTGTGCATGGGTTAAAAGTGCTGTGATCAAGACCTCCAAATGGAGCTCAGGCCAAAATGAATTGCATTTCACTTTTTGTTTCATTGTTCCTCTTCTCTTAAGATCCAAAATTGACCCCAATGACATGGACAAAACCATTCATGCCATCAATACCATCTCAGGACTACTTCAAGGTCCCTTTGAAGTAGGCAATGCTCTGATTGGTCACCAAGGCATCATGGAAATGATGGTCGCACTGTGTAGCTCTGAACGTGAGGTGGACCAGATGGTTGCTGTGGAGGCTCTGATCCATTCCTCTACAAAGATGAGCCGTGCCAGCTTCATTATCACCAATGGAGTATCGCTGCTTAAAGACATCTACAAGAAGACCAAGAATGAGAAGATTAAGATCCGTTCACTAGTGGTAAGACATTATTTTTTATTCACAGCCTGAAAATAATAAGTACCACATCACGACAACATTAAAAAGAGAAGTAAAATAAAAGATCACACAGGAGATAACCATATCAGATTTGACATTTGCCTGTCTGAGTAAGTATGTGACTCATATTTATGTCCATTTCAGGGTCTTTGTAAACTGGGTTCGGCTGGTGGTGATGATTATAGTTTAAGGCAGTTTGCCGAAGGCTCCACAGAGAAGCTCGCCAAGCAGTGCAGAAAGTGAGTAAAAAGATGATAATCTGGCACTTGACTTCCCATAAGCAGGGAAAACTGAAGGATGATTCAGTTGTGCTCTGAAATCTGCTAACATTTACAGTGCTGGTATTAACCAAGTCTCTGTACAGACTGCTCAGCCTTGTTGTTAACATTGTTGTTTGATGGGTTGCTATTAACTGGCAGTTTTTACAAAGGGCAGGAGGTTAAACATTTTAGGTTGTATTTACACAAGATAAACAAATTATAACATCAACCTACTATTAATTGTTTTGTCATTCAACTGTAGATGGTAAAATAGCATAAACTACAAGAATTGCTTTCCGTTATACCAAAATAATAACTGCTGCTAATATTTATGTCTATTTTTTTTACTTCTCTAGGTGGCTCTGTAATCCCCAGATTGATACCAAAACAAGGAACTGGGCTATAGAGGGTCTTGCCTATTTAACTAATGATGCTGATGTGAAGGATGACTTTGTTGAGGATGAGCCCGCCATGAAAGCTATGTTTGAACTGGCCAAGGTATAAAAAACAGAAATAACAGACAACAGGATTAGTGTTTATATGTAGTGTATCTTAGCAGACTTAAAGAATAACCTTTCCTGTTTTTCATCTTTTCAGTCAAAGGATAAGACAATCTTATATGCAGTAGCTTGCACCCTGGTGAACTGCACCAACAGCTACGAAAAGAAGGACATCATCCCTGAGCTGGTTCAACTCGCCAAGTTCTCAAAGCAGCATGTGCCTGAACAACACCCCAAGGTAGAGATAAAACAAAACAAATATAACTGATTACATTGATGTAGGTGAAGCAAAGTTTATGTAACTACTGCATATGTACAAATGCTTTATACTTGCTTCTTTCAGGATAAGAAAGATTTTATTGACAGGAGAGTGAAAAGGCTCCTGAAGGCTGGGGTCATATCTGCACTTGCTGTCATGGTCAAAGCAGACAGCTCCATCCTGACTGACCAGACCAAGGAAATGTTGTCAAGGTGGGAGGAGGAAGATTTTACTTCAAAGTGAAGATGAGGCAGCCCGTTGTATCACAAATCATGTCACATAGCTGAAAACACTCCCTAATTAAATTCTTACTCATCATGATGTGATGTTATGAAACAGTTCAGTTTTAGTTTAGTTTATAATTTTGTCCAGGCTTGAACATATTTTTAAATGCTCCAGTCTAGATAAGAGGCAATGTAAGCTAAAAGACAAATGAATGCAAACAGTATCATGATTACTGCCTTAAAATTGCCTCATTTATTTGAAATATAGGACTGTCTAACTTATTTGTTTTACCTAAGGGTTTTCTTGGCCTTATCAGATGATCCCAAGGACCGTGGAATAATTGTTGCCCAAGGTGGGGGAAAGGTAAGCAATCATTTTGGAATTGGGACAAACATTAACCTGATAAACTGGTTGATGCAGAATATTTCAGCTGTCATCCTGTGTACTGAAACACTTCTGGTGCTGCCTTCAGGCTTTGATCCCACTTGCTCTGGAAGGCACAGAAGCTGGCAAGGTGAAGGCGTGTCACACTATTGCCAAGATTGCATCAATTTCAAATCCTGAAATTGCTTTCCCGGGTGAGAGGGTAAGATGACAGTTTTTTGTATTCATACAGCATATAATGTCTATTTTTGGTATTGCCTTCCTGTCTCTTATGCTTTAATTCTTGGTTCACAGGTGTATGAGGTGGTGCGGCCATTAGTTAACCTCCTTCACACAGACAGAGAAGGAATGCAGAACTATGAGGCCCTGAGAGGCCTCACTAACTTGGCTGGTTTTAGTGAAAAACTAAGGTAAAGTTTATCACCATCAATAATGTCATGATGATGGTTAATTAGTAACTTCTGATTTATTTTTAATAATTTCTGCTAATTATGAGTATTTCTGACCTCATACTTTGTTTGTTCTGCAGAGTTAAGATTGTGAAAGAAAACGCTATTCCAGATATCGAGAATTACATGTTTGAGGAGCATGACCAGATAAGACAAGCTGCCACTGAATGTGTATGCAACCTTGTGACATGTAAAGAGGTAGGAACAAACAACCAAGCAGCAACCTCACATCCCGCCACACTGTGTACTCCTCAACGGGTATGTCTCTATTAGAAAATGTCACAATTGTGTTTTATAGGTTCAAGACCGCTACCTGGAAGATGGCAACGATAGGTTGAAACTGCTGGTACTGCTCTGTGGTGAGGATGAGGAGAAACTCCAGATAGCTGCAGCTGGAGCTCTGGCTATGCTCACTGCTGCTCAGAAGAAGCTCAGCACCAAATTAACCCAAGTGGTATGTACACCAGAAAATGAATTCACAAATCACAGTGTTTTAGAAACATGTGTTTCCCCCTATGTAAATGGCATAGGTCAGCCTTCTGACCATGTTTACTCTGAGCATCAAAATTGGATCTGGGTCAGATCACAAGCGATGAAATGATGATAATTTGGTTGAAACAACTCGACTTTAGTTTATCAACCATAATTTTATCAATGGAGCTGTGTATGTATAGCTTTAGATTTGATGTGACAAAATTAGAAAGATCACACTTGGGGCATCAATTTAACCTAGTGGTTAAATCCCACATACAAAGGCCACAGTCTTCAAAGCAGGAAGGCCTGGTCCCAGTCTCACCCGTGGCCCTTCACTACATGCCATTCCCAACTCCCTCTCCCCACTCTCTGCTCTACCACTTGTCCAACTCCTAATCCTAAAAATAAACTTAAAAAAAACCCCCCAAAGGGGACTGCTTTCTCTATCTTGCCATCATACTACTTAACAAAACAGACTTTTGTAACACAACACAGCGCTTAGGTGTGGTCTCCAAAATAACTTTTAACAGAGTTGGCATGTCATGAAATAATGCTCAGAACACAGACACAAATGCAGGATACCAAGGCAGTAAGTCAGAAGGCAAAAGTGTATTCCAATAAAACAAACAAAGGTTGGTATACAGAGAGGCAGTCAGATCAGGCAGCAGTACCCAAAAATGTGAGGCAAGGAATGTTCAAAAACAAGACAGGCCTGTGACTATGGCTGTGAGTAATGCTGGAATGAAGACTAGTTGGTACAACAAACTCACGATAAAACAGTGGGAGACATAAGGTTAAATACAAAAAGTAGTGAGGGTGTTGGGCAACAGGTGGGGAGAGACAATGAGGACATAGGTGTGACAAGATGGGGGCAGGGCAGACAGGAACACATCTGAAACAGAGACAAAGGTTAGTGACTTCAAAATAAAATGGGAAGGACATAACATTAAACATGAATGTGTAAGTAATAAAGAGAACTTAAAAGACATGACATGGCACATTAGTCACCTTTAAGCTCATTTTATTGTTTCACTAATGATATCGGGGTGATGTCATTTGCTGATATTATCTTGAACATAAAACTTCTCAGGAGCTGCTGAGAACAAAAGGCAGAGAAACACCCAATGACTGATTAAGCCTTATTCATGTAAAGTAATAGTGCGTCCATCAGGGGACTTTGTAACTTATGACTGCTGATACTATTTTCTCCAAACAGACGACCCAGTGGATGGAGATCCTGCAGAGGTTGTGTCTGCATGATAACCCTTGGATTCAGCACCGTGGCCTGGTGGTTGTCTACAACATGCTCAACTCAGACGACAGGGAGCTGGCCAAGAAGCTGATCGAAAGTGAGCTGCTGGAAATCCTCTCTGTGATAGGCAAGGCTGAGGACAATCCCAAGAGGCAGGGCTCCATCGATACAGCGCGTGAGTGCCTTGTCAAAGCCATGGATCTGGGTCTCATCAAACCTTTCAGCAGCCCTTCTTAAAATACTGCGGTGACAAAAAAAAGAAATGGACTTTTTTCTTTGTTTCCTTTGTTACAATGCACACTTTTTTTCCTGAAGTTTTTGTTACTCCTGGGGTATTAAAAGAATGATCAACTCAGTCTCAATCCTCAGAAGAAAACCCAGTCCAAACTGTCCCATGATACAGAATAATGCAGTGAATGATTTAAGTTTGTGCTGAATCCATCTGTGAATCAGATGTGAGCTGAAAGATCAGTTCTCATGCGCTGGTTTAAAGTTCCACTCCGATGTTTTTTTTTAATTTTTATTTTTTTACTATTTTAAGTGTTGTCAGTGGTCTTTAAAGTCCCACTTGGATCGTAAATTTTTTAACTACTTTTTTACGACTTACTACTAAGTGTTTTATAGTGGTCTTTAAATTGTGATTACCAGGTTTTTAGTCAAAATCATGTCACCTGTGTCTTTTTCAAGGGCTTTTCTTCTGCAGAGTTTTAGTAGCTCATCAGCAATTTGCCCCTGAGTCGTGGGCAGAGACAGCACTGCTCTGCATCCTCCTCTTCATGCTAGCTTGCAGCCTAACATTGTTGGTGCAGGAGAAGTGGCAGGTAATATAGGAGCTATTCAGCTCTTGAACACTAATGTCTTTAGGGGCATGATGAAAGCTAGTAGCTTTCTTACAAACATTGCAATCTGCTACCGCACACACTTGATTCGCATTCATCCTTTCTACTTCTTGAGGTCTGGCCTGCAGAGCGGGGGCTGAGCTTGGATTTGTGACGTAGAAAATCCCACCGTAATTGAACCTGCCCTTTGGGTCTGCCAGAGATTCATGGTGATTTGAATGCAGAAATACTCAGAAATGCAGTTTTGCACTTAGTTTTCTCATATGTCCTTTAGCATCAGAAAAATGCCACATGAATACATAAACAACAAGAAAGACACAATTTTCATCGGAGTGGGTCTTTAAGTCAATTTTCACTATGACCAACTAAATGGAAAGACAAAATTACAGACAACACGCGATTGCTTGATAGCACACATGAAATACCTGACCTAAAGGTGATGGCACTTTTATGTGTTCTTCGAATGTGTTCTCTGCATTAAGACTAGATTTCACATATAAAAACACTGTACTCTCTTCAGTGCGGAATTAAACTTTTTTTATGCTGGTGTTTGTGGTTATATTCTGTCAGTTTTAAGCTATTTCCTATTGTATGTGTACAAGGAAAAAATCTGTCCAAATAATATCCATTTAATGTTATCAGTCATTTCCAGGTGACATCATGGAGTGCTGTTTTTAAAAAAAAAGGTCAGTTGTGTCAACTCTGAACTTACTGATTTGCAATTACTGCAAAAAAATAAAACTCATGGAAACGCTGATTCATGTGCACATAGAAATCTGTATTAACAGGAAAGACTGTGGTAAACAGTGACAAAAAAAAAAAAAAAACGTGATATCAGTGACGGCAACAGGCCTCCATCTTTACTGCTATACGTGTGTGATTTAAGAATGGTGACTTCAGGTATAAATAATACTAACATATTTAATTTTATAAAAGTTTTTAAAGGCCCATGACGGTCCTTCCAGTGGTTGGCTTTGCGCTATGCTGCAACAGCTGTTCTGCCGTAGAACGCACCCTCTGACAGCATCCTCTGACGGGAGCGCGCCTACGTCACGAGTCAGGAAGTACAGCCACTAGCTTGAGTTGCCACAATATGAAGCGGAAAACTACTTCGTTTTTTTCACTTTTTTGGTGAAGTGACTCCTGGGGAAAGTAACAGATATGTGTGCATTTTAAATAAATCACAAGAACAAGATTCATAATAACGAACACACCGCCTTTCTTTTCTTCTTCCACGAAACCGTATTCTGTAGTAATGGTAAACTCAGCTGTAATGACCCAAGTAGCTGAACTCGTTTCTTTCGGCCGGTTGTAAGTACATAACAAGGTGAAATAATCCAAGTTTTGCATACCACTGGATGGATATCGACCAATGACAATTCGGTTTTCAGTCGTGTCAAATCTGAACCTACACAAAGTTCGGCACCAAAGTATCCAATTTAAATGTGCCTGATGTACGGAGAATACATTTCATGGCAGGCTGTTGAAACCATTGCTCAGAGATGAACCCCCTGTCTGTCAGTGGCAAGGAAAGTTAGGGGGCCATGAAACTAACTCGTTCTGGTTCCTCATACCCTTGACAGTATTATATACGTAGACGCCTCCAAGCCCGACGCTGCCTGTTGGAGCTCTCGTATCAGCGCAGTCGCCATCTTGGATGGGTCCCCCGTGCGCCTCCAGTGCATTAAGGTCAGTAGGAATGCCCAATCATATTAGTAATAACGCTCCGAAACTCAGCTCGATTTTTACACTGTTTGGTTTGTTACAATGGCAGGGATGTAGCAATAATACAGGACAATGTCACACGTTAAAAATAAAAAATATATTTTTTTTTCAATCCTATTTGTGAAATGTTATCCTACGTGATCTGGTTTCAATACTGCATAGAGTGCAAAAAAAAAACGGGCATACTTGCTCGTTCTCCATTGACCCCGTTTGGCTCTTGAGCGAACCTGAAGTGGGAAGACCCATCTAATATGGCAGTGACACCGGATTACGCTCCAGCACGTAATGAGGCGTCTACGTATATAATGTCTATGGCTCATACAAACACCCTCCTCTCCGCATAAAGTGAAATCGCGCGCATCAGTTCGGGGATGCAGACAGCGGTGCATCTGCGAAGCGAAGTGAGGAGAGAGCGAGCGAGACCTTCAGCAGCAGAGCTGCATCGGGAGTATCGGGGAACGACTCTCTCTTGGTACGTTTATTCGGTCACCGATAACCATTTACTGTGTATCAATATGATCATTCATTACTATATTGCATGTAGCCTGACTCGAGACCTATGAAATTCATGTTTTATATAATAACTGCTGAAACTTGGATTATCGAGCTACTGCTTCAATCATAACCGTCAATGTATCCTCTGACACGGTGTTGATTGAATTAGCCTCGTTCTTGTGGCGGATGTTTTTCATGGCTGAATGGTCTACATTAAACTTTGATGGGATGTTAACTTAAACTCAGGTAAGTTTGTTTCCAAGAGTTGTTAAGGTATGCAGCAGGTGATATATCCTTTGTCATGCCAAGGTGTGGTCACGAGAGGATTCACCCTAAGTAGCGGGATCTGTTTCAGAGTGATAGTAGACTACAGTGACAGTGACATGGATTTCCTCTTTCACCGGTTGGAAGTATCTGGGGGAATCAGGCAGCAACAACCCAACTCCTACTAGAAAGCCACGTGAGGGCTCTACGTGATTACAGGTGGACCCGTTTTCTAAAAGTTTCATGTGCAGTCACCTGAAACACCGTCTCTGTGCGATAGGACGAACGTTTGGAGTTTAATCCTGAATTCGTTTCCGCGTGGATGGGAGGCGCACTAGCATCACAAACAGGATACTCGTAAGGGACTAATCAAGTTCACAGACAGGCCTTGAGGTCGTAGGCGTGTGAACTATACTGTACCCGGCGAATACAATCTGGAAGTATTGCAGCGTCTGCCGTCCGACCAGATGCGTTAAAACAAGGGACGAAAATAGACTAGGGCCCCGTTGGGGCACTGGCGGGCCCGAGCCGTGTCGCCCCGCCCCCAACACGACCGCCTCTCCCTACCGATCGCGTCACACTCAAGGTCCAAAGATGGTGTGCGCACTTGTCTGTGGTCATTTACAATTATAATGAATGGGAGGCGCAGTTTCTACCAAAACGCTCGCCGCAGACAAACTACATGTCCTATTTGAAAAGGACTGGACCATGAGTGAGGGCACAAACACAGCTAGGATATATCCAAATGGCAAGTTGCTCCTCCTTTCGGTTTTGCCGAGAGAGCGATGTGTTTGAGTCATTGAGCGATGGGCAGGAAAAACTTGACTTTTTCTCCTGCCATGGGGGGGCGCTCTTTTAGGGAGTAAAAATTCCTTCACAAATGTGTTGATGGCTAGACATTGCATCATCCTAGAAAACTTGGAGGCCAGTGAGGACAAAAATAAAAAGTTATAAGACTTTTAAGAATGTGGATTTTTGGGTTATCTTTGGCGCCCCCTAGAACATAAACCGTGGGGTGCAGCGTCATGATTTTTACAACTTTGAATGGCCATGGAATGTAGATTGGCCTGAGTAAATTTGGTGTCAGTGGAACGAAATATTTAGGAGGAGTTAGCCACATTCCAATGTGTGCGAATCGACCAAAAATGCGAAATAGCCCTTTAACCGTACATTTTACAGATACGCGCCCATTGACTATTTCGTAGATCTTATTGAGAAACACGTGATTGTCAAAGTTTGTTACAATATGACAAAGCGTACAGGCGTGACACTCAATAATGTGAATTTTCACCTTAGGGGGGAAGAAAAACTGGACTTTTTTCTCCTGCCATGGGGGGGCGCTCTTTTGGGGAGTAAAAATTCCTTCACAAATGTGTTGATGGCTAGACATTGCATCATCCTAGAAAACTTGGAGGCCAGTGAGGACAAAAATAAAAAGTTATACGACTTTTAAGAATGTGGATTTCTGGGTTATCTTTGGCGCCCCCTAGAACGTAAACCGTGGGATGCAGCGTCATGATTTGTACAACTTTTAATGGCCATGGGGTGTAGATTGGTCTGAGCAAATTTGGTGCCGGTGGAACGAAAGCCTTCGGAGGAGTTAGCGAAATTCCAATGTGTGCGGATCGGCAAAAAATGCGAAATAGCCCTTTAACCGTACATTTGACAGATACGCCCGCACTGACTTTTTTGTAGATCTTATTGAGATACACGTGTGTGTCAAATTTTGTGTCATTTTGACAAAGCGTACAGGCGTGACACTCAATCATGTGAATTTTTCACCTTAGGGGGCGCTATGGAGCCATTTTGCATTTGATTTTTTGGGCGACTTCAGAATATCGAATTTTTCACCAGGCCCGGTCGTCCTGCCAAATTTCATGACTTTTCACCAGTGGGAAGTGGGCCATTTTCCAGTTCAAAGGGGCAGAAAAATAATAAGACTAGGGCCCCGTTGGGGCACTGGCGGGCCCGAGCCGTGTCGCGCTGCCCCCCCCAACGCGCTGCCTCCCCGTCCCATTCGTGTCCTCTGGCCATCGTCCTCTCTGGTAACGCCCATCACTGCAAAGACCCTTTCCTTCATCGGCGTTTGCTGTTCTTCCTGCCAGTGCGTGTTGCTTTCACTTACACTTGCCACAGCCAGCCTCGTGAGTGCCTAGCCTATTGGATATCACTGTCATCTACACAGGACAGTCATAACCTTTCTATTAATACTTTGTTTTTTAATTTCACATTAATTTCCATATTGTATAAATGACTGGAAAAAACTTGAGCCCCTGCCCCTGTATAATCATGTGCACGTCCCTGTTCTAGCTCCAAGGTGAATCTTCACTGCTCATGTTCTC